AGGATTTTTTTTAACGAGGTGACAGCGTTTTCATGGCAACAGAAAATTGAGCTAACGGTTACAATTCGTTCGTCAAAAAATGCAAACCAGACGTTTTTGACATGTGTTCAAATTAAAGACTTTACTGTCAGTTTAAGTTGTTTTTTTTAAAGACACTGCGATATTTATCATACGCCGACTCCTCTGATACACCGGACGGGAGGAAAAGTACCTTTCCACTCTGCGTAGATGACCTACGGCGGTTGAGTTCATCCGCTACCTTGGCAATAGGTTATTGATCAGCCATTTGATAATGTCGAATTGATTTTTTTCGGAACTGCGCCCTTTCAATTACGAATCACACGAAAAAGCGAGGAGAAATGGAGAAGCTGGCTTCATGTAAATATCTATGAAAGTCAGCGCCGCATAAATAACGTAAAGAGACGTGTCGACTCACCACATCGGCTTCCGTTCGATTTTCAGACTCTTTGGAACCGGAAGAAACATTCCTGTTTTCCCCGTCTCTGTGAATCCCCACTGTCTCTGAGCGATCAGAGAGAAAGGCACCGGCACGAGGAGAAGGAGACGGCGTTCGTGCGTTTGTCGGCGAAAAATGAAGTGGTTTCATGTGACTGCATGATATCCACGCGTGCTGCTTTCGCGTGTAAATCGCGTTTTCGGAGTTGGAAGTGTCGCTCTGAGACGCGCAGAGCCGAGAGAGGCGTGGAGAGTCTCTCCGGCCTGCACAGTCACATCATTGGTTGACAAACAGCAATCAGATGCAAATTCCTAACCTCTGAATCAGCAGGGCCGGCCCCCCGAACCCCCCCCCCGCCCCCCCCCCCCCCTCCCCTCCCTCCCCCGCAGCGGGGGATGTCGGTAAGTGCAAGGGTGTGAACTGTAAAAGGGGCTGAGAGCAGGGCCGTGGAGAGGCATGACGCCCGGCCACCACACACTTCGTTTTTGTTTTTTTTGTTTTTTTATCTTAGCGTACGCACACACTCGCCTTGATGGATAAAGCGTGATTAAAGCAGCTATAACACTCCAAGTACCAAGTCCCAGGAAATCCCTTTTTTTTACAGAAAGAGGAGCAGTTTCTGAACAACAGGCCATGTTGGTCCATTAAAAGTTTGCGTGTTTGTGTCTGGACTAGTTGGACGTACACGCCAGTGGGTTTGAACCAATAAGTCTGTGACAGTTGGTGGAAGAGCTGCATGCATGTTGAAGCATGACTGAACAGAGGTGATCTCACACGCTGCTGTCTGGGTTTAGTTCTGGCTAATAGGGATTCGTCTAAATCATTTGTACTTTTCTCAGCAATTTACTGAAAATCGACATTCAGAATGAAAACCCGGGGGAGGGCAGGGGAACTCTCTGGATGTGGGTTCTCTGAGAGGAGTGGCAGGGTGAATGAGTCTGAGACAGGTGTTTTTTTTTTTTTACATGAGAGCAGGATCTTAGTTGTGTTTTATTTCCATGTCACTTCTGGAATTCCTGGTTGCGTTTTGGCCCGCGGTGGAGGGGTCGGTGTTCTTTGACAGCAGCTGCTTTGCTGCTGTCTGCTTCTTCATGTCCTGAATAAAAACACACCTGACGAGCTGAGGGTCGAAGGACCTGGGTTCATGTGGTCACACTGAGGCGTGACAGATTCCCATGTTGAAGACCAACTGCTCCCGTTTGAAACACGGTGACAGGCCCGTGCAACATGGGAGGACGGAAAACAAGATCAGAAGCACAAGGTAAACAGTTCCCCAGCTGTTAAGGTGTCGTGTTTGAATTACAAGCACCAGGAAATGAATCCCTCAGCAGCAGGTGAGTCAATTGAGCAAAAGTTTCCGTCTTCATCTCTTAAACGTTGACAGTTTCCAAAAGCCTCCGGCTGCATCCGCCATCTGCACTTAGGATTTGACCATTTATAAATCCGGGCCTGCCAGTGCTGACTGCTCAGTTGCTGGCTTGCAGCTGTTGAAGAAAACCAAGAGCACGAGATATTTTAAAACGGCAAACCGATCCTCCATCTGCCTCACCAGGTGAAATAGGATCTGGGGGACACGTGCGGATCATTGGCCCCGTCCCACTGACAGATTAAATTAAAATTAAAACCGGGCTCTGCGGCGATGACAACTGCAATTTCACACTTGGGGCCAAATAATTAAAGATGACTGATGCTTTTCAGCCCAAATGAACCTCCGTCAGGGTGCGGCCCACGCTGCTTTCACAGCCGCGGGGATGCTGCCACTGAAATCACTACTGAGACACACTTTCCAACACAGTGAACAAAGGCTGACTTTACTGAGCCATCTGAAAACAAAACACAAGCTTACTTCTCCATGTCACTTAAGTCAGCTCCATTCAAAATGTCAATAGAAAGCATGAGCTGACCTACTCCTGCTCTCATACAAATATTTCTATTTGTGACGCGGCATTTCAGACCCAAACGTGGGATCCCTTTGGCTATTGTGTTTAAGGTTACACAGCACGGGCTGCATGGCGATGGCGTGTAGACCAAATAAACACAGAAGACAGAAGACTAAAGAAAACTCCACAAACGAGCCCTCCTGCTCACGTCACGGATGGGACTTTCATGTCAGCCCCAAACTCTTTGTCTGCTGAACAGTTCGTCTCATGACGACTTGAATTCCCAAAGTATTAAGGCCCCTGTTTCCATAAACCTTCAGTGGCAAACAGACACTGTCCATTAAGTGTTTTCACACTTCCGTCTCTCAACCCGCGGCGATTCTTTGCCAGTTTCTAAAAGCAAATGAAGGAGTTTATGAGGAAACAGGTCCAATAGTTCTTAGAAAAATATGGCACCCAGTATTAGAAAGGTTCACACCCGGGATGGTGGGGCTGCACAGACTGCTGACTGTCTCTGAGCCAGGATAAACTGTAATCCTGATCAATATTGGTCCTTGTGTGCTTGAAAGATGGCGCCACCTAGTGGGAGACTTACAACCAGACCCAATCCCCTTCAAATGTACCCCAGTCGTCCCATTTGACAAAGAATTGCGATATTGCCCTTTTATTTTAAACCGTCTCAGAACCATTGGAGCCGTTGTCGTTGAATAATATGTCGATGGTTTTATAGTGGGGAATCTTTTCCTCCCAGAGCAAAAGGGGCCTCATAGAAGATTTAGGCTCGTCTTACTTAACATGTTCTCCAGATGCATTCCAGCCGCTTTAATACAGTTTCCAGTCTGTAAAATGTCCCTGAACTGGTCTGCTTTTTTTTGTTTTTTTATTAGACGAAGCTGACTGCGTCATCTCGACTACTCAAGCACCATAAAAATGAAGAAAATGTGGTCACTGAGCAGCCACCAACAACCTGGTTCATTTTCCTCACTATAATATGAAACATGGAACTCATTTATAGGTGTCTAAGTTACTTTATATCTTCCTTATGGGTCCTGGTTCTTCTTGCTGAATTATTCATTGAGCTATAATGCAATAAAAAAATTTGTTTAAAGTGTTCAATGAAAAATGAGAAGAGGAACAAGTAACTTAAATGCTTTAATGCTTGCAGTGATAATTATAAATACCCAGATCATATATACACAAAGGTGTTTCAGTTTAGTGTATAAAGCTCTCGGAACATTAGCCGTTTCTCATGAAAATGTTGGCACAAGTCAAATCAAATATTTACAGCATGCCTGTTTGAGTTTAAAAAGTTGGCAGCACTCCGAGTGCGGCCCGTCTCCAGAGAGGACGGGGAACACAGAAAAACGACGACGCGTGAAGCCAACGCATGACATTCAGAGTGAGGAGTTGGAAGCCTGAGAAGTCGGACATTCACACAACAAACAAAACTTTGGTCGTTGACAAAATGCACCAAAATTATCGAGACGGGCGTCGTCGCACCGCTGACGACGGCGTCGAAAGAAAAGAGGAAGAAGAACCTGGATGCACATTTCCAGAGTCCGTTCAAGTACAAATGTAGAAATACAAGTAGAGGGAAAACATAGAAAGTGGTGTTTGTAAGGCAGAAGTGCTTTTCTGGGGCGGTATATTTAATACTGAGATGGAAGCAGAAATAACCTCACTGATAGTAACAACTGCTACTGTACTCACAGTACAGTACATAATGACACCATGTCAAACCTACAGCTCCTCACCTTTGAGTTTTACTAAAAGACACTAATAGACTACTGTCTACTTTTTTTTCCTTTTTTTCTTTTTTGCTGGGGTTCAGAGGCATTCAGACAAACGTGCCACAGATGAATTATTACCTGAGGCTCAAAGCAGTAGTAAGCACCATCACGTTAAAGTCTTAAAAACCTTAAACCGGCAGAAAGAGTACAAAGCAGACCTTTGAAAAACAACAAAACACACTTGGACGACATGGCTGAATCACTTCTGCGTGCCTCTATTTAACATTTAACTCCAATGGCCCTGAAGGCGCTCCCTTCTGCCCCAAAGTTCCCTCGTTCTGCAAAGGCGGGCAGCTTACAGTCACATTCCAAGTAAGCCTGCTCGTATTTAGGTGGCTCAACATGAAGACCGGGAAACTAATCCCGATTTGAAAACTGAGGCGTAATCTGATAAAGGTCCCGGCCCTGCTCTCTGACAGACGTCTGCGCGGTGAGCTGGGCCACGGGGAATATGCACACCGCCAAGGCAGGCGTTCTCTTAACAGCGCATTTACTGTGCTGTGCTCGTAAACGTTCGGGGCGCTTCAGGCGGCAGTGGTTAAACTGGATGAATGTGGATGCCGGCGGATGAGGAGGAGCCCAACGGGTTTAACTGTAAACTCCGTTTAAGCGCCTCCAGTGTGGGCAGCCTGCTTATCGCACAGATCACCGTAATAGAGCAGTTACAAAAGAGTAACGCTTCGTCCTAATGTATGCATGGCAAACATTTACATCCCAAAACAAATGTCTGTTTGAGCATACAGGGGAATTCGTAATGTTCATGCTTCATTCTTCACAAACACAAACCCTACAGGTGCTCCGTTCAGACAGCGAGACATTTTGAGAGCGGTTTAAGCACCATTTCATGCAGCAAAAAAAAAGTGGTTTTATCTATGTATGCATATGTGTGTATGTATATACAGTATATATATACATATACATAAGTATACACACATGTACACGTGTATGTGTGTGGACAAAATTTGGGGACTTAACTCATAAAAGAATCATTTCATTTTCATGAACTATGGTCTAATCTCCATCTGTGCAGACGCACTTCATGTCATCCATACCTGTGACGGAGTCTGGGAGATGTTAGGAGAAGCACGGCACCACATTCATGATATCGGCTAGTTAACTCCTGAATCTAAAAACTTGGGAGGGGGAGCCGTCATGATTCATGTTGTGATTTCTTGGCACAGTTATATGTTGTGCCTGAGGACAGCGAGAGGTGAGAGGTCAAGGGGCCTGACTTGGAGGTGGTCTGGGGCTGGGCGACGTGGAGACGGCCTACGTCTCACGTGCTCCTTTTGACTAGTTTGTGGATAGAATTAAAGGGGGAGCCGAGCAGCAGAGAGCAAACGGGGGAGGGGGGGTTTTGTCGGCGCTGTTTTGCTAAGCTTTATGGGCTTTACTGGCTTCGTGTTGGGACGGCTCGCGGCGTCTCTGTTGCCGCAGAGCTCCGTCCCGCCGGCCGACTGGACCGGAGACGTGGGCCGCCGTCCCGCCTCTCAGCTCATCCGCTCCAGGTAGGCGGACAGCCGCAGCTCGGGGGCCTGGAACTCCTCCTGCTTGTTCACCACTTCCGTCCGACGGCAGCCCTTGTGGTCGCTGCCTGGAGGTCCAAGACACACAAGACAGGGATCACTCTCGCGGGACTGAAAACACTTCTGAACCGGCTCTGTGAGAGCAGCCGGGGCAGCGTCAGCTGTGGCTGCGCCCATAATCTGAGACCACCGAAAAAACCAGCGGTCGCTGTGACCCCGCCGCCGCGTGGGGCTGGATCAACACATTTCCACTCACTTGCAGACACAAGGTCCATATACTGGCAGATGGCATGCAGCAACAGCCTCTCGAAACTGTGGGAAAAAACAAAACGAGGAAGCGTGACTTTCTCCTCTTCGGCCTCATTAAATCATTTACAATCTATTCAAAGTGAATATCAACTTGCGGTGACCCAGTTTTCCTGCTAAGATCAATTTGGTTAGTCGGTCTGTCCGTCTCTTTAGAGCTAATCAGCTGCCATTTTCCGGCATCCTGTTTTTGTTTGCGTCCTGCCCCCCCCGCCCCCCCCCCCCCCTGCGCATCTTACGAAGTTTTCCTGTAATCTAATAGAAATCGGTTTTCCAGGTGGGCAAATGAAATTAAGGCCTATCAGTCTGGACATTCAGCCTGCCTTATTCGTCAAGTGCTCGGCCCACTAAAGTGTGTTAACGCGGCCTAAAGAGCTGCGTCGGCGGCTTGTGTTATTCCAGGCACCGATCAGACACAGAAAACCAGCCAAGACTGAGGTCCGAGCAACGTATTGATGGCTTTGATGTCCTCTCTGGCGCCAAAGCACAGCGGGCCGCTTTTCATTTTCACCATGAAGTCTAAGAAACAAATATATTCCTTTCAAAACTCTCCGCATCATCTCTGACTTTTACTTGGAAGGGAAGTAATTCATTCTGTGTAAACAGCATAGTGCTATTCTGTATCATGCCTCCCACTGAGCCAGATTACAGATGGATAACAGCAATATCTATTTCAAGATAAACTTGTATTCCCGCTCAATTAATCTTTTGCCAGAGTGGAAATTTGTCTGAACTAAAGGACAAAACAAGCTCTTATAAGGTGGCTTCCAGCATGAACAGTCCAGCCGCACGAGTCGTCCCTGAGTGCAGGTACCCCGACAACAGAAAGCGGGTTTCTACCTGCTGCCGAGGTCGGTGGTGTACACTGAGCGAGGCTCGGCGTTGAAGAAGCTCATAAGGTTTTCCTCAAGACCCACCAGCATCCCCTGGAAAGATATATAGAAAAAAAAAAGACATATCAACAACAAGCCGTTACAATGAGGTGAGCTAAACATTGCTAGGTTTGATTTACTGAGTAAAACAAAGCATCCAGGTAAAAAAAAAAAAATGTTTAAGAACCTCTATATTTCAAATCAGAATAAATGTAACAGCAGATGTGGCTTCACTGTCACTCTGGACGACAGCTAGATGACCGTCGCACAGTGTGAGAACGTGCATGCACAGACGTGATACCCACCATGGGTATCTGCTTCCGTCTCAGAGTCATGCGGAGCCTGCGGTCGATTCTTTTGAAGCAGTCCTGAGCGCTAAAGGCAGGACGCACTGCAGAAAAAGGAGCGTCGCTCAGCCAAAGAACCACGGGGGGGGGCGGCAGACGGACGGAAACCGGGATGCTCACCATTCCTCTGGTCTCTCTGGTTGGAGTTTTTCCTGTTGGCCTCCTCCTGCTCCAGCAGGGACAGCAGCCTCTCCTGCTCCTCGCCAGAGCACTGCATGAAGTCATTCCAAGGCTAAAACGACAGCACGCCAGACAAAGCGCCTCAGGGGGGAAATCACTATCTTATTTCCTTCAAAAACACGTCGAAACAAAACCAAAAAATAATTTAAAAAAAAGAAGTCGTCTAGCGAATGAGGGAGCTGTGTACTTCTATGTAGTTTCCGTTGGTGCAGGCCTCGGTGAAGATGGACGGGATGGACGGGTTACTGCAGACCTCCAGATCATCTTTGGTGCACTCGTCTTTCTCAAGGAGATTGGCAAGAAAGCGCGCTGAGAGCAAAGAGACACAGCGTCAGCGCCGACGGGAGCAAGTGACACTCTTCCGAACACAGACTGGACCCGTGAGCTTACTGTTCTCCAGCCGGCGGAGGCTCTTCTTGCCTTTGGCACGCGGTATGACGTCCGAGTTGCGGATGGCTTGGTTAATGTAGAACTGCTTCTTTTTGGCAGGGGACACTCTCTTGGCTGGAGAGCAGGGCAGTGAGGAACATTTGCGCTCCTCTATCAGGCTGGAAAAACAAACTTCTGTTAAAAACGTGTCTCAGTCAGACACATGTTCACGGGGAACTGCCGGCCTCTTCGACCAGTTTCTTTGAATCATGGTGGGATTTATCCAAGCGACATTTACTGAAGCCGCTGCACATTCTCCCTCTTCAACGCCTGCTAAATTCCTTTGTGGTGAATGGATTGTAAAATGAAACTAGCAATTCAGGTCTGGTTTATCATAAAAAGCAGACCTGGTGACTGCTGACGTGTTACGTGTACTTTTCTGTTCAGGCTAAACATTCATATCGGCTTGTTTTAGAAACTCTAAATCACAGAGTGCCAGGTTGTTTCCAAATGATCATCTAGGAAATAGGTCAAACCATATAATATGGATAAGCAGGAGTAGATAGTTTTTTGGGACGTCACATATCATACAAAACAAAACATCTGTGTGATCCACGTGCATATGAACTGGATTTGTCATCACCTGAAAGAGGCCACGAAACACCACAAAATGGTGCAAAAATGTCAAACAAATCACAGGCAAAACCGTGTGCTGCCGGGCCCTGGAACCATGAACATCTGTATCCCAGCCCCCTCTGGGCGTTGTGGGACAGTTTGAAGAAGGGGAACGATAACACAACAGAGATACTTCAAAACAAATTCAGAAACACGCATTTTTCAGATTTACAGCCTCTTCAACTAAAAGAAAAAAAATCAAGATCCCCAAACACAAGAATGAATTTCATTTTAAAATCTATTCCCGCAGCAAATGGTGACTGACTGCTGATGATATTTGTAACATGACTTCTCTTCCATGACTCAGCTGTGGGGTGGGACTGTGCCTGGATGGATCCCACTCTGCTCGTCCCCCCACAGCTCATGCAGATGTAGGTCAGTGGGTGCCGTGTGATGCCAGCCTGATTTTCTGATGCCAAATTTAGCCCGGGCCCTTTAGGTTACTATCATCACGACAAGCCGTTATCTCAACACGACTTGTCTTTCTTTAAAAGTGTGTCCTAAATGACTCCCCTAAAACGTCAGTTATCTTAAATGACAAATTCAAATGATACACATTTTTACAGCAAAATCTTGTATCTGACTTATCGCTATCTGTATCCTATCTTCTGAATGTGATTTCAGTGTCCCCCTAGATTGCAAAGCAACGGAATAATCCTTTTGGATAATAATTCAAATTGACGTGTTTTTAACATGTCAATTTAAAGACCCCAAGACAACAAAAACAAACATGCTAGCTGATTAGCTTCCATCAGGCGAACAAGGACAGACTTTAACTTCCTGTAAAAAATCTCATAATCTGCCAAAGCAACACCTGGAAGCTGTCAGAGATAAGTTAGTTAACCAGATGACTGGGACATAGTATCCATTAAAAAAGCTAGTAATTTTGGACCTAGTATCCATTAAAAAAAGCTAGCTATTTATGTTACACTGAGCTGAACATGATGCTAATGCTAACGAGCAGGCTCATATAACCGTCATTTCGACTCACATATAATCCTGTTCTTCATTGCAATTTGTCAAAACGACCATCTTATTGGACAAAAACTGAAGGGAAGGCCGCCGACTCTATTTTTTTGCAGATTGTATCACAGAAAAGGAACGTTTGTCCGGAAGAAAAGGACTAAAAACAGCTTGAGTATTTGTAAATCTAGTATCGAGTAAGCTGCTAGCTTGACAACAGGGGCCGAGCGAAAATAGAAGCTCTATGAACCAAAGATGGGCGGAAACTAGTGACAGCTCACTACGTCCCAATTTTAGATGGATAGATAAATAGATAGATAGATAGATAGATAGATAGATAGATAGATAGATAGATAGATAGATAGATAGATAGATAGATAGATAGATAGATAGATAGATAGATAGATAGATAAAATATCAAAAGCATATCAAATATCACCATTAGAGCACTTATGCACATATTATTGAGCCATATCACCCATATAGGACTTGTTTATTAACAATCTGGGCATTTCTTTGTTATAATTTTGATGAAAGATGAATGTGTCTTGTAAAAACTGAATAGTTTCCATCACACTTTAAATTGTTCGTTTAACCCCTTTGAAATACTTGAATAAGGCATTATTCAACCGTTTTGACCCCACAGGACTTTTTCTTTACTCATTAAGGGCGTCTGAAGTTTGTGTGCTGGTTACCATGACAGCAGGTTTAACAGGCCCAACACATTCAGCCTCATTGTTTAGTGTGTCTCACCACCACCAGAGAGAAAAGGAGCTCTGAGGTCCGAGCACGTTTTCCTCGTTGCTTTTTAAATTTTTGGAAGAAAAAAAAAAGATTCATGGAAGCATTTGGCCGAAACTTTTGCAAGTTTTCAAAAAGCGCGGGGAAAGAGAAGAAGGCGGAGGCAGAAAAACAGCTAAGACCTCGGGCAGAGGGTTGTCCACTGATCGTTCAGAAGTTAATTCCGAGGACCAGGGCTGAGAGGCCGAAAGAGAGGATAAAAACCACTGAGCTGAACAGGAGGATCAGCACAGATTGTGAGACTTCAGGGAACATCAGGAGGCTTCATGTCAACTTGATACCCATTTTGGCCTCAGCCAAGGAACCGGAGGAAGAGGAGGAGGAGGAGGAAGGTCCCAGCTGTACAAGCCAAAAGAAAACAGAAAATCAAAGCAAGATCAACCCATCTGTTAGCAAATCATTAGAGCTGAAAGACAAATCAGGTGATTTTGACTTAGAATTGACAGAGAGAACAGCCAGCGAGTCCCCTGTTTGTGCCGAGGCCTAAAACTCAACAAAATCCAACTCCTGAGGGCCGTGATCGTCAGAGGACACAGAGACAGCCCCATTCTCCGCTTCCAATCTGCTCATACCAGCAAGCAAATGTCACAACAGGCAGACCAGAGCTGGAGACCCACACCGGATCCTGGACGGACACCCAGCTGCTCTCCAACACTATCGGTCAACTTCAAAACTGGTGGACTTCCAAAAACAAGTCGCCATTTATATTAATAAGTCAGCATTTTAAAGGGGAATTTTTGTCCCCGTAAGGGTGCTTAAATCAAAGTTTAAAGGGCTCTTAACTGATTTACAACATCACTGTTTATATTAGTTCTATAAGGCGTTGGTGGGATCTGACACTTGAGGAAAAAACAAAAACTATTCAATATTTCTTAGAGTGCTTGCTGTTGGTTTAAATCAATCAGTTTAATCGCAAATTTGAGGATTTGGACTTCACTCGTGTCAGCAGGTATCTGCTGAGTCTCATCTCCCGGAGATCTCGGCGTCCACCTTCGGCGCGTTGCTTTAGACGGTGACACGGAAACTGAGGAGGACGAGAGGCAACGATGAAGCACCCTGAAGAAGAGTCCTGCCTGATCCACCATCAGAGCGGCAGCTGGATGGATGTGAGGCCTGCATGTACATTTGGTGGATTTTGAGTCAAATCTTGCAGAAGGCTGTTCACTTTAAGTCAGAATACACAAAAAAGGATGAGGATGGTAAACTGAGATTAGAAATAATTTACATGTAAATCTATGTTCTGAATGTTGACTCATGTCTAATTAAGCTAACCTTTCAAAGAAGTTATATTACCTTATATTGCTCAAATGACAGGCCCGTTTTACACATTTTAAGCTAACTCCATCATCAGTCCATTAAAATGATCTAAACACAACTTCCATCCCCTCAAATTTGAACAAGTTCCTAAAACATTTTTTTTTTCTATGAAGAGTTTTTGGACTTTGCTAAACAGAAAGGATTTGGTAGGAAGATTTTAACATGAACAAACCTTCATCCTTAAGTTTTTTTTTTCCTTCTTTTTTCCTGTAAACAGAGAAGCTGCAACAAAGACTTTGGTCTGTACCAGAAAAGGCAACGGACTGATGAGAGGAGCCCCCCACTTTTTGATTTGCTCCCAAACCCCCACTCATCCTCACACTGACCAAGAAAAACCTCCTCAACTACTCCACCTCGGTGTGAGACGTCAGACAACAAAACAGATTCACCACATGCAGCAGGATGTTTGAAAAAATATGATGAAAATCAAATGTTTTAATTGTCATTCAGAAGAAAACATTCAATCGTTTTTTTCTATGCCATTATGTTTCGAAGATAAAATGCATACTTTAAAGTGGATGTTCAGATAATATTAAAGTTCATTCAACAGTAAAGACTCTCATTGCAAAATGAGATGTCCAGCTTTACAACATTTGCATAATTTCACATTTAGCTGTTCCTTTAAAAAAAAAAAAAAAAAAAACTTCAGATATATTTCATCACAGTTTTAGATGTGGCTGAAAACAACATTAAACATGGAAAACAAAAACACAGCAGCAACATCGCATCTTTTTGCTGTTGAAGGCAGTTCATTTTACAAGTGTTTGAAACACTATGCCTTCCGATACTTTTAGATAGTCTCATGCCATGACTTAAGATACTAGAGTAACAATCTTTTTTACGTATGTAACAGTGCCTTACAGTGCAATAACAACCAACTTTGGATATTCTTTGTACAGCAACATCTTTTGTTATAAAGCAACAAATAATTTGTTACAAGAAGAAAAACGAATAGGCAATGTATTTCTATCTTTGACTGGTCGTTGTCCTTCTTTTCTTTGACTGGATTTGGAGTGTTTGGCATATTATTGTTCATAATACAGTTGAAACAAGCCTTTTTTGGCTGTTTAATATTTTAACAATTAAATAAGGTTTCCAGATCGTTTACAGTCTGAATAACACCTGGTTGTGTAATTTAAAAAAAGTGACATATGATAAAAAACAAAACATGGTTTAATTATCAAAGAAAATAACTGACTTAATTCTGGTCTAACGTACAGTTATAAGCTTTACTGGACTGTAAATTCAACAGTACACCTCATAAAATAAATAAAAATGATTTTTAACCGATAAAAGACAAAGTAAATGATGGATTAACAAAAATGTTATAGTAAAGAGGTAATTGATACTTCAAATAATGCTGACAATCCATTTTATATCTATCCATAAAACTCTCTTAATAAATTACATGTAACACTTGGATTCAGCAACTGTCTGAGTGTTTGCAGCATTTTCTTTATTAAAGTGCTCACTGGAGAGTAAAGAAGATACTATAAGAGGTCGACTAACTGAGTCCTGAGGAACACAACTCATGATTTTTACACTAAGGTCTGCACAGAATTCTTTTAGGATAAATACGTGGATTTTCTGGGAAAATGAGAGAGGCATGGTCAGACCTATGATCTAATGTAAGGAGTATAAAGCTACAGTTGTGTGAGAAGGTGAACAAGGCACCGCAGCTATAATGAGGAGAGACTTTTGTATTTTTCTTGAAGTCAGTCCATTTTTTCTGCTGTGCGCCTGACCGACGGACTGCACAGAGTTTGGTTGCTTCGTGTTGCCGTGCAGCATTAAAATGAACGTAAAAGAAGGGATAAAATGCTTCTGTCTCTCTTTGGTCCGCTCTTGTTGCATCACCGCGCCTCACAGTGAGCTGTCCTGTAAGTTGCTGCCGACTATAAAGAGCTCGGACGGATCTTTGCTGCAGCTGGGCAGCCTGTGTTTGGACCCGTGGGGTTTACTGGACTCCCCGTTAGGACAACCGTTGCTGCTGGTCGACCCGCTGCTGCTCATCTCCTGAGCCCTCTCGTCCGGCTGCGGTATTCTGCTCATGGCCACGCTGCTGCTCTTCTCAGCGTTGGACTTGGGCTTGCTGGCTTTGGCCTTTTTTGGTTTACCTTCCTTCGTTTTGCTGTCGGGGGACTTTTCCGGACGCTGCGGAGACTTCCTCAGGTGTGGAGGGGTGATGGGGGGCTGGGGCTGGATGGCGGGCGGGTTTATCTGCAATGCCCCGTTGCTGATGATAACATCTGTGAGGCAGTTGTCGTCAGTCTGCTCCTTTGCAAAGCTGACGAACACCTGCAAAAGAAAAAATGAATTATTTCTTATTAGTGTTGTCAGGCATCATGGTAATGGCAGCAGGCCACTGTCTTTTCAGCGGACATGTCTGTGCATGCACGCTAACGGAGCTGATAAATGGATGGAGGAAGTAAGTTATTGCTTTCTCAGGTTAAACAACCCGACAATAAGTATTGTGATTTATCATGGCCAAAAAGATCTCTTTGTTTGGATTTAAAATGTATAAACTGTTCCTGCTCAATAGAGTTGGCACTCCAGACATGATGCCATGGAACAAGGATACAGCATTATAAGACAAAACTCATGTATGTATATCATTAAAAAGAAAATCAGCTTGTACTTTGTTGTTTTAAGAGAAAACGAGGTGCAGTGTGGCGGGCTGGATAGATTTCCTCTGTATCCCTGAGCTGGATACTTTCCCTTCTTTTATTTCTAATTATCTGAAAGGTTTGATTGTCTTCATTTTGGCAATCACCCTCACCTGGTCCAGCGTGGTCTGGGAGACGGAGAAGTCCATGATACCCAGGTCCTCGTAATTGTTGGACAGCACATCAAAAACATATGCCAGGCAGCAGGCGTAGGAAGGCAGCTGGTACTGCAGAACGTTCTGGTGCTGCTCCTTCAGCTCGATGCTGGGAAAACATTTCCTCATGTAGTCGCTGACGGGACACGAGTCAGGTTCAGAGCTGGGGTCGGCCAAACGGACGATGATGGTGTATCCGTTACCAAACCTAGAACATGGACAGCAAAAAGAAAAGCTTCAACAACACGATCTCCAAATGTTCAAAAGGGACTCATTAACCTTATTAACGTAAATCAGAGTGTGAACTGAAATTGAGCGGAGCATGGTCACCTGTTCTTAAGGTGTTGTACAGACCCCAGACACTGAAACCTGCCATTGACCATGATGGCCATCCTGCTGCACAGGGCCTCACACTCCTCCATACTGACATGCAGACACAGAACACAAGAATGAACCTTTTGCTGTATTAGATGTACATTGTTTTAAATTAAGTAATCATTCAAATAATGTCCATCTGTGTTGTCCCACCTATGGGAGGTGAGGACCACAGCTCTGCCTTCTTTGGTGACGCTGAGGATGCAGTTCCACAAAAATCTTTTGGCTTTTGGGTCCATCCCAGTGGTGGGCTCATCCTGACCGGAGATGAAGGAAATGATATCAAACGATATTAATATTAAGGAAAAAAAAGAGTGACGTGCAAGTGTTTTACAGTACAGCTATGGTTTGAGGTGAGTTATTTCATGAGGCTGTATCGTTGGTATTTGCTCCTTGGTTGTTTTGTCCTCACCAGAAAAATAACAGGCGGAGCTCCAATGAGGGAGATGGCAGTGGAGAGTTTCCTCTTGTTGCCTCCGCTGTAGCCTCCAGCTTCCTGCTCTCCATACTGACTCAATCCAAGCTTCTTTATACCCCAGTGTGCCACCTACAGAACAGAAGGGAAACCTTCCTGAGATCTAAAGTTACTCTCTCTAAACGCAACGCAAAATAGAACAAATAAACATATCTACAAAGACTGCAGCACTGTAGAGTTTTCGGACAGGTTAGGGTACCTTGCTGACAGACTCCTCCGGGATGCCGCGCAGTCGGGCGTACAGCTCCAGATGTTCCCGCCCGGTCAGCAGGTCGCTGATGGCATCAAACTGTGGACAGTAACCCATCAGCTGGTGGACTCGCTCCATCTCTGTCACCACACTGAGAACCAACACACAGGTCGGATTTAGTACAAGTTTGATGTTTGAGGCCTGTATCAGTGCAGCGGAGGTGCACCTGTGATGGTTGAGGAAAGCCTCGCCATGTGTGATTGGTGTATCTCCAGTCAGCATTCGAAACGTGGACGTCTTCCCAGCTCCGTTCACTCCAAGCAGGCCAAAACACTACAGGACAAATCCATTACGACTCATTTTTAAAAGCCTACAGAAGGGACTTATGTAAATCTTCAAACCAGTCCTCTGAGACTAAATCAGGTTCAAATCTAATGGGTGAATTTAGCAGCACAGGATAAAACAACCAAAGAAATATTAGCAGGAAGATTAACAGGATAATTTTTAGAAACTGTGTCAGTCCCTGTGGGGGATCGGGAGTTACAGTGAGAGACACCAGAAACAGCCACACCTGTGGCTTAAAAAACAGATGTAAATGTAAAATGATCTCTGTAATACAGAGCTCATGTGTTTCTGTCAGTCCCTGTGCTGTAATACAATCTGTGGTGTGCAAATCTCTTACCTCCCCACGGGGAATCCCCAGGCAAAGACGATCCACTGCAGGCTTTTTGCCTGCTTTATAAACCTGAACAGAAAAAAGCTGAGGGTTAGTCTCTTGCAATGTGAGCATGGCTGCCACATCCAAAGTAGGACAAGTTCATTTCAGAAGTTTTTTTTCTTTTTTTGTAGAATAGTTGTAAACTACATGTTCTGACAATTAATATTTTAGCCCCAGTAAAGAAAACAGATGTTTTGACTGGCTTACATTTTCTTCATATTCATGTCACTACAGTAGCATAAAGGAAGTGGAAAACAACTGTTCCTGTTTTACTTTCCACTTAAGACTCCTGTTTGTACCTTGCTCAGGTCTATCATGGTGAGGATGTCTGACTGCGCCCTGCAACTTTTGACTCTCTCGCGCTCCCTGGCAACATCCTCATCTTCTGGACCAAGAGGAGGCAGCTGAGGCTTGGTCCACCATGGTCTGGATAAACAGACATCATCAATTTTTTTCTCAGTGTAAAATGAGAAAAGAACGGTTACAAATATCTTTCAGAAATAAAAGAAATAAATGTAATAAAACCTAAAGCAATCAAGGAAGAAAAAAAGGTGCAACATGATGGTAAACATGGCAACGTCCTAAGTCTTTTTTAATAATCGTGTTACTGCTATCAAATTCAGATTTAGGAATGTTTAGTCCAGTTGACAATCATCGTGGATGAAGAAACCACAGCACATAGAACTCCAAAATCGGTCAGTGCAACAGCACTCTGAGCTAAAAATAATTTGCAGATATCCAAGCATGGAAACAGTGACCACAACTAACTACCTGAAATAAAAGAAGAACTTGTACTGCAGGAGTATGGTGAAAATTAGGAAGACAACACCCTCTACTGCCATTGCAAATAGGTTTTTTCCCACAAAGTCCCATTGAAGAGGGTCTGGAGTCTGTTTGGCGCCTGCCGGAGAACACACACAGATTTGTTTTAGAATTCTTAAAAACTGAACAAATGTTTGGATGTCAGACTGATAAATTCATACCCAGCCTCTGGAAGGCATCGGATATGGCCTGGTTTTTAGCCATGTCGATGAGCCCACGTCCCAGGCAGAAGTGAGGGAAAATTAAAAACACCTTCTTTAAGATCCTGTTGACATAGTTCAGATGCTGTGAAGACAAAAATGATCAAATAAATGATCTATTGTCACAAAAAGCCCTGTGTGTGGAGATATCAGTTAGTCTCTATTCAAACTCTGACTTATGGATTTGATGTTTCTGTTGAGTTTAAACACATGTCTGATGTCTTATTTACATTCCCTTATATTTTATGATGCAGCCAGCTAATATTATTATTATTTTTCCACTTTTGCAAACTATACCTCATCAACAAAAAGCTCCAGGACGAAGGTGGCGATGCTGCCGTTGATACCGATAAAAAGGTTGACGGAGGTGAGCACAACATAAGCTGTGCTCGGGACGGTGAAAAAAAAAGATGCTGGGTACATCAGTGGAGTTATGGACCACCTACAATTATTGAGACAAAGAGCAAAATGAAACGGCCGATCCTGAAAATAAAACACTGAACTTTCAGCCTAGCCACATCTGCTGCTGTATGCTGTTAAAAATGCTGGAATGAAGCCCCACCCATAGAGCAGGAGGAGCAGGATGAGAGCGGGCAGGTTGGTCTCTGAGACATAGGACTTTTGCTGGAAGCCGATGAAAATCAGCACCACCATGGTTGCTGGGACGGCGTAGTTCAACTGAAAAAAAGACAGCAGGAAATATAGATTTAAGCCAAAAATAACATTGAATCGAATGTAGATGCATACATAATTTCAATATTCAGTTGTTGAATGAATGAACAGAAATAAAGACTGTGAAACACAAGAATGGGATTATGTGACTGACCATGTCCCAGGAAAAGTTGGCCAACCAGTAGATAATCGGTTTGACCCCGCTGACAAACTGCAGATGTTTGGCATTGCTGACTCGCTCCTCAATCAGAAAAAGAGTGAAACTTGCCGGAACAAAGGACATGGCAAAGATCACACAGATGGACACCAGAACATCCACTGATGTGGTCATCCTGAAAGAGAAAACAGGGGAAAAAGAGCCTTCAGCATTTACAAAAGCCAAGCATTTTAGTTCATTTATCTGAACCTATTTTTCGAACAGACACAGGAGGAAAAATATCAAATTTATCATTATTGACCTGTTTAACTGTTTTCCCAAAATTGCTCGGAAACTGTAATAATCTACACAGATAAGCGTCAGCTAACAGGAGAGTCAGACAAACACTCAAGAAATTAGTATCAGTGACTCCAAATCTTAGCTTCAAACTAACATGGCCATTTCTGTGAGTTGCTCCTTGGTGAGATTGAGAGGGTGGTTGTAGGCAGTGATGCCATGTTTGCTCCTCTCCGGACCTGGTGGCAAGCTCGCTCTCAGCAGGCCGTTGTTCATCACGTTGACAAAGGACACCATGGCGTGCCAGCCCTTGTTGTTGTACCACACCTGGACACAGCAAAGATGGAAAATGACATTTAAAATGCAAAAGAGGAAGTCATGAAAACATCACCATGGCTGTGTTTCACACAGGTATTTCATTAACATGTGACTCTATGTACCTTGACATTGTTTTGACTGTGCATTCCTCCCAGAAAATCTGGCAGTTTGTTCAGTAGTTGATTCAGAGAACTGTTCTGTGATTAACCAAAACAAAATAAATAAGTTCATATCTAAGCGTATTAGAAATAAACCATACAAAAGCAAAGTGTTATTGAACAGCCCCAAAATCTCTCTGCACCTGTTGAACGTGGTAACGAGATTTGATTGCCATGACTGAATCTTCTAGATGCTGGACCTCATAAACATTCTGGGTGGCTTTACCCCCCAAAGAGAAGCCTCCATATCTGCAACAGAAATATCAAACTTTGTGTAACTTTTAGAAATTGCAGAATCAACTTCAGCCAACAACAGTGGGATGAAAATAACTATTACCATAATTCTGCTGCTTACCTGAATTCATTCACCCACTTCTTTGTTTTTAGGCTGAAAGAAAAAAACAAATTTCATGATGGAAACAATGTCTAAGATTGTTTGTAATTATTATCAATCCTTATGGTTGCTGAGTTTCCAAAGTAATTCTATTCAAATGTAAATAAATGCGATTATGTCTGATAATCTGTTTACAAATCATAAACTGACAGCCAGCTATTGTTAAGATAATGCATATGTTGTAAAGAGCCTCAATTTATTAAAAAATATGAACTTATAATTTTTTCTGCTGTTTGAAATCAGCTCATAAAGAAAAAAAAAACAGAAGAGGACACATTAGAGTTTAGAACAGCCTGAAAAGACGACAGCACCCGTCGTGGTTGCTCACAACTGAATTTATTAAACCTTTCCTAATTATAGTTGAGACTGACCAAGCAAGGAAAAGAGCAGAAGGAAATCTGATTACTTAGAAGGATAATTACATTTTCACCAAATGAAATGAAACATGATCCATTACATTTAGCTGGTTGCCTAAATAATAACGTACCTTTTCTTGAGAATTTGGGAGTAGGTCTTCACCAGATAATCAGAGATATTATAACTTGTTAGATTCTGAAGGACGTCTCCAGTCAGCCTCTTAATCTAAGGGAACAAAGGGAATTCAAATAAGACATCCCTCCAAAAACAGGAAGGAAGGAGGAAGGAGTTAGCAAATACGTCCTACAGTAATGAAGCAAACATTAAATAAAAATATTACGAGGCTTTTTCCTTAAATGTCCTTATTTTCGGATTATTCTTCATTTTCTCATTAATCATTTGGATAATTGAAATATAGAAACTAGTTCTGCTTGAGAAATGAATGACTGAGACTGACCTGTGGAGGTGGAAGCCCACCGGCGCCTTCCGGGCACTCGGGGAGCATCCTGCGGATGTCGTCAGTACTGCACTGACATTCAGGTGAGGGCCTCTGTCTGCTCCAGTTTCCTCTGCTGAACATCTGCCAGGTGGAGTAAGATATCTGTGGCCTCATGAACTGAGTGCCCCGCTCCATTTTACACTGAAGGCTTTTTTAAGGGAGAGGACAGCAATTATTTGGTTATCAAACTGGTTTGAATTTAGCATAAGACAAAGCTTTGCAAATTTTAAGAATAAAAAAAAATCTCCATAACTTTGCTCAAAGCTCTGATAGAATAATCAGATTAATGTTTTCCACTTTTTTCAGCATTTTCTCACTAATTTAAAGGTGTTTACAGTCTACGGAGATGATCTTACGTGCTGTTATCCTCTTCTTCTTTTTCCATGCACTTAGTACCAAAACCAGGCTGGTCAAGCAGAGCTTCCAGCAGGTTCTCCATAGCTCGGTTTCCAGGGTCATCATTACTGAAGACGAAGCAGAGGTAGGTCATTTTTTCCATCCTGTCATTTTCTGGTCCAACTTTTACAAGGACAGTTGTGAGAAACTGAGAGTTAGTGGTGGCTGGGGCCTATTCCAGCAGCCACTGGGTGAATTACTGGGGACCTGGATGCGTCGCCAGTTTGTAACAGAATCAGACATGGAAAAACAAGACAACCAGCCAAGCACAGCCACATGATTAGCTCATAGAATTAGAACATATAATCTTTTTGCCGTGAGGCTATGGTGCTAATTACAACACCAAGGCGTCAAGTTTTGAAAATGACCAGCATTTTGTGGCTTGTCACCTATAACTGATGGTAAAGATGGAGTCCTGACAAATGGCCATGGCCAACAGATGGCTAATGTCCTACCTGAAGAAGGTGTACTGTTGACCGTACATCCAGGGCTGCAGCTGAAGGGCGGGGTACTTCCCAAAAGGAGGAGCAATGAGGCTGAAGAGCAGCGCGATCAGCACAAACATAGCCGGTAGAACAATCTTTAACACAAATAAAGTTTGTGCCGAGTCAGAAACTGAGTGAGGAAGAATAGACAGTTCATATGGCAAACATTTGGTGAACCTTATTGTGACCATAAGCCCCTGCTTTGACAAACCTGAGCGATCAATCCCCTGCGGCTCCGCCGAGCATAAAGCCAGCGTTTGGTGAAGAGAGCTCTCAGCTGCTGCAGGGTCAGCCACCAGCCTGTCATAGGCACTCCACCTTGGCTATTTTCACTCAGTAGGTCTGTCTCATGAGGTTCTACAGGAGGAAAAATTGAGGATAATAACCTTGGGTTGGTCAGTGAACATATTTGCCTTGACGAAAATTTGGTTCCCGTTTGGCTCCCACTCATGAAAGACAAAGGCTGAATATAAACGGTATGAAACAGTGGGCTTCAACATACTTGGAGGAGAAAAACAACTGACTTTCTGAGAAGTTTGGAATGGAATGGAAGTTTGGAAAACAATCTCGTAAAGCTTGTTTTTCTACAATTGTTAAGAGTTGCATAAAAACACTCTCGAACTGATGCTAACGATTTTCAGAGAGTGGTGAGCTGCAGGTACCTCGTTTACGAAGGCGTTTCCTTCCTGTCAGCATGATGGAAACAAACAGTCACAACTGAAACGGATGACTGGTTGCATTTGATAAGTGATCTGTGAATGAGTGAGCGTTTACACACCTGCGAATGGTTCTTCAGCGGGCTGCCCCCTAGCTTTCTGCTCTGATGGCTGCTGGTTGGGTGGAGACTCTTCCTGCTGCTCTGGATCAGCATCCACGCCAGTTTCCTCCGCCACTCGTAGAAAGATCTAGACATTACCAAGTTGGTCATCACAAAATAGCTGAACGGCTTTTTAGAGAAATAACAAGCCAATCCTAGGAGTGTAAAATGAACTTTTCAGTTTCAACAACTCAGATTTATAGAAATCAATATTGAAAGTTTTTACACATAACAGTCCAGCTTGAAGAATGAACACAAACAGACATCTGTTACATTAGCACTCAAACTCAGGAAAACATAGTCACTCGTGAGTCCTTCTGCATGATCAGTTTACCGATGATTTAGCTTTAGTTGCATTCGTTTCACCACCATGCCAAACTTTGTTTTGAACGGATTATATTATCCATTGACACAGAATCTAAGGTTCTCCAAAGTGATTCTATCCGAGATGATATTTTTCCACAATAAAAGTGATCGGGTCTCATCACCCGCCCACTCTGTCATCACTGCTTTCTTTGCTTTCATGATGAGAAGTCCCAAGCCTTTATGTTCACAGCCCTACCACACAAAGTTGCAGACAGCAGGTGGCAGTAAAAGTACTTCCACCAGCTTTACATAATGTTTTGAGAAACTTTCAGTGAGAGGCTAACTGACACAGAGTAAACCCTTTAAGCCCATTATGAACATGGGTGTTACACAAATGTCCCGCCTTCTTGATAAATGTACACACCCACTTTTCCAAACGAAGACAAACGTTTTGTCATTATAGCAAAACTCCAAAGCGGTTTAAAAAACATGAGCTTGGTTATATATATATTTATCTATTATAAAAATAATTAAACTATTGCCTTATTGATTAGGAATATATTAATTTGTTTAGAAAAGTTTAATTCGTCAAGACCAGAGACCGACCTTAAGTGCAGTGTGTAATTAATAATGTGAACCTCATACAGCAATGTGGTACATTTGTTTAGATAGAATTTGATTGAAGTAACTTCACCATGTTTACCACTATAAAGCATCCTCTATTCGTTCAAAAGCAGTGTGTCGATGTCTGCAGGCTGACCAGTTCTGGACTGCAGGCATGCTAGCCCACCTTCAGGACAGTGCTACATTAAGGCCAAGCTGCTGTAAAAAATCCATAATGTGCTTTAGCATGGTCTTACTGGAATATGTAAAGCCTATTTATCGATCTAAAGACAGTACTTTCAGCTCTGATGTTACCTTCTCAGATATGCGTGTCTATTAGCAAGGATGCATGCTCATACAATCAGACAGGTAGCCTATTAAACTGAGAGCTTTTAAAAAGCCAGATGGCCCCTAGGGATCCACTATTTCCAAAACGAATTCCAAATATTGATTTATCTGATTACAGAATAATTCCCAACTTTACATTAGTCCAGTTGATATCACCCAGAAAACATGTGTGTGAATTTTCTTTCCTGCCTGATACATCTTTTGCCATTTGTGGATGACACGCTGAACTCTGTTCACAGACTTAATTCTGAGTGTTCTTGAGCAGTGATTTCAATATTCTTTTTGGGGGAAGAGTCCAGACTTTATTCCTAAAAATTGTTTAGTTTTTATTTTAGAGAGCTCATTACTTTTCTATCTTTTCCTTTCCATTATCACAACTTTCTTCAGATGTGCTGCTGCCATTAAATTCAAGATAGCTTAATTTTTTTTTAAAATATAACTGTCTTACTTTCAGTAATACATTTTTTTTCAATTACGTATGGTGAATAAAATCATGGTTTATAAGATGTGCCACGCATTGCATTCCGTTTTTAATTTACAAAGGGCACACACATTTAGGAATTCACTTGTGAGTTTTGTTTATTTACAAAGTCAGTTTTTTCAAAACTTGATTTTTTTGGGACCAAATATCAAAGGTCGGCTAATAGTTTTAGCTTGATATTTGCTTTCTAAAACCCTTTGGAGCATATTATGGGAGTATTATTCCCACATTACTGCTAATATTTCACCATTACCTGTATTTCAGTATTTCTTCCGGTCTTGTTAGCTGTTAGGTATGACTCACCTCCTCCAGTGTGCTGTCTGACAGGCCATAGCTGCTGATGCCCAGCTCAGGAAGCCTTTCATCTAGTTTAGACAGGAAGATGGCCAGGCTGCTGTCTTTCGTGGCTGACTGCGGCAGGTTGATTACCGCCTCTCGTTTAGACTCCTCCACAAGGCTCGCAGAAGGGATGTACTGCTGCACCAGAGAGAGCAAAGCTGCCAGACCTGCCATAGAAAAGAAAAATCTTGTCTTAAACAGTTTTCTGTACAATGTGTGAATGCATCAAACATGAAAAACTCCGGTCTCTGGGGTAGCAAAGAATTTGATGAACACTCACACAAGTTGGTCTCTTCACTTCCAAGCCCAGTGTCGTCACTCAGGGACGACTCACTGTCCTGAAACAGCAGAGTTTGCAGTCAGTGAGTAACTGTCCTCTTAATAGTCTGATTTTAAAAAACAACAACGTTGCTTTGTCTGACTGTGCTGTTTTTTAAAAAAATGTCTGATTTTCCACAAAAAACAGAAACAACTCAACATAAAATAAGCACACCAAACACACTTACTTTTGCAAGTGCAGGCAGCTTGTTGGTACTGGTGCTGGTGCAGATACTAGAATCACTGGGAGTACTGGTGGTCATTTCTTCCTTCTTCACCACAGTCAGGTAATAGCCAGATCCCAGCCGAGATTTCAGGAAGAGTGGTGATCCATAGCAGCAGAGTTTACCCTTAGAGATGATTGCGATCCTGTCACCAAGCAGCTCTGCTTCATCCATGTAGTGAGTAGACAGGATGATAGTACGGTCTGACCCAGAAAAATGACAAAAAACAAAGGCACACATGCTTTCATGACTGCTTTTATATTTGTGTATTTTTTCAGGCTAATTTTTGGTCATTTACCACACGTGCAGTAGGTATATTTCTACTTTCTTAAGAACATTCTTGGTACAAATCATCACCCCAAAGTACCTGATTTGCTTATTGTGAGATCATTGCACTTAGCTAAATTGTGAGCGCATCCTTTCTTTATAGTTTTCCTTGCATTGTGATGCTGTCAGATGGCTGTGGCTGCAAAATCAGCAGTTGCTTAAGTTGCCCATATTTACTGACTCCAGAGAAAAATATCTAAATACGGTAGCTTTATTAATCACTTTGCTCTACTAATAACATACACTTATGCTTTAGCGTTTTCTCCGAAAAATGCAAAAAAGATTTACATTACATTAGTTAGTCTGGCGTTCAGAACTTTGACTTTGTATGATTTTAGTTTTTAGTGTTTCTGTAAACAGTATTGATACACAACTCTGCTCTGCCTTTTGGTTATTCAAATTATGCTATCCTCTTGTCCAACAACACAAAGAACAGAATGAGTATCACTACTCCACAACACCTTTCCGGTATTTCAGCAGCAGATCCCAAATCCCTCTGCGGGAGTAAGGGTCGACACCAGCTGTGGGCTCATCTAGTACGACCACCTTTGAGCCACCAACAAAAGCTATGGCCACAGACAGCTTCCTCTGCATGCCGCCTATCAGACAGAGATGCAAAGTTAGAAAAGAAAACAAATGACCTGACTCATTTACATGTGTATAAAGTAACCAAACTAGTGACTTTACCAGACAGGTTTTTGGTTTGTTCGTGGCGTTTGTGCAATAGGCCAACATCCTCCAGCAAAGTGTCCAGTTCAGCCATCACCTTTTCTTCAGACAAACCCTTTAAACATCCGTAAAACCACACGTGCTCCTCTACAGTTAATCTGATGGAGAGAGAAATATATTTAAATTTACAGAAAAATGGAGATCTGTGGGCACAGATTGCCCACATTTTTCCCAGTATTTGTACACATTTAATTTCACAAGACATGATCACAAAATGTGGAAAACAGCTTTCATATGAGGAACATTCTTTTATAAGAATCCCCAAGTCATCATTACAGTACACAGATCTGTAGCAGAATAGTTTTCTTGGGCCCACTTTTGACACCAAAGGATGTATGAGACTAGTAATGAGCAGCTGTTGATGTTTAAAAAACAGAGGGATTGGAGTTTTACCCCAAAATGTTTAATGTATGACCAATATGATAAGACAATATTTTTCCTCATATGAATATAAATCAGTCTGGGAAATTTGAAGCAGACTCTCCTTTGTGTTTTCCTCAGGGTAACCCAATATACAAGAGCTGGCATTTGCTTGGGTTAACTGTTTGCCTTCCAAAACTTTAGGAAAAGGAAGAATTTATTGGATTTTAGTACTTTACTATTTATTACTGTTATTTGTTGTCGAGTGGAGGAGACTTTAACATAAAACTAAACTAAACAACTGGCTACAATTCAGAACAAAAGAAAAGTGTCAGATTACATTTTTAAGCTTTTGATCATTAAACATGCCAAAAGAACCTTAAAAATTACTTTACTGTGGCATTCTGGGTTAACAAGTACAGAAATAAAGAGCTTAAAAACATTTCTTTAGCACAGTTGTTGGGTTTCACATGGGAATTTAAATCTTACATGTCAAACAGGACATTGTGCTGCGGACAAACTCCCAGAGTCCTCCTAATGATGTCCATGTCATAGCGAATGTCCATCCCCTTGACGTACACAGTCCCAGAGGTGGGCGGAAACAATCCAGTGAGAACAGAACTGAGAAATGTCAAAACACAACAAGGGAAATATTTCATTACAACACCTTCTATGTGTAAATAAATTCCAATCTCAATCCCGGTAAACTGCGACTGTAACTGCATTAGTACTGAAAATGGTACTGGACTACAAAAAGTGAACATATAGACTATGTTTAGGATCCGATTTAGCAAAGACAAAGTTTCACAATAGAGTTAGAAATTTTCAAGATATATCTTCAGCACGACGCTCTTACATGGTGGTGGTTTTTCCGGCTCCATTGTGGCCAAGAAAAGAGGTGATCTGCCCCTCGTAGAACTTCAGGTTGAGATGGTCAATGGCAAGCTTTCCTCCCTTCTTGTAGATCTTTACCAGGTTTCTGATGTTCACGCCAAGTGTCATGTGACAGGGTTCTGACTCGATGTTACCTAAATAAAGACATAAACAGACAAAAATAAATGAATGGAATAAAAATGTATACATATTTGTGACTTCTGATTACAAAAATACAATTATATTTGACTATTACTATTATTAATTAGTCTCAAATTGAATTTGAGTCCCATTTCTTTTTTCTTAAACCTTGTCATTTAATTGGTTTATAGTCTCAGCTTGTTGCTTTAATTTGAGGTTAATGGTCTTAAGCTTACAAAACTGCCAGAACAGTCTTTTAAGAGGTAAGACGAGCAAAGCCTAACACTGTAATGAGAATGGTGCTCCTTCCTCTCAAATGCAAATCTCAAATTGAATTTACAACATATAATTAAGTTTAGCGAGGTTACTTCTTCTATAATATTTTGGCTATAAATAAATAGAATTTAAGTAAATATAAAGAAAAATACTTTAGCTAAGATTCTCTCAGAGGAAGACTATGAATGGAATATAGCTGCAACTTTTCATACTTTCATCCTGGTCTGCCGGTGCTGGTGGGATCGGCATTCCTACTTCAAGAGGAACTCCACCCCAGTAGTTCATCTGAAAAACAAAGTACCAGGGCCTGGGGATCCCATAATCACCTGTCGCCAAAAGAAAATGATACAGATAATTGTTTGAAATATTGTACAGAAATAGATATTGAGTGCATTCTACTACTATGTTAATTTTTCAAAGCACAAACACCTACCAGGAAAAACAGCTTCGATGTACCATGCTGCGATGGCGTAGATAGCAGCATCTACATAAAGCATAGTTATGGAGGTAGTGAAGTTGTACGTGTCTCCTTCTACTGGGCTGCCCCGGAGGTTGTACCACTGGATACCCACACCTTGCTCTTCATACTGAGAGAAATAATCGCAACCAAAGCCAAAGGCCACAGGCGACAAAAAACTCTGAAAAAAACAAAAACAATATTTAACGTTTAACTCAACCATCTATTTACTTATTCATAATTATCACAAAAAATATGATTTTACGGGAACAGAAATGGTTCAAAAGTATAGGACTGAGTTATTTGTAGTGAAAAATAAATACTATTTAGAAAATCCACTCTTTATTTGCAGCCACAGTTCACTCACAGCTAAAATTCGGTGTGTAGAATTGAGGTGGTCTCTCCAGGCAACGCACAGGACATAAGGCAGGTAGAAGCTGAAGTAGATGAGCCCTCCACAGGCAGATGCCAGGTTGGCCTTGGAGAAGAACGTGCTGATGAGGAAACACTGCATGATGGTTGCAGTGGCAAATGCCATGAGGAAAAAGAACACAACAGCTGGGTCGCTGTATGGTAATATGTCACCCCACTGAAAAGAAAAGAGAGAGAAAGATTTGAGACCCATTTGCTTCCGTGCCCACTAGAAAAACAATTTCTTCCCTCTGAAAACAAATTTCAGAAAGTTAATTGTTTAAACGTGAAAATGTTGTCCTATTGAAATTAAATTTGTATTTTTTATTTCATATAATTGGAGCTAAATGAGTGGTCATCTCACCTTGAGCAGAGCAATAAGAAGTGCTGCAGAAATTAAGAAAGGAATTAAGCTGCTGATGAACCAACTGAACCACAGCGTCCCTGTACCCAGACCCATAATCCTCATGGTTTCCTTTAGCCTTGCCTCCTTCTCGTACACCACACCTTTGATGATCATAGCCACTGAGTAGATCCATGCAAGGGTCATGAAAAGAGGCAAGGAGCGATTTAGCACTCGAAGAAAGCTGTTGGAGACAAGATCAGAATTGAGATGATGATGATGACAGTGACAGTAACAGTGACACAATCCATGGCTGGCAGGATTTACAGAGTGCAAGGGCAACTATGATGAACCTTTTAACAATATTAACAGATCTAAGTGGGTTAAGTTCCCGTAAACACAGAACAAAGATATAAACCTCTGTATTTAATGATTACCCAATATCGAATCTTTTTCATCACTCTTTAAAAGTGTAAATATTCTTTAATCTTTCCTTATATCTGCTGATAGTCACAGAAACAACAAGAAAACTGCTTTTCATTTCAGATGGAAACACTCTTCCATAGGATAGTGTTGTTTCTTATCTCTGCGCATAATGCCACACTTAAATCTAAAAAAAATTAATTTTTCAGATGAGAAAGGTAAAGCATTGTGAAGGCAGAATGACTGTTAACACAGTCTACTACAGAATCAGTCACTCACACATCATCCACATAGCAGGGGTAAGGCATCTGCTGGATGTATATTCCAATGTTCTGTTTTACTCCAGTTAGTATGGTGTTAACTGCTCTCTCCACCAAGTCTTGGATGTAGACAAACCCACCCCAAATGTAGCGCATATCACTAAATGGGTCGGCAGATGGTCCAGGATCCCAAAACCTGAAAACAAGACAAGACAAAAACTAGCATAAACTGGGGAAATACATCAGAATCAAGTGGTTAAGTTACCTCAAAAGGCTCAATTGGATTTTTTAATGAAAGGCTTCACTTTTTAGAGAAATGTTAATTATGATTAAATATGCATTAAAAGCAATACCCATGCTGCACAGAAAAATGTTCTGATGTTTTCATTCACACTGGCATTTAAACACAGACGAGGACACAAAGTGAGACATAGTGCATCCTCATTACCTATCCTTGATCTTATTGGTCCGGGTCACATCATCAATATCCATTCGAATCTTGTATGTGACATGTGGTGGTAGCTCCGTTGAGGAAGTGTTTGGGAGCATGAAAACCACACCTGCCCAGAAATGCCTGTCCTCCAGCAGCTCCATAGCTCTTTCAATCAGCTGGCCCTCTGTTTCATACCCCTCCAGTTTGTCCAAGGTGAAACACTAAAGTAGAGGCCAAGATCATAACAGTCTTTTTACTTTTTGTTTCACTCCACCAATTTAGAAAACCCAAAACACTAGCGCTTGGAAAAGAAAAAATTATCAATATTTGGCTTTGGAAACGTATTTTTTGGTTGTATTTTTTTAAAAGAGCATAAAGAAAATCAAAACAGGATGAAGGAAGAGCACCTCAATGACTTGTGCGAGAGTGGTGATGGTGTTTCCGACATCATGGTAGAGGTCCAACCACGTAGTTGATGCCCCTTGCTTTCTTGGGGTGTCTGGTGGGGGTGTAGACAGGAAACGAGCGATCTGGGAGGCTGTGTAAGGCGTGCCTTCCAAGCGCATATTGATCAGTACTGCAATCTCTGGACGCTTCAGCAAATTCTGTTACACACATACAACATGTGTACTCCATCTTTTTCTGATATCAAATCCATCATATCACAATCAGCACTCAGGAAAAGAAATAAAGAGGAGAGTCAAACCTGCAGCAGCTGAATCTCTGCACTGTTCTCCATGTAGTTCTTGATTTGTGGTCCCACCTCCTCCCAGGCATCACTGAGATCCTGGAGAATCTGCATGTCTTCAAAAGTCTTGTTTACCTTCATAGACACAACTCAATATTGGTTTAAGCACTTAAACCCACTGAAGAACCCCAAAAAATAAAGACACGAGTCATTTGCATCAAATGTTTAAAATGAATGCTTTGGTGGCTTGGAAAACAAGTTGTGCAAGGCAGTGGTAAATATAATGCACTTGTATGAAAATATCAAGCAAACTTGTAGTGTTCAGTTTAGAGTTTAATTTCAATTTCATGTCATTCGTGGATTTAAGGATTTAAAACAACAGAGAGTTGGTGAGTTTTAGACTTTTTTACCTCTTTCATGATTTTCTGCACAGCAGGATTGTCTGGTGTGTACAACACTTTTCCGATAAACAGAGGTTTGATTCCTCGCCACACAATGCGGGACAGGGGGTTGGACTCCAGACCTTGGATCAAATTTCTACAAAACGGAGCTACAGGAATAGAGAAAGCAACCAAACAGATCAATTCAGACAACAAAAACAATATGACACAAACAGGGTGTTTTTTTTCAGCACCATCATCCCTTTCTCAATTGCAAGTCATTTGCAACCTTATATGAAATATCGTTTGTTAGATGTAATGATGAGGCATCGGCTAGATGAAATAGTTAGAGCCACCGTCTACAATTAAAATATAATGTTCAATATTAGTGAGCAGACTTCAATCACTGAGATAAATGAAGAACCACAAGTAGCTTCAACTGATTGATAAATACTGTTGTTCAAATTAAAACTGTCACACTATAGAATGCTAATTGATCACAGCCTTAATGATTTTATCACAAAAAGTTGAGCCCTGGGATATTTATGAACCTGAGCCACCTGAAAATTAAAAAATGGAGCCTTACTTCATGTTTTTTTTTTTTAAATATCACGATTCTTACTTGTGTTATTGTTGCTGTCCAGATTCAGGTCCTCTGTGCCATTGTTACCCAAGAAAGACTTGATATCATTGTTTTCATACCAATTAAGTGATGGAATACGTTCGCCACCAATCTTTGGATGGCCACAAATGATCTTCGAAAAAGCTCTAAAACTTTCTCTGGGTTTAGCTCTGCGGTTTTCGGGTGACAGAAGCTCAAGCGCATCGCTCATTTCTGCAAAACTAGAGAGGGAGGATAGCTGATGGAAGACAGAAGTGATAGCAAAAGGTTCGGAGGCAGAACAATACAACACAAGAGGATAGAAATATAGAGAGAACAAAAATGAAAGGTTATAGTGAGTTAGGAAAAATGAAAAATAACTTATGTAAGCACAGATAGAAAAATAAAAAATTCAGAAAAATGCTTAGATATGTAATATGCTTTATTGCATACTAGTAACATACAACACTTAGTACGTAGTGACACGTATTAATCACAAAATCTGGTCTGTTATCAGTTTCCAAAAATGGGGTCTAACTTATCATTTAAACAAACATAGAAACAAAAAAGTTCTTACATCATTCATGAGTTCAGCCAGTTCCTCTGAAACTGAAGCGACAGCCTGATTGATGAGCATGAGGTCTCCAGCACTGACCCTTAGCAAGTCTGCCTGTCATGGAAAAAAGTGTCATCGTATGTTAGCAAATTGTTTGATTCTTTATTTCTTAATTTTTTGAAAGAAAGAAAATTCCCTGCTGACATATGGTCACACAACTTGGTTTTGAGTGTAAGTCTAGTTGGCCCTAACCTATCGTCATTAGTGCTGGACAGCCAGGCTCTCTGTGCCAGGGCCTGAGGTCAAACATGTAAATGCTACAGGCTTTCTAGACATAGAGACACTAAGAATGTGTCATTTTCAATCAAAACTGTGTTCATTGAAAAAAAAAAAAAAAAACACAGCCGAGTATCAGTAAAAATCTCTCTTTTTTTTTTTTTTTTTTAAAAACAGGTCTGTTGAGCAGTTTCTGGCAATCTAATCGAGATGTTCCGTAACCACACTCACTGTGAAGAACTTGGTCAAGTCAAGCTGGGTGAGGAAAAGGCGCTCAGCTTCCTGCAGGACGTTGGCTGGCTGGTCACACAACTGAGTCTGAAGCTCTGTCATGTTGGCTGCTCCTCCATCAACAGTCAACAGCTGTTCCAGTGTGCTTAGATTGCACACCAAGTCCTTTGGTTGCACCTGAGCTAATGTCAACGTGGCCTGGAGGTGATCAAATTGACGTGATTAAGTTGTAGGCATCCAAAAAGGCCAACTGGTCATCCCAAACAGTCGTTCAGTCTTGATGATTTCCAGTTGAAACTCGTATCATATCAAGGGTTTAAGCACCAACGCAAGTAAATATTTATTAAGGTTAAAAGCAAGGTTCAAACCTGAAAATTCAGCCGAGCGTTCATCAGCTGGTCCACAGCTGTGGGTGACAGGCTGGTATTGGTCAGGAGAAAGCTGGACAACGTCTGGTTGGCTCTCAGGCATTCTTTCACCGGGACACCTGTAGTGAAAACACAAGGATCAGCACTGCTCACTGCTCATTAATAAAACACGCTGTATTCTGAATAGAAGCAGAAAGTGGGATTACCACTTTGGACCAAAACAGATAATTAAGAATGCAAGCTGTAGGTTGGTTTGCTCAGAGGATACAAATGTTTCTTTGATTTAAAAAAATAAACAAATTGAGTCTGTTTTTCAGATACTAATGAAATATTCTGAATTCACTATCAATTCAGCAGTTTCAGAAATGTCACAGGTACAGGCTTGGTAAAATTAATTTTCTTATCAAATTTTAGTGTTTTTGTTTTAACTACAGTTACTGTTTCCTTCAAACCAGATGCAACCCAAAACATCCTTCAGAGGACTTTACAAAGGGAGTTTTTTTATGCTATCACTGAAAATGGTTGTTTAATTCGGTAAACATGAACGTGGAGTTTGCAGCTGAGAGAATAAAAATAAGACACACACACATTGACAAGTGCTCTGCGTCCATTTCATTGTCTGTCAGTACGAGTCATGTAACTCAATCTGACCACAACAAACAGGGTGCGCAGCGCTTTCATAACAGTGGTAACAGATCACTCGACACGTGTTTAAACCATTTAAAGAGATCAGCTGCTGCTTTGTAGTCAGAGCAGCTCAGAAGAGTCTGGGAACAGCACTTCATTAAAACAGAAGAAGTCTTCATTTGTTTCTTGTCTCTGATTATTGATGGACTTTAGTTTTCTTATACTGTTTCAATGAAATATTATCTAATAAACTGAATAAAAAAGCAATTGATTTGTTTTGAATCCAAAAGATTTTGCAACTTCTTACAGATATTTTCAAATAAAGGTGAATCATTCCTTGTGCAGATTGTGATTCAACCTTTGCATAATTATGATCGTCAACATACAGTAACCACGTGTAAAATTCACTACAGCTCCTTCATACATGTATGTGTCACTGATAAATAGAAAAAGATTTAAACAAATACTTGGCAATGATTCTAGTCTTTCTCCCAGCATCCGGGCATTCTTCATCAGGTCCTGGTAGCCAGTGAAGCTCCGGTTTGCACCATAGGACAGAACAGTCTGAGCATCCAACAAAAGACGTGACAGGCTGGATGAAAAAAAACAACAAAAGGAGCCTTTACTGGGACAAATACTCTTGTTAAAGTTCCATATCTACTGATAACAGTGTATCAACCTTTTTAAACTTTTTCATTTATTTTCCAATTAATCATTGAACAGTAACGGAAACAGTCGGTGTGTGTCAGTAACCGGACACACACATCACATAAGCTAAACTTTAGTCTCAGCCAGTAGGCTTTGAGCAGGACCACATCAACAGTATGAGACATTTTCACTGCCTACATAAAGCTGAGCTGCTGGATTGAATTTAACTTTGTGATGTACAGACTGTACCAAACTAATATCGATGTCTCTGGAAAATAATATTTTCCAACACGTTGACCTATACATTTCACACTTTAAAGCTTGCACTGAGAAAAAAGATAGGAAAAAATATTCTCTTTGTATTTTTTTTCTGTCTCCTCGGACCAACGATGACCAAAATGTTTTTCCTCATAAATATTTGGGGTGATACTTTATGGTAAAAGTATGTCCATTTTCAAAACTAATATAATACCATTTACTTTAATTTGGAATTATATATCCAAATCAAGTTTTAGGATTGATTAAGATGGGTTTACGTCCACTTATTTCTGATAGGAAAGAGAGTTTGCAGGACTATACGTCAGGGCTTTGTTACACGTGCTTGTTAGCTATGTAATAAATCGTCTAATCTGGTAACATGCTGTGTGTGGAACAAAGACACTGAAGTGTGTCTATGAACCTCTAATCTGAGGGAGCAGTCTGCTGCCTGATTTAAAGGTTTCTTGATTAAATGAGCCACATATGTAAACAAATGTCTTAAGAAACAGCCCATTTCCACTAGCTGTGGACCTACATGGAGTTGTCAAAGTTTCCCACTTGGCCCGGTGTCTCTCCTGGTGTTGGGGTGTGGAAGCAGGGGTTGTTGATGTTGCAGATGATGCCCTGAACCCAAGGCAAGGTGCCTGCTGATGGCAGGGGTTTGTTTGGAAAGTGGCCTAAGAGTATAGAGAAAAACACTGACTTTAGACACTTTTGAAATGTGTTTACAACAAATACGGAACCCTTTATCATCTGTGAATAATTTAAATTGATAACGTACAATGTTTTGGAAAGTTTACGTACTCAAAGATAAGGTTTTCAGGACAAAGCTTTATCATCTACAAAGTATTTAAAAACACTGGTCTACTGACCTAAACTGAGCGGTTTTCTTATGTGAACATGTTACATATCACCAAATGTTAACACGTGATACCTCAAAGGAGGTCAAGAGACCGAGCCGTTCCCTTTTCATGACATCAACCCAAAATTGAATAAGCGGATCTCAGTTACTCAGCAGATACTTACACTGATACATATTTTGCCAGCTAAAAGTAATTTGCACTTGTAAAATGATAAAGTGATAAATCTGGAAACAAAATGTGCGTGCATGGCACATGCATCACTCTCACTGTCTTAATCTTCTTAAACCTGTTGGCAGAAAGCCATTTTTCAGACCGGTCACAGTGGATGTAGGAAGACGAGTGTCTTACTTACATTGGCCTTGCTTGTAAGAAGGGTTTGAATGGCGAACAGAGATGAGGATAACAAAGAGGAAGAGTGGCCAGAGGAGCTCAATGATTAGCTGGATCTGCACAAGAGGAGAACAAGCGGTGTGAACAACACTGTTTCCTGATGAGTGAGAAGAACTGCATGTTTGTTATATAACCAAGAAATACATGTCAGTTTCACATTAAACCTAAAATAATGTTGTCTTTACTATAATATTAGATCCACAGCTTTGCTGACGTTACAAGAGTAGCCTATTAGATACATAATACATTTGTTTGTCATGTCTTTACAGAAAATAAGTGTAAAAAAAATTGTAAAGCTAAAGATGTGGATACCTTGTTCCTTCTGCGATATGTGACGTTCTTCCAGAGGAGGAGGAAAAGCTGTCTGAAAAACCCCATTGCTTCCAACAGTTACCTGACCATGACGCAATGCTGAAAAATACAGAAAATACGAAAAAGGAAAAAATAAAGTTCAGAGGGAACGTTTTAATCCAAGCTTTTGTTGTGCAGGTATTTGCTCCTCCGAAGTTTTTTTCCAGCTAGCTGTATTTATCTTTCCCTCTTGGTCTTTAACGTGTTCCATCAACTGTACAAAGGTATAAGGAAAGAACGAGTCTTAACTCTTCCAACATAGGACAGTAATAAGAAACTGAAATGAAGTTGACATTCTGTGACAAGAAAAAGTTCAACTTGATCAGTTTTTATAACATTTTTCCTTCCTGTCCCACAAAAATATGAAAGAGACAGCAGAAGTCTCAAACTGTTTTTTTTCGTGTGTGTTGTGAGTAAAGGTTGTCTTTCGTGACCGCTGAGATCTGCTCAACACGGACAATCCCCTGCTTTATCCTGAAATCCTCCTGATCCAAACAGCTTACCTGTTTCACTTGGACTGTCACTTTTGCCCTGCCAGTGCCTCCCGACAAAGCAACTGCTCTTGTAAATAAACTATGGTGGCGAGTCTTGGACGCCAGGTTACAAAGAAACCCACATAATAAGACAATTTTCAAATCAAATGGATAATATTTGCTCATTTGAAAGTAGTGCTGGTGTAGCATTAGAGTTAGAGACCACTGAGATCATTCCAACACTTTTAAAATAATCTTTGAATTTTGGATCACTGCATTTCCTGAAATCTTTCTATTTTTTCTTTTCACTGTTAAAGGTTCACCTATGGTGAAGAGGCGTCAATAGATTATAATTGCACTGTAATGAATTTATCAGTAATTGCACCTAATATAAGCGCTTGTATTCTATGGCAGACAATAAATTCAGTAAAACAACTTATTACTTAAATACAAACAAACATTGTACAGGCGTTGAAGCAAACGCAAAATTGATAAATATATACAAAAGCTAGCTTTACCCTCCGTAATTTCCCACTGACATAGAAGCATAGCAGTTAGTTAATGAAATTAATTATCTCTGTTAGCATAAAATTAAGATGGAAAAGAACATATAAATTAGGCTATAATGTTAGCCTCTTCTTCTTAGCATCTTTAAGTGATAACCTTACCGGTAATACGCGCTCATTTCTACAACAATAAACAGATTACTACGCTTGAAAGTTTAAACTTGTCGTTAATAATTACCTTCCTGTTGTAAAGGTGATATCAAAAGTCCTCTTGTTGATTCACGAACATCAACAGCCGCCGGTGCCTTGACATTGACTTCCCTATGTTTGTGACAGCAGGTGGAAGTGGTAGAGTCCCGCCCATACACTGATCCGATTGGATAACGTACAATTCATGGGCGGAGTCTGAGATGCCGGTCGAGGATCAGATTGGCCTAAAGCCATGTTTTTGTAACTGACGAACAGATGATTGGCCAGTCACTCACAGTCACAGTCAAATGACTAATAACTCCAGAAGTACTAAAGACATTAAATAATGCATTAAGCTTTTTATTACACACCTACTAAAAGTAATATTAATTTAAGTATGTGACAACATTTTACAGTCTTTATAACGAATATTAAAACTTGTACAATATTGCAATGCTAAATTAACTAATTTAACTGCATTGAGAATGTAACTTGCTTTTAAAATATTGAATTATTTTTCTTACCAACAACAAAAAAGCAATGCTGTATCAAAACTTTTATATATTATATCAACCACTGCATCCCAATAAATAAAAACCATGAGAAATTTTTCGCAGCTCATTTTAATGAACACTGGCATCAGCGTATACTTAAAAATATAAGCACATCTCTATCACAAAAGGCAGTCATCTTTATCTGTAAATACAGCAATCTGGTTTACATCAGGCACAGCCAGTGACAATGCATAAATGGATCAGAGCACTCTGAAGCTAGTAGCAGACATTAGTTGATATGTATGTAATGAACAGGAAGAGCATCACAATAAAAACAGATTGTTTTTTTTCCTGATTCAGAACAGTAACCTCTTCCAACCCGTTTACCTCAGGCACACTGGGAGCACAAGCCAGACTGGAAGACTAATGAAGTTCACCATTCTTGATACAACACACCAATACCTAACTTCTGAGTTAGTGAGGTCAGAAACTAATGCATAAAATGTTAAACATTGTAAATATATGTTAGACTTAAGTGGAGAGCTGGCATCTATCCCTGTCGTTTCAAATTGGGCTTTCATATTCAAAAGTACTTTACATCTTAAAAATATATAACTAGTACAGTTTGTGGTGTGGCAACAGTCGACATTAAGCTGTGCAACACGATATGCATAATATTTTTTGAGTTTGGCAACAACTGGTGTAGTTTGAACACTGTGCAGCGTTTATGTCCTTGTGAAGCGGGCGGTGGTCAGAGAAACACCGGCTGTTCTTGTCCTGTTAGGAGTCGATAGGTGGAGGCGGGCATTGTCTTCAAGTGAATCTGCTCAGAGAATAAAATTAAATCAGAAAAATCAGTTTTCAAACCGATGAAATACTGTGATGGTAACTAAAAATGAAAAATCAAAACTTAAATCATCTATTAAATTTTTGTCTATTCCAATTCGACATTCAGGTTGCAGCTAACGCCAAAGGCCGCACACCAGTGTGCTAGTAATTTCTAAGGCGGTGTCATGGAAACAGCTGAATGACGACAAAGTCTTTGTTACGAGTTCTTTGAGCCTGCTTTGCCACACTTGCTGGATCAGAGGACCTGGAACTTTGAGCCTTTATTAAGCCTCTGAACTTTCACAGGTGACATCAGTCCTAGCTTGACAAAGAAAAATGTGAAAAAGCCGTCCCTCTTCTTACCTCTCCCACAGCATTTGTCAGGATCTGGATGATTTTATCGTGTGGGGTTGCTACAACACTCTGCCCGTTGATTTCAATGATTCGGTGCCCCACACGGATTCCTCCCCTTTCTGCGATGCCGCCGCGCATCAAACTGCAGATCTGTGAGAGATTTAAGAAAAGTTTTTGAAAATCTATTCATTTTTAGATAAATCGATTTACCCATGGCAATGTTGATGCAAAGCTCCATTATATAAACAGATTAATAAAGTTTAGCAGTAAAACTATTGTGATTCTTGAGTTTTGGTCACTGAACAGCAAACAGACCTTTGCCAAGCAGAAGACAAGGGGATAAAAATAAGAATATGGACATACAATCCCATCTTCGACGCTGAAACCCAGCTGAAATTTAGGATCTGGTCTCTTTATGATCGCCATGGTTACGGGAGGGCAGTGGACAATGCTGAGCTTCACATACTTTTGACTTCTCAGGTCCTGCATTATGGAAAATAAAAAAGATTTGAAAAAAAAATGATATGGCTTTGTTGGCTACACATAAGGCTGGACCCGTTCACACTTTCAATAGATTCAGACATTTATAGCGTGCAAACAAAAAAGACAAAAACAAAAAAAAAGGACAAAAAAGTGCATTTAGGAAAATAAAAACACCAGATAAACAGAAACAATAGAATTGTTCAGTGTAAATCCTTTATATAAACCGTCTTGGATAACCTTAGAGTCAGTAAACCTTATAACAAGTAAATTAATTTGTTAGAACAAACATGGAGTGGAATTTAAAATAATGGTAGCTGTCAGAGGTCTGACAACCGGAATCGGATAAGATACAGTAAATGTACGCTTAGAGTATATCTTGTCCCGCTTGATGGCGATGACAGCAGGGATGGCAGACCTTGAAGCGGCTCTCTGTCTGTTGTATGTTAACCAGGAAACAAAGAGTGCAGTGGGGTAGGGACACTATCCCTCTAAAGGTCAGCATGTCCTATAATTTCAACTGCAACGAAGAGATTGTCCTCGCTTTGAATGTGCAGTGAATTTAGGTGATAAAGTATCTCATCCATCCGTTTTATCTGCATCTTTAGCTTACGTAACGCTCTTTTAAATGAGAAGAGGGAGGAGTTGATTGGTGATTTTAACCAATATTACCCTTTAATAATTTTTGGGTTTATTTGGGTGCTAGTCTAATCTAGTAAAACTCATTGGCCTATGAAGCGATGCATAAATGTCTAAGTAAAAGGGCAAATTTGCCTTAAGAAATGTAAGATATTGTAGGGGTTTGAATGGTCAACTGAAGCCAAAGAACATCAATGGATTCACCCTTTCACTGACAACAGACAGAAACTATCAATGAAGCTCTGAGAGGTGAATGTAGAAATAATATCCACAAATTTAATGTCAGCAGGCTGCTAAAATGTTCAATTCCCTTTTGTGAAGTGAAAAATAGACACGACAGGAGCACCGTTTTGATAAATTATCAGAATGTATTTCATTTTGATTTTATCCCTCTTGTGGGGATATCAGTGTCACTCTTAGACATTTGCAAGATCAATATCTTGAACAAATTATGCTTCTGTATTTTCAACCAATCCCTTTGTAGCCAGAGCAAATAAGTTCATTCGTACTATATTTGATGTATTGAAAGAAAGGATGTGGCAAGCATTTCTATTGCTGTTAAGCTCCCCAGCTGTGAAAGAAACTCTTCCACATTTTTCCACAATTAGTAGTTAATTAAATACCAACTTAGAGGTTTAGAGACTAACTAAGAAGGCTGTTAATCAGAGCAAGACTGAAAGCTTTTAGTTGAAGATATTTATGCCAACAAAAATATACAGCTAATACTGTCAAATGTTAATATTGGCGCTGGAAGTCTAAATCAAATCTAAAACTTTTGTCAGTCATAGATAAATGAAACCACAGTGCCACCTACAGCACACATTTATGATGATAAAAAAAAAGACATCAACAAAAATGCTACTTTGTTTCTTTTTCCTTTGATTTAGACAAAGTTGAATTAAACTAAATGTATTATCATTAATTTTACCATCATCACTTCTTGTTTGGGCCTGACTTTGCCCTCTTACCCGGATGATGTTCTGGCAGGTAGTGATAGGCAGACCCACCAAGCTGGTGCCGTTCACCGACATAATACGGTCACCGATGCTGAGCTCACCAGAGCGCTCTGCTGGGCCGCCGTGAAGGAGGTTGGCCACAACCACAGTGGGCAGGATGGAGCCCCAGCCTGACTCCACCACTGCCAAACCCAGGATCTCTCCAGGGGCCTTAGTGATGGCTATCTGAACCGAAAACACGAAAAGATTTTGAGGAAACATTAGCGTGGAAATGGAAATGTTATCATTTAACTACATGTATGCCTGAATTATTTATTTATATATTTTTTTCAATAAATTGCCTCTTTGGATCTCTGAGTTGATATCAGAAAAACTGAACTCTTTACTAGTTGGTAGTCTTAATCATTATGTTTCTGACAATTTACAGGCCACGAAAAACAAAATTATGAATAGCGCATGGATAGAAGCGCTTGAGGTAAATCTGTGCCACATTTTAGGATAAAGTACATGATATTTGTAAGAATTTCTAAAAGAAGTAAGCTATTCACTCTTAAAAGACTTTGAAAAGCAGAACTTTCCCCATGCTTTCTATTTATATTAAAGCCACAGAAAAATATTGAATGGTTACACAGAAAATAAAAAACAGCCTGAGAATTATTATAGAATGAGAGGTTGGATACATTTTGTGAAATATAAAGACAGGCTATGTGCTTACATCTCGAAGGTTCTGAGAGTCGGAGAAATGGGCCAGGTCTCCGTTGTAGAGCTCCTGACTTTCCAGGTAGTCACTGTACTCGCCTGGCTTCAGATCGCTGGCCTTGATGCCATTGGTCTGAAGGAACTGCTGGTAAGCCACTCCAAATGCTTGTCCGATAGCCTGCGCTATGGTCTGAGCCTGAACAGGGAAAAAGGAAAAACAGGTGACTCAGGACTTAAAGGAAGCTGGGTGAGGTTTTTATTTAAATCTTCTTCATACAGTACAAGCAAGTGCAAAAAGAAGTAAACCCATGTCCTGTCCCAGCCTAAATGGAAACCTCAAAATAGGGACAAGTTTAAAAACCTTCTACAGCATAACAAACAGTTTTTTCGATTTTTAAGACTCGGCTGGGAATAAAAGTCAGCACAAGAAGTGGCTTTATGGCTTTCGGTATCCTGCAGCTAATTAGTTGCTAAAAGAAACTCCTCTTCCTCTTGTCCAGGGCTGCCAACTGTGGGGAAACTAGGACAGCAGCCAGACCGCTTTTTTATGCAGGAGACCTCGCTTGCAGAAATAGAGGGCGGAAATCAGGCCAGGCAGACATTGAAACTCTTGTTGGGGAAAAACAAAAAAGATACCAATAAAAAAGGCACCCCTAAAACGAGCTGAAATACTGTGAGCAGGAAACAACCAAATTATGTCCAGTACTATCAGCCCTTTTAACGCACACAATAACTTTAGAGCAGATAGGGTGTCAACATAGAGTGGCATCAAATGTCATTAATGCAAACCACGCACTCAGCAGGGAGGGATTCTGAGCAGAGACTGCTTCCCAAGATAGACCCCATTAAACTGACCCAGTGTGCCATTTCTAAAGTTTCACAGGGAGAAAACAGCAGGATGAGTGCTAATCTGATGCATAACTACGAACACACTTGTAAGATCAATAAAGTATTCAATCAATCATATGGAAAGAGTTGAATTTGGTGATGCTGGTAAGATCTAATGTGCACATTTGTGCATGATGTGTTGTGAAAAAGTAAGTGAATAATAAAAAGGGCAGGTTTTGGTCAGCTTCTATATCAGTAAACAGCAGATTGATCTCCATTTAAAGAAAAAAAAAAGTCAGTCGTCAAATATTGCAAATACCCATGAAGCGAGTTTTGAAACATGCGTAACGACATAATATTTTCTTTGCAAAATGACAAGCGACAGCCTAAACCTTAAAACACGTAAGCTACATTAGGCAGCAGTTCCTTCTCTGTTTATATATGAATATCATATAAAAAAAGCTTAAATTGAAAGACTCACATCCTCAGAGGAGAAGACATGACAGATCATCAAGCACTTCTTCTGAGGCACAGATGATGATGATGCAGAGGAGCCTTTACAGGTGGGGTCACCGTCCTGCCCTTTTTGCTTTCTTCGTGCCATCAGGACCACAATATCCCCGATATCAGCTATGTAAGAGATCATCTGTAGAGCGTGGTCCATCATGGCTTCCTGAGGGGAAATGTGGTGGTTAATATCATCAGAATTAGAGATGATAAGAGGGCTTAGATTGCAGCATGAACAGATGTGAAATTTGCTGAGGAGGGATAGATCATTCAATGAACCAAAACAATGTTCCTCCTCTTAGTTTTCCTTTTAAAGTCAGTTGAAGTAGAAAATTAAATAGAGTGACATTATATAAAATATAAACAAATATAGGCAAAGTTTTGGATTTTAATAAAGCTCCTGGCTGAATGTTAGTTGGTACTTTTATCAATCAAGGAGATTAGCTACTTTCTCTAAAAGAAAAATATTTGAGAAAACAGCTGAATACCAAATATAACATGTCAGTCTACTTTAATACCATTTCCAAAGATTTTTTCCAAACTAAAATTTAGGATAGCAGAACAATAACAGAATTTTAGGAACACATTTCAGTCAAATGTAATTTCATAAGCGGGATAAAATAGGAAAACTGTGCTCATCCTCACATCGATTATTTCAGTGAGAAGAAACCAGCCATGCAGAGAGGTGACAGTAACTGACCCACTTTGTTTCTGTAGACAATTCAGCCACACAGAAGAAATTGCTACTGCAGCCTTACTTCAGAGGCCTGAGAAGAATTCAACACCCAAATCTTTAATAACCCTTTCTGTAGTAAATCAATAAAATAAGATGCAATGAGGACTTAGATGATTTTTCAGCATTTAGTATCTCCTAAAAGATTAAATGGTAGAATAGGAAAATAGAGCATAATATCAAAAAACATTAATAAAATAACTACATTGATTACTAATACAGTAATAAAGTAATATTAACATTATCTTTGAAAGACATTCATCCTTTAAAATGACTACAATTTGTCAGCTTCATCTGAGCGAACACATTTTACCAAATTTGAAGAGTAAAATGTTACAGGATACGAAAATAAGTGTAAGTGGCCATATGAACGATCAGTACCTGTGTGTCAGCGGTCAGCACTTTAATTCGTTGAGTGGAGATGAACAGATCCACTTCTGTCATTGGCTGAGACTCTCCCTCTGGAGCCTATTAAAAAACAAACAGCCTTCAGATCTGATACGGTGACTGATTCTGGTTTTTATCTAAATCCTTTGTTTTCTCTTGCAGTACTGGGTTAAGACCATGTTGTGTAGATTAAATCTCAGGTTTAAATCACAACCTGCTGGTGTGTGCAAAAGTGATGAATCCGCTCAGGTTCATATGTCGGAGTGTGTCTGCTTTTCCTGATGTTTACCCTTTAATAAAATCATCAGTTTTTGTAAATCTCTTTTTTAAATTTACCTTAATTCTGTCCACAGCTTCCTGAGCCTGGGACATACGAGCGTTTGTCGAAGGGTTCCTGTCTGATTTGATTTGAGTGGAGCCCAGATACTTTGCACCAAATATGACTCCATCCAACAGGTCTTCAGGGTCACAAGGCCCAGGTACTAAAAAGCAAAACCAAATAATGTAATCAGATTTGCGGCTGTTTGTAAAACATGCAAGATCTATCTTTTTGTGGAAAAAGATTAAATCTGAAACAACTCACCATCTTTATATGAGGGCTGATCATCAGAATTCTAAAATGACAAAATAAAGACCAAATTAAACAAATCCAGTTAAACATATGCGAGATAACAACTCCATCAAGGTCAACGGGATTGAAATGAATTTAAAGTTCTGATTCTTAATCAATGTAGATAGATAAACTGTAGGTATTTTCCTGTCCTAGATTTACTTATGATTGCAAAAAATAGCTGCCTCTCTTTTCTTGATTAGGGTTAGGGCCACTGACCACAAATTAGGTAAATTAAATCAAGAGGGGGTTATTCAGCAGATGCATAGCTAGAAATGAATTTGAGGTTATCATCTGAATGCAGCACCGACCTGTTCATTCTCTGCAGCAGCTTCATCCTCCGGAGGCTCCTCCCCCAGCTTCATCCAAACTGGTTCAGGGTACTCGTCATCAGGCAGAGAGGCGATGGAGTCCTCCCTTTGTCGCTGCGGTCGTCTGTTCTCATATTGCTTCCAGAACTTCTGAGCGTCCTCCTGGTTGTATGAAACTGACACTACGGCATCCACCTCGCCTCTGTGAGGAACACAGGCGGGATGGGGCGCTGCGGTGATATCTGTACACTGCAGCAGTCCTAACAGGTCTCTCTGGTGGTGTTCAGAGAAGAGCAGGCCTGTGGTTTCACAGCTGTCGTCTGTTAATAGGGACGAAGCATAAGCTTGCTGCTCAGAAACGCTGGAGTAGTGATGGTAAGTTGGTGTCTGATGACAAGGATGGAGGTCTTTGTCCCTTAACTGAAGGTGGCTCAGAAGTGTGTGGATGCGGCTGTGGTCCTCATCATCTGATCCTCTGTTGGAAACCTCGATTTCATCTTCACTGATTCTCTCTTCGACGTCTCTAAATGTCATCACTTCTTGCTCTCGCTTTGCGCCATCAGCCCTCATCTCCACCTCCACCTTCTCCTCAACTGCTTCACTGCTCTCTTCAAATCCGGCCTCCAAATCCTGGACTTGGTCAGCTACATTATCCAGAAGCATGTGTTGGTTAGCATCAAATGGTGTCAAAATATCTCTCACTTCCAAACATGGCAAAACTGATTCTCCAAGACTTGCTATGTCCAGTGTGTCAGCAGCGGGAGGCAGGCTGGGGTCATCCAGATCATCAGCTGAAACTGCTTCGCTAGAAGAGTCTGATCTCCAATCTAATGGGGGAGGCTCAATCAAGTTGAAACAATCAACATCTTCTCCCTCTGAGCGAATCAGAGCTGCTGTCATCAAACTCGCATCAAGCCTTGAAGTTCCATTAACTGGCAACGAATCAGAAGGAGGGTCTACAGCCGCAGAAGCCGTCAGATCGACAGGGAAAATGTCCGATTCCATTTTGATTGAAACCCTGTTAGGAAATAAATAGCATTATTTTAGAAGACTCTTTACTAAAACAAGTCACAGAAATATCCCTAGTGATCTATATAGAGGTAACAACTGCTCTATGAATATCACAAAAAAGAAGGTATTTAATACATCACGTGTAACACATTCTTTAACCATCAAAATAAAAAAAACATCTGAGGATTTTTTAACTCCAAAAGGTGGTCTAAAAAGCTAAACATTTTCAGTTTATTACGGTGTAACACATTCTTTCACTTCTCTGATTCAGTTCTGCAGAAATGGTGAAAACATATCACTGAAAGTCTATTTTCTTTAGATCAAGGCAATGGACAAACGGAACCAGATGAGAAATTTAGGGGAAATGAAAGGGAAATGGGTAAAATAACGGAATTCATCTCACACTTAGTCCATACACTAGAGTTTAGCTAATTGGAATAGCAGTCCAAGTAGCTTGGAGCTAACTGCTTTGTAGCATTGACTGAAACCGAAGTAGCTGTATTAAGACCAGCAGACACACTGCAAATGAACAAATATTAGTAAAAAACAAACAAAAAAAGAGCTAAAAGAAGTACTCTTACCCGATGCTGAAAGCTCCTTACTTCTTTGTGCTCTGATAGAGACTCCTGTGAGTGCCTCGACCGATGAGTTGACGTTTGGAATTTGAACCCTCTCCAAAACTCCTCTGCCTTTGCTTTATTCGTCATACTAACAACAACAACTCTGATATATGTAACAAGTTAACCTAAAGACTGGCAGGATAAACTCCTGCTGCCGTAACTTTGGTGAGCTCTCATTGTCGATGCTGTTGACTGTCGACTGGCAGTTTTTATTTATTGACTGGCTCTTTAGTTGTGCTACATTCACGTGTTCACGTATGTCCCCAACTTAACACCATTGACTTATCTCCCTCCTATACACTACATATATATGTGTGCATGTACATGCAATACAGTTTATACGATATTTTACATTCCATCTAACTTATCCTGAAAGATGAAACAATGGACGTAGTGTAATTTTTAAGCGTTCAGTCTTAAATAGTAGATTAATGCGTATTCGTCCTTGAAGGCAACGTGGCACGCGTCAGCGCTAACGTGTTGAACGTTCAAGGTCCGTTTAATCAAACGTCAAATAGTCGATTGAGAAAAATAAATCAGCAGCGTAGTCCTTTATTTTTTCCTTAATCTAAACGAATTTCTTGGTTCGACCTGCGAATAGACAACATTGTCTGAAGGCACATCAACTCTGATTCAAACCAATTACAACCCAGTTTAATTAAATACAATCATACAATTCACCTGTGACTTTCAGTTTAGACAAAATTCAGCAGACAAACAAAAATGCTTACAAGAGTCTGAAAGTAAAGAGAGACTCTTCTGTGAAAGGCAAAGAACTAATCCTTAATTTATCTTTCTGAAAACCTTTAAAATATACTTAAGAACCACAATAATACTTTAATGTGCATGTCATGGCACATACATGAATACTGAGCTACATAAAAAAAAGCTAATGTGTAAAACAAACCAAAAAAAATCACATTTAATTTTTGATTACAGTGTAATTAAAAAGTCTAAATATATCAAGATGCTTTTTAATGTTGGCAAACAAACACAAACTACTTGTTACCCTACTCCACGGGATAAGGTACAGATGTTTTGAACTTTAATGTTTTTCCCCCAAAAATAATTAGCTTTATTTCATCTAGTCAAATTTGTAAAAATCTGTAATGACTGATTATCGCCAACCTTTGCTCAAGGCTAATCAAAGTATCACAAAATCTCCTAGCCGTGGTTACGACTCTGTACTGTCTGACTGCTCACTGTCACCGCTGTTCATCTGGATCAAACCAATCAGAGAGGATGTGGTGCCCAGAAGCCCCACCAGCCAGCTGGGGAAGCGTCCTGCCCACAAGAAGCCCGGAGGCATCCAGTGAACGGCGTTGCTGAGATCAGCCATACTGCTGAGGATGGAGAGCAGCTCTCCTCGCATCTGTCTGCGGAGCTGAGAGTGTCTGCAGAGAGAACACGCGATCATTCTCTGCATGCACTTTTAGTTTGGAGAAATGTGGTCATCGGAAACAAAAAGGTGACTTAAGATACAACACCTGCTGTTCCTTCCATCCCTCTCATACTTCTTCAACTTCTTCTTCAGCAGCAGGAGAACTCGAAGTGACCTATAAACCAAATACAAATGACTTCAATTCAATGTTTTGTTTTGTTTTTTGCATAGGTAGTGACTGGTTTGACTAAATGTGGCACAGAGTATGTTCACATAATGTGCATCTAAATTTTGCATCAAAAGGATAAAAAACTGTTAATAGATTATTAAATCCTAAATTGGTAATATTTGACTATTTTAAACTAAATAAATGTACAGTTAGGTTTGCCATTTCACAATTTGTCACAATTTGTTCACAAACGTTCTCACCTCAGGATCCCAAGCAGCAGTGAGGTCCCCCACAACACGGTGCTGAACAACCACCACTTATCCGACTTCACTTTGATCAGCTCAGCATCAGCAGCCCAGGCGATATGTTCACAGGGGTAGTAGAGCTGGTCCGCCACATTGGTCAGCACGGATATCCAGCGAACGCCGGTGTCCTCCTCCTGGGAAATACATACTGTGTTATAAATGGATTTTCAAGGTAACATTGCTTTGGATGTATGCGGTCAAAAGCATTCGTTTTAACTCGCTAATTTAGTTTTTGTAGTAAAGAGTGTTTTGATAATAGCATAATTATTTTTTATATTTTTTGTATTTAACTGTACCAGTGAGGCAAACACAAACTCATGTCTCTGGGACAAGATTTGTCAGGTGAATGACACATGAGTACAGTGCATGAATCACCGAAGCTCCAAGCCCATAGCTGTAGGAGTACGCCAGCATGGCGAGATCATCAAACAGCCTCAGCACCGTCCGGCAGTGGCTGAGCTGTGCAGAAAACAGCAGCAGACTTTTCCCAAGCTGCTGTGAGGGAGCATCTGTCCCTGCACGCCGAGTGAGAACTCCTCCAACAAGTTGAGAGCCATAACAGACTGTCCTGATCTGCATAGAGAAACACAGAAAAACAGCAGTAACTGCGTGACAGTTCAAGGACTGCCACTAGTTGGCTTTCACTCTTTCTGTTTGCATGATGAATAATTATAGTAGTAATGATATACAGCACTGACATGAACAATTTTCAAATATAATATCACATGTAAAGAAAAGCACATTTCCCCTACATTAACAACTGGTACACATCACAATGCTTCTCTTAAAAAAAAAAAACTGGTACAGGGTTGTTGTTTTTTTTGCTGTTTTGGGAATCAAAATTTCAAATTTAAATGATACAGAATGATAAACAAACTACTCAGATCAATTTGAGAATTGCAATGCAGCAGCATGTGCCTGTTTTTTCTGGCCAAAACAAGACTTAAACACATAACAAAAAATCACCGGGCTCAAGTGGAAAGAGCACATAAGAACTTAAATATTCAAATAATGACTCAAATAAATGTTTTCTTGCAGCCTTAATGAGAAATTTGGGTTCGTCAGAAACTCACAACTTTATCTCTTCCTCTGTAGGACTCCAGCAACCGAACCAGAGCTTCCAGTGACTGCTGCATGTCTGGACACACACGCTCTCACAACACTCAGATATAAAAAAGTAGAAATTCTAAGAAGATCCTGTCCAACATTTTCAGTTTTAGCTGTTCAGGACTGCCTGCTCCAGCTCTCAGCTGGACTTTGAAACAGGAAGTTGAACCTAAAACAGACCAAAGCAAACGATGTTTGACTCTTCCAAAATCAGCTTGAATGCAGAGTTGCTGCCCCCTAGTGGCCCACATGATTTTTTGCTTCGATTGAGGCTGTTAAGAAACCAATTATTTGTAATTGTGTTTTTCATTTTAGATATGGTTTTCAGTTTTTTTGGCAAAGGGATAAACAGACAAATATTTAAATTTGGGCAGTTTTATTTCATACAATATTTGGTGGTCTTGAAATATTTTTTTTTTTTTTAAAGGCTTTGAATTAATTTCTAAACATGAAATCTGGAAGGTGAAAAATATTATTATTAATATTCATCATTATTGTTAATGGGATGCGAAAAATGGAAGTGTATCTGTTTCGTATGATTGTGATTATGTTATATATTATACAGTGTAATATTATATGTATATTATTTATACAGTGAAATATTAACGTAAAAAGACAAATAATAGAGAGACATTATCTTAAAAAAATTATGTGTAATTTTGTCGTTTTCCAATATCAATACAGTGTCGTGAACCACACGAGTGGTTTACGCGAGGCGACAACGGTTACGTAAAAATTTCCCATCATGCACCTCGCGAAAGCCTCACAAAAAGCCAGATGAACAGGCCCAGGAGGAGGAGGCTACCAGCCGAAGGGGGTAGCCGATTCCAGGAGAAGATATTCTGTCCTCGTCGTTCACATTACCGAACAGGTGTCGCCGGGGAACCACAACAAAGTGAAATGCATCACAAATCATGATGTCCGCCTTCTATCGAGACCATTCCTCTGCTCTGTGAGCGTCGGTAGGTTTCTCGCCGCCTCTTCAGGGGATTCTGCTGTCTGAGTCCGCCCTGACCCGCGAAACTGCCAGGCGATGACAGCGGCCACAGTGATGAGGGACCGGCTGCTCCAGGCCATCGACGGCCAGAGCAATGTGAGTATGTGGGCTGCTTTGGAAAGGAACAAACAAGACGGGGACGCGTAGACATAAAGGTCGAGCCTTTCGGAGGTCTCTTCAGAGAGCTGACAAAGTGGAGTCAGTGTGCGATCAGTTGTTATTTATTCGCCAATTAGCTGGCTAACATTACTAGTTAGCCAAAGTAACTAGTGCCAGTCCACAAGCTGGCAACCTGCATATTTGGACGGTTTGACGAATCCAAGTGAACGTAATGATAATGTGGTGCATCAGGACTGGAAAATGTACTAAACTGAGCAAGCTGGTTAAGGAAACCCCTGCTGACAAGTGTCCCGTGGTGGCAGCGACCGTAAACAGAGGCACTTTCCAGAAAGCCCAAGTCACGATACACCTCTGTATATCTTCCTTTACTTAACGTGTGGTGAGTGCTGTGATTCCTATTGTGGGACAACACAAAGGAAGTTCACGTTACAACCTAAACGCACATAATTCAACATGGATTATGCATCACAAAGATGACGTACTATGAATATATGCAGTTTGATTACCAAAAGATGACATCTTTTTCAGACTTCAGGAAATGAAAATATAAGGCAAGGCAGTGCTGTCAAAGCTTTTAATCACATAACTTCACGACATTGAGGTCTTTGTCTTTTTGCATGCCAGTGTAACCTGGATGTTGGTAATTAGCTTTTCTGGATTGCAATAAGACTGCAAAACATTACAAAATCTTTGGCGATACATAGCATACACCTAGTTTACTAATCCAGATTAACATTAACAAGCATTTAACGACATTGCTTTTTTTGGTTTCCTCATGGGACAAAACACACATTTGCATTTCTCTTTTCTCGGTTTGTCAAAGTGTACCCAAAACCAGTATTGGCAAACAATTTAAAAACACACAGGTGCACATTTGAAAGTATAGGCAAATTATGTCTTAACCCTCATACACCCTCTCGATTGCCTCGACTGCACTGTAGTTGGCCTGCCAAGTAGAGGACGCGCATTGTAAATAAATAAGAACTTCCTGTTGTAAACAGCTCTTTCCTATGTTCAGTTTTCCAAAAATATGTCTCACACATCAAGCCAACAATAGACTATGGGAACATCTGGAGGGTGTCCTAGCATTCCTGTTTTGGTTTGTAACATACCCGTAGGGCCACATTTAGGCTTTATGTGTCCAAATTGTGATGTCAAACTGCTCTTGGGTTGGTCATTAAGAGGGATCAATCTGTTTGGCTTATTAGCACAGTGAAATGATGCACCGTTCAGGGACCTGAATTTCCTATGACTTAACACGTTAAAATCAACTATAATTGAACTAGAACCGGGTTTGATCTTAACACTGCACTAATAACGACCCAAACTTATTCAATCCTAAACTAACCTTATGTGTTTTGGATTCTTTACCTTTGCAATGTATAGACTGCTGCCTCATTCTGCTGTGCATTGTACGTTGGCTGTGACTGTTGGAGGAGTTTCTTGCTGTATGCACACTGCAGAGGGGCCTGTAGATGCTGTTGATTTGATGCATAAGAAGATGGTGCTATACGTTATTTGTGTCTTCTCAGCAGGTACGCAACATGGTGGTGGTTATGGAAGTGATATCTCATCTAGAGAAGTATCCTATCACCAAAGAAGCACTGGAGGTAGGTTCAATCAGCATACGGTGTTCCAGTACAGCATCTAAAAAAATTTGTGACGTCTGGGAGAAAAAAAACATCAATTGTGCCTCTTTGCAGGAAACCCGCCTTGGGAAACTGATCAATGATGTCCGAAAGAAAACCAAGAACGAGGACCTTGCAAAAAGGGCCAAGAAGCTCCTTCGGAACTGGCAGAAGCTTATTGAGCCCGGAAAGAATGAGTTGCTGTCCAAAGGACTTACTGGTGCATCCTGGTCCAATGGCAGTGCTCATCCATGCATATCCACTCCAACAGCAACACCGCCGGCGACTAAAACGGGCCCTGAGCTGAAGAACAGGAATGACTTCAACAACTGCTCCTCAAGAGCAGAAAAAACAAGCAACAAGAAACCTAAAGGTGAACAGAAGGATGGTCAGGTCCTGTCAGCCAGGATCCCCCAAACTACACTCAATGTTAAAACGCAGAACTCAAAACAGCTGCCAGCCAATGGACTGAGTGGTAGCGCCGAAACTCTTTCTTTAGACCGAGAGGTTTGTGAGCCGCTGGACAAAAGCAAGCTATGTAAAATCCCCATACATGCTGTAAAACCTCATTCAAGTGCCCCAGGACACAGCAGGCCTCCTAGCACCCCTTCCTTGATAAAATCATCTGTTCTGCAACAGCAAGTGAGACAGGAAGCAGCTGCCTCTGTGGGGCAGTATCAGCCACGAAGCCCACGCTGCTCAGGGCACAGTCCTCGCACATCTCCAAAGCACGAGGCTGTAGTCAGACAAACTCTAGCTCCAGCCCCTGGACTGGGGGAGTCCGCTCAGCCTTTCACTGTTTGCATTCAGGGGATTCAGCCTGGTGGTTCAGGCCATTCAGATTTGGATTCTCCAAGCAGGCCATCAAGTGAATCTGTTCACAGCTCTGCCACCTTCTCTTGCGGTGAGGCTGTCAGTTTGGAAGATGAAGGCCCTACGAGCAATATAGGGAAGAGGAAAAGACAAAAATACCGGCCTAAAGACTACGTGGTAAATTTAGATGGACAGACTGTAGAAGAAGGCACCAAGCCAGTCAGGTTAAAAGACAGAAGACTCACATTTGATCCTGTTACAGGACAAATCAAAGCCTCCTGTCAAAGGGACTCTTCCCAGGAGGGTGAGGACACACTGGTCCACAGACCCGAGCAACAGGCAACAGACCAGATGAAGCAGAACCCTCAGATTGTCCCCAGTCCCTTTCAACAAACCGACTGGAAAGAGTTGTCTCGGAGCGAAATCATCCAGTCGTACCTCAGCCAGCAAAGCCACGTGCTGACATCCTCAGGCACCCACACCCCTGGAGCACACTTTTTCATGACCGAGTTCTTCAAAAAGGAGGAACATTTAATAATGAATAAAGATGCAAAGAATACGCACACGCTGGCTTTTGACAGCCTACCCAAAGAATTACCAGGAGTTAACAGAGAAATAAACAACGAAGACCTGAACAGATTACACACACAACACTGGTCTGGGGTTAACGGCTGCTTTGACACAAAAGGGAAGTGGTACGACTGGACCGAGTGCATCTCCTTAGACCCACACGGGGATGAGAGCAGACTCAACATACTGCCCTACGTCTGTCTGGATTGAAACTATCAGCTTTGTTATTGGAGGTTTTAAGTTGCCTTCACTGTGCAGGAGAACCGGCTCTGTGTGAAGTCACTGCTGCTGTTCAGTGCTGTTTTTGGGAAACGGGAGTAAATAGGCTGCTTATGTGGTTGTGACTTTCAGTACTGAAAGTGTAATCAGCTTTTCTTCAAGCTTTTATATCTTTTTGACCATACGTGCAGGCATTTAACAGCTAGTATTTACAAGGCACACAGAGGAGCAGCACTGAACACTCGGCATGGCCTCTATGGGAAAGCTTGTTTGAAAACATGCAGCGTTTTGTCCATCCTGTGTTAATCTTACACTGTTCTCAAGCTATGCGAAATGCACCATCTGTGAAACTTCTGCTTCCCTGCATTTTTAGTTTACAATAAATTATCTTTTAATTTAAAGTTTATTAAAAAAAAAAAAGTCAGTTTCCACCACATGCTTTTAATCCCTTTTGTTTGAATGCACTTCACACACAAACTCGTACTGATGGTCTTTTTTTTTCTCTCAAATGAATCTGCATCATGAAGAAGGTATTTTGCCTATTTAAGCTGTTAAGAACTGTCGGCAAGTAGTTTTCCAAACAGATTTGAGAGAAACTTTTATCAAAATTCACTTCTCTTATGCTCATGATACACAAATTAAATGTCAGCAATTTTTTTTGCAAGATTTGTTGCTAACATGTATGATATTTATTCACATGGATTTTTATGATTTATTAACATGTTTAGGCTACTTTAAATTATATGTGGAAAGAATTCTTCAGAATTGGTTTTGGTGATGGAGATGTCATAGTCCACAGGTTTCTCTGTTATATACCAAGATACTACTTTATTTTAAGCAGGAGAAATATTTTACGTTGACAAATGTGTTCTGATTTAGTTTAAAACATGCCTTTTTTTCTGTGTAAGTTGAATATGTTGTAAAACATTAATTGGAAAAGCAGATATCGCTACTTTGTACTGTCAGGGAAAACTATAAAAAAAACAAATTGACATGCTGGATAAACTACTTAAGAGCATTCCTTTAGATGTCGTTCGCCTTATGGAAACTTGTGATTTCCCAGAAGACAGAGCCTTAGTGAATGTACAGATATGAACTTTTGTGTTCAATTGAACACAGAAGAAAAAGATTTGCTACCTAGTCCTTTGAGTGGACATGTTAATGTGTTAATTAAAAAAACGAAAAAAAACAGAAGATTGTCTTTTCTATCTTTGTATAGTGATTGTCAGGATATGCAGACATTAATCTAACTTATTAATCATCTGTGATAAATCTCTACAATTACCACAATACTGAAAATGGAAAAGAAAGAAAATTAGCATTTCCAGTTTTTTTTGGTAAATACTACAAAGGAACACAGCTTATTCCCTTCTTGCTGTGATGAGATTTTTTTTCAAATCCCTAATACATCTAAGAGTTTAAACAAAATAGTACTGTTTTTAACTTAATTATTATAGTTCCTATACAAGCATGATTGCCATACTTTGAAATTTCTTCCGGATGTTTGTCTACGTCACAGACAGGCCCCGCCCCCTGGTGCAACCGGACACATCACCGGTGACTCGTCACTCCGCGCTGGAAGATGGCTGCGGTGGAACGGACCCCGGTTAGGGAAGGGATCCGGATCGCTGTACTGTGTGTGTTTTGGTATACGGTTAGCTCGGGGGGCAACGTCGTCAACAAAATTATTCTAAATGGATTCCCGTACCCGGTCACGGTCTCTCTCTTCCACATTATGTCGATCGTGGTCTTCCTTCCACCGCTCTTGCGGGCATGGGGTGTCCCCAAAACAGAACTACCGAGCAGGTACTACCGGTGGTACATTCTGCCTTTAGCTTTTGGAAAATACTTCGCATCCGTGTCGGCTCATTTCAGCATATGGAAAGTTCCTGTTTCGTATGCTCACACTGGTAAGTACGACAGCTCTGAGCTCAGTTTGGGTTTTTTTCTCTGCCACCTGGATCAAATCAGCCGGGATAACCTGATGATGTGTACGTACCGTCAGCTGGCATTAGCTTTGTGGCTAATGCTATCAACTGCTCACACGGATATTTAAATAACCTGAGGGCCTGTTGAGTTTGTAGGTCGTAAACACAAGACACATGAGGCTAATTATCGTACACTGAGCCCTTTAAGTGTAAATTAACCTGCTTTTGACTCCCTTATAGAGTAATAGGCAGCTGTTAGCCAACCAGATTTAAGCTAACAACATAAGTGAGCAGGGTCCGAAACAGAACCCAGTCTGTTTTGCAAACTGGGACATGCCTCCTAACTTTGTGTGACCGATTTTTCCTTCATTGCTATTTGGAAATTCTATGATTAATTAAATAAAATTTAACCATTCTTTAAACTGTCATCTGTGGCTCAGAGGAGAAAGAAGGAAAAGCACCAAAATAAGCAATGTTATATTTTACTTCCATCTCAAACAGTTTTTTAAAGAAGGTTTCTGGTACTATGCTTTATCAGAATAAAGCCGATTTTTTTAATAATATTGTATGATATACAAGAATAGACTTTTAATCATGATTTGCTGAAAAGCAGCATGAGGAAATATGGTGATAGTGACAAATTAAAAAGTCAATGTGTAAACACTATGGTGGATTTGCTGTTTTTGTGCCAGTTACTTTTAAGTAATTACAGCTTAATAACGATGAAGTTAACAGTTTAGGTTCCTAAAAGTGTTCACTAGAAATTCAGCGGAACTCCAGTGTTCAGCTCGCACGTTGGGTTTATGTCCATCTCATCCAGATCAGTAAGGATAAAATCAATCAATTAAAGGTTCTTTATTGTGTGCAATCCAATTTAACTACAAGTAGAGAAGATATTTTTAAAAAATCTGTAGGTTAGCTTAATACATGTATTTTTAAGTTTTCAGAGATGTTTGCATAAATGGATGCTACAAAGTTAATCTCAAAGCACAGTTTTTTTTTCCAAATCCCAAAGTCTAGTCACTTTGATTCCTCATAAAATAATTTTGCAGAGGTTGACACTACACCATAATGCAAATTGTCAAAATAATCTTAATTTTGCGAGCAACCGATCAAACTAATCACAGTTTGTTTTATAGTTTATATGCAGTTTATATTTCCCATTAAATCCCTTCCCATTACTTATTTAGCTACAGATGTTCTGTCAGGATTTGTACTGAAATCGCTAGTTTTCCCTACATAAACAGTTAGTTTAACTCAGTTACATTTCATCCAATCTAAACTACAATTAAGAAAAATTGGCACTAGTTGAGTATTAACCTAGCTTTGGTATCACTTCATCCATGTTTTGAAATAGCCAATTCACTCAGTGGCCAAGGATTAAACTCCATTTTCTCCTGTAATTCTGTTGTCATTTAGTGTTTTAACGACAGTTATCTGACACATCAGTACAGATATTGCCTCTGGTTGTCCTTGGTAGTTTTGATTATTTACATCTGATTGGCAGGCAGACAAATCATTAAGTTTGTTAATTGGATCCATCAATGTGTATATTGTACTCAAAGTTTATTTTGAGAGAAAGGGGTTTTCAGTTCTGCTGCGTATCTCAGGTGTAAAGTGAGCCTGTTCCTGAAACGGAACATAAGAACACGCTTGTTGACTGCTTGTTCTTCTGGTTTTATTGCTTTTAATGTCTGGTAGTATGCCCTCAACACTATTGAGAAATGCTTTGTAGATGACACATCAGCATGAAGCCAGTGGCATGTCAGTCAGCTCTAAAATTAGGCAGAGAAGTAGGGGCGTGTCAATCCCTGACTGACAGGTGTAGTGTTTGACGGAGGTGTGCGCCTGGCTCTGACGTACAAGCATTTTATTCTCCAAACTTCCTTCTTTTATGGTCCCACTGTTGCGGATAGTTTCTGTTAATTTCAAACTGACGTTCTTTTTTTATTTTCATTTCACAGTCAAAGCCACAATGCCAATATGGGTCGTCCTGTTATCAAGAATTATCATGAGGGAGAAGCAAACCACAAAGGTGAGTGGGTTCAGCACATAAAACACAACACAATACCCACTCTGTGTCAGTCTGTGTCTGAGACTCGGGCAGTGGTGATGTGGCACAGTAGCACACTGTGGCTGTGCTGCTTCTCGTCTTACACCCATGTCCAGGGGCTTTTGTTGCTGACATTTTGTGGGAGGGAGGAGGAAGACCAACTTTATTTCACATGGCTATGTGCACACACAGTGTATTTTTTCCCCGCCCCCTGTAAATCCCTGAACACGGAGATGTGATTTAGTTGAAGTTTACTCAATATGAACTGATCATTTGACCGTATTCTGTCAGGTCAAAGCTATGTGAAAGGAAAATTAATACAATGGACTGACAAACTTTATATATTTGAATGGAAATCATAATATTGATCTTTATTTCCTAAATACAATAAAATCAAACAGATAAATGAATGAAATAACACTAGTGTTACAGCTCATGACTAATAAAGTTAAAAGGCCACTTGTACTTGTACAGGTTGCACAGTAAAAAAGACGCCTCGAAGGGGCTGATTCTGATTCAATAAAGGGAATGATCTGCTGAACTCTCTAAAGAAATGTGGCAAAATAAGTCCACAATTTTAAAATGAATTTTTTTATTGAATCATAGAAAAAATGATAGGAAATGTGTAGTATCCTTGCATGATTCATAGCCTATAGAGATCTTTATACTTTAGACAAGGCTAGTGCAGCCCACTGCCACAGGAATCTTTATTTGATGTGCTTAAGGTCCCCAACTGCTGCCGGAGCAACAAATGTTGAACATTTTGGCAGCTCACAAATGCTCCTGAATTTTCCATCCCGATGAAGGTGCATTGTGCTGCCAAACGTGTGTAAGCAGACTTGTGGGTGTAACATAAGCGTGTCATGTTTACCTTACAGTTCAGTGTTCAGACAGACGCGCCCACAGAGTGTGTGTGTGTGTGCTTATGGTGTGTCAGAGATCCTGTTTGAGCAGCTGAGGACTTCTCTGAGTAGTAATAAAAGAATAAGTTCTACCTGATAGTTACTGAATTATTACTGTAATTAATTATTACTGTAATACTGCAGTCCAGTAAAAGATCACTTGTTGATAAGACCACACCACCCTCAAATACAGCTGAATAGACTCCAGCTTTTCAACGTAAAGACCACTAAAGGGCATCAGCTGGAACAAGATACGAGATAGAATTCCCATGTGCTTGTTCAGGATTGCCTGCCTCTCTGCACTTGTATTAGTGATGCGCAAAAACCTCGTTAACTTTCAGACTTGTTAGCTTGAACCCGTTGCTCCTGGGCTCGGATCCTTTCGGGCTTCTTGTTATGATCATGTTTAATCATCAACCGACGGAGCTGTTTAAAGGGCCTGAGTTCTACTTACCAGTTAATACTTAAATCTGACCTTTTTTTCCCCTTGTTTCTTTCGCGTGTGAAAACGAAACAGTTGATGAATAAATGAAGCAAACAAAGAGAGGATTCAGCTGGAATTCAGCATTTAGTGCTGTGTTTTCTCGGTTCCACAGTGAGTGGGAGCAGCAGTGGGTTTCATCACAAACTCGCGTCCTGTTCTCTTTCCAACATTTGCACTTTACTGTGCAATTAAAGCTCACATCTGTAGGCGGTCGCTTCAGATGATGGTCTTTGACTTGTCCTCGCTTGTTGATTTGAATCCAGTTTTACACAAAATCGTGTTTGGATAAATTTCTTGTGGTCCTGCTGAGCAGTTTGGATAAAATCTACAGATGCTAACGTACTTGTTGCCAACTCGTTTTAGTGGGGCTCTAACCGTTGCTTCAACTTTTTTCCGATTAACTTCAACAACTTCTTAACCTGAGAGTTTTTTCTCTCTCAAAGATTTGTGTGAATGTTTGGCACCCGACTTCTCTCAACCTTCAGTTTGCTCACGATAAGCCGCAGCTGCCTTAAAGGCTTCTGTTTATCTGCAGATTCTCACATTGTGCCTGTTTAGCAGAAAATAATCTCCTCATTCCATGTGAAAACAAAAGTTACCATGAATAACGCAAATCCAGTCGCTATTTGAAACCTGTATCCTGTGAGTGGCAACATTTGGACACTTTTTCCTTTCAAGCATCTTTGTAATCCCCTTAATATAACTTTTTATACATGTTTAGAAGAGTGTTATAAATTGGGAGAGGGGAATTATTACCCATTAAGCCCAATGGGATGTTTTCATGGTTAAGTAAGAATTTATTAACAGCCATAAACAATTCTACATGAAATGAAACCATGAGTAACTAGCTGCCATAAAAGTGTTGTGTTAGCATCTGTTTGACCTAACTCTGCCTCTCTGTATCTGGTCATAGGTGTATGTATCGCTCATCCCCATCATCGGTGGGGTGCTGCTGGCCACGGCGACTGAGCTCTCCTTCGATGTTTCTGGATTAATCAGTGCTCTGGCTTCGACGCTCTGCTTTTCCCTGCAGAACATCTTCTCCAAAAAAGTAAATGATCCTTGTGTTGTTTCAGTGAATAGGGTGGTTTTGCTGCCTCCTCTAAACCATTAGAGCAGCTAAATACTTTTTTATCGGCTGCTTTCAAGTGAAGATTAAATTATGAATGCAGTTTGGGTCTGCTGGAAAAACAGACAATACTTTTTATTTCTTGAAGAAATAGTGGCTTTTATGTATGTTGAAACTTAATGTCACGGATGTTTTTTCTTCCCCTTGGAAGGTGTTGCGTGACACCAGCATCCACCACCTGAGGCTGCTCAACATCCTGGGCTTCAACGCTGTGATTTTCATGGTACCCACATGGGTTCTGGTGGACCTGTCTGTGTTTCTTGTGAACGGGGACCTGGTAAGTCCGAGGCCACTTGAAAGTTTCCCATTTGCATCTTTTGGGTATCTGACCCCGACTGCTTTCCTTTCAGTCGGAGATCTCAGGATGGACGGGTACTTTTGTCCTCCTCCTCATCAGTGGCTTCTGCAACTTTGCCCAGAACGTTATCGCCTTCAGCGTCCTGAACCTCGTCAGCCCCCTCAGCTACGCCGTGGCCAACGCCACAAAGAGGATCATGGTCATCAGCATATCTTTGTTTATGTTGCGCAATCCGGTCAGCCTCACAAATGTTCTTGGTATGATGACGGCCATTGTCGGGGTCTTTCTTTACAACAAGGTGAGTCGTGTAAGTAGGAGGGCGACGATATACCAGTTCCGATCGACTGGCTTGCAGATTTAGATGCCGAGGAATCGATCAGCCACTTAAAACCCTCTCGCTCTTTTCCCTCTGTCACCAGGCCAAGTATGACGCTAACTTTCACAAGAAGCTGCTGCCAAGCACCAAACAGGACACCACGGGGTTCGACAACCCGGCGCTGGAGAAGATCCACGCCAACGGGTCAGTGCCTTTCCCCCGCGGCTTGGAGCAGCAGCACAACTGGAACAACGTGCTCACCGACCACTTCCAGTACAGCAGGCAGACCTACACGCCAGAGTACAGCAGCAACCACCAGTACGTGGTGTAACCTCGCTCCCGACGGCTGTGGCAGACCCGCCTGCGCCTAGCTGCCCTCCCAGCAGCGGGTCTGTGCGCCCGCTCCCAACCTAAGACTGAAGGCAAGTGCTGTTTGCGTCAGAAAGCAAAAGTAAAAGTGAGATGAGGTGGTTGTGATGGGACCGAGTTTTGAGTTCTTCCTTCTCTAAACTTAATTTCCTTGCAGCCATGCTGTCAGTTGTTTTTTATTTATTATTTTGGAATAGACTGTAAAAAAAAAAAAAAGGCTTGATGGAGGGAAGCTAAACATTCATCAGCCATTGAAGACAATTAGGTGACAGGTTAAGTCATGTTCTCCACACATTTAGATGTGCCACTGTGTGTAAATGTCTCAGTTTCCTGGAATAATTTGGCTTTGCTTTCACAGCCAATCATGATCCGAGTGGGATTATTCAGTCATCAGTCTCCTACGATATTCTCTGCATTTTACTTTTTTTTTTTTTTTTTCTCGGCGAAACACTTCATTTGTGAAGGGACAAATAGTTTGCTTTTGATGAGTAGATCTGAAAACTTTAGGGGAATGATTCAAAAGTCAACATTGAATGAGGTTGGTTTTGAAGTCAATTCTATTTGAGCCATTAAAAAAGCTTTAATGTGTTATGAAGTCATGAGGACGGTTTCTGATAATGTCTTTTTCTTTTTTTTTCTTTTTTTGTTTTTGTTGGGGGGGGGGGGGGGTGGGCTGGTAATGCATCCCACTCTGTGGTGAGCATGAGCTTTGAACAACTGCCAGATTCAGGCTGTTTACAACTGAGAACAGGATGGGATCCTATACAAATGGTGTGTTACATTGGAGAGAAGCTCGTATAGCTGCTGCCAGTAAAACGATTTGTGCTCCAAGTTGTCCTCTGCAGCAGTGACAGGCTCGGCTTTGTGTTTGGCCTTTCAAGTCGGCCCTCTCTGTGGAGAACCGATGCCGGTTACCCGGCTTTACCTTTGGCTACATAAAAGGTTTCTTTCCTCTTGTAGTCTGTGAATGTTCTTGGCTAAACCCTCATTTGTCCCTGTATCAGGTGGGATGAAATCAGAAGTGGCGCGCCCTCAGTGTAAGGTGATCTGAAATAAGTTTAGTTACACATCAGATTCTGTGAATCTGAGCCAGACGTGCAGACCGCCGTGGCCGCTCCGGTCTGAGGGTCTTACCTTTAGATAAGTTGTTTTTGTAGCCATCGAAGATAGATCTAATGATGGTAATATCACTTGGGTCTTTTGTTTTCAGTACGAAACCTATCAAAACATATCAAATCATATCTGTCTCTGAAAATAAATTCTTACTTTTAATCAACAGAGAATTTTGTTTGGTGACATAAAGCCTACAGAACTAATTGAATAAAAAATTGAATCTCCATCTTTAATCTTTGTTTGGAAGTGATTAGCAAATGCATTGGATAAATATGGGTTCACCATTGAAAATTAGCATTCAGACATCAGTATTTAGTGCAAATTGAAGGTGAATAAATGAATTTCTACACTTTTACAGGCTCCGTCCATGGATGTGTGCATAAACCTGAGCTTCAGCTGTATACTCAGTTCGACTACTATAAACTCAAATCTACATGAGCCTGTCCACATTGAAATGACACAATAAAGAAAAATACTGAAAACAAATCTTTTAAGTCTCTGTTGGAAGCTGAAGTTCATAAACTCTGAAGATTCGGATCAGACAGAGTTAAGTCCTCTGTTTTTTTTTTTGTTTTTTTTTTACCTGCTATTTATGAGAACCCGCTTCTCTTAGAAGTCTTTTTGAAAACACAAAGTGTTTGTTTCTTCGGCTGAAGAGCGAGACCAGTTCTGTTACTCGGAAGGTCAGTGACCTCTTCCAGTTGGCTCTTTTTTATCAGTGGGACAGAGACGGCATCACCCGTTATCACGAGGTGGTACTTTTGTAGAAAGTTAGTTGGTGAGTAGATTTTACCCGAAACATCCTAATGTGAAGAAGAGCTGCTGTCTGCAGTGATGACTTTTGCTTCTTTTTTTTATCAAACAGGCCAACCACACAGAATACCCTCATCACCATTAAGCTTTAGATGCTTTAGACACAATAAAAAGATTGTTGGTGCTCTTTGATCTGCTAAACATCTGTGGAAGAGATTAATTTGATCTATAAGGACATTTTTCTTTTCTTTTTTTTCTTTTCCAGTTGCTCTGAAATGTTTTTTTTTTTTTTGTTTAATCATATGTCTGTCAGGTTTCCACATCTAGAAACAGCTAAATGGTTTTTTGCACATCGCTATCTTCCTAACGACCCTTTCTGGGTCCCCACCATGCGTGGTTTTATTTGTTCTGTCATCAACTGTAATTCTTTTCACCATCATTACTGATTTGTAGTGTTTTTAGATGCGGTTTTAGATCCGAACACCTTAGTAAACATATTTTTTTTCTTGCAGAACTTGCTCATGTTATTTGCGTGCACCCTAGCCTGTTAGTTTCTGCTGGTGTGCCCTTTTCAAGATATAGCTCTAGGGGGCACTGTTATTACACTGTCGTAATGTGGTTCTCTGCCTCCCTTTTCTGACCACCAGAAACACTGTCACAAAATTCAGTCTGATGAAATGATGTGATCTCAAATGAAAGATCATTTCCTTCTTGATTCACGTAGAATCTTATTTTAGACGGATAGATTAATAAAGTAAAATTGATTTTGAAACACCTTTTTAAGACGCATTGGACTTTTACAGCAGGTCTATCATTTATTCTGATGTGTTTTTTGTCGAGGCCCCGGCTGTAATCGTGTGTTGATTGTTGAATGTGTTGAGGAGGCATTTTGGTTTTAATATGTCGTTTTATGATTCTAAACTTAATAATGTAATGTGGTCAGCATGAAAATAAGAAACAAAAACGAATTTGAGTCTCAGAGATATCGGTCACTTCTTTATTCTTGCTTTTTTTTTTACATTCATAGAATGTTGGGATTGTAATCCTTTTATTTTCACTGATCTACAAAATGGCTTAAAATGACGGTATAGTGGGCCAGTGTTGCTGGAAGGGCAGATCCAGGGGAGAATTACCCATCCACCCCAGCTGTTCTGAAGCATTTTGGTCTCACGTACATGGTCTGATCAGTTCCTGCACATAGCCATTTAAAATCTTCAAAAATATTACAAAACCTACATTTGGCAGCTTTGAAGCCAAGTTTTTTTTCCATTTTAGAAACCAAAATCCTAGTGTTGAATTAGAGTAAACTGTTTTGTTGCAAGAAGCATTTCTTGATATTTCGCTATGACATCTGTTCTCTTTCTAGCACTGTTCTAAAAGGACTTCTTCATGAACCTCTCAGTATTTGGCATTATAGAAATCAAGAGAGATTTTTTTTTAACACCAAAAAACGTTTAAGTGATAAAAGCTCTAAGGCAGAATATTGATCTGAAATCCTGTCTTCATCGTATGCAATAAATCAAGTTTAATGCGACAAATCGTGCAGCCTCAGGACATCAATTGGAACATTTAAGAGAATAGGGAACATTTTTCTGCCCTAAAGCTAAGTTGATTTTATCAGATAAGAAGTTATGTGGTTAAATATTAACAGCAGTTTGATGCTGGTGTTCAACTTGACATTGGCATTTGGCAGAAACAGGCAACGGGTTTATGATCGGTAATGTTTCTAGATCCTCTTGTATTTCTGCATTTACTTTCCTCCTGTTGCCAAAAAGCATGTTGTAAATTTCTTTCACATTGACGCCCCACAGAAATGCGGCCTTGTTTGCAAGAAGGCGAGAAGTAGAATTCATAACATGCAGGACTCTTGCATTGTTTTTCTGGTGTGGGATTCTGTACAGAGAGCTGACGGGACTTTGTTGGCTCTGCTATAAAGCTTTTCACTGGGTGTAAATGATCATCAGTATAGAAAGGGGAAAGAATTCTTTGTAAAACTTGTAAAATTATTATTTTTGGTGTGTCTTCAATGGATCTTGAGAAAGAATTTTTACTTAAACGATGTTTATAGATTTTTATTTATGGTGTCGAGGTACAAAAATATTGTACAGAGGTGCAGCTATGCACAGTCTGGCCTGCTTATGTTTAGTAAATATTTTTGATTGTTGGAGAATAAATGCATCATGGAACATTGAAAATGACTCGTTTCTTTTTTCTAAACTTAATCTCTAAAAACGGTCTACAACCCATAACCACGTCAGAAGAATGAGACAAAGCTCACACTTTAGGTAGATATAGAATAAAATCTATGTTGCAGTGTTCAAGATAATCCAAAAACAAGTTTAAACTGATTTATTTAGCCTTATCCTTAAAGATAATTCCTTAGTTGGTTTATTCTGTCTTTCTGGTAAAAACCAAACAAACTGGCTATAGACAAAATGAAAAACTCAAGAGAGTTTTAAACATGGTTATCGATTAAGAGTGAGGATCAAAATATGTAAGATAAGTTCAACATGACTACAAAGAGCTTTTCGGGTTTGTTCACATAGGTAACACACAAACCAGCGCGGTCTGATTCAGATTCACTGGATAGTAATCAGTACTCTTTAATAGAAACAGATATCAGCAGCATGTTTGGGTCAGTGCAAAACATTTTTTTCATCGTCATTCCTAATACAAAAATAATTTAAGGACAAAACACAACAGAACACATAAATATTCTAATAAAGCCAGAAAACCCACATCACAACAGTAACCAAAACCATAACATTATCTTTCGAAGCACAAGGAACAGAAACAAAACATTTTACTGTTGGATGATTAGTATTTGGCTTTATGAATTAGAAAATTGTGCTTGACTTGTGACATTTTAAATCTTATTTGATCTTTTTTGTTGAACATATTCTACCTTGCTGTGCTCTCTGGCAATGCTCTTTCTACTTAGTAATTAACAATGAGGGAAAAATATTGACCCTTTTTGTAGGAAAAAAGAAAAAAAAGGATTTATATCCCATTTTTGTGTTATCGGAGGCACAGACGTAACACATAATATTAGTTGACCTTTTGAAAACATTATAGAAAAACCCTTAGGCTTTAAAAAGCCTTCTGAAACCTGTTAAAACCAATGTCTGACATTGGTCTCAACTGGTTAAGAGATGCGCTAGTGTTGGAGAATGTTCCTCATTGATGTCTAAAACCGTCACTCCTGGTACAGAAAACATCATTCGAACCATGCTGTTTGAAACAGGCTGCTTGCCTTTGTGCGGGAGCTGATTAAATGAACGTATTGATGTGGTGGAAGACAGGACTGGACGCAGGTGGGCTCGGTGATAAATATTTGACAGAGGCTGAAATAGCAAACAGTTTGCTTATCTGGAGTAAAACTTGTATCTGTAACGTGAAAATCCCAAGGTGACTGCGTGGAACGCGGAGAGGCACAAAATATAGCCCAGTTAGTGTCTCCTAATTGCACTTTAATGATTACGTTAGAGTCAAACTATTTCCGTGCTTGTTCCTGGAGGCCGGCGCCACAGTCAGGAGACCGTTCTGCTTTTATTTAATGAATAAACCCGGAAGCTCCATACGGCTCCTGTGCAAAGGTGCTTTCCGCACTCATCCTTGGCTCTTCTGTCGCGCTGGCACGCCACAAACGGAGTCTGCAGCCTGTCGTGAAGCTGCTTAGGGCACACTTTCACAGGTTTCACCGTGTGCTGAGTCGGCAAAGTCTTAAGTCTGGCAAAGGCCATCCATGCCACAGTGAGTGAACGTTACAGTAGCAGGCAGCTGAGTGAGGATGTTTGCATTGCACATCAGCTGAGTGAACACATGGCCGTCCCCCGTCATATCAGAGCACAGCAGACCCATCTGTGGCGAGGGAGAGGAAGTGTTGCCGGGGTTGGTGCGCCGCCTGGTTAAATTGAGCAACTTTCGAAAAAGGGATCTCCGGAGGAGGATGTAGATCCAAGGATCCAGAATGGGGTTCAATGAGGCATACCTTATGGCAGAGAGATCTGCTTTGTAGTCATTTTTGACGCGGTTGGCAAACACACGGACCTAAAGAACAATAACATGTCATCACTATTCCTACTTTAATCAAGACTCAATGTGCATTTACCATGAATACATGATGATTCAAATCACCGGTTTTGTTAGAGACATCAAGAGCTCCACTGTATTTTCTAGAAGTACAGATAATGACCAAAGTGTAGTTTTAAGTTAATATTCTAACCATAATGTGAGACTACAATATTGAAAGCTGGTAAAACAGATTCACTTTAACAATAGAAACGTCACTGGGATAAGTTCTAACTATTATTGCATCAGAAAAAGTAATTCATTTGGATATTAGAATAATTCTCATCACCAATTACATGGCAAAACCCCTCATGGAAAACAAAAACAAACAAACAAGCAAATAAGAACAGTGTAGACACGGGGAAACGTTTGATAATCACTCACCACCAGTGGGGACGAACAGGTCAGAACCACCACGGATGTCATCACCAGCACCGCGATCATCTGCGTCTCTGCCGCGGAGGACAGCGCCCTCCACCTGTCCCGGACGCTGGTTCTGGTGACCGGCCGCTGGACGGTCCTGCGGCGCATCAGCAGCAGCGTCCCGCACACCGCCAGGTTCAGCGCGATGGTGCCCAGGATCAGCAGCAGGCTCACCACGCCGTACAGGACAGAATACGCGGCGGCCACCGGCTCCCGAGTCCTCCAGTCGATGAAGCACCAGGTCCTGGACTGCTGCAGCTGGCTCTCCACGATGCCCATCATGGGGAGGCAGCAGAAGAAGCTGTGACTGATGTAAATGAAGAAGAAGAACTTCTGCGCAAAACGACGGTCCACTCCCCACTGGTGGTAGGTGTACGGGCAGCATATGGCCAAGTACCTCTCTGCTGCCATGGTGCATATGATGCTCAGCCCGGTCAAACTAAAAAACAGCAACAAAAAGGACTGAAACTTGCACACGTTCACGTCCTTCAGTACACCCGGGTTCAGGTAGTTGGCTATGGTTACCGGGCTGGCCAAACATGTGCCCAATAAGTCCGTAACCGCCAAACCGCACACCAAGGTGTAGAATGCCGAGGTTTTTTTCTCCTGTCGCGATACTGAAAGTACGACTATCGCAATCAAATTTCCAATAGCACCACCGGCAAACATAAAAATCGGTAAAGCGATTTTTTCCCCAGTCGTGGGTAGGTCCGGCGGCAGCGATTCATTGACAACTGGACCGTGCGTAAAGTTCGGACTCTCCATAGCCAAGAACTCCCAAATGCTGTCGTTCGTGAGATACATTTCCTTTGGTCTGATGCGTCCTTGGAAGAGCGTTTCCCCCTTAAATTCTCTGAATAAGATTATCAGCAATCGACAGGGGGTGTTCTGTGGGAGCCAATTCCCCTCTGCTTTCCAGTAACCGACATCGAGCACAGGCGTCGCTGCGCGCAGCCGCGAACTTAGAGGTGGACCGTCATGTCATGAACCCACCGTGATAGATGGGAATATTTGGAGAGACACACACACACACACAATTTCTTTAAACGTTTCTGCTCCAGCTATCATCTGACAGTTAGTACAGGCGTCATCACAGACTTGTGGTGTTTGCAGCAGGCTCAGGAGGTCAACTTGACGGGTGGATGCGTAAATACAGAAACTAGAGAAAGACGTAAGAAGCTCTATGTCGTATCTACTGTCTATATGATATCGTTTAAAAGTCAGGAAAAAAGTTACATTAAAGAGGTACTAACTTAAGGATTAGACATTCTCTTAAACACTTTTGTCTTTTGTATAATAACTAAATCTATTTATTAAAGAAATAGGAGCCATACAAATGTCCATAGCTCAAACCGGTTAAATGTGAGCTCTCCAGCTATTTTTACTAGTCTTAGATATAAGTTGTGCAGGGTTTACACATGGAGAAATTCAAGTAAAGCATATTTTCAAAGCATAATCAGACCAACAAAAAGCAGACAAGCCTGAAAATGAAAACGTCTCTCAAAATAAAATTGGTGCTCATGAAGCATGGCTACAGGAAGACAGCAGATCATTTTCAGGAAGTAGCTGTTGACAGCATTAGAGCAGTAGTTCACAGCAAAAGTGGTCAAGTTGAGGGCTGAAAGATTTTTGAATGAAATGCTCTGGAAATCTAACATTATTGTAAAAAACAGACATTCCCATGGTGTCACGAAAAACGCTCCAGAATTGTTTGTATTTTTTCTTGTGTACTCACAGTATTGAACTTGCGCAATGAAATATACGTCCGGTGTTCACCCATATTATCTCTACGCGATAACATTAATCTATAACATAGGGTTCCACCATGACATCATTCCCCCTGAGTCATGACCATTTTAATAGGCTGTTTTTAAAAAAAGAGCAGAAGATGCTATCACCTTGCTGATTCTCATTCAAACTCAATTTCAAAGGTTTCTCCTTTTATTCTTTGATGTTTTTTGGTTGATGGTTAGAAAATGTACATTGTTGGGGCTCATAGACTTTATTTTGCCCCAATTTTTCCAACCGTGAATTGTGAAACTGCAGGTTTTGGACATTAGACTGGGCTGAACACCCGAATACCCAGAATTAGTAAATGTTTGTTTCTGCTAATACACCGGGACAAGATTTTTTCCGCTTTAGAAATCCTTCCCTCTGGAAGTTAAATTGTTACCATCTGAATATGAACAAGCTTCTCCCAGAAAAGGAGACCTTATGTATGGTTTTACTTTGATGAATTGAAGTCAACAAACAGAAGGTAGAACTTGGAATTGTGTCAGGGATTGTCCTGGCTCTTCAAAATATTTATTAATATCCCAAATCCCAAAGAGGTTATTTCCATATTAGCTAAATGTTTCTGATTTTGAAAAACTTTTCCCAGATTAGTTCTAGCTTTAGTTTCTTCAAGTTTGTTTGGTCGGCGATGATCTGAATGAGGTGCTGAATGATGCTCAACAGCCTTCTTCCAGAATTGTCTCCATGTTGTGTTCTGTGTTTCCCGGCTTTGTCCCGAACGGCTTTGTCCCAAACGCAGATAACTGTAACCGGTCGCGGTGATAGCGGGAACATATGGGACGTCAGTGCACTTAGCACACTCTGGCTCCGCAGCCATCGCACATTCATTACAGCATGACTAATGTTTACGTTGAGGAGCAGCAGAGAGCGTTCTGTGTCTGCCGTCGACCGTAAAACACAAAACACAACACCCCTACCAGAGGTAAGCCGCCACTTCTCATGGCTGCTGCAGACAAAAAGAAGGTGGCAGACTCTGAACAGCCAACTGATGTCAGGATTTAGACAGGTCAAACGCACTGACTATGACTCACTGAATGTTCAGGACCTCCCTGTCTAGTTTACAGTGTTCTTGAATGTCTAAATGCAAAATATAGCATCTGTGTTTGGGCTCAGCAGTGGTCCCAAGCTGTAAAAGTATGCTGCTAGATGAGTAATCAGTCCAGCCATACAAGTCACAATACCATAAAGGTCATAAAAAAGTCATCTTCTCTTTACAAAAGTTCGCCTTCCCTTAACTGACTGATGAGTCAGCACTTAAAGAAACTCACTGCTATCAAAACAATAAATGATGCTTCTGTTTTTTGTTATTGTTTGAGATCATTTTGTGCAGATATCACATTAAAAGAGAGGAAGTGTTTTGATGTGCAAGGAATAAAAGTGTCACAGCGAGTTGTAAATACTTTAATGGAAGGGTTTTAATGCGTTTGAATGCCCAAATGAATAATAACAGAATCATATAAGTGGGTAAAAAGAGTCAAGTGAAAGAGTTTGTACAAATGCAGGGTTTTACTTAGACTGCGTTTAATAGCTGAGGAGATACAGAGAAGAGATACTCGGGACTGTGAAGGGGATATTCTCAAAGGCCTTATGAGCAGCATGTCTGTCAACGATTAGGCTGATAATCTGCTAATCTTTTTTTCTTTGAATCTGTTATTCTTTGCCAAATGCTTGATGAAGTATCTGGCTCTTTGGCTGTCATGATAATAACCGAAAGTCCTCTAGTCCTTGCGTTCCAAGAGATATCTTTGTCCCAGCTTTGAAGGCTTTTGATGCATGATGACTGAAGGGATTTGAAGAAGAAGGAAAACTGAACAACCGAACTCTTTTGTTTCCAAAAATAATTTAATATTGCATCCTTGGGCTTAAAATGTCAACAGTTTTTGGCAAAAGTTACATTAATAGATTTTTTTCAGATATTAATTCCAAAAGTCAGAGTTCTGTAAGGGGTTGAATTTCATTATTACTTTTACTGAGCCAGGTTAATATACCAATACCCTGAAAGTAAAATTTACATACAAACCATCATTCTCATGGGCTTTCTGTGTAATGAATATCAAAATTAAAATAAATAATCATGAGAGAATTTCCATTTAGAGTTCAGTTTTAATTTTTTGGTGTACATTGTGGTTGAAAGTTTCAACAGGTGCTTAAATTCATTCATTTGACTGCATTTGTATCTGTATTTGCATTTAATGAAAAACGACATTTAGAATTTCAGTCGGTAATGCAAAATATTCTGTTAAACATGGTAGATGATTGATGACTGTTTAATGCTCCTCTGTGCGAGTAGAGTCACATACACTGTCATTTTTTACAACAACGTGTTAATGGTTATTTTGATGCACATTAAAATGTGAAATATATTCATTCTATTTTTTGATGAATAACACACACTGCACGAATTTTTAGTTAAAAATAAAAGGCATTGAAGTCTGGTGTTGGTTTCACTTTTTTTCAAATAAAGCTTTTATGTTTTTATGGGCAGAGAATTTTGGTCTTTAATCCCACTCAGACTTGTTCACTTTATTTTGCTGTAGCATCAGTCTGGGTAAAATAAGCCACACAATCTCTGGGAAAAACTGAGTTTTTTTTCACATTTGATCTGTTTTGTTTATCAAATGAGGTTTAGACTGGGTTTGATCTGATCAAAAGGTTATGGGATTCCACCACACAAAGCAGAACATGTAATCCTCAAGTTGATGTCTGATCAGGAAACATGCAAATGCAGCAAATTTTCAAAAGGGGATTGTTGGAAACATTCAGCAGAAACACAGAGAAAGGGTCAAAAGATGACAATGGGAAGAGTCACAACATATCCTTTTTAGACAGTTTTACGCGTCACATTTCCATGAGCTTTGGAAAAATGTTGGATAAACATTTTGTGTCATTGTTCTGCAAGCCTTTTAGAGTCATTTTTGTTTTCATCCTTTCAGTCTAACGTGTAGAAATGATGAACAGGTTATTTAATCATGTGTCACTTCACATCAGACTGCCAAAATATGGAACTTTAGTCTGCATTTGCACCTTAGGGTATAACATTGTGAGTGAAACTAATCCAGTTCATAAAGTCATACAAGATCATTCCTTTATCAAGCTGAACAACGAAATTCCCAAAACAAACAACTGATGACTAAGTGGTGAATACAGTTTTTAGTTCAGGCGCTGACTCCTCAGCCCCATAAGAGCCCATTCATTGCTGTGCGTCTGCATGCGTCACATCTTTTTTTTACCCTTTTACTCAACGTTGGGAAACGGGAGAAAAAGAAACACACCAGAGGAAATTTGAAACCTTGTCAGTGTTGAGATGAAAGCATTTTCGATGACCTTTTCCGAACTGTCTTTTTTTCTTTCTATTTCGTCTATTAAAATGATTAAATCTGGTATGTAAAGTCCTCAGGTTACAAAAGTTTCAATCAGTCATCTTCTCCAAAAATTCTGATTCCCTCTAATTTTGAGGAGATCTTGGGAAAGCTGCATCTAATCTCAGATGAAGCACTTCCTGCCTTAGAGAGGATTCATGATTTAGTCCTACCCTTCAGAGAAAATGTTTTTGCATGGAGAAGCTTCCTTGCTCATCCTTGTATGTCACAAGTGATCCGTTCTGTAAATATTTGTTTGGGAAAGTGCATCACTTGTAATTTAAAACCTCATACCAGAAGGGTAGGCTTATACCTGGAGAGAAAGTCCCATCATGTAAAGTTGATTTAGAGTTAGCCATATTCTTTCTAGTGTGTTTTAGCCCATGTGACTTGATTGATTTATTTCTTGTCTTGTTTCCCCGTGTATTAAAAACCTTTTGCTTTCATGAGCTTTCTTCAAGTTTCACATTAAGAATGTGAAAAATGATAGATATGACCAAAATCTTGCAGTAAGCCAATCAGAACTACTTTGGAGAAGACATGGCCTGATAAGACATCGTCTATCAGGACTTTCTATTTTAGAAAATGACAAAACTCCCTGTGACTCCAGGGTTGCATGAGGCCAAATACATGCCTGAATCAAGAAGGAGAATTTGCGCTAATATATGTATCAAACTGGATGTAGTGTTTCTACACAACTTTTTTTTTTTTTAGATTAATTGATCTCTAAAAAGTCATGACATCATGACATGGATTGTCACCTTTCTCTCCTGCTCCTGCTCAGGCTTTCCATGAACTCCAAATACTTTACCAATACCCTTTAAATTGGGCTGATGTTCAACAAAATATGACCTACGGTTGGTCTTTGAGGGAATTACATAACCTCAAATGCATCCTCGGAAAAGGGAGAGTCTATGGTCTATATTTGTGACTGGAACCTCTTCAGTCTTACAAGATTTCCCATGCAGCTGAGCCTCCCAGAGGATGTTAATATATCACCAGTGAGTATGCAGCCTGGCCTTTGACTCCTGCAGGCTGAGGCTATGAGACGAGCCAAGAAGCAGTCTCACAAAGAGGACTCACTTCCAGCAGGTGAGGTGGATCCAACACTTTTTCTTCGGCATGGAGGACAACAATGATTACAAATCTTCTATTTTTTTATCCCGATTTCACTTTGAGACCTATGCATTGTTTGCATCTTGCTAGCAGCCAAGCAATGTTACTGCTCCCTTGTTTTCACAGGGTCCCAAGCCCCCACGTTGTAATTTTCCAAACAACAACTTGATGGAATCGGTGCGAGAGGCCTGGAGTTGTCCGGCAGCCAGCCAAACTGCTGTCACAGCCAGGCCGCCCCCCAACACAAGAGGTATTTGGGTTTGGTTTCTGTTGACCGTCATATTATTCTCAAGAGAATATTATGTCAGTGCTGCTGAATGTATTTCCAGTGAAAATGAAGTCAAATCCACATTTCTTGTAAGATATTGAAATGGTCACGTGGCATCATTAATCTTTATTTAATTGCTGGGTAATCTGTGCTGTCTGTTTTTAAATAGGAAGGCGAGAGTCTCTCAAACTGCCAAAAGCCTTCCTCTACTTCATCAATCTCTTTAGAGAGAAATGTGTGTGAAAAAATATGAGAAAACCCAGAGGTACAACTTATTACATCACAGGAGTCATGCCGGTTTAATTGATAGAAACGACAACATAAACATTTAGTTGAATAAAACTTTTTCTCTGTGCAAAATGAGCTGCTTTGTAAAGAAGTATCATATATATCAACATCAAAGTAAATCCCACTTTACCAAAAATGGAAATAGTGGAAGGAAGGCTGACTAATCGAAGCCCAGGAGGGTCCTGGGACAGTGTGTTTGTTAATTGGAGGGGAAAAGCGAGAATCCTATAAGGCTGTTTGCCTTTATCTTCCTTACTTGCCTTACTTTCTCGTTTATGTACCTCTGAGAGGCTTCCAGCTGTTCCAGCTGCTTTAGAGACATTATAGGGCATGGTTATATTGAGCAGTGTCTTCCTGGATGCCCTCTAACATGCTTCCAGGGATGTGAACTTTCATGTCAAGTGAATTCAAGTCTGTTTACTCCATTTATATAACCTAGCTCCATCAGCAATGTCCATTTGAAAAATGACTGTTAGTTCAACTAAGTGAAGGATCCTTCTGAGCAAGATCTTTTACACATTAACCTTTATAAACAGTGAGGGTTTCATATGAAACAAAGTGCACTTCTGCAGTCACACTTTCAGAATTACATACTGAAAGAAGCCCTGTAAAAAACTAATAAAAGTGAAGAATGTGATGATGTGTCCTGAATCACTGTGGAAGGATGCAGAGTTGAAAGTCAAAAGTGAAGGATTACATTTATTGACAGTAATATACCACTGAAGTTAAGTTTCTAAACAACAAACATGTTGTGGCAAATGAGATGTTTACATCTAGCTTTAACAAAATGTTTAAATTGGGAAAAGGTAAATAACGTATGTGTAATAATATAGTTTAGATGACATGACATGTAAATGAAAAGAAAAGCACACAGGGGTGGGTTTGACACTGATGAATTTCCTAAAAACAGAGCCAGTATCTTTTCAAATGTGAGTCAGAATATAAAATGTTATATAAAGCAAAATATAAAACAAATAAATAGAAATCTACTAATTGTTCTAAACGTTTTCTCTATGTAATTTTCTTTGGCAATTATTTGTTCTTTTTATCTTTGGTGGGTAGATCTAAAGGTCCAACATAATGAATAAAATGCTTTTAAGGAATTTCTTGGCTGAGTTCCCAAACCCTATGCTTGAACCGTTTCCACTTGTCACAGACTCATTGCTCATGCAGACAGATTTATTTGCAGGTTGGACAGTGACAAACATGTGAGCTGAATCAATCTCAGAGCAGCACATGACCCCAATAATTTGTGTTTTGGAGTCTAAAGTTGACTTCACATTCTGGTGTGTAATGCTGTACAACATGCTGACTAAGCATCATTCAAGTTGTTAACTAACTTCATGACTAAAAGCAGTTGAACACTACTGCGTAACACGAGTAGAGCAGTTTAAGAGTGGACTTCAGTGACAAAAAACATACTGACATTTCTATCAGAAGATTGCCGGTTTTATTTCAGGAAATGAGATAAAACATTCACTAGAGATCAGTTAAACACGGGGTCCATATTTGCTGCACACTAAGAACATGTAAACACGCTCATACTTTAGGAGGGACATTAGCCCAAATATTTACTGGCATTGAACACAAAAATGCCTGTTCTGAAGTTTGTGCAAACACATGTAAATAAAACCCAACCATCACAATAAACGATATGCATATTAATAAGGAGCAAAAGTTCAAAATCACTCCAAAAAATGATTAACAAACGCAAATGCACAGTATACACATATGCACATTTCACTTCTCCCCATTCTCTGATCTCTATCCACTCTCAACATGATTCCCAGGAACGTCTGACTCTCAGTCCCGTTACCATGGGGATGGGGTTCGTTACAGGGCCAAGCTGATAGGCATGGACACGGTCCCTGGTGCACAAGGACAGAAAATGTGCTTGGACTGCATGATGAAACTGAAGGTAGTAATTCGTTCACTGCCAAAATAAACCTAAACCTGTCAACTCCTCTTCACAGCTGCCATTTAATCTGACTGAAAATGTAAGATAAATACAAGTTTGATGCTGAATGACAAGTAAGATTCAAATCTGACATCGGCGGATGTTTGGACTTGTATTAAGTCTTTTTCAGTGATCGTGGGTTTGTTTTGTCCGTCACACTGAAACGCTGTTCAGACTTTGACGGCATGTCACACGCTAAGCCAGCAGCTCCATTAACCCCAGTCTCTGATAACAGACCTGAAAATCCAGCATGTAGGAATCTGTAACATCGAGGTACGATGACAGAGTAAACTGCAACCTGCAGCCTCTTATCTTTCCTCGCAGTGTGTGGGACGATCTGTGCAGAGATAACATCTACTGTAGTGTATTTTTCTATCCCCTGTCATTACTTAATGTCAGATGCAGGATGCTAAGAATCTTTCATGAGTTAGATATGTCAACTGACAAATGTGCATGTTAGTCACTGAAATTAACATTAATTGTACTAAAAAGCAGCACTTTTGTCTTTGTCAGTTACAAGAAGTTACATTAATTCCATTTTTAAGGGGTTGAGCGGTGCTGTCTGTTGTGGGTGATGTCTACACGGCTGCTCTGCTTATTGGGGCCACCATGACACAGATTTATCTGATCAGTTGTTAAAATTAAAGAGCTGAATACTGCTACATGGTAAAAGAAAGCAAACAGTAAAAATGAGGAAATCATTTACTTAGAGTATTTTCTCCCCTCTCTTATCAATGTTCCACTGTGAGTTGAAAAAAAGAGCAGTCATGAGCTAAATCAGGTGTAAAGATAGACAGGGCGTTTTATTTATAGTCTCCTGTTGCATTATCCTTCTTTAAATTTGAGGACTGAATAGAGTTTGTATTGCTGTGCAGATCATATGTAAGATATTTCACAATTTAGGACTATGTAATACAGTAATAATGAAGTTGTTCTCTCATTCATCCCATTCATTTTCTATGGAAACAATTCAATTAATTTTAGAAATATAAACCAATTTAATTCCATGATTTCTTTTTTCCTCCAATGTAAAGAGGGGGCTGCACGTAAGCTTGAAATTTTTTAGACTTTTGTTTTAAACGTGCTTATGGAACAAAAGGTATGTGTCAAATAAATCTCAAGCTAATAATTCTGTTTATTCTTAATCCTTTAATCACTCATAATATAATCAGATCAGATAAGTCAATAATAGCAGCGGGGATACATGGTACATGTGTTAGAAAAACAGACATTTTCCTGTGGATTAGGGGCTTCTGAGGAAGAAAACCGTGCCATCAGATAAGGACGATTGTGGGAAACATCCTGCTTTAGAAAATTGACTTTTGATATTCTGACATCTTTCTGACTCCTTTCAGTGACGTCAGAGCATTAGGTCTCACGGGGATTTGCATGATCCAGTGAGAGTTCATGTCCAGCAGCGCGTGCGTGTGTGTGTGTGTGTGTGTGTGTGTGTGTGTGTGTGTGTGTGTGTGTGTGTGTGTGTGAAGCCACAGAGGCTCAAAATTCTAGGGAGATGACTTGGTGTGATTAAAAATGTCATATATATCTTATTCTTTTAAACTTTATCAGTACAGTGTGTTCTAAGGAAAGAGCAAATTGCAGAGTTCATCTACCCTGTTTTCAAATAAACATCATACAAACGCAACATCTCAGTGTTGAAAGTGAGAAATATTGATTTAAAAAATGGCATGAAGTCATTTTCAATTGATGGTACCAAATATTTGATAAAATGTTAAAAAAGACAGTAGACTTTACTGGAATTCTCATAAATAACTGTGTTTAATGCTGTGAAATCAATGTATTTTATAATAAACACTATGAGCACACCAAACACTGTGCTCCTTCTCCATCTATTCCCTTTAACCACATAGCAACATGTACTTATTCCAAAGTCTGTGTCTGTTGCTCGGTGCATTTTCTGTTTCCTTTAATTAGTTGCATTAAGAAGCTATTTAACAGATGACGGGTTTTAAAACACACATTAAGGCACTCATGGTCCCACAGGAACATTCTTGGCTCAAACTATGGATTTTTGTGTATCTTTTCATATTTCTTTCTTGCACCTGTGGATATTTCTGTGTGTGTGTTTAAGGGCTTTGAGGCTGCAGCAAGGAAACAAGGGAAACACAAGCTGAGAATATGGCTGAAAATTTGCTCCAGTGGTTTGAAAATTGTGGATGAGAGGAGTGGGGTGAGTCGCTTTAATTAGCAGAGTTCTTTTTTCTCACTTGTTATACTTATTTTTGTTTACCATTTGCTGACGTCGTATGGCCCTTCATTGTTTATGGAAAGACTTAAAATCTTCAAATATGGGCTTTGAAGTTGTTTTTAATAATCAAGATGGATCAATGGTGTCGGAAGGGTTTCTGGAAAAACGGGCATCAAATTTGACAAGATTAGTTGTTTTATGTTTTTATCCCATCCCGAAATTGTTTTACTTAATTTCAATATTTAGTTTTTCTACATACAAACTTAAGCAGCATGAATGATTTCACATTGCCGCTGAATGTGTGTGTGCGTTTGTGCAGGACAGTGTTCCTACATCCTCTGTATTATGCTGTTTTTTCAGATTGTTCTTCACGACCATGACAGGAGCAAAATTAGCTCTTTGACTAAAGACGCGTCTGACCCCAGAGCTTTGGCCTACATCTACCAACATGAAGAAGCATACATCCTCTTCTACATCAAGACGGCCAATCAGGTGATGGGACACAGCACTAACGGAATAACATAAAGCGTATGTTCATTACATTTGTGTTGTATTCATAGTTTTTTGTCCTGTGTTTTATTTTGATGTGTGTCATGATTTACCTGTGTCACCCCCACCTTCATTCATGTCCCTCAGTTTCTTCTGCCTTTCCTCATTCAGTTCAGCTTCCTGTACCTGTGTCCTTGTCTCACCTGTTCTGCATCCACTGTCCAGCTCTCCCCAATTAAAGACTGTTTTTGATTCATTCAAGCAAGTATTACAAAAAGGCACAATGATTAAACTCCGTCCTTCCCAGAAGATCCTCAGATTAAACTTTTGGTACAGTCAGGTTAAGAGGAAACTACATGGCGACCACTGCACCCTTTCAACTGTCACGGTGTGACAATACACTGAGTGCCTTTGGTGTCTGTTCTGTCTATCCCTTAGGCGGATCCGGTTCTTCTTGACATCAAGGAGGTTTGCCAGAAAGTCGAGCAAGAGACCCCAAAGACCCTTGCAGAGACACAAGTAAGAACCCACCCAGGTATCTGCCTGGTTTTTGGTTTGTTCATCATGTTTGACTCACTGCCTGTTTTGCTTTCTCAGACTGTCCCTTTAGTTCATCTAAATCACAGTTCACCCCCTCCAGCTATGGTAATGAAAGATTAATAGCTCTCAAAAGCTTTTTATAATTCCTAAAATGTTTAATGAGATTCAGTATTCATTGACTAAAGGATGTTACGTGTCACCTGTTGTGAATCCAGGGAGAAGCCCTGAATGATGTCTTCAGCCCACGACCCAGCACCTTCTCCGAACAATCAAACCAGGTGCCAAAACACAGTTTTTGACCTTTTCGAATTTTCACGCATAGTTCCATGCTGATCACAACTCAATATAGCCCACTTATTGGTGTTTAATTGTCAGTGCGACACGGTTGTCTTGTCTTTCCATCCATAGTGTTCTAGCAATGAACTGATGGAGGTGTTTTCCAGCCGTTTAGAGGACCCTCTGTCGTCCACACAAAACGCAGTCACCAGTCCATCAGGTTAGTGGCACTGTGAGCAAAGCGCTGCTGGCTGACCTTAGCCATCACAGATGGGTAATAACGAAAGATAAACAGTTTACAATTGAGTTCAATTGTATTCATATAGTGCCAAATTATAGTAGATGTTATCCCTAGGCTCTTCAAAGATTTATTACGATTCAAGCCAATCGGAGTCTAATTCACTGTAATGGAATCAAATCCAATTAATACATTATCACTAAGAAGAAAGTTTAAAAAAAAAATAGTTTTTAAAAAAAGGGGTAACATTCATATGGAATCGAACAACAAAGCCGATGTTGATACTGAAGCTGTGATCGAAACTAAAACTCAAGAAGAGATAGGCAGCCTGAAAACGGGAACTGAATTTGTAACTTCAAAAGTGATTTTTTTTTTTTACAGATTCCATTAAATGATAAATTAAAAACTAGAACAGTGTTTCTGTATTTGATCAGTTATAAACACATATTAAACACCTAAAAAACAGGTTTATAGTCAAATCTACAATCCCTGAGATCAGAGCTATGTGTTATTTAAGTCAACATTTATGTGACATAATTGCCTTATTCCAATTTGTCCCATTTTTCAGAACCTAAACTGATTTTTCTTTTTCTTTTTCTTTTTTTTCTCCCAGAGTCTCCCCTGCAAATGTTCTCCACAGCTCAGATTCTCTCCATGTTCCCCGCTCAGCCAGTGGGAGGCGCTCCATACTTCCCTACACCACACTGTCCCTCCACAGTGCCCTGGGGTCAGCAGGGGCCTTGGGGGAATCAGTGGGGGGGTGAAACGCCCACCATGGCTGGCAACACGCCCGTGTGGGCTCAGACAACCATCCCAGCAACCCCAGTAGGAGTTCAACCTCAGGCTCACGCCACTGAGAACCCTCCACTGGGATTCGTGGTGGGGGGCAGCACAGTGGGATGTCCTGCTATGCCTCCATCTTTTCATGGATACACCATTCCTTTAAATTCTGCCCACACCTCCATGGGAGCAACGGGAGAGTTGGATAACTCTCTCCTGTAATGAGTTGGTGATCATCTAAAAACGGATCTGTTTGTGTCAAACTCTGCACTCAACAATTCTGCTTTTCTGCTCTAAACATGATATGAATTCAGATATGAATAATTTGGATGATTCTGGAACCTGTGATGGATTTTACATATAAAGTATAACAATGTTTTACTGTACACAGCTTTTAGTGAGACTTCTTATAAAACATATTATTTGGCTTAAACCAGCTTCTATCTTTTCTACTCTTTTCAAAAGTTTTTTTCTCTGTACCTGAAATGTAAAAATAATAAACGTCATATGGGCAATTCCTTATTTTTGATACTGAAACTCACTTTATTTAACCTGAACAAGCTCCAGTTCCTTTATGAGAAAACCCAAATCTTTGCTTCCCCATACTTCACTTTTCTCCAATCGTCTTTTTTTTGTTGGTCTTGAACTTTTATCTGTCCCTTGTGATCTCTGAATTGAGTATCATTTAAACGTTCTGCACTTACATACAGGAAATAAAGCTAAAAGAATATAGAAAATGTGTGCTGTCAGTAAGATGAGCATTTTTTCTGCCTATTTCTACAATATATCCTGCATATTACAACACATGACTTTCTGAAGAAAAAAAGACGCCACATGGCTAGTCATCGTGTAAAAATTGTTTCTTTCGATCTGTTGCTCTGTGAGTCACCCTGTTGCTCAAGCTGAATTACAAAGCATTTCCCCCTTTGCAGTACGCGCCCTGGCAGTTGTCATGTCACGGTTAGAGCAGCAACAGCATTCTGGATACTAGGGAATTACTGCACATGGATCTCTTCTTTCATCAGTAAATCCTGGCCGAAGAAAACATGGTGAGCTGATTGAGATGATTTTATTCTTAAATGTAACCACCAAACAGACGAGTAGATAGCTTCTTTCAGGCATCTCTTGTACTTGTTTAAATCACCCATTGCCAGCTGTCCATCAAGGTTTCTGTAACAGAAAGTCTCACACAGCTTTTGCTGTCGGTCTGTATCTCTGACAAAAATGACTTAAAATCTAATAGTTTTTACAGTTAAAAGAGGAAGCTGGAATAGGAAAAACAAAATGCTCATTCTGGAGCGGATGAAAGAAACCATTATTTCACAGCTTTGACTGGTTAATTATTCACCGTGTGCTCAGTTCTGGCTTACACTGTTATGGAATGAGTACATAGCTTCTACTCAGTTTGTAACATTTTATAGAATGCTTTTTAAGATATTTACCGTCACAGAGAAAAGTGCCAGTTAAAATCTGATTCAGTTTTTGTACTTTGAAGGCTTCAAGATTCCAAAAGGAGACCAGAACCCTTCAATCACAGCCTCATATATGCAGTTAATTAATTCGATTAATGTTCAACATCAGCTGCATAGCAGTCCATAGCAGACTGACTCCTGAAAAAAGTAATATCCTCGTAATAATATCCTTGATTGTAGACCAAGTTTCGGGTAGTTTGCTGTACTTCAACATGCTTATTACACAACAAAAGAGCTGGATAAGGACAGCATAAAATACTTATTCATGATTATTGTTGGAGGTTTAAGTATAGATTTGAAGATCTTTCTTGCTATAACGTCTAAACTATACTGAAAATCAAGGAGAAAATGTTTAGTTGCTCATGTTCCCGTTTGGTTGCACCCCTAAATAGCTGTTCTAAATTCATGGTTCTACTTTTTGGCACACCTGCACAGTTGTTGGAGTGCCATAACACACATACACATAGATACTGCCTCTTCTCCGGGCGCTCACTGACTGCCTGTAAGGGGAACCACGTGTGCTTCTATATGAACCTTTTGTGGTTTTTTTACACTTTTATATTTCCTTTGTTCCCTGTCAAAGCAAACAACGGCTAGCAAAGCTTGCAGCTTATTGGGTACAGAGGGTGCCTCCATGGTAACCAGCTCAGGATGCTGGCTGAGGTAGAAAAAATGTGGTTGTGAGCACTTCCTGCTCTCGATCATGTCTTAGACTCCTGATCCGTGTGTGTTAATTCTTTAGTTGAAAGTAGAAATCAGTGATAGGAAATTAAATTCACATACCTTTTCTAGAGTGCAATGCTCACACTACTTTGCTCTCCCATGATTCACTGGTCTGTGCGAGAGGGTTGAAGCGAGCAGTCGCACAAACAACAGCGTCCAGTGCTCTGTATATTTTCACCTCGCTTAATTCAGGTTGCTTTGAAATCAGAGAGGACTGAGAATTACATGGCCCAGAGTTAGCTACCAGTCAACTTTGCTCACAGTTCAGAGACACACTGCGAGTGAAGAGACAAGCACCTGCTTCTCACAGGTAGAAAACACACATGTGAATAAACAAAAAATAAGCAAGTTTCTACATAACAAGGATGAACATTCCCTCAGAATAACCTTATTTGTCATATTTGCACATTATTTAAAAAAAACAAGAGCATATCTGGAAAAATCTCCCAAAAATATACGTTTTTACAACCGTTGTCTGTCATACATACATAAGAAAATCTTAATTTTTAACAAACTTTAACAAACTCTAACAAAACCATAACTAATCTGCATGGGTCTTCATCTTGAAACCTTTCAATGAGGCCTGAAGATTTGGTGGCATCTCTGCAGTTTGAGGAAAAAAACCTTAGCATATCAGAAGTAAACTTATGGAGCCGACAACTATTCATAAAAGGACTGACCAAAAGCAGTAGATATGAACAGGAAAACAAACATCCAAGAACTTTTAAACTGACATCAAGCGGGAGATAAAAATGTGGTTAGTCCTGATACGTTGTATTGACTTTGCCCTGAAACTAATTAGATTTATTCTTGTATAAAAGTGTGTTGAGCCATATGGACCCTGAAAAGTCTTTTAGATAAGTGGTTTTTAAATTGAAGATATTCATTCTTTATTTTTCTCTTTTTTTTGTCCAGTTATTTTAATCCACTTCACATTATTTTCTCAGCATTAAAAGGAAAGTAAACTTCGAAAACACTCAGATATTACAGAATCGGATTGTGTGAAATCTAACGTCCCTGCCCATTTCAAACCTTTTACAATGGTTAATTAGCCACAGCAACAACTGATCACCGCAAGTATTTTCATAAGAGTATTTCTCATTAGAAAATGCCTGAAAAACACTCTGTTGGGTGGAAATGATTCAGACTACTCTTGAGGTCCCTCTGGGGATTTGCTTGTTCTTTTGGTAAATGCCTGTATGAGGTCATACTATCATTTACAGAACAGAATGGGATGTATCCGAGGATGATGAGTAAATGATAATATGACAAGCTCTTTAAGAGATATGAGAGGCAGCCCTGTGTTAGAATTTGGGAAGAAGTCACATCTTTATTGGCATTTAAATGTCTGTGAAATCTGCTTCTGACTTTTCTGATGTAAATGTCAAAGCATACTTATTCTTATTCTATTAAATTTTAATTGTTCTCTGCTCGTCAGGCAGTTCTGTGGAATAACTGTGGAATCCACATGCTGGATATCAAAGATGGATATTATCAATAAAAAATTCTCAGTCGCATTCTTATAAGTGAAATTGGTTGAATCCTGTTTGGCAGCCCTTTGCATGCCATTCCTGCAGCTTTGCCAGTTCTGGTTTCCCTTTGTGGTTGAACTAAAGCCAGAGCCAGCAAATTTTATAACAAGCTAAGCATCTAATATTTGATCAGTACCCTTTTTGCTAAAGTGTTTTTTTATCTGAAAGTAAAAGCAAAAAAAGAAAGTGCCCAGTAAGTTAGTTTATAACGTTGCAGCCTTAATATCATATTAAGTTACAGAAGAAAATGACAACGGGGTAACATTTTATTATTTGAGTTCAAGTATTTGAAAATCTAGCTCTTCAAAATCTTTTGATGATTGTTTTGAGTGTGTTTCTAAATCCTGTGGACTTCAGACTGCAAACTAGTATTTTAAAACCAGGAAACGGGCTTGTTGCACGGTGCACTCAAACTTTGTAAAGGCTGCGGGGGAGTTTGCCGAGATCTTTGTGTTGCTGTGCGGTGGCATGACTTACCTGAAGCTACGCTGCTAACTTCCTGCTTCAGACACAGAGCATCTGCAGCTGAATATGTGCTCTGGTGTTATTTTCAGGGGGAGAGCATCGATGTGAAGGCTCTGAGGAACAGGTTCAACAACCAGGCCGGTACCTCGAACACAAGCAGTCGCGACAGTGGCTCACCTAAATCTCCGAGACCCAGCTTTGGGAGAGGGATCTTACCTGTGACAGAGAACCAGCGGGCTCAAAGACATTCACCCACTGTTCCTCTGCTTCTGGCCAGCCCAGGTCTAGTGAGGTTACCAAGGGCGGATCCGATGGCGGCATCTATTCCCACAAAACCGGCTTCCTCACCTCGCCCACCTCCCAATTTTGCCATCAGAGCACCCTTTCAGCCAACAGAGGTTAATAAAATCAAGCAGACAGGGGAGCTGCTGCAGAACATGATACGAATGCACCAAGGACCAGCAGATGCCAGACCAATGCCAACTCTAGCTCCGAGTCCAGTTCAAATCCTTGGGTCGTCTCCCACCGCCACACCACGTTCTATCCACCAACAGCCCCGCCAGAGGAGTGCCGGGGACGTGACCCCTCTGAGGAAGCCGCTGCCCCTCGAAGGGCCTATTCCCTTGAAACCAAAACGACCTCCTTTGGTCAACCTGGAACCCTTTCGGAAGACCAAGCGAGGGCCTGCCTTTCCTGCCCCGAGGCTAAGCAATGGTAGGTAACAGTTCTTGAAAAAGGTGATCAGGCAAGATATCCAGAAACTCCTGTTTTGTAAATTTGCTGATTTACGTTCATCATTCTTTTTGTTACAGACAAAATAGATTAGAAAAAAAAATCACACATGCAAATGGAAGTTAAGCGAGTTACAAAGGGGGAATCAGCTTGCGACGACTATTTTAACTTAACATTTTACTTACGAAAAGGTGTTTATGACACAGTTAATCATGACCATGTGCCTTGTGCTATAGTTTAATGAGGAAATATGTCCACACTATTGCTGACAACAGTGTTTCGGTCATATTTGTCATTCTTCTCCGTGGCTCGTCAGGCTCCGAGGACAGAAGAATGTCTGTACCAGCTTTGACCCCTCCGCCAAATCCTCCACTGCGAAGCAACAAACCCAAGAGGCTGCTGCGTCAGGTCGCCTCTGTGTGAGTGTCACCCAAACAGTTGTCAAAGATACACAACGTATAATAATGATGTCTGGCACGTTTCAGTTTTGAGCACAAGTGAAGGAGAAATCAAACCTTTGGATTCTGAAGATTCGCCCCCCGTTGATTTTTGTCTCTGTAAAAGTGAATCAATTTGTTGTTCAATTCAGTGTTTTGTGTTGGAAAGGGAAAGGTAGAAACAATCTGTAGCCTATAGAGCGTAAAAAATGATCGTCACAATGTTCTGATAACGCCTAATAGCTGGGTTGATACTATTCAGTTCATGTTGTTCTTTGAAGCTTTTTTCTATGTCTTTGGTTTCCTTCCCCCTCCTCTGTGTACAGGTACCATGAGATTCAGCATTTCAGTTTGGCGGTGAGGACATAGCGAACTAACTTAATCTTTGTGTACTCTTTTATTCTTTCCAGAGGCCCTGAGGATGAACAGGACACCTACGATGATATCGGAAGTTTTGATAAAAATGGTACAAAAAATCAATAAATCCATAGTTCATAAACCTCCGCATTAAAACGATTTATTCAAAAGTCTTTGGCCTTGTGAAAAAGCACGTCATATTTGTAAGTTGAGATAAAATCTGAATACTTTCCACCTTTACAGAATCCTGCAGTGAAAACAGTTCACAGTGTATTGATGGGGTGAGTACAGATCAATAAAACAATGCATACATAGATCTATAACAATCGTTATCATGTTTGCTTTGAGCCCTGTCACAGTTCACATTTGGTTTGGTATTTCGACACTTGACTATTCGTTAAAGGTGCTGATAAAACTATTTGCTTTTGCAGGACGACGATGATGATTATGAAGACACGTATGAGGAGATTGATGAGTAAGTTTAAGACTTCCTGATCGAAGCACTGATCCTTTTGGTTAGTGTTACGTTCTCTGTTTGCAGAGCTAGACTGTGGCTTCAGCTGCAGGTTGTCTGCTACAGCTAGTGCTATTTTTGTGTAAACTGCACCTGCAGCTGCTGATACAGCTGAAAATGAAAGAAATTTAATAGAATCACGATGAATTTCTCGTATAGAGCCTCAAAGGATCCTCCAGAAATGGACTCATCAGTGATTCTACTGTAAAGTAGTGTCCTTTTAAACTCTGAAAATAAATAACAGTACTCAGCTTTAGTTATGAGGACCAGTGGAAACCAGTTATCATGGTCTTTTTCAGAGTGTTCCAGGGAACGTTTAACACTTGTATACTGAAAACATGAAATGCATGCTTTCAGGAAAGCAACCAGAATCTACGACATGAGAAGAAAATCAGAGAACCAGAGGTGCCAAGTAATGTTTTTGTTTGGAATATATCTTTATAGGAATCTGACAAACCAGCAGCAGCCAAACCCTAAGATGAAGAATGCAATAATGAGACAAGAGGAGCAGATAAAAAAGGAGCAGCAGGAGCGTCAGAAAAGACTGAATGATCTGAAGAAAAACTTTCAGGTGGAGAAATAACAGGAAAAAGACGCTGTTAGACTCTGTTTTATGTGCATTTTCCTCACCAATGAGGCTCTTTTAATACACTTTGAAAAAAAAATCAACACATTTTGTCTGTCTGCAGTTACAAGGCGACTCTGAGGTTCTTCACACAGCAAGAGTTCGGCACGACTGGAATGGAGGAGGAAAACTTGACCTCAGTGTTCGACAGGGAGAGAGTGTGGAGATCATGCGAGTGAAGGATAACCCTGGAGGCAAATGGCTGGCTCGTTCTCTGAACGGAAACTGTGAGTAACAGCCTCAATTCCAATAATTTGTAGGCTGATGATTTTATAATTTGAAAACAGCTTCTCCCGCCATCCCACAATGTTAAGCCTGTGTGGACAAATCTGGGATGTTTGATGACAGAAAAGGAAGATAATGGGCGTCTGTCTTCTCAAGCTCCTGTTGTGATTGTGGTGATAATACTCTGTGTTTTTAAATGTCGGAATTTAAGGATTTGTGAGCATTTGAATTAAGTGGAGTTTAAATGTTAGTTTGAGGATGCTTTATGTATTTGTTACTTTTTTAAAGTAATGGGCTTGTTGTTGCCCCTGGCCCTTTACAAGATATTTAGAAATCTGCAGATTACATGGATAGGAAAACCACTTGTGGTGTCTCTCTGTCTTCAGGTTGCAGCTTTGATTACACCATTTTAAAGCACTCAAATGTTTCACCATCAAACACTCAAGTGTTGACATTGAGAACATCCGTCCCACTAATCAGGTTTTCTAATACAGTTTCCTAGCAAATAGCTGTTTTCATCATTTCCAAAATTACCCTTTAGATGAAAAAAATCATTCTGAAGGTGTTTCTATCACATATTGTTGAAGAGGCTCTGCAACAAAGAGGATCATTTCTCCTATCTCTTTATTAACTATTTATTTAGAAGAATCCAGATGATTTTGTAAAAGATTCTCATGATGACCCGCAAAACATCTGATAGTGTGTTAAAATAAAAAGACACACATATTTATGTATATATGTTGTTAGAAAATATATTCTTTTTGTTTTTTCTGTTTTTGTATTTTTCCCCATTTCACCAACTTAGTAGTATTCTTGGTTATTTTTTTCTTTATTTTCTTACAATGCAATGATTTATCAATGCTTTAAAAGCATTTATATATCTTGCATCTTGTATTTTATCGTTCTATATTTTGTGAAGATATGGGGTTCCACATCTCAGATATTGATGTTCCACAATGTCATCTTAGCCTCCAACTACTTTAAGCAGGTTGGCGGACAGATGCATTAATAAGACCACTTCATAAAACCTTTGATCCTCTGCATTTCTGATTTCTGACGGTTAAGCTTGGCATTAAACATTAGATTATTGAGGTTGGAAAATGAGTTCTTGTTAAGCCAGGCTTTGTAAACTCTCTTACACAGCCAAGCCTGATATGCTAGTTTCTGACAAGGAAGTTAAAAACAAATATCGTGGTTATTGCCCTACCCTCTCACACCTGTAGTCCTCATGGAATTGCACACTTTCGTGCCACCACACAATCCCCTCTGCTGGTCGCTTCGGTTTTGTGTTGAATTCATTTTAAAAAAGTTTTACAGTATTATGGTCCTGATTACACCGAGGTAGAGGTCTGAGCCTAAACAGTTCTTAGACTACAGAAGAGTCATGGTTTAAGGAAACTATCATTTTACTAGTTTGATAGAAAGGAGGAGTGACCTCCCAATAATACAAGTGTGGTGACCCTCTGGAGCCACAGAGCCTCATTGTGTCGGTGGATTTGCTCACAGACGGATACATCAGCAACACGTGTGTGGATATAGACTACGAGGCAGTAAAGATAAAGGCGCTCCAGTCAAGGAAAAGGGACACAGAATTACCTCCACCACCACCAGACCCACCCAAAAGAGACAGGTACAGGGTGTTCAATGGAGAGAAAAACATTCAAACTCTTTTCATTAATATTTTTCTATGGATGTAAACAAATGATTTACTTGTTCATACTAATGTCTGTGCTTCCTGTGATCTGCAGCATGCTTGAAGATGATGGTGAGTGACCATTCCAATGACCGACATTATCAGTACATTATAATAACAACAGGTTTTCCAACTACGGAGGCCGTTTAAGTATGAGCATTTCAAACATGGACTAAATGTTAAATATTTTGATAAAAGTACAAAATGCAGACACAAATTCCTTGTAGAGTTATTCAGCATTTTGCCGTTCTTGTTTGTCGGGGAGATGCTCATTTTGAAGACTTTTGTCTTCAAGTGAATTTCATATTTTGGTAAAATTTTAACATGTTCACTGATTATAAACTGTTATTAATTATGATTAATTATTCATCCATTTCAATTATGATTAATTTGTTAGAATTTTGTTCACTAATGTTTTTTTTTTAGTTTGTAAAAAGTCAGCTGTATATCAAATATATGAAAACTTTAAGTGTCCTGCTGCTTGCGCAGAGCAAATAAAAATGGTACTTGATGTTACAACACATCAGATTTTATTAGGTTCCGCTTTTGATTTCTCAGCTAAAATCTTTTGTAAGTGCTTTTTTTCAAGTCCAATTTGGTTCAACCATTTTTAAAAGTATCTCTAGGCCCTCGGTTTCAAACATAAATACAAATAAAAAACAAAATTGTTTATGATCATAATTTACCCTTACACCGTCTTCCACCATAAATATGGAACTGCTTTGTTTCAGCCTGATGGTTGTTCATGTACAAGAAAACAGAATAGTTTTAGTTTCAGATTTACTGTGTTTTTTCCACAGATAGCTATGATGACGTTCAGCCGCTGCCTGCTGATTTTCCCCCACCTCCACCAGAAATCAGGTACGTTTTCACATCTGGTTTTCTGAGAGGGAACAGAAAATGTGAGATCGATGCAGTTATGCAGCTGCAGAATCATAGCTGACCTGTGAGGTGTGGTCACTGGCTCATGTTCAAAAGACAATAGAATAGAAGTGTTTCCACTGATTAGTTTGATATCACTAGCATGGGAATACAACATGATTAACTGACAAATTCATGTCTTCACAGCATGGATCCAAAAATGGAAAAGGAGCTAAGAAAGAAATTCAAGGTAAAGCAATTTCTTTCTATCAGGTTGTTTCATTGACCATGTGCGTATATATAATTATACATATGATATATGAAATAAGTGACTCTTGTGACTGTTCATTTCCAGTATGAAGGGCCTTTCCTTGTGCTGCACAGTATGATGGTAAATCCTAACGCCATCATAAAGAAACCAGGAAACAAGGAACTCCATGTGAATAAGGGAGAAGTCCTGGACATCATCCAGCTCACCAGCGCCAAGAAAGCTCTTTGTCGAAACAGACACGGGAAATGTGAGTAGACCATTTAGACCCCTCTCAGATTCTCTTTTCTCTGACCAACAGTTTGAAAAGATAAGGTCTCAAAATGAAAAGGAGCGCTTATTAAATGGTGTAAGAGTTACCAGATGTTTGTCATCTCTAATAACCAAGTGGAGGTCAGGGATTTAAGTGTGGAACAGGTACATGATTAAAAACACTCCACGCCTTTTTCCTCGAATGTTAGTTTCCTATTTTGTGTGTTGCATTTTTTCCTCCATATCTCCATCCATCTGTTCATTATAAAGAGCTTCTTCTCAGTCATTGGTTTCTAAAATTGGTGTATTTTATTTGATCCGTTTGCCAACCAACTCCACATCCCAACACCACCATTTATATATAGATGTCCATAAGAAATATTAATATTTCTTATTGTCAAGAAGAAAAAATTCGATTTTTTATTGTCCATAAAAAATATTAAGCACAGCACATAAAACACCTCCTACACTGCTATAAACAAACCTTTTTCCAGTAATTCTAATGCTTACTTGTGTTTTATTTCCTTTATCACAGATGGCTATGTGTCAAGATCTCTTCTTCTCCCAATGTAAGCATATGTCCATCACTTCATGTGTGGTTGATGATTTTTTTGTATTTCAGTAACAGATAATGTTCAGCTCGCTCTTTAGATTGTAGATCTGTACTCATTAAGTGTGCGGCTGATATGTCAGTTTGCATTTATCCATATTTTATGGACTCAAGAACTTTCAGAAATAGAAAATTAACTCCAGTTTCTTTGAATTTACAAACGTGTTATCATTTTGAATCTCAAGGAATTATAACACAAGTAACTTTCATGCGTGCTGTTTTTCTTTCCAGGGAAGGCGACATATACGATGATGTTGATTATCCAGCCGGTGAGTTTAAATTGATATGTTCTCTAAAAAACTGCACAAAACGTTTATCCTACCTCTGTAATTTCATATGCAATTTTCATGAGTCTTTGTATAAAGGCCTTAAATGACATACATGTATTTTTTCTGTTTCAGATATCTACGATAACGACTATCCTAACGTAGATTATTAACATATGTCAAACTAAGTACACACACTTGCACAGTCAGGAACAAACTATGCAAGAACTGAAAACTTAAGCTATGTTATCAAACTATAACCGAGACCGCACGCAAAGGAAGAAAATCCAGTGAAAACGGATGTTAGGACAAAGAAGCTTTATGATTCCAGCTTTTTTTGCGCTTTACTCTTATGAAAAGAGAATTTCTATCAAACTAGTATGTTAGAAAAGCTAATCAAACTATCAAACATTTTATGACTAAACTGAGAGTAAAAATACTGATATTTTGATTTGCCCATGTTGTAGAGTCTTATCTCTATCCAACCAGAGGACATTAAATTAATTTCCTGACTTGTGTAACATAACATGCCTGTACATAGGCTGAAAACAATTATATTGAGTGCTTTTCAAACTGCCGGTATGGGAAATGAATACACTATTACTGTTGTTCGGTGTATTTCTAAGCATTGAAGTTAATTTAAAATAAAACATGTTTTCTGATTATTCTGTCTGTTTTCTGTGATAGAAACTGCATTTTTTTGTGTAGTAGGAGAAACTCAATTACAATAACCTTTTGTTAGTTATAAAGAATGTGGTTGCTGTGTTATAAAAGAAAATCTGTCTGCTACTACTACTGCACATCCACAAAAACAGTGGAAGGAAAACAGGTCTGTTTTTAAGGCATACATGGAAACACATACCGATTATTTGTTCTTATCCCATTGAAAGTCTAATAACTGCATGTAAGAAAACAATATTTTTAATATGAATTGGGATTGATTTCCAAAATAGTGCAAATGTATGCATTAACTTACAGAGAAGGTGCACCAAACACTTGTAGAACTGAGTGCGCAAACCTACTGAGCTTTTCCCATTTTCCACTTATAAAATAGGTGTAAGTTATTATCATTGACGGGGGGGGGGGTCTGATTTCTGTTTATAAAGCATAAAACAACACATTTCCACAAAAGATTGGACAATTACAGCCAAAACAGAAAAAATAGAAGTGTAACAACAATTCCTTTAACAGAGAAGAAAAACAACCTTCCATTTTGCCCGATCAGCCTGGAGCAGTTACGATGACAGAAATCTAATGAAAATTATGCATAACTGTAATTAAAAAGGGCCAATAGAGCAGAGGGGTCCAGTCTGGGAGAAGTTTGTTGCATTTATCTGGAGAAGTGAGCATCCTGGTGGAGGTCCACTCATTGGAGAATGTTGATCATGATCCAAACAGTCTGTGCAGAATAAAGACATTCGGAGGGTTAAAAACAGTTACAGCCCCATATCTTTCAAAATATTGAGAGATTTTCGGTAAAATGTAGACGTTCTGTCACTGGGGTGTTGTTAAAATGCCCCTTACCGAGTAGTTTTTTAGGAACACCATAAAAAGATTCTTAATCAGAAATTAAAAATTTTTAAAATATTTTTAAATATTTCTTTCTATGCCATAATATGTACGGAAGGCTAAAAGAGGCAACTTACAAAAGCAGAAAGTCACGAGCTTCGCTTTATCTTCATTTAGGTATTTTAGATCAAACATTTTACATTTCTTTTTTTCGTCTGTACAACCAGCTTCCGATAAAGATCTAAAGCTTAGCAAAAGTAATGAAGCTCTGGAGACAGGAGAAAGCTTGTGTTTCTATCGGTCTTCAGTTCACTTCAGTAGCTCTGGGTCACTCACACAATCATGCAGAACATGATGAAGACGTTCCACAGAGCGATGAAGATGCGAAAGTATCGCAAGCTGAGCAGGAACTCTCTGATGTTGTCACCTGAAAGTAAAGGCAAGGGATGCATTTAGATCACTAACTACTGTAGTGTTACTAGTACTGCAATAAAAACTGTGATTCAAAGTATTGCATTAAAACATAAGATTATAGAGACCTCTGAACTATAACTTAAGCATTCATTTGAGGTAACAAAACCACTAGATGCCTAGTGGAAATTAGATTTTGTATTTACAGATTATGACCACACAAGGCATGGACAAATAACATAATATGGGACCCTGTGGACATGGGAGTGGTCACTGGGTATTGGACCTGCTGGAGGCAAAATCCACTCAGATTCACACGGGTTTTTCAAGGGATCTGAGCCATTTTGATAAATTCCTTGCTGCCCTCCTGCAGTGGACAACCACCCCCCTGTGTTGGGGGCTGTGATTAAAAGGCTGCAACAAATATACAGGAAACGAGCCAGTTTCAGAAGAAACTCACTGGGAAATGTCTGTTCTCTAACCTCTTTACAGCTTTGTGTTTCACCACGGGTTGTCAACTGATCAATAAGGTGGAAAATAACCGTAAAATCTTTAGCAAATCATGATACATATGTAGGAATGATCTTATCTCTTTCGACAACAGCATAGCTTATCCACCTGTTGTGGGTGCTCCGGAATCATCTCCAAATCCCTGCGCGTCTTTCCTCTTCCTGCAAAACATCCACAGTTACCCTCGAACAGTTCATACAGCTCTGTTTCAGAGGTGGCTGACTGTCATACTTACAGCTTGAAATTCAGCACTGCCCCGGCATTCACCAGTAATGTCCTAAAGACAGGAGAGACAGTGTTTACTGAGAGGCAACCCAATTAGCTGCTGAGGTGGCATTAGCACAGCGCTAGCTAGCATTTGGCTACATAGATCTATGCGAACACTTAAACCAGAGTCAACAACACAAAGACACGATGCTCGCGTCACTTCTAAACGTTTGCTGTAGAAAATCGTTGAGAAAATGAAACGTTTACCCGAAAATTAAGAGATCTCCGATCATCTTGTTCACATCACAACACAGAGATGTCCTTCTTCCGTATTCCTGACGTAATAGACAATGTGGCCAATAGCATTTCGGTAGAATGTGAATGGTTTTTGCCCTATGTTCAGACTGTAAGGTACAAGCATCGTGCCGGGGAAAAAGTAAATGCCTTAGTTCATATGCTCATGTGTGATTTTAGAGTCAACAAAAGCCGGTAAAGAGGATACTAAAATTACATATAAATATAAAATCACACACAGTTTGCTGTTTCATATCTCGTTGGAAAGAAATGAAAAGAAACAGAGCAGCTCTCCATAAATACCAATAAACTTGATTGCCAATTAGAAGGAGGGTCAAGGTCAATGTTAATTCGAAACACACATTAAATAATCAAGCACTGTTAAAGTCATCAAGAGCATGGATCATATTGCAGAAATATTTAGGGTTTCACTAAATACAAAGATAAAAAACACTGACCAGATAAATAAACTCAGCACAGTGAAACAAATCAATCACATGAATTACTAACAACGTGTTGATTTTTCCTTCAAATTAAACTATAATAATGGAAAATATTAGGGGAGAGAGCCTAAATTACAGGCCATCTTAATTTCAAATGAATATCTTTTAGCATTTAAGAAACGGGAAGAAACTGGGATTTGGCACCCTCTTGTGGTAAGTGACCGCACTGCAACTGGGCACAACAGCGCACATAGGAAATAGGCAAATAAAAGGGAGGGGGACTAATCTATGCAGTAAATTAGGTCAGATTTACACTAAGCAGCTTTGCTGCCACGGGACCTTTCAAATCAACATCTTGTTTTGTTTTTATCCGGAGGACTGTAACCACCGAACTGTGACTCAGCCTCCACAAGGAGATGTAAAGATCCGGATTCTGAATATTTTTCATGAGACCAGCGAGGACACCTTCATCCGCGTGAAGCGTGAACACACGTGTCTCGAGCTTTGTTTGGCTTTCCCAGTTCCTCTAAACGTCGAACAATGCCCTGTGTCCCACGTCCGCTGGGATGACAGGGACCGTCCTGGTGTTTTCCAGGCAGCTGAAGCCTCCTGTCGCGCAAAACGCGGAGCAGCTGGTCCGGAGCGCAGAGGAGGATGCTGCTGCTGCTGCATCTGCTGCTGCTGAGGCTGTGGGCATGAGGGGTATTAATAGGAAGGGTTGAGTGTCACAGGCTTTCACTGTTAAGACCGGGGGGCTTGGTGGAGAGTCGGTGGACACCGGGTCGGGGGGGCTTCTGAAAACGACTGCGCAGTTGGAATTAAAAGGGAAGAAAAAACGCGCCATTCGCAGCTCACCGGACGCTCAACATGGATAATGTGCTTGGAGTTCTTAATTTGGGCGATTTTGCCCAGGCTTTCTCCAAAATGGGAATGTTTCCCGTGTTTGATCTAGCTTATTACATCGTGTCCATCCTCTACCTCAAATATGAGCCAGGTGAGTGCATTTGACACTTCTCTGCTGGCTCTCAGTTAGTATTGGCTAGAGTGATCATGTTTTTGCTTCACTGTTTTATCATTATCATGCAGAATTCATGCAGCCAGCAGGTACATGGCGCCAAACCCACCAGACAGATAATCAGATATTCACAAGAAGCAGAGTGTCTTACCAAACACATTTGAATTTAAACATTTAATTGCTCAGATAAAATGACTAAAACAAAAAATAATTTCTGAGATTGATTTAATTTTACTCCCAATTCAAGACATTTATGTTCGGATAGCCCTTAAGGCACTTTGGACTGCAGTTTTCTCAGTCTTTATAAAGCATGACCTGTTACATAAACTCAAGCAGCTCTGCAGCTCTGCTTGCTTTTTGTGAGGGACTGTGTATTGTAGCCGCAGCTTGACCTCTTTTACATTGCTGGAAAACCACCAGAGGAGATTTAACCTCTCAGATTTGGATTGGTATTCTCTAAAACTTATCTCATTTGAGCTACAGAGACTGAAGGTGGATGAAACCTGAGTAAAAGGCCTGTACATACCAGCAATAAATAGAAGAGCCTGAAATAGACAGTGTGCCTCCAGAGCCTCTCTGCTGCACTTCTTTAAGGCCGCAGTTGGGTGTGTTATTTATATTTAAGATTCAATTTAAAGTATACTGCGGCGCTTACAGCCAGCCATAACCTTACAGTGCCTGTAACCTCTCCAATAATTTTATTGACCTGAAGTAAAAGTTCAGGAATTGTCGTCCTTCTTATATTTTACTCAAACCTTTAGCTGCATTAGCCCAAAGCACATGGGACAAAAGGAGACTGATATAGCAATCGCCTGTCTTTACAGAAGCATGTACAATTATGCTTTGTGTATGTTAGGGACACCAAGCAACAATAGCATTTTAAATGAACCATTTCCAGGATTAGCATTCGACAGACTTGATCTAAATCAACTTGGTCTAGTGAAAGTTACTACACAATTTCTGTTTCTACAATTGACTGCAGTGTGTTGATCATGATGGTGATGTTCGTAAAAAAAAAAGAAAGTCAAACTTGTTTAAATAAACCTTCATCTTCAGTAAATATAGGTTGGAGTCTCACCTCTTACAATTGCAGTAACTGTAATTGGAACTGCTTGTGCTGATGTCACTTCAGTTAAACAGGGCTTTGAATTTATTGAGTAATAAAGATGGAACTCTGTCTTTGTATCTAGGTTTGTCTCATGTATTGCAAAGGTGGTCTCCTGTATGAAGAGCTCAAAATAGAGCCCTTTGTGCTCAGACTGACTGAGCATATGGCTGCCGTCATTTACCTAATTTTAATACAGTTTGACTGTCAAATGACTCATGCCGTCAGCGAAGACCAGAACAACTTATGTTCACTACTCCGTGCGTGTGTTGGAGTCCAGTGTCACACCACATGCTACAGGAGCATATGAATGGGTTTTCATGTTGGAGGAAGGGGATGCAAGTTTGGGGTCAGAGGTCGTGACAGGCCCGACAGTTGGAAGGCAGGAGGAGCCCTTTAGCGGAATGTATTTATAGGCAGGACCACATTTCTTGGGTCCGATTGCACTCACGCTGAGTGCCAGTCGACACATTCACCCACCTGTTGTCAAAGATTTGCTCACATCTCGATTTACTGCACGGCTCTGACAATGTAGTAACAACAGGCGTCGAGCCTCGTGAAATACATGTGTGCTCTCAGAATTAAATCATGCTTTGCACATAAACATTGAAAGGGTAGATATTTTTCCTAAAATGACTATGCTTAATGCCCACAAGATTCACTGAAACTGAGGACATAATTTTGTAAAAGGTTAACAGGCCTAGGTGAATGATAAGAATGACAACAGAAGAAATAAAAATCTATAAAAATGTTAAATTGAGGTGTAGAAATGATCACAGAGGGACACAAAAGGAATAAATTGTGGTCAAATGTCTGAAATTTTGGCAAAAAGACCAAAGACTATCATAAAAAATAAGCCAAAAGCTGTGAAACTGTGAAAAAATCAGATCTGTGACTAGATGTACATAACAGGGGTGTTTCTCACTTCTGCATGAGTTTGTTGCTAGTATGTTTACTCAAGTAACAAAAATAAATAAATAAATAAATAAAAACAACTTCAAATGGAGAACTTTTACTTAACTTCCTGTTCCTAAATGAATCTGACTTCCTCTTTCTTTTCCCCTCATGCTGAGATTCTGCAATATTGTGTAATACTTGTACCACAGCCAGACCAACTAAATATATTGCTCTGGTTTTGGAAAAAAAAGTATTTTACTGTACAATTGATTGAATTGTTTTCAACCTTTGATGGTCTAACTGTATAAAATGGGCTTGTAACTTATTAGCATTGACACTAAAATCTATTTGACAAAAATCGGTTGGTATCAGAGAGTTTGTCAAGTCGGAAATTTGTCTTCTGAAGACATCGGATGATGTGAAATAAATGACCGCCATCATCTCCAGTGAGTACTGGTTTATGCACATTATCAGGGCGTGACCAGAAATGCGGCGCTGGGTGGAGATGAAGATACAGGACTCAGGCACATACGGGCCCCATTGATAATAACATTCTCAAGTTTGGCGGCAAAAGTTCGGTCAGTTTGGACTGAGGTGTATTTCTGACGAAAACCAGAGATCACACAATTGCAATTCTCTTTAAAAAAGTTATACAAACATAATATTTTATCACAGTCTAATCTCCAATGCTTCTGCAAAGCATGTATAGTAAAATTCTCTGCTCAAAATATTTGTTTATTATAATCGTTTAAGGCACAAATCAAGTTAAATAAAGAACGGACAGTTTTTGGGATGGATTTAGTGAATAGATCTGGCTTTTTTCAACTCCTGGTGTCTTGGTTGAGAATTATTCCCTACTAAATAATAAATATTTCCACAAAAATCTCTGACTGGACTGTAAAGTTTTTAACAGCTTCTTAAGGCAGGTAAAACAAAATATTCATCCGTCTCTTCTAGCCTCTCTGAAAGTCCCCAATAACAGTGCTGTGATGTGTCTGTTTCACTCCACTGAGAGCGCGTTTGATGTGTTTCAGGCTCTGTGGAGGTTTCTCGCAGGAGTCCCGTGGCTTCGTGGCTTTGCGCCATGCTCTACTGCTTTGGAAGTTACATCTTGGCAGACGTCATGCTTGGAAGTAGTCCCCTCGACTATTTCCAACACAACAGCCACATCCTGCTGGCCTCGGCTGTCTGGTGAGAAAATACTCAATACCCCGAGTTTCCTCTTCGCAAGGGAAGAGAATCCGTTGCGCTCACATGTGGATACACTATCAGATGTTTCCCGGTCCAGCTCTCTGCCACTGGTCATTTTGCAGTGCAGCCAGGGTGCTGAGACGCTCGTGTTTACATCCTGGAGGAGGTTTCATGTGCAGATTGACCTATTTTGTGATTGGGCTTGTTTTAATTTGGCTGAATTTTTTACACAGGAACATTATTTCTTGGACTTTTTTGTTGGGAAGCAGCTTTTTGAATAAACTCACCTCCTTTACACCAGTCTGACCTCTCCATGGACAAAGCAATAGAGTCCTCTGGTGACCTGACCCATAAAACCTTAACAGGATTTTTATGAAAACTCCACTCTAATGAGCCCTCCACTATTTTTTCTGCGCACAGGTATCTCGTCTTTTACTGCCCGCTGAACCTCTTTTACAAATGCGTGGCTTTCCTGCCTGTGAAGCTGGTGTTGGTCGCATTGAAGGAGGTCGTCCGCACCCGTAAGATCGCCGCCGGGGTTCACCACGCCCACCACGCCTACCACCACGGCTTCTTCATCATGGTGATCGTTGGATACGTCAAAGGTTGGTGTCGCGGAATATCGTTGTGGCTGGAAACGTCTTCATGCTTTAACAGAACATACTGCGTACTTCATCCTGAGTCACACTCAGAGTCTATATCTTTTGTAGCTGTTTATGCAATGATTGAAAGGTTAGTGACTGGATGCCCATTTTTCCCTTTATGAACACTTAATTCACAATAAAAAATCTTAAGATGTGAATAAGAGGACTTTTGGAGAATCTTGCAGTGCAGTAAGTCTTTATGCTTGGCCGTGCTTGACTTTCTTTCTTTAATCCAGTTAGGCTGAGGTCAGCTGTTCATTTAATTATCTCCGACTATAACAAAACAGGCTTTGTTGAGAATGTGAGTTCATCTGTGTCATCTGTGCATTCACCGAAGCAGCTGATGCCTGAAGAACTGACCGAGAGGTTGGAGTCAGTCAAACACTTCATCTTTGTCCAAAAATAAATCTCTGCTTTAATCCTTTAGCTAGAAGACCATCCTGTTGCCAGTGTGGAACAAGCTGAAATAAAGGAGGTTGTTTTTTTTTCTTCTGTTTGTACAAACAGAGATCCTTTACTTTGCAGGCTTTAGTGTTTCATGGTGGCTGACAGCTGCATGAAGGGATGAACGGTAACACTGTCAGCACTGCAACCAGATTTAAACATGAATGAGCTGCACATGTGCAGGCCTGCAGGGTTGGATTCCCCACATGGCAACTGCCCCCCTGAAGACTCTGGCTTCAAATGGTTGCGGTGATTAGATTTTTAAAAATACTTTTGAAATAGAATAACACCTCAGACTTTAGTACAGTAAACCGGGGGTCGGATTTAATCCCATCAGAAGCCTTCGGGATCCAAAATATGTTAGTCATCATGAGCAACATTCACTGATTTTGCATCATATACACGTTTTTGTGAATATGACTGCAGGAAAGGGCTCTCATGATGAATTATAATAGAAATATGAACTTCTTATTGTTTGGCATCATGGCATCAATTTGTAGAAAGTTAAGTACACTTCTGGATCAGTTTGGCCATTTCCTTTAAGCCGCACAAATAGACTAAACCTAATTTATCTTGTATTTCCTTATTATTCACCTATTTTGGTAAACAAAAAGTGGTTTCAGAAAATGTGAGTGAAGCTTTCTCCTGGCCCAGGTCTGTCTGCTCTGCCTGAAGGCATCCATGCTAAGAATATCCAGATAAGCGGAAGCAGGATAAGAGCAGTGCCATGAGACCCAAACTTTTTTTTTGTCCTCATTTTTTTCCACTTTGTCTATTTTTATCCTCCCAGGATCTGGAGTGGCTCTTATATCCAACTTTGAGCAGCTGCTGCGTGGTGTGTGGAGGCCTGACACCAACGAAATCCTCAACATGTCATTGTGAGTGTGTGCTAGGGAAATATGCTCATTACTGCCTCCTCAAGTCGAAAGGAAACTTTGATTCATGAGATCAAGACTGGTTTCAGTGACATTTTAACTCCATGTCTCTAAGTGGCAGCAGGGGCTTAGCATAACATCCGGGGGAGCTTTGTGGCTCTGTATTTGACTGGTTACATATCAAAGGTGTACAGTACACTGTCTCTCGTCCAGTGACAGCTGGGATAGGCCTTAGCCCCCCTGAGACCAGACTTAAAAAAAGAGGGGGTTAAAAAAATGAATGGGACTTTTATTTGCTGATCTTAGAAGGCAAAGGGAATATTTTTATTTTATTTTCATAAAAAGAAATCATCAATTCTTTGGTGAAAAATGTTTAAATGACGGTCCATTCTTTGTTTTTGCAGTCCGACCAAAGCCAGCTTGTATGGCGCCATCCTCTTTACTCTGCAAGAGGCTCAGTGGCTGCCAGTGTCCAAGAGCACCCTCATTGTCGTCTTTACCCTCTTCATGGCCACAAGCAAGGTAAGATTCTGGATCTGTGCTGCATGGGAAATGTTGTTTTAGCATTTGTGGAAAGTGAGCGCAAAGTTACAAGGACAAATACCTTATTTAAAAAAATGTATAAGGTAAGAAGTCTTGGGAAGGCATTATGTTATTATTTTGTTATTATTGGCTCTTACTTCTTTTATCAGTTATTCGATAATCCACTGATCCACAGGACCTGTGGATCATGCATTAAACTCCATAGCCAGTTCTACTGAACATGTGCATATTGAAATATTCTTGTGTTTTCTGATTGCCTTATTTGGGGTCTTATTGTGATTATTATACAGTATATGTAAATCAGTTTTTTCACACATGAATCTCAGTGATCTGGGATGTGCTAAATCAGTAAAGTCCCACCTCAAAAAATAAACCAGAGGAATCCCATCTAATCTTCATGACCTCTGTCCCCTCAGGTGGTGATGACCGCCCGACACTCTCATGGCTCCCCCTTCACCCTCATTGAGTCCTGGACTTGCCATCTGCTCTTCGGTTCTCCTCTGGCTGGCAGCGAGGAGGACCACCATCACGCCGCCGCCGCCGCTGCCCCATCTTCACCTCTCAAGACAAAGGAGGAGCAGGGCGAAGGTGTTCGCAAGAGGAAAGCCAAGAAGGCTGAGTAGGACACCGTGCTGCACTGGTGAAACTGCATCTGACTCGCCCTCATGCTGCCCGCATGCTGGGACTACCCATTCCTTTCTAAGGAAAGGGGCAGTTTGATCTTTTTGCCAAATGAGACCCTTTCTATTGGAGCAACATGGTGCCGTTTGCATTTTACATAGCTCGAGGACTCTGTAAATACAAAGCAAATGTTTCACACATAAACCCAACCTGGATGTTCTAAGCCTACTTATGTACAGTATGTGCCTGTGAACATCTGCATCTGTGCTTAAAGCTGTGTGTTTATCCATGTTCAGTAGCTGCATAGTGGCCTGTGGACACCCCCCCCCCCACATCCATAATTGTTTTACCAGTTTTTTTTTTCTTTTAGTCCATAAAAATCCTTAGTCAGTTTAAATTCTTTGCAGCTCAGAGAGAAACAGAAGAAAACAAGTGAATCTGAGGAAATTAAATATTCAAATTTGAAAAAAGTATTATGTGGAAGAACATTTTTGTTTTTTACACACACAAAAAACCCTTCATATCTTTGAATAAAATCAAGAGAAATATTGAGCCCTGGTTTTGTCTGTGTCATTTTTCTGATCTTTGATAAGACGACTAAATGAAGCAATCAGCTGGCTTCATGTGATCTCAAGTTTTAGTCTCCTCTTCAAATCCAGTTTGAGATGATACTTTAGTGTCACATAATAAACTACCTTTAAGAAGACGGATGAATCAAACCTTTACATGGTGAGGGCCGAGTGGGGGAGAGGTGCTCCTGTGCTTCTAGCCACAAGACTTTATTAAACTCTCCAGGTGGTCCTATGATAGACTTTGGTCTGCCTGTTCTTTGAGTTGTGGTCTCCTCTTTGGGTTGGAGTTGGAGATTTAGTGACATCTTGTGGCAAACATGCAGACTTAATTTACAGAAAACCCATATCTACACCCTCATGGTTTTTCCATGCAAATGTTAATGTTATAAAAGTTAGAACTACTTCTGAAATACAACATTTAGTTCTATGATTTAAAACTTGAACAGGTCTGAAAAGAAACAATAACAACACAAACAACATAGACCAAAAAAAAAGTCTAGTTGCATTTACTCAATCTCATAGATTAATATTAAACCATGAATAATAACAAAAATAATCAATGCAAAATCTTTTTAGGATCTGGAACCAATCCTGAGGCAGTAAAGTATGAGAAGCCATTATACCACCATGTCCTGTAAAGCAATGTGGATTTGGGAATAAGATTTTTCACTCAGCACGGTCCGTGGTTGCATTAGAAAGTACATGTGAAAAAACAATTACCCATAATTACCTGAGGCTCGATTTTGATATAGTATGATAAGTATATGTCATGCCTTGCTTTAAAAATAAATATAAAAATCTACCTTTAAGCATAAAAAGAAATTGTTTCCTAAAAAATAAATAAAAACCTTTTCCTTATTTCAGTGAGGACATTAAAAGGTCAAATTGCAGTTTGGTAAATGTGCTAATGATTTATTTATTTCTTCCTTTTCATAAACGCTTCATTGAACGGTTAAGGTGGAATTGCACACACACACAGTGATGCATTTTGAGTTTTGCTTGACCGAAGAGACAATCTGCTGTTTCCCGGCAGAAGCCCCCAGTGAGACTCCCCTGTGTCGGTGTGTGGGGACAGAGAACAGAGAGTCATGGAGGTGTTGAGTGTTGCCAAGGTGATATGAATCAAAACCAGGAGCCTTCAGCATAAAGAATGTAACTGCCATCTGCTGATGCCATTGCGGACACACGCACGGGGCTTCAGATACAGACGAGATCCCCCAGTAAACAGGTTTTTGTAGACGTAACACCGGATCTGAGGCCTGCATCTTTAAATTAAGAAGGAAATAATTTTGCTCTGACTTTTTTCCATTTGTTGAAGTGCTTATAGGTAGCACAGCAGGTGTATCCTAGTGGTCACAAAGACAACTTGATTTATCAGTGAAATTAAATTATATTTGTTGGAGCTTCTGAAGATATTTTGGAATGTGTGTTTTCCAGGAATCAGTTATGAACTCACTCACTTACACTTGGGAGAATATGGTTTATGTAAGAGGACAAAATGTTAAAAAAGTTTTCAGGCTGATGGCAGGTTTTTAAATGACATCTTCAGATAAACAGCCATGTGTGACATGTCACGCTGTGCCATTATATATTTGGGGAAAAAGAAAATGGACCATAATGAAGAAGCAGTCTGAAAAAGAAAAACTTATTCACAACTAGCTGAGAAAGAAAAAAATCCAGCTTGCCAGACACCCAAAACCGGTTTGTACTAAAGAGTAGTGTCTGATACACCTCAAACACCAACAACCACACATCAAACCTCAGTGCACATAGAAGTGTTAGTCTTCATTAAATTGAGCATCACAGATCTCGGAGATGCCGCCTTTACACACAGTGTGTGTGTTTTGTCATGTGCACTCATGTTCCTCTCTAATTCCTGTTGGAGCTTTAGAGGAAGAGGTGGACATGTAAACCCTGAAAGGGGGTGATGGTGAGGGAGGAAACACTCCAAGTGTGCTGCTGGAAACAGACTCGCAGGAGGAGCTCTGAGAGCAAACCGAAGGACTGAGAGAGCCTGGAGACAAAGCTGGGGAACCTGAAGCGATCCAAGCATGCTGTGGCTTCTGGGGCTGAGCTGTGTGCTGTGCATAGGAGGGAGATCTGTGGCAGGACAGAGAGGTGAGAGCAATGTCTCTGTTCTACATCTTAGACTGACCATGTGACAAGCTGGTCATTCGGTACATGTCTGAGGCTTTCAGAAAGCAAGTACAAATCAATCTCTATAGGATGTGTAAGAAAAATAAAATGGTCAATCTCTGTATTATAGCTTATAGTATCTGATTTTATAGGTTTAAATATCAAATGTGATTATAAAAACATGTGAGTCGAACAAAATGAAGTTGTTTTGTCAAAACTATGAGGACAGAGGAGAACGAGAAGTGACTGAATATTCTTTTCAGCTCTGCAATAATTACTCGTTTATCTTCTTCATTTTATGTTAAAATTAGTATCTGCTAAGACAAGTCGTCATCCAAATTTGCCTTGTAAAAGGGACCCCTGAGCTAGAACATTCTGTGTAAAGCTTTACGTAAACACAGTAAGGTAAAATGATTTCTGTGTTTCCTCTGTCGTCCAGGTTTTGACCTTTCTATTAGCAGGGAGAGTGATTTATTTCCACTATCTTTTCTTTTTTGCTGCGGAATTTACTCAGTAAACAGAGTTGCTGCTAATGAGAAGAACACATGTCCTACACTTCTTGCTCAGGAGATTTGTGTTCCTTTATGAGTCCTCTGGGGTGGTGGTGGCAGTGTTCAGGGTTTTTGATTATTAGCCAAACCGACATAAATAGAACTTCAGCTAAACCTCAAAATCAGCTCATAATGATTCAAACTAATTTGGCATTTTAGTGTTTTTTTCAAACCAGCTATATTTTGCAACTCTATTATAAAATTGGGGGTTGCAATGACTTGTAACCTGAACATACAGCTCCTTCCAGCTCTGAAGATTTAATCTGACTGCTTTGGCTCTACAGCTGTAACTTTAGAAATGCTGATGTTGTCTTTGGCTTCAGGGTGTAGCTGTTTTAAGAGGAAAGACTTTTAAAACCATCTTTACATGTTTCAAGGTAGACAGCCGAAACACACACACAGACACAAAACAAGCTGGTGAACACAGGGGAGCATTTGGGTTCTAGATGTTAGCCAGATGTTCTTCACAGGGATTGTTGGAGATAGAGCTAAAAAGGAAGTTAATATTGGACTGACATTTGTCAGACGGTCGTAAACATGACTTCTAGTGATAAAAAGTTTCTATATATGCACTATTTGGGAAAAATCAACTGTTAGATTAATCAATTTGAATGGGATTTTTTGAATATCCTTATTTTCATTATTTTTTACCCACTCCTACAAGCATGGGAAAAGTATTTGTTCCAATCGCACTTAGAATATTATCTTTGCAGCATTTCTGAAGAAAGTAGGTTCTGTTGAATGGGAAGCAGAAGGTTTAAAAAATTAGAGCAATATGCATGGAAAACCCGGATCATATTCAGTCCTTGAGCACTTGTAGTCGCCCACTAAGTTAAATTCCTGTAAACATGTGACCCCGAAAAATGTATATTCCAGAAAATCTTCTATCAGTCCATATCTGGGAAATCATTTTTGCAGCTGGAATCAAAATATCGCGGGCTAGAGTGAAAGCGTGGGTCGTGAATTCAAACGAGGCCTGCGGTGGCTGAAGAATGCCAGGCATCAGACTGTGCCATCAGACAGAGAATCGTCTTGTGCAAGACCATCACCACCGCCACACTGCACGCATACACATTTCCGTTTAATCCCCCGTGAGTTCCTGCTCCCATATGTTAAGCAAACTTGGTCTAACTAGAAAAAGAAAATCTGGAGGCCGACCTGGGCCCTCATTTATCAACCATCTGTAAAAAAGTTAGAGCATGAGAAAGTAAATGGAGAAAAAAGAGAAATTATTTATGTAACATGTGCAGAACAGTCACGTGCATATTAGTAAGTAATCAGATGTTGACAGATTCCTCATGCTCAAAACCACCATGCCAGTGCCGTTTGGGGTCTCAGGGGTCTTTTCAAATATATAATGTAATTCTATGAATGAAAAAAGTGCAAGTTTTTTAAGTTTGACTAAAAAATTTAAGACAAGAATAGAAATATATATATATATATATATATATATTGTCTTTATATGGATGTATGTATTTTGTACATTATCTTAAGAAGTAAAGGCTTTTCAGCTTTTTAGTCAAATTACCATAAATAAATGGCAGATTTAATGTGGATTCATTGTGTGAAAGCAACAATTGAAACCAAATAGAGACTGAAACCGAGCCAGTCACAGCTTCATTCATGAATGATAAACCTAATTTTTCCTTGTTTTTTTTGGCAACTCTGACACTCTCTATTTTGAATATCTGTCGTGACATTATAATGGTTTTCCGTTGTTATATAAATTGTGTTGTGTCCAAATGCAGATGGAGAGATTATCAGTCAGATTAAAATGACAAACCTCGCCCTGTCTGAGATTAAAGAGCTGCTGAAACAACAGGTAGTAAAAACACTGACCAAAACATTTTCCCAGTTCTAATTAGCTCACTTTCAAATGTATTCTTTATTAGCCACGAGCAAACACACATATAAACTGTAACAGTTGCTGAAAAGTAAAAAAGTCTTTTTTTTCCTGTTTTCTTTTAAACAGATCAAAGAGATAGTATTCTTAAAGAACACGGTGATGGAGTGTGAGGCCTGTGGTGAGTTCTAATATGGTTTTAACCATAATTCCAGTTTGTAAACGATTACATCTGAGAAATGTTTTCGATGAAGACTATTGTTATACTTTAATATGTATACCATATTTAGCTAATTTCCCAGTTGTTCCAGAAAATACATTAAGTCACCGCATGGACAGAGTCCATCTAGACAAAAGAGAAGGTGATAGGTTTAAAAAACATAACAGCCTTAAATACACTGAACCAAAAAGCAGCGGATATCCTCTCCTCTTAGGGATGGGCGGCATACAGCCTCCTCCCTCCTCCCCATGTGAGCCAAACCCTTGCCACCCGGGGGTGAAGTGTATGGAGACCCCTCAGGGTGCTGAATGTGGACCCTGCCCTGAAGGCATGAAGGGGAATGGTACACACTGCAGTGATGTGGACGAGGTACGTATAGTTCTTATTACTAAAATGTGACAGTCTACTGCAACGTTTCTGAAATGCCTCTCTGCATTCCGATGTATCGCTTATGAATGTTTGATTGGGAGATATTTCTGTTTTCACTACCATTTCTTCTCCTTTTTCCATATCAAAGTGCAGCACTTAAGAAAAAGTCTGATGATGTGGACACACCGGAGTCCATCCAGACCAGAACTTAAATCAACTGTGTGTGTGTGTGTCTGTTTGTTTCAGTGCACAGTGAAGCCCTGTCACATGGGTGTTCGCTGTATCAACACATCGCCTGGTTTCCGCTGTGGCTCTTGTCCCGCCGGATACACCGGGCCACAGGTCAAAGGTGTCGGCCTCGCCTACGCCACTGCCAACAAGCAGGTCAGTTTTAATGCCTTACTCTGTTACATTATCACAGTTAGTTTCTTTTAACTTTAGAATAGTATACACTGATTTAGATCACAAACCCAAAGGATTGTATCAAAACATTTCCATTTTGTCTGGTGGTATACATCATCCAAACGATTGGACCAGGTTGTCTCAAAGAACAAATCACCAGGTTGTTCATAAACAAAAAAAAAAGAAAGTGTGTTCTTACAACCTCAGCCTCCTATGTGGATGCCGTCATCTGCACCAGCTGAAGTCACTCATGGTTTGTCTTTCTGTTTGGGCTGTCAAGGTGTGCAAAGATATCAATGAGTGTGAAGGTCCCAACAATGGAAGTTGTGTAGAGAACTCTCTGTGTATGAACACGCCTGTGAGTATAATGCTGTTTCAAAATGTATACGTTTTAAAAATGTTTATATTTCACCACGTAAGGCAACGATTTGATCCTGTGACTGTTTGCACTGATGTGTCTGTATATGATCAGGGCTCCTACAGATGTGGTCCCTGTAAGACCGGCTATGTTGGGGATCAACGGCGTGGCTGTAAGCTCGAGAGAGCTTGTGGTAATGGTCAACCCAACCCCTGCCACGCCAGTGCCCAGTGCATAGTCCATAGAGAGGGGACTATCGAGTGCCAGGTGAACTAATCAAACATCAGTGAGCTATTGGGGCAAGCAAAGCATTTGTGTGGAAAGCTAATAAAACAATTACACTGTGTAATTTCCATTTGTGTGGAAAGCTAATAAAACAATTACACCCACACAGTGTGGGGTGGGCTGGGCTGGCAATGGCTACCTCTGCGGTCCTGACACTGACATCGATGGTTTCCCCGACGAGAGGCTGAACTGTCCTGACAGGCACTGCAACAAGGCGAGTCTCCGATGAACGACAAAAACACAATCATCAGCACATAAGTTTTAATCAATTTTTAGCTTTAAAGATTTCAGGGGCACGTTCATCTCGATGTGAAGGGTTTAAATGTAGAAGTAAAGCAAGGTCATTTAAATGGTCTTTTTTGTAGGATTCTGTGCGTTCCCCATTTACTTACAATGAGTGCTTGTCTTTTACAGGATAACTGCCTCACTGTGCCCAATTCTGGCCAGGAGGACGCTGACAACGATGGAATTGGGGATGCCTGTGATGAGGATGCAGATGGGGACGGGATCCTCAACGCACAGGTTCAAACACAAACATAACACCATGGCGGCATGTACCGTATAGCCCTAACACCATATTTCCTGCGGCGACTAACACTCGTTTTCTCTTTAGGATAACTGTGTTCTGGTGCCCAACGTAGACCAGAGTAACATTGATGAGGACGACTTTGGTGATGCTTGCGACAACTGCCGTGCGATCAAAAACAACGACCAAAAGGACACAGATGTGGACAAATTTGGAGACGAATGTGACGAGGACATTGATGGGGATGGTAATTTCATTAAAGGCTGCTATCCTGTTTCTTTTAAAGTGAAATATCTTAATTCCATCAGTGAAACCACGCATTCATTGTGCCATTGTAAACTTTGGGTTTCTTAACCTTCACTGATATTCTCTTTATTGTCAGGAATCCCCAATAACCTGGACAACTGCAAACGGGTTCCAAATCTTGATCAGAAAGATCGAGACGGAGACAAAGTGGGCGACGCCTGCGACAGCTGCCCTTATGTTCCCAACCCTGATCAGGTGAAGGCCTTGATCATTCATAGATTATTATTCCAGGACACATGGCAATTTGTGCCCAAGTCTGTTTCCTGTGCTCTGTACCTCTGTATCTCACAAAGTTGCTGAGTCCTCCAATATCGCATGAATGAAAACACGAATACAGGGCTGATAGAGCATCTTGATTCATAGGAACATCAGGGAATCATGAACAGATAAAGTGACTTTGAGAAGACATATAAAACAAACATATCATGCGTACTGTGAAATAAAACTAGAAGAGTTTCAAATCACCTGATTCATTATCCAGATGAGTATCAGCACCGTTTTATGTTGAAACGAGCTGTAGAGCGATATGTCTTACTTCTCAGATGGACGCAGACAATGACTTGATCGGAGATCCGTGTGACACCAACAAGGACAGGTAATGCACCTCACCAGTCACATCCAAACATTCTTCAGCTTCTTTCCCACACAAGCTTTGTCCAACCTTTTCCAGTGATGGCGATGGTCACCAAGACTCTCGGGACAACTGCCCAGCTGTCATCAACAGCTCTCAACTGGACACTGACAAAGATGGAATAGGAGACGAGTGTGATGATGATGACGACAACGACGGTATCCCTGACCTGCTGCCACCTGGTCCCGACAACTGCCGTCTGATTCCAAACCCACTGCAGGAGGACTCTGACGGTGGGTAAAACTCCAAGACTTAAGATTGTGTACGTTTTTCTTATGACCCGATAAGAATCACTGGATCTATCCAACCCTCCTCATAGGTGACGGCGTGGGCAATATATGCGAGACCGATTTTGACAACGACACTATAATCGACACCATCGACGTTTGCCCAGAAAACGCCGAGGTCACCCTCACTGACTTCAGGGAGTACCAGACCATCGTTTTAGATCCTGAGGGAGACGCACAGATTGATCCCAACTGGGTAGTGCTGAACCAGGTCAGGACCACCCAGTTCCAACTATATTGTGCAGCAAAAGTACACTGACAGCTTAACTGTTCCTGAAATCCATTGTTGTGTTTGCACAGGGAAGAGAGATTGTCCAGACCATGAACAGTGACCCTGGGCTGGCCGTTGGTAAGAATATATGGAATCTCAGGAAAGAGTTTGAAACTTTTTAAAAGCATGATTTCTGCAGAATAGGGATTGACTTAGGCCCATTTTTGGGGTGTGTGTGATGATCTATCCTGCAGGTTACACTGCTTTCAGCGGAGTGGACTTTGAAGGGACGTTTCATGTAAATACGGTGACTGATGACGACTATGCTGGCTTCATCTTTGGCTACCAAGACAGCTCCAGTTTCTACGTGGTAATGTGGAAACAGGTGGAACAGATCTACTGGCAGGCAAATCCATTTCGAGCCGTGGCAGAACCCGGGATCCAACTGAAGGTATTCGACGCCTCCATGCACAGCACTTTAGTTGTCAGTGTGGAAATGCTGGGGTCCAGATAAGAGGTTAGGTTAACCACTCATTGGTTTGTGTATTTAAAAGATACAGGAGTTCACTTCCGGGTCAGTGGAAGCTTGTTTTCTGATTTGTCCAAGCTAGAAGCCCAGTTAAATTTTTTATATTGAGAACTGGCATCTGCATGGTCATAGCCCCAAACCACATCTGTAAATTCTGTCAAGGGTTCATTATCATGCACCATTCCTAATTATATAAGAATAACTCTTAATGTTTTAAAGAAAAATAATCTTGCTTCACTTTCCAAGAATACTGCTAGTCAACTGAAGCTCTCTTCCAAGAAAAGAAATAAAGCTGTGACATTTTGGAGGAAAAGGGAACCCAAAGGGAAAAAGAATGAAATGGTATACATTTAAATGCTTGTCTATTTAACAGGCTGTAAAGTCGGACACAGGTCCGGGTGAGAACCTGAGGAACGCCCTGTGGCACACCGGTGATACCAGCGATCAGGTGAAACTCCTGTGGAAAGATGCTCGCAATGTTGGCTGGAAAGACAAGACTTCATACCGCTGGTTCCTGCAGCACCGGCCCGCTGACGGTTACATCAGGTACTGGCAGAGTTCATGGTTAAACCACACAAGTGCTGCTCTCATCTTTATGTGTTCAGTAAAACTGTGCTTTGGCAGAGATGTAAAGAAACACTTGCATAAGTCCAAAATGGGAAATCTTGAGTAAGGAAAGAAAGAAACTAAGTGAAAGCTTCCCTAATCAGTCTTTGGACAATAGATATCCATAAAAATGGATCACAAATGTGTCCATTTTGACCAGAATATCCCATCTCCCCAAATCATAAATTGATCACGTTTTTAATTTTGAATTAAATCCTGATGTCAATTGGTGTCCAGAGTTCGGTTCTTTGAGGGTACTCAGATGGTAGCGGACACAGGTGTCATCATAGATGCCACCATGAGAGGAGGCCGGCTTGGCGTATTTTGCTTCTCCCAGGAGAACATCATCTGGGCCAACCTGCGCTACCGCTGCAATGGTGAGTGATGCCTTTCAGACGTTGTGTCTGTGGTTTTTCCTACTGCAGTGAATCAAGCAGTAATCTCTAATGCTTACTCAGAATTTTCCACTGAGATACAAAGGAATTTTCTGTGAACGGGCTGTCTTATGTGCCTCTTTTCAGACACTCTTCCAGAAGACTTTGACACCTACAGAGCTCAGCAAGTCCAGATTGTGGCCTGACGACAATAAATGAGCCCCATCGGGGGTGAAGTCTCTTCAGTTTTAAGAAAAAAAACGAAGAATTTGGACGAGAGCAGTAAAACTCTTAATAAGGATGCGGCCGCATCGCATGGAGTTCCTGGAATGTTCAGAAATTTCTGTTATATTGCTTTTTTTTACAGATTAATTATAGATTTTAGCTAATTATTTTGTACGAGTTAATGTGATATTTTTAACATTGAAATTTACCGCTGGATTATCATAAAACACATTAGCTTCATGTTGAAAATACATTATTTTAGTGAAATGGTCTCATCCAAAGTTTCTTTTTGTGTAGACTCATAAGTCTTTCAATGGCACACTGACTTTCAATTAAGTAAAAATTCTTGTATTACCATTGTATTCTTTGAGGGCTTCAAAAAAACAGAGGTATGGAAACTTTCAACGTTGAATAAATATTCAGAAGTAATTGGCTCCCAAAAGCAGCATCTCAACTCCAATTAATTAATCGATCAAATTAAGCTGCTAGTTGAAGAAGGATATAAGAAAATAAATGTTTTCAGGGCTGATCGTGAACAAGAACTACAAACCTGGTCCAGAGCCCATTTGCAGGAAAATCCACTAAACAAATCCCATAAGAATCCTAGCAGGCTAAAAAAAAGTATTCTATAAAAAAGTCACTCTTCCTCTAAAACAGTACGAGATAGAACAAGAGAGAAAGTAAATATCAATAACTGTGACCAAGGGTGCATAAGCCTTTGCATGTCATGAATGAATTATGCTCCACGTGATGCTAAACATTTGATTTTAAGTAACAGACATGAGTTTGTTTGTTTTTCCAAACTCAAACTTTTTTTTTTAGTGGAAATCAACATTCTGAACATTTCACAAGCATGCACATATCCAAAATAATCCTTTTAAATTTGCATTTGGAAATACAGATTACAAAATAGAAACAATAGCAAAGATAATGTACAATAGGATCGGAACATCATGCATGTCCACAGCAACACGCCGTGATAATAATGGACGGCTTCTTTTTTTTTTTTTGTCAATCAGCATTTTTATGCAAATCAAGACTATGTGCAGAGAAAAATCTGTCTTCCACAATCAATTTAATTGACAGTTTTCTTTCATCTTATAAACAAATGGTCACATAAAGAGAATCACATGGCAACAAATAAATAACTACAGGTCTGTTACTACAACTTACAGGACAACAGTGATATAATGCTTTTCTCACTATAAGCTTGAAGTGGAACTTAAACTGTGCATGTCCACAGCCTCTTACAAGTTTACATGAAATGTAGTCATTTAGAAAACCCTATATCATTAAAGGGACGTGTAATGGACACCTAAAACCTTCTGCAGTACAGACCAGACGGAGCAGCGGCTCTAGCTTGCTGTTCTGGGACTGTGAACACATCCTCAAACTCACCAGCTCGAGACAGATTGCACCCTCTTCACTTCTTAAGAATACTTGTATCTCAGAGCGATAAAAGCAGAAGAGTCCACACTACTACATTTACGAGATGAGCTGCGCATCTGTGCTAGTTTGAAAAAAGGGACAACCACCCCACGCTTCCAGATTCAGAGAGGCAGACGTGCACCTTTGACTCGATCGTGCCGACTTCAGGGAGAGGTTTCAGTAGCTGCCTAATCTGACATCAAGTGATTTCCCGGTGTGACATTTGCTGTTGGCTAATTGGTGACAATGATTTAATCGTCAGCTGCCCGCTACCATCTTCACTCAGGATGCACACCAGAGATCCGGCACAACACGCTTATAACTGCCAAATATATTCTATCTCACCTACGGATTTTAGGCTTTGGGGAGAAGTTACCTGCATTTCAGTTTGAAGCTATTTCTGGAAGTGAGACGGCTGCTGTCACACATTGCTGTTAGTGGCAGTGTGCGTGGTTAAAGACGCACTGCTTTACTGTAGTTTTGAGGTTGCAGGTAACAACTAAGGCCAATATGTCACTGTGAGATTTTATGTGGGATCGAGGAGGAGGGAGGGGGCAAAACAACAAGTACATTCGGAGCCATTTAGGAGCATATCTATATTTCCAATGCCCAATGTTCCCCAGTTCAATATGCAGTTTATGCATACCTGAAGTAAATGGGACACATTTTAAAATATCCGTGTTTAAAACCTAATGAGACTCTAACTCCCAAACAAAACTCTTAAGAGACAGCAATCACAACAGAGGTGGGGAAGATGTTTTTTATGGTTCCACCTCTGAGAAACAAACAAGGACCCCTTATCAGATTCCCCTTTGAGTGTAACATAGAACTGGGGAACACAGGACGGTGGGAATATAGGAGTGACTCCATCTGTTCCTTTCAAACACTAGAGCGCGAGCTGCCCTGGAGTAAGCCCTTTCAAATTTTGCATCCCCTAAAATCTGAACAGTTAAAAAAAGGACAAGCCAAAGAACAGTTTACAAAGGAAAATAGAGTGTTCATCTTTTCTTTTACATTAAAATATCTCTGGTGTAAAACAGTCAGCATTCACATCGGGCAGAACTTTCCCCGCTCAAACGCAAGGGGAGTCACAAATAAAGTGCGAAGCAACTAGTGGACTAAACATTGCACCAAAAGACAGAGAGAGAGAGAAAAAAAAGAACAGAACAAAACAACAAAACAAAAAAACAGTTACACTATACCCAGCCCAGGACCTGACATGATCGGCGATAACAAAAAAAAAAACATATCTGTCGGAAACACACTCCACTTCAGCATAGCAATATCAAAGTCCTGTACATAACACGGGGTGAGAATCTGCTCCATGTGTCCATCGGGTCATGCAGTTGACTGGCTGCGTAACGCAGAAGCATCGGAGGCTCACAAACGCAAAACGGATGGGACCTTTACAGGACAAGATCTTCCATAATGTTAAGAAAGCCAACAGTTTGTGCTGACGGTGAGGGGGCGGATGGATGGAGAGCAGGCTCTTTTAGTATCGACTGTTTGTACGCAGAGTGATGCTACAGTAGGAAGAGAGGGCGGAACAAGCAACAGTCAGATTCTTAAAGGTGGGGAGGAGGGGGGGGGCTGATCCAACTCTCCTGACCCCCTCCGCTCGTTTGACAAGAGGCTAAAACTAGGACACTGTCACACAAATTACATTCGTTAATCATTCGTGAAGTAGCATTGTACAGAAATGGAGGTAACAGCGTCACTTAACAGGAGTTCACTGTTGCACAGGAAAAACCCATACATGCATCCCTTTAGACGTTTTGATAGTGTTACTTTACACAAATCAAACCTGAAGAGCAAAAGAAGGCCTTCATTTAGAGGTTCAGACTGTCAGTTTTGTCATGCATTTTGTTTCATATAGTATGTACAGAGTCAGGGTGACTGGCTGGGCTTCAGCAGGACGAGAGACAGCTGATGACAGGAAAGCTCCGATCACTGGCATTATTGGCAGCAACTGTGAAGTCTGACAGCAATGCTAACTTTTTTTCTTTTCGGTACGCCACACTTTGGAAACATGGAATATGTAGACATTTAATTCAGAGACTTAAAGGAAAAATCCATCATTGACCGAAAACATTTCGTTCAGGAAAACTCTTTGAATACTGAGCTTCCCTTTTTTCCCCCTTTTTTTGTTTTAGGTGGCGAGTGAATGACTGATCTAAAATGTCAAATGTAGGAGCCAGGCTCTGAACTGTATTCTCCTAGGGAGATGCAGAAAAGGTGTCCATCGAAAGCAGCTCGTATGTTAAACAGTCGAAAGATCAAATGAACTGAAGAGCTTAAAGATCAGAGGAAACAGGGATTTATGTTTCCGTATTTCATCAATAAATCAGAGCACGATTTCACTCGCTGATTGTCATATCGCCACCGCATCACTCCTTTTAATTCCGACACTCATAATCCACCTGGTTCAGATTCTCTACAAAAGACCACCCTGCTGATATCTGCCCAAGATGCGACACCGATTCATGGAGCCCTTTGAAAAGTAAGACATAACAAAGTTCCATCGTCTCAGGGCTCTGTATCACTGACAAAGGTGGAGAAAGTGTCTCCACCCGTATGACTTTTGTATCATCGAAAGCGTCTCGAGCCGGCCACACACCTCTGATGTGATGGTCTGTTTCTGCAGAGCTCAGGGAGAGTTGGATTTTTTCTTTAAGTGTCTTTTTTTTTTTTAAGATAGATTTTTTAGTAGTTACATTTGCATAGGAATCACATGTGTTAAAGGCAAACAAAACCACTGATGGAGCTTTACAGAAGCCAGTGAACGCTGAACCAAGCTGTCCAAATGCAGAGGTAAACCAAATGGGATTCCTTTGAGGAGAGGTGGGGTAGGGGTTGGACAGTCTTCCCATCAGCGCTTTAGTTAAGTAAAAATATGAGCATTTGTGCACACAAACATTGCAATATGCTAATAATGATCCCACACACCTACACAAACCTCTCAGGGAAACTCTCGACAAAAGGCTGAGGCAGACGTTTTGGCACTGCATGCGAGGCTTCTGTCAATTATGCCAGTTCTGAAGTTATTTTGGCATTCAAGAGAGACAACGGGGTGTAAACTGTTTCAGGCTACAGAGTAGAATAATTCCCAGATTGTTTTTATGGCCATCTATGTTGCCTCTAAGACTGAAGGCAAATACAACTCTTGTATACTTGTTATCTAAAAATCTTTAGCTTGTCTTTATGCAGCGTATCCTAATTCAGGATATAGACAATCAATAGATCTTTTTTTTTTACACGCAGCAACAAAATATTCCAATGTTGCAGCTTCATAAAAGAAAAAGCTTGAGGCAACAATACTGTCCCTTCCATCAATCTGTGATTTATAACTGATGCGTCAAGGGTGATTTGCGTTTTTGTGAGAGATTCCCTGTTAAGGAGCAAAATCCTCCCCATAATTGCACTCTTTTTTTTAAAAACACTTTTAAAGCCTCTTTAAGTAGTTTTCTTGTTTGTTTTTTTTTGTCCCACTTAAAAACAACAACAATTTGGCTAAAAAGAGTACCGCTACAAAATACAGTACATTGATTGGTCAAACCTTACACAACATAACCACAAATATCACTGACCAAAGGCTCCCGTCAAGTACAAGAACGGGATACAATAAATTACCAAAGTACGTTGTCACATTAGACACTTACGTAGAACAGTAGATTTTTACTGTAAGGCAAAATCAGGTGATTTCACAGTGAAGACTTAAAAGGATTAAGATTTGGATTAAAAACAGACACCGTCCTTCATCTAGAAGGAGTCCTAATATATATGTACGTACAAACACATTATATATATATATGTACATACATACATGCATATACATATATAAATATATATATATATATATACACACACATATATATATATGTCTATTGGCTTTTAACTTAATTTTGTTGCATTTTTCTTGCATTCTGGTTGAATAGAAAGACCTGATCATTTTCTCAGAAAATGTTAATTGTGTAGCTGTTTCTGAATTAGTGTTAAAAACTAATATTTGGATTTGACTGTTGGGCTACAGCACATCAATGTCAGAAAATGGCACATCTAACACCAAAGAGCAACTATGGGGAGGTTTTACACTCCTTCATTAACCAAGTAGCTTAACAAATACAGATATAAATATGTTAGTAATCAATAAATAATAGACCCAAATTACTTCAGTGCAATTTTACACTATGCCTACAAACAACAATTAGGCATCAAATCCATGAAATGGAATATAAAATTTCTAATCAAATAAATAAAATGTATAAATACACAAAAAATAAAAACATATATTAAAAGATGAAAATAACATTTGGTTGTTAAAAATAAAGCTTTGAGTGTGAAGTAGAAAGCTGTTATTTGGGTGAACTTGGGTGATGAAAAAAAATGGGCCTTTTCTTTTCCTTTTTTTTTTATCAAATAGGTACATTATACCTAAGCAGCTTCCTGCTTTGAGCAAAGAAACTAAAGAACACGTGGATATGAAACGAAAAAAACTCAAATGTGCGTTTGTTGAATATAAGTGGCATGTAATGTACACTGTAAACACAGCAGGCTAGCGAAAGCGCTGAGCAACCAATCTCATTCCAAACGACAGCTGCCCATTCCCTGATGAGTCACTGGATCTCTTTTTCCCCCGTTGTCTTTTGGTGGTGCATCGTTTCAAGGGGCTTCATGAAGTCACGGGCAAGGTCGGACAGCTGGGCGGCCATGCACTGAGGGAGGGGTTTCATCCTGCCCTTTATTTCTCTTCCTAAGACAGTTTTTTTTTTTTTTCCCTCTTTGCTCAGTAAGTAGGTTACGTTAGGTTACAGCCTGTCCATCCTGAACGTGTCCTCGGTGGCGGGGTCGGTGAGCACCATGTCTGGGTCATTGAGCATGTGAAGACCGTCCAGGGTGAGTGGGTCAATCTTCAACTCATCCAAAGGAAACTGAGAGTCTGCGTCGAAGCTGACGTCACCCACACCTGCCAGAGAGTTGGTCAGCTCTTTGGAGAGGCTTGGCGGAGACTCACCTGTGACTGAGAAAGGTGACGCGTGAGGCACAGGCAGCTTTGGCACAGCGTGAGAGCATTCCTAAAACTAAACCTGAGGAAGAACTTCTGCATGTGTATCAAGCAATGATGACAATTTAGGCAAAACACAGATGCATTATATAGATAATGATAACAATACATATATAAAATAACAACCACACCCTGCACGGTGCAGCTGAGCACGACGCTGAGCTGCACCGTGCAGGTGTTGAATGTTTGCCTCCCAGCTGTGCTGAAGACCACACCAGATGCAGCAAGAGTACAATGAGGCCAAACATCTGGTGGTAGAATACCTACCTGTAAGGATGATGTTGGGGATGTTGCTATGGTTACTGTAACTGAGCTGCTGTGGGTCCTGCAGGCTGCTTCCAGTGAGGCCCATCATGGCTGCTTGCGTGTAGTTGAGGGTGGAACACTGGTTGAAAAGGCTGGAGGAGCTAATGGGACTCTCAATCATGTTGAACTGCTCGAGCTGAAAGCACAGGAGCGTGACATATTGTTTGAGCACTAAAGCGAGACGGAAATTCCTGTGGCTCTTGCTGGTTTTTGTTTGTGAACTCGCTTACCTGGTGAGACAGAGCGTTGGTCTGCCTCGATGCCAGCTGCTGATCATAAAAGGAGTCACCGAATATACTGCCCACCGCAGGGATGTGCTGCAGGACGAGAGACATGCCACATATTTCAGGACAAGAAACAAGAAAGAGGCTCAAAAACGCTAAAAACATACCCAGAGTGGGAGGTTATCCTTGTCCACAAGCAAACATCTCAGTGACGGATTAACAAATACTCAAGCAGAACATTAAGTCACACAACTGTCTGATTGAGCAGTGGGTAAAAGCACACAGTTCATGAATAGGGCTGTCATAGTTCAAAACCAAAACAAGAGATTAGACGGAGAGATTAAGAATTCTAATTTAAAATACACACTACAAAAAATAAAGAAATAACAAAAAAAAAAACACATGGCAAAAAGTACGAGAACATAAGAGGTAGAGGTGCAGGGAAGACGACAGTATACCAAGACAGCCCTGTTCATGGTGACAAATGCTTATTAAAGGGAAACCTGAATAGTTTTACCGGGGTGTTATTCTGATATTTTAAGATTATGTTGACATTCACCACCATTGTGATGAATAGAAACTCTACAGCAGAAAATGTTGACAGATGTAGTGAATCAAAATTTATCATGGCTCATAGAAGGTTAGACTGACAATAGAATCACAATAACACCCATGAGTGATAAGCACTGGAATTCCCCTTCATAATATTCTTGCAATGAGAAAAGCACCACTGAACACAAAGTCAACACTGTGTGAATGGCTATTATTAGGTGATGGAGTCCCTGTTTAACTATTTCCAATAAAAGGTAGCTAATCTATTAAAGTCTAGCTCTCTGTTTGGCTCAAAGTGCTTTCTTTGGATTTTTACCCTTATCTAAAAAAAAATCCTCAGACGCAAGAGGCCTCGACCAGTTTTATGTAACCAGATCTCGAAACTTTACCTTTTATTGTCTGTTTTGCAAAAGAAAGGAAGAATGGACACGGATCTTAAGGCAGAACACTGATGTCCACCACTGCACACTTTGTCTTCATCAAAAAGGCTGTAACGCTGAGAGTTTTCCTTCTTTTCCGGCATTAATATAAATATCAAGGATTTAAGTTTCATTGTATCATTCAAATATTTGTGTGTCTGTCTTACAAATTAATTAGATCTTATAAAAGGCAAGAGAACACTTTTTTGGGGAGGAGTCTTAAACAACTTTAGTCGAGTACTTAATTTCTGGTGTGGTGGTAACTAAATTGCATTAGGCATGTGTGAACTTCAGTTCACTTTTTAAACCAACAGACTGTCAGGGCCTCCATCAACAAACCATCAGCATTGTTGTCATGCACACAGTGAAGAGTGACAGCAGTGACGAAGAGATGAGTTATGCAGCTGCTGGCACCATGAGTGGTTAACTGCTGGTACAGAGAATGAAAAGCAGCCTGACTAGCTACAATTAGCCTTCCCCTAGAAGCAAAGCCCTTCCCAAGACAGCGGCTAGCTCGGTGGGTGGGCCCTTACTTGAGGCGAGCCTCCGGGGGAGAAGCCTTGATTGGAGACTGGGGAGGTTGGAGACTGAGTGGCTGGTGAGCCAGTCTGATTGCGATACTGTTGGAGGGAAGAGGGTTAGCTAGCACTAAGCTTCATGCCTGTCACACACAGATTTTGAAGGGAAATTAAACTCCCAACGACCTCTACAGGCAGTGGGAAAACCTTGTGTTTGCCAAGTTTGCCTCCATGAAAGCAAAATGTTAGTAGTTCGTTTTAATGGTAAAATGGATGCCGTGTTATACAGAATCATTACCAGTGTATTATCACTAAACCACCTGAGAAAAATATTTGTTTTAATGGGCCAGAGTAGAGTAAAATACAATAACTGCTGACAAAATTTCTGTCTTGAAAGCCGCAAAAAAGAGGTATAGGAATGAAGTGCTGTGTAGATTTTCAGAACAAAGTTGAAAAATAAATCATAAGATAAATGGTTCCAGTCATTTTATCAAGCTAATAACTCTGCTTCCACTTCAAATGAGAAGTGACCGTTTCGTACCGAGCCGATGCTCATGCTGGCCGTGGTCTGGCTGTCTGGGGAGGGGCTGCTTGCCGTCACTGGACCAGACGAGGTCGGAGTTGGCAAAGTGATGAGCTGGATGCCTTGAGGGAGGGCCTGATGCTTCTGGAGGTCACTGAGGAGCTGAGCCTGGGCCTGAGCGGTCAGCTGATTGAACAAAGGGTACTGAGAAAGCTGTTGTTCCAGGGTTAGAGATTCAGCTGGCACAGCCTGCAGAAAGATTGACACAACTATCAACATGAGAAAAGGTGCCAATGCGGAAGCATTGGCTCATCAGCCCGGCTGTGATGAATGGTCATGGGAAAAGAGGCTGCCAGGCCCTTTTAAGGTGATCCAATAGAGCCTCACCTGTGTCATGTTTATGGATGAGGAGAGAGTGGGTGAGAGCTGCTGTGGGGACTGCTGGAGGTGGAGGTCAGAGGTGAGGGTGAGCGGCACCACGGGTGGTTGCCGGCGCTGTGCCGTTACAGTCATGGTAGACTGAGAGGAGGTGGGGATGCCTGAGGAGGAAAACGGATGAAGACATAAATGGTTTCTTTCTTTGCGTCAGACTAAACTGAGACGTGCAGACTTGTTTAAATGACAAAGTCAGAGCTACCAGACTACCAGAGCAAGCTTTTCACAACTAAATTAAAACTTATGGACACACAGCAAGGCTTGCTCTGCCCTGCATCCTGGCTATTTCATGCAGTAGACTGTAACTTTGGAGTCTTCAGTAGTAGGCAGACTGGGAATGTAGCTACAAATGAACAGACATTTGGTCAGCTTACAGTAGAGGATCAGATCCGGTGAGTCAGACAATATGAGTGGCAGTGAGTAATTGGTGTTGTAGGACTGAACTTATTCAGCTCAGAGAGGCTGAGCAATCGGAAACGCTGGAAGGCCCGCCAGCAGCCTGCTGATCCAGACTCATGGATACACACATGCCAACACTGCATGTGCTAGAAGAGGTGATGGGTGTTTAATCAACTGCCCTGTCTCTATGACTTTTAGGACACCGTTGGCAGACATTTTGAGCTTTGAGTCAGAAACAAACAACTCATTTTCAATGTTTTGGTGCTTCCGTGCTTTTCACAGAGAAATCTGTTGGAATTCCCTGCTAGGATCAACAATGACTCTGCTGATGGAACGTTACTGGCAAAAATCCAGAGCTGACAGAATAGTGCATGATTTCCCTTTGCTGGGCTTCCTCATCCTACTGAACATGAAAAAGCTAATCTCACCGTGGCTGGCAGCACTGATGCCCAAATGGGTGAGGTTGGTGGTCAGGCTGCTCGTGCTGTTGGCTGAGCTCAGAGAGGGAAAGGACACGGTGTCCTCAGGGTCCAGTGGAGTGGACAGCGGAGGAGGGAACTGGATATTGGTTAAATCAGGCAGCGAACCGCCGGTATTGTGGGCCGCTGGGAGCACAGGCGGGTTGAGTTCTTGGTCTGGTGATGGAAATATACTAAAAAACAAACACATAAACAGGAAAATACAACAAATCAATTATAGAAAAAGACCGAGCAATTAGCCTGAATAATCTACATCTGCATATTTTCAGGAAATGCACAAATACTTGAATTTGGTCAAAGCTGATTCTTTGTGTTACTGATTTGATTTCTTGTAGCTAATAAAGAACACAGGATATAAAAAAAATGGCAACAGTTAAATAAATCAGGCATCCCAAACTTCTCAGGGGTGGCTTTACTTTAATCCACATGTCAGCGCTGCTTCCCTGTTAAGATTATGAGTGAAATTCATAAACTCAATTCAACTTAAAAATAAAATATTTGAAAGAGAGAATAAATTCATCTTTGCCAAATTCAAAGTTATTCTGAATAAAAATGCTAACAAATATTCATAAAAAACATGAACAAACTCTTTAAAGGATCAAGTAATGCAAAGATTTAGCCAAACATTAATCAGGCATCAACGCAGTGAGACTTAACACAACAAGGAAGTTCTTTCAAAAACATAAAAAAAACATGAATCATTTAATCCTTCATCAGACAATAGGTTCTGCCGGGATATTCATCCATTTTAGCACACCCCCAAATGAACAGCATCCCTTAACCCACCAACATTGTAGCTTTTTAGGCTACTCTTCTCCTGTGCTGTTTAATCTTAAATAATTCACTCACTTGATTCCTGGGACATCGCATGTGTTCGGTTTTGATGTGTCATCCTAAAAACAAAATGTAAAGATGAGCTGCAAATTGTACTTCATTAGTGTAGCCTATTTGAGGCAAATTACTGTCCCATAAATACCTTCTTGTCATTCCACAACTGTTTTTGTGCATCCTTGTCTGCATCTGACTCCGAGTTCTCCGTTCCAGGTACTGTTAGCAGCAGCACTAATTAGGGAAACACAACAGTTACTTTCATTAATACAGCTAATATTTTAACAAATGACTCATCAACATCTGAAGCAAGTCATGCAGACACAGTGCTGCCATGCACTAGATTCTTAAGTCTAAAAATAGCATGGGGACAGAGAGAATGGATGCCAGCAAATTTAAGTTTCACTAAATATAAGCCTTACACATAAAAAAAGGCAAAATCAATGGATAACCAGTAAATTACAGATTGGGCCCTTCAGGTCATCCCAAGTCAGTTTCATTCAGAGATGTTGTGTTGTGCTGCGTAGTCCACCGACATGTTGAGGCGCTGCTCTGGATGAGGTATCTATTTACACCATAAATATTTTAGCAAAGATCTAGATCTACCGCTATGAGACATCAACCCTTTCATGCCACTGGACACATGCTGCTTAGATTAGCACAAGGGGCATTAATAAGTAAAAGGCAGCTCTGTGTTTGTAACTCAGCACTCCTTCACCTCGTTTAGGCTGCAGCTCCTGTGATCCGCCTGAATACACCTCCTGAGGCTTCGGATTCATGGCGCTCTGGTGTAAAGCAGAGTCGGAATTTGTTCTGTATTGGAAAGATGAGATGTCAGCAAAAGCCCTGCCGTAGCCAAGCACTGGCAGAATGCCAGCTCCACCGCCTATCCCTCAAGGATCGAACTTCTGACGCCGAACGCAACTTTGCCATCAAGCTGTCCAGGATGTTTTGTGGTTGGCTGGCTTTACCCGAACACATGCAATTTTTTTTGCTTTTGTTTTTTTGGAGAGTAAGGCTTTGCTGGCTGTTTGCAACAACCTTGCAATCTTGGCAAAGTAACAAATGGAGGTGGCTTACCTTCTCCAGCTAGTGTCTGGTGGCGGGGAGAGGTAAACCGAGCTGTATGGACAGCTGTCGATGTGAGCCTAGTTAAGGGTAATAAGGTTGGCAGATTAAAATTAGATAGAAATAAGAGATGGAAAACCCTGATAACTGATAAACAACAAATACTCGGCTTTGTGTAAATGATTGCCCCTGGTGAGCTCAGCCCCTTCATGACAAGCATTTAGTCTAAAAATACTCGGATGGAGCAGACTCGAAGCAGGAAAACATCCTGACCAGCACACGCTTGAACAGAAAGGATATCTGGCGACCGTGTTTGTCAACAGACAGAGGGCGGCGGTGAGGGGATGTGATGCGGTTGCGGTCGCGGTAGACGCGCTCCACCAGGCCGTGGTGCCTTGTCGTTCGACTGGTGTCCAGCACAGAGTTCTACAGTGAACACACCATGTGAATGAGGCCAGAAAAAGACACTTGTAGAGAACAGCTTTGTTTTAAGGAAACATAGGACAAATGTCCTCTTTTCAAAATGAGTCAAGCCACGGTGAACCCCCGTTCTGATGCTTGAGTTGGCAAATGTACTTAAAGATGAAAAGCCATGAAAAGCAATGGTGTAGTTTAGAAATTTTGGAACCAGATTGCAAAGCTAAAACACCTCCTCTCCTTTCGCTCCAAAGGCAGACTAAGACCTGTTGGAAAGCCGCTTTGACCAGCAGGTTATTTCTAAACATTTTTCTGTTGTCACACCTACAGGAAAACTTAATAGACTCTCTGAAAGAGGTTTATAAGCAACTATCTGTTTGGAACCAATTTTTCACCAATACTTCAGACAACTGCAACCTAAGTCTCTCCAAAATTCGCCAACAGCTGACATGGGTACACTGATCTATTACAAATCATCAAATCACCATCCGAGAGAGGCTAAGGGCTCACCTGAAAAGGCAGGTCAATGTTGCCATTTCCAATCTGATTGACATTGGGCAGTGAGCCTCCATAGTACTGTCCACGATTCTGCCCTAGTTGCAAATACTGGGTCTTCTGTAACTGCAACTGTGCAAAATAAAATTGCATGAAAGCATGAGTGAATGATTGATTTGATTCACAGAAGAAGAAAAAAAAAGGGAAAAAAAAGGAAATATGAATGATCCATGCAAATCTATAGTGGTGATATGCAATATTTATTATTCCATTACTTGTGAAATGCAACATGGTTTGGACTGGCTTTTCCAAAAACGAGTAATGGAGAGGCAGACAACATAAATACAAAAATAAGACAACAAATAAAATCTAACCAGCTGATGACAATGACACCTGACTGACAGCTTGTGTAGTTACAGTCATACTTCGCATGGAGCACCGAGCCATTACATTTACCAAATGTCTAAACACAACAATCAGTTACAAAAGTCATGTATTTTATTATAAACACTGCAATGCCGTCGTACTCCAACATAAATGCAGTTAAATTATGATCAATGGGAATGTGATGGATGGAACACAAAAGAAATCAAGCAAAGACCATTAAACTGGGTGTTTTCTCCACCTTTCTGCATAAGAGTAAAGCTTAATCAGTCACTTAAGTAGGCGCACATAATTTCCTGCAATCGGATCAACAGTTGTCAACATATTTCATCGGTTAGTTTCGTCATTGATTTATTAATCATCAGATATTATTCTGCCAATGATTGCAATTGATAAAATACATTCCAAGAAAAGAAAAAAACTCCATATATGCTGCATGGTTCTGTTGTTATGCTGGAGTTTCTCTGCATTTGGCTATAATTTTAACATGTTTAAACATGTTTCAAAGTATATATTGAGGCAAAATCACTGATTCTGGAGCAAAATATGTAATGTAAACCATTGTAAATCTTTAATGCTTCATCAAATTGTGTGACTTTGGGTGGTCCCTGGACAATAACGAGACAAAAATCAACGCTTCTATCCTGTTTTTCTGGTTAAATTTTACACTTCTGGCACCAAAGGGATTTGATTCTTTTTTATAAGTACACATAGCAAGAGAAAACCTTTTTTTCTTTTTTCTTTTAAATCCATATCTGAGTGCACTTAGCCATTGTGCAAGAGAGATGTATTTAGCATTAACATTACAGAGTACTATACTCACATATCAGGATGTTCCATGGCCAGAGACGTAAATCAATTACAGTCATGTTACAACAGTTTGGCAGCACAATGCAAACAAAAGTTGTCACAGTTCTCATTCCACAAGATTACGTTGTTGTTTAGTAAGTATGTGACATATTGGCTCCGACTGGGATGTGAAAAAACACAAGAGAATCGGGGGGGGAGAAAAAAAAAGAAGAATTTGATTGGAAAAAGAAACAACTGACCAGAGAGGTGAGCCAAAATATCAATCTAATAAGAATGGAGATGGAGCTTCCTGTTAGATTTAACAGTTCTTTTACACTATGACTTGGGGCCAAGAAAAATGAAGAGAAGTAACTGTGCTCATACTGGACATCTCCACCATTGCCTCCCTCCCTCAGTGATAGAGACAGTAGACCAATCCTCTGCCTGCAGTCACCTATTTTCTAAGCCATTCTGTGCAATTGCTCCTGAGTATAGGCAGTAGCAATAATCATGCTACGGTTCAAGAGAGGATGGTTTAATCAAAAAGATAAAAAAAAAAGGTTTAAATAGTATTTTCCTAATGAAATAAACTCCAATAATTGTTATGATTTTTTTAACGACACACTGAAGTCATGCTATTGTAAAACTCTACATTCAGTAAGACAACCTCATATAATTATTGTGCAACCTAATATAAAACAAGGAAAAGAAGCACTTCCTCAAATTAAACATGTTGTATTATATTAAAATATCTTAATAATATTACGTTGGATCAGCAATTTTCTCCATGACGGAAGTGTAGATGGACAATTCAATTAAGCAGTCACAGTAGACCAAGCCTTCGAACACGGTTCTAAAATCTAAACTTTTAGTATATCAACAATGCAGACTACGAACGTAGGAAATTGTACCTTTATTTACTTTAACGTGCTTAAAATATCAGTAAATGTGCCACGGAGGTAGTTCCACTCAAAGTAAATAGTGGATAGTTGACCGGGGGCGGGGGGAAACCCACAGCTGGTGAGGATGGTTAACACCTGATTGGCTAGCTTAGGCTGGCTTAGTCCTCTTAGAGATCCCCCCTCAGTTCTGCTCCAATTTTGTTTTTCCAGCTGCCAACTCACCAAACGAGCAGTGTTCTTTCCACGTCCGTTAGCGGACCAAGTGTGCGCGGTGGCTGCTCAAACCAGCCGCAGACCGAGAGCAGGTGCACAATATTAACCGCTCCACCAGCAAGCTAGCCGAGCTAATGAACGCTGCACGCGCACGTCGCGTCAGAAAAAGCGCAAGCATGCTTCAGCCACCACAGTAACATCAGATGGTGATGCTGCGCTGTTGAGTCTGAGGACGTCAGTATGAACTTAAACCATTTCGCGACCCATCGTTCAATTTGATCTCCGCAGTGTTCATTAACTGCCACACAGCGGTGCAACAAACTGTCAACACCCATGGGGTGGAGGTCTTACCCGTGCGGCTCTGGTGATGTTCAGGTCTTTCATCACTTCTTCAAATGCAGCTGTCTCTTCAGCCTGTTTCTGATTATGCAAAGCGATTTTTTCGCTAAATTTGCGGGGATTATTAGAGGACGCCATCTTTCCCTCTTCTTCTCAATGGAATGTTACGCTACGCACCGCGCCAAGGCCTGCTGCTGTCGTCATTACGCACAGCTGACGTGTCTATTGATGTTGTTGCTTTCTGCTTCAGTTGTTGCCAGAGTTTGAGGCAGGGTGGGTTTCAGCTAAAAATAAGATCTCCACAGGGGGACTAGTGTGCCCTAGATGATTGCTATGAATAGTAACATGAATTAATAAGGATGAAAATTCATAACAACCAGAATTTAATCAACACCTAGCTAAAACTTACCAAAACCAAACGGCTGGATGGATGAGATGACACTTTTTTTGTGATGCATTCCTAAATAATACTTTGATCTATTATTAGATTTATGTCGGTTGCAGTGATCCAAAGTATAATTCTAATACCCTTTTTTGATACACTAGCATAATAAAAAAAACTCCAATCTTTACATTCTTGAAGGAATAAATAGATAAGCTTCAAATGAAATCTGCTAGGATGTTACTGTAAAGTCTCATGAGTCACCATAGCCACTGTGTTTAAGAGGTTCCTGCTAAAGAGAAAGCGATGATTTATTAACAGTGACAAAGTGTACTGTTATATATACCTCTATAAGAATAAAGATGTAAATATTAACATCAAATGTTGCCAGTACCATATAACCACATTGTCTGGATTTGCAATACAAATAGTATTGACAAATTTAGTATTAACATGTTAAAATATTTAAAAAGTAATACGTTTCAAAACAGTGTCAGTTAAAAGTTACATATTGATTTTTCTTGTGACCCTGAATAGGACTTGGCGGGTTAAGAAAATGAAAGGATATTTCCCTGGGAGGGTATGGATGCATCGTTACCTATTAAAAGCAAGGCTTTGCTTCAGTGGGCTCAGATAATACAATTATATTATTCAACCAAAATAAAAACATATGTGCTTTTTAAAACATGAAACACTTTAATTGACACATAAAGCGACACAAATGCGTACATTCCCCTTTTAACTTAAGTAGTTTTCCTCATATTGCACTTTAACAATATACTGTGCTTTAACAGGTAGGACTAAACACCGGGAGGCAGTTAAATGGAGGACTCTCCTCACCATCCTGTGCGTAGCCATGCTCAAAAGGAAAACACAACAAGTCCTTCATTTATATGATGTTTTTTAGCATTATATAACTAATAGACAAGGCTTTAAAAAGAAAAGCAATTGCAGAAAAAAATGGAATATAGCCATGACGTCGGTTTCAGTCCATAAGTAGAGATTTGTGAACACTAAAGCAAAGCTTTTTTTTTTTCTCTGAGATCCAAAGAGCATCTGGAAATTTTCATGTTGATCTTGTTTGGTGCACAAAACAATGCTTTATCCATGACAAAAACACACTGATATTGTATCAGACACACACATCAGTCATTTGTGTAGCTGCCATAAGAGGTCTACAATATTTTGTTATGTTGATTGAGAAAAATATACTTAAAAAAACTTGCTTTTAGGACTTTTAACCCAGGAATCATAGGATTTTTTCATTATTTAAAACACCATTACTGATCAAAACTGTAACACCCATTACTCATTTTTGTGCAATCCTCCATAAGTTCTGATTAGCAGTTTGTTGAACAGTTGTAACATACACAAAGAGTAAGGTCAAGTTTAATCATAAATTGCCTGAAGAGACAAAAAACAAAAAAAAAATCACAACTTTACAATCAATATGTCTACAAAACAAATAACAGCCACTCTGATTAATGATAGTATAAAAATCTATTTGTGCCATATGTAACATATGCCCTTGATTGGTTAGTGGAATACTTAGAAAGTGCTATAAATTAGGTTATGCTACTTGATAAGAGAATTCCAAAATACTACATGTCCACTTCATTTACCCATGATCATACAACTGTGCAATAATTATAAGATCTCATTCATTATATACTGAGGCGTGAAATCACTGATCACCATCTTCTTTGAGGCTTTTCCTTTTAAATAGATTAAAGCGTTCACATTTTTTATTTAAAATGATCAAAACTAAAGACCCCAAGAAAGATCATTTAAAAAGTATTAACCCTTGGAATAAAATGCGTGTTTCCCAAAAGAAGTTGAATAATACACATTTCAGGGTATTGTGGCCTAGTAGCTTTTCAGGTCTTTCTCCTGACACACTCATAAATGATGCGCACACCTTGAGAGGACTCAGAGGATGGCAGAGTGAGCGTGTGAAACTAAATCTTCACAGCCAAAGGTCAGGTGCTTAGCGTTGTGTGGTATTTTGTGGAAGTATAATTGGAGTGCAAGCGATGCCAGCAAAGGATTCTGGGAAGTGCAAATCCCTTTCCCACTCATCTGTCACAGTGTTGTACACCTGAACGATGCTTGTGACGTTGTTCAGGTGCCAGTTGTAACCCCCTACGATGTACAGTTTCCCATCCAGCAGGCAGCAGCCCGCCTCAGACTGCCCTGCTCTCATGGGACTGACGGTGGTCCATTGGTCATTCTCTGGAATGTAATACTCGACTGCCAGCACGTCGAAGCAGCGATCCACGTGGTCCATGCGACCGCCGAGCGCGTAGACACGATCCCGGCTGCTGATCATGGCGTGAAGCACCCTGGGCTCATTCATGGGGGCTTTGAAGTCCCACTGGTCCGACGCCGGATCGTAGCAGTGGAGGGTTTTCTTGTCGTCCACCGAGACCCCGTAACCCCCCGAAATGTACAGTCTGTCTCCACAGGGAGTCCCCGCGTGTCCCCAAATCCTGCGCTTCAGCTGCTCCACTGAAGACCACTCGTTCTTCTTGGGGCAGTAGCACTCGACAGAAGACAGACTGCCGGACCGATTGCGACCGCCCGTTGCGTAAAGCTGTCCCTGCAGGACATTGAGCTGAAACTGGATCCGGGCCTCCTGCATGGACTGGATGCGCAGCCACTGGTTCAGATGGGGATCATAGCGGAAGCAGCTGTCGATCGCCCCCTCCCCGCTGCGGTACTGCAGGTGCTGTCCACCCACAACATACACAAAGTTGTCCAGCACGGCCACGCAAGCGTGGCTGCAGCCCATCTCCATCTCGGTTAGCTCTTTGAACTGGCGCGAGGCAGCATCGGGGAGGTACAGCACCTTGGAGCTCACCGTGCGGTCGTTGTCGGTGTACGGAGTCCCGCCAAAGGTGATGAGCGACACAACATCGGAGCGGATGAGAGTCCGCGCGGACTGCATTTCGTGCTGTCGGAAGGGAAGGATCTGATAATTGAAGGCCTCAAGAAGAAACTGCCGGCACAGCACGTCCTCCACCATGATATCCACCGTCTGGACGCTGTCCACCAACTCTGAGGAGCGCATGAGCGGGAATCGTATGTGACCGAGGACATTGCTAGCCCGAGCCCGGCGCGACTGGTCGTATCGGAGCCACCTGATGGCGGCGTGGAAGAGATCGATCTCACTGCAATTCTTCAGTTTGTTGCTCTGCAGGAAGAAGATGAGGCGCTCCATGGGAATGTGCAGAAAGTCCTCTTCCTCGGCAATCTGGAGGAAGTGGCGGAAAGTGAAGGCATCCACGGACTCTTTGAGGGAGGACAAGCTAAAAGTGGTCGCCATCTGACCAATGTGCAGGCAGGTCTCGACACTCATTGCCGACTTAAGGAACTCCTCACAGAGCTCAATGACGGGAACCATCTGGAGAAAAACAGCGGCCCCTAGAACATCTTGAACGCAGTCCAGGTCCAGAGTGACTTCTGAGCTGTAGGCAAAGTCGATAATGTGTTTCAGCCCTCGGGCAGACAAACCCTTCAGCTCAATGCTATCTTGGTTTGACTCCCTCATGCCTCCAGTAAACATAGCTCTGAAACACAAGAGCACAGAAGCTTTCTTTAAGTTGTCTTGCATTTCCAGCTCTAATAAAGTCATGAATGGATGTAGAAGTAGCATTATTTCTTTGTGATGATTAAACTACAGTAGTGCTAGAAGCCGTCTCGAGTTTAGATCTTTGCGAGATGTAGAAATGAGCGAATGTGTTATGTATCCATTGCATAACACATGTAAAGTGCAGACTAACCTGAAATAATCACTACAGGCGGCCAGTACAGCTTTATGGACCTGAAAACGCTCCTCGTTGACGGCCAGCACAACGTCGAGCAGTTGACCCTGAGCCCGCAAAACTGACAAGCCCTGGAGGAGCGTGGCACTGTGGCTCGGGGCTGAGAAAGTACAGCGCAGGGTGCTGTTTTTGTTAGCCATACTGAAAAGAGAAAAAGGCCTCGTCAAAATCAGTGACTCAACACATAGTTAAACTTAACTTCAAATAAAAAACGTGCAAATATTCTCCAGCCTGGACTCAAAATATTTTTCAATTACATTTAAAAGTCATTATCTGCAGATGAAATGTGCTCTGTAGGCCACTAATGTGGAAACGCGTCAAATGCTAGTGTGTGATGGAAATGTAATTGAATTTATTACTCAGCCAGGGAGAAGCGCATTTAGCAGCGTACAGAGCTTTTGTATTACAGACATAGTGTCTAAACACTCAACACGCATACAGTAATTGTAAAAGCTAAGGTATACATCTACTTGAACACTTTTAGGTTCACACAAATAACATCACAAAATACCACTTTTTGGTACAAAAAATGGTTAAGGAAATTATTATTACACAAGATAATGAAAATGTCTGAGTTGCATGGAAGGTTAAAACTCACAGGAGTTCCTAGCAACTTGAATATACACAGCCATTAAACCTGAGGGGGAAATAACATCAGATGTGTGGTAGACTTGGACCGTGACAGCTTCTACATTAGTGTCACCTCTGCTGACCTGTTTTGATTATCCAGACCAAAAAAAATCCATTCAATTTGACAGCTGGCAGATTGCATTTACTGCCAAGAATCATTACTGAAAGCACTCTTGATACTTAAACCAAAAGGTCTGTTAGTTTTGATCAGTGTTTTCCATGGATAAATAAAAATACCTAAATTAATGTCTGGATGAGTGGTATGCCTAGATCCTGTCCTTATTTATATACAATGCTATTAATGGTGATTGTTTTGTACCCTGAAAAAAGCAACTTTTCTAACTTCTTTTTAAAAATATATGCACATAACAATTTTTCCAAAATCAGTTTAAATCTCATTTCCATGTGTCACATATAGAATTAATTGGGTCACTTTTTGGTGATAATAATCAGGTTGTTATCATTTCAACCCGTTTAACTTTTGTCCAACAATGGATGAAAAGATAATGTCAACTTACTTGACGGACCTGATTTTGAACTGAGGACAGAAGATATGAGATAACCGAAAAAGAAAGAAATCTCTTAGCATTTATGTTTAGGGCTACAGTATATTCACACGTTCTGGCAGTTGCTTGTGTAGGTCATTAAAGAAAAGTAAGACAGTCCCAGTAATGTGTCAAAAATGTGGACCAATTTAAACCCTGCAACCGTGACAGTACGTAGAGGACTTCCATAGCCTGGAGGCCTGAGCAATGCCTCGGTGTTGCCTGCATAGAAGTGCCCCTGACAGCTACCACGGCCCATTCGGTCGTAGCTACGAGGCTGTAGAGGCGGCTAACACCGGGAGACCGTATCAAACGCCGCGGAGGTCCAGCAACGTGCGACCGGCGAACTCACCTGCTCGGCGAACGCTTCGAGGCAAAATCGCCACCATCCGACTCCGCCATCTTCTAGCACAAACCAGCACGCATAGGGCATTTTCAGCTTTATTAACAGGGGGCCAACAGCACCACCGGTCCGTTCATGGCGTTTTTAAAATATCTGCAAATCGTCTGTTGCTGTGGCGGATGGTGAACAGCTGTTTGTCGGAGGTCCTCCAGTGAACGCGGTGGTGACCTCTCCGCCTACCGGTTGTTAGCCGCGCCACCGTCACCTGTACCGCCATCTGGCCACGAGGGGGCGCCGAAGCCCCGTCCACACTTGTACTCATTACACAAGAGTAGAAGTAAGTTAAAATAAATACATCATAGGTTGATAATGTAATGAAATATAATTATATACACTTTTCTATAGGCTGCATGAATTAAATTGTTTTGTTGGTTATGTATTAGCAGTTTAGGATAACATTAATAAATGTTCTGTAGGAGAGACAAATGTGGGGAAATGCAAGATGGAGAAGTGCTGAGGAGCTCAACTTTCTCAGCCTGTATCTGACGTAAAGAGATAGAAAATACACATTGCACCAGGTCTGAGTGTGAGTTCCATTTCATAGCCATTTGCCTCTTATCATGTCTTCCTGAAATGTACCTTTGTTCAAAAACAGGCTACTTCAGCTCCAGAGACATTATATCCATAAAGACACATGTTAAAACACTAATACTGAATTTGACAAGACAAGAATAAAAAAGAGAATAAAACAGCTGGAGAGCCCATGTTTGTCTTAAAGAGGGGATTTCAAACCTCCAAAGTTAGGTTTAAACTGCTAAATGTTATGAGTGGAACACCGTGCAGTCATCCTGGAGTATTTTCTGTACAGAGAAAAAAAGCTGTACTTCAGTGCAAAATGCTGGAAATTTGTTCCCACTTCTTGCAAATCAATGAGACAGAGTTTAAAGTGAAGAAGATCAAAAAAAATTTTTTTCTTAAATGAGTAATCTGGTTTCTCACTTTGAAAGCAAGTTTTTAAAAGGTCATTGGATGTTTTTTTATGACCACTTTGTCATTGAGGTACCTCTTGGGTTTTCGAACTCAACAATCACACTAGTATTTTTACATTTATGTATTTCTTTTGGATAGTATGCATCATATAGTTAAATTGTTTGTTTTTTATACCACTATTGAAGCAAAGAAATAATGCAATAACAGTATTTTAGTGTTCATCTATGTTAAACAAGAGATTCTGATTTTATAGGCTATTTTGTTTCATTCAAAGACTGATATTTACTTTTAAATTAAACAGTCCAGCCTCTGTTAAACAATCATTTTTAAAACTGATAATCTGAAAATATCTTCTTGTTAACCTTAATCTGACTACATAAACACTGATCACCACGAACTTTCAAACATTTTTATTTTTTTTTAAAGATTTTGTTGGCTCTAGTGGCCTTTAATGACAGTAGCTTGACATGAAATGGGGCAGAGATAGAGAGGGGGAGATCTGCGGGAAAGGGCCATGGGCTGGAATCAAACCCATGACACCCGCTTGCGAGCAGAGGCTCCGCATATGGGCCACCCGCTCTAGCCATTAGGCTACGCTGCGGCCCTTTCAAACGTTTTGTACGTTCATGATGATTAATTGTACCAATCCCAATACAGAAATGCACTGTTACAAAGCAGCTTTCAAAAATATAGTTTTATGATTCTTTTGCTGAAATGGTTATCTGGAAAACATCAACAACAAGACATTACTGCACGAAACAACACATTTGTAAACTTATTTGCAGTATATGCAAATAAACAGTATATGCCCTGAGGCAGTAAAACCTTCACATATTTTCATGTTGAGTCTTCATATCAAACACCAAACCATTTCTGTACGTCAGCATGGCGAGCACTGTGTCCACCTGCTCAATGGCTGTCATCTCTTCTTCCTCCTGTGCTTGGTTTGAGTCAGGGCTCACACACTCTTCATTGGATCCTTCTGAGTCACTGCTGTACTTTTCCTTTTCCATGTTAGTCCCACCATCACTCTCCCCTTGGAGAAGGGTGGTTTCTTCTGAAATGTATCTCTGCTCCGGGAAAAGCTGATGCAGTGTAAGGTCATGCACTTCTTCTTTCCTCTCCCATATCACCTTTTGAAAGTCACATGACAACAGAATAGAGTCAAGTTTGGCCTTTTCATAGTTTGGATCATATTAATATATTGTGAAACCTGCAAAGAAAACATTATTGGACTTCTTTGTCCTGATGTGCAAAGTAAACTGTTAAACATGTACTTCCGTTGTATTTTTCCCTCTGCAGGGAACTAATGCATACAATAAAAGAGTATCTAGTTGTTGAGAAATCTATCAAACTGAAAAAAGTCCCAAATCAATAAAGGCTTCAAATCAAACATCGTCCTTTACCTCACTATCTTGTTTTTTGATGTCGAAAACTGGAATCACAGGTGCAGGAACTGGAGGCAGGATCTTAGCTTTAATTCTAAATATTAAAACAGAAGGGACAGTATTGACAATAAAGCCACTTGTGCAACTCGCGTTTGTCTCTGAAAACACTGCTATAACATTTCACATAAACGATTCAGCTTAATTCAGCTCAGTTTTAACACAATAGAGAGGATGAGTCCAAGAAAATGAATGAATGTCATTATATCATTGTCATGTAATAGATAGAGATAGATAGATGCGTCTTTGATCCTGAGGGAAATTTAAAAAATGGTCACAATATTTAGGTTAAAATGAACACCACTAAACAGAAAAAATCAAAGTCAGAATTTTAATCAGTCCCATTAAAAATGTTGAATAATTAGAGAGGAAACACTCACCTTTTGCAGATAACGGTGAACATTATTGAAAGTAAGAAGAAGATAAGCATCAGCCCTAAACTCAATCCCACTGATATTAGGGGGACAAATGAGAAAGAGAAAGAATGACTAATAGAAATCAAATAGGAAATGAGAAAACAAATGATATGACTTGAATAAATCAACAGTTTTCAAAAGGAGAAGTGACTCTGTAGATCTGATACCGTTTGTGGGCTTCTCTGGCCATGTGCTGATAACTACTGAGGCCACAGGTCCTTCTCCCACCCGAGTCGCTCCCGCTAGGCTGATGTTGTATTTGGAGCCTGGCGTCAGATTTTCCATTTGATAGCTTGTTGCAGATGAGGATATGTTGAAGCACTCTGCTCAAATGAGAACAGACATGCAAACCTGTCTCAATAAAATACAGAGATTTTTTTTAAATGCGCATGAGTAAAAATAGCGTTATGCTTACCCTTGATATCATTTTCTGAGCTGATTTTCACCATGCACAGGTTGTAGTGTGTGTGGAACCCTTGCTGGTCTTCATACAGAATCGGTTTCCAGGAGAGTTTTGCAGAATTTTGTGTTTCATCAGAAGCCATGAAGTCCTTAGGTTTTGTTTGGGGCACTGAATTAGAAAAAAACATATACACAAATCATATCCACCTGCAGTATGCAAAGACAAACAGGGAATCAATCCCTCAACACCAACACATCTCCACCTCTCTTCTCATGTCACATGCTCACATGAGCAATGCCAGTCAGTTTCTACGGTTGTGTGCCTGGCACTAAGCCTCACTTTCAGGAAGTGACAGAAAGACTTTCAACTTGTCTCACCTTCTCATTTTACTGAATTTGTGGATATTCTTAAACTTTAAAACTGCAGTATCAAACAGAACACCATTAACAGGAATGTCCAAGTAACATATTCCTTTCTTCTTGTTAGAAGAAGGATTGGGCTATGAGAAACTCGACTAAAAAACACACCACTTAGATACGTTTTAAGGTGAAAACATACGTGTCCACCTGATTACTAATTCAAGGTAAAAGATTGTGTTTCCAGGGACACTGTGCATCTCATTGTCTTATTTGAAGACTTACCCCCCTCTTTGGCATAAAAGAGACACATCTTAACTGTCTGTGGTTTCCCACCATCACATCTGTGTTCAAAGTAAAGGTAACGGATGTAGTCCTCCAACTCTGCAACAGAAACAGAAAATGACTTTAGCCCCTCGTGTGACATATTTGATTGCATTCACAGCATGGCAGTATTAATAGAAAAAAAATAGAAAAAACCGATATCTCACGCTTCTCTTTTGGTCTTTTTTCTTGTTTCTTGTTCTGTTTCAAAATTATGATTTTTTCTGGTATCAAATCTTCATTTTTAAGCTCGTACAACTCAAGGCAGGTCCGCTTCCTCAGTTTTTTCATGTGGGGTTGGGTTTCGCTGCAAACTGCCAAAGAAGATAGAAATAACAGCCTAGATGCTTAATTTAAAGGAATACACATGTCCCATCACACTCAAACAAAACTTATGGACCTACTTTTTAAGTCAGTGGGGATTGCCGCTGGTTCTTGAATAATGGCTGGCAGGGACTGTCCTGCTGCATTTTTGGCAATAATGGTGATGTTGACAGCCGAGTATGAGACATAAATGACGGAATTTTTTGTGTTGCTGACTTGTCTTTGCTTCATACAAGGACATTTATGGAATCTTTGTGTGTCATTAATGCTGTAGTTTACACCTGTGATTGTTGCTGCATGTGACATTGGCTGAAAGAAGAAGAGAGCTTAGTTAGGAAATCAAAAGCTTTAACAAGACATATAAAAATGAAAAATGTTGCACAAGTATTACTTGCAAAGGGCTGGTCTGATGTAAAAAAAAAAAGTCAATGTAAAGCAATGACGAAGGTTTATGGAGTCTTTCCCGTTAAATACTTTTGCAGTTTTGAGCACAGATACCTTCAGTGTGCGACTGATATTCAAGATTTCATACGTAACCCCTCATTACCAGGTAAAACTACATGCATTTCATAAAATAGTATAATCTATGGTGTATCAGTACCAGAGATTAAGTGGGGAGTGATTGGCCTGAGGGGCCACATTTTGCTCAACAGCGAGTTACCTTCCAAGTTAGCTCCACCCTTCGAGTGCCATTTTCAAGTCTTACTGTACTGGTCACTTCAGGTTTATGTTCAAGTCCTGTGGTGAGAACACATAATGTTTAGAGACTAACTTAAATTTCTGGTTAGATTAAAATTAGAATTTGTACATCCAAAATTGCACTTGGACGAGTCTTCTTCCAGTCAGAAGATTGATCAAACTTGAAAGCGCCCACAGCCAAACATAACCGCACATTGCTCCCAATATGTTAATTATGTGGGATTGTGTCACTGATGAAAAGAGCACTGTATAACAATGAGTAGTGGACATAATGAGAGGATGTACTGTATACAGTATACGTGCGTGTACGCACGATTGAAAAATTTAGATAAAGTACCTCAAGGAATCTACAAGGTCAAAAGGGCCTGATCGCATGTTAATTTTTGCATCTATGTTGTGTCTAACTGTCTTGAAATTGTGTGTGTGTCTAATGAAATCTTAAAGAAGACGAATACATTTAAGTTTCTAAAGATGAGAGGAGTTTACCTGCAGGAACAGTAATAACTGGAGACCAGTTGCTCCACAGGGGATTTTTGGCTGTAGTGGACTGATGCCTGATCTTAAACTGGTAAGCTGAAGTCTTCAAAAGATTCTCAATGACGACTTCATCTTTATCAAGAATGGAAGAAAAAAAACATTTACAAGGTGCCATCTCTCACCACTCACCTTACAAGAGGTCTTGCACATTTAGGAATCACAAAAAAGTTGTTCTTCCGTGTGTTCCATAATTCTTCATATTGCTTATAGTAACATTACTGACAGGACAGAAATTTATCTCAGTACATAACAACTCAAGAATAGAAATGCTTTGTTTTCCCTTTGCTGTCCTGATATTATCCAGTTTAGACTTTAATGAGATGCAGTAAAGAAATCACAAAAATTACAGCCATCAAGGTCAACATTTTTGAGAGACATCTGTCAAAGGGATTCCAAACATGTTAGCAAGAAAAATTTTAGTGAGTGGCATTGCGGGTTACTGAATCTGTAAGACTTGTGTCCCTTTTGTGTTATACTGTTATGAACTAGGTCAGAGGAACATGTTGCAACACAGATGTTCTAAATTCTGAGCAATGTGGTGACTTAATTGGAAGGTACAGCAGAGTTTTTCTCTTAGTGGGAACTGCAGCGACAACATTCATCTTGATACATGCATTTGTGATTTTTGGGACTTTTTGCTCTTGAATCATTTAACTTTTTTTGTTGCCATTAAAAAGTCAATATCAGGAACTGCCTAAACTATGTATTTGCCCAGATTCAGCACAGATCTACATTTCAAAGACCTATTGATACATTTTTACTTTTGTATTCTAACAGATGCCACTGTTATGAGGTAACCAATTCAGTTCACCTTTCCTTCATTGCAAATCATTGTTAGACTCTGTCTGTATTTAGTATAATGGTAAAATTAGGTTTCCTGAGTTGGAAATATTGGCCATATCCCTAGGCTCCTGGATAAATCCATGAATAATGAAACGTGTAATAGTCCAAAAAGTAAACACACAGAAAGCACAGATAATTACTGAGTATTGCATACATGAAAGAGAGACATTCAAGATATTGAAGACATTCATTTAAAGGATATTAGATGTCAATATACTCACGCATTAAGGCCCCATAGGTAGTATTTTCTAACCTCTGAAAGAACAATAGATATATTGATTTAGATATGTATCAAATTGACAAAGGGAAAAAAGTTCAGATGTGAATTTCTGGTGGTCAAACAGCATTTTTGCTCACTTTTTCCCAAGTTTCCGTTGGATGCTCATTTTGTCGAAACCAGACATCTGCCACAGCTGGATTGTCCTCTGCAGCTGGCCACCTTAACTTAAGGCTGTTTTTTAACCATAACAGCGAAATATCTTGTGGCTCTTTATATTTAACTGTTAAGAAAAGGTTTTACTGTAGTACTTCATTCTTGAAAAAGCGAAAAAGTGGAACCATCTACCGGTATTTATTACCTGTATTCTTCAGTGTACTTGTTCGTCTGGGAGATGTGCAGCTTGAGTCTCCAGTGTTAGCTTCAACCCAAAGCTCCACATCAATGCCAACGATCAGACATTCTTCAGGGATCGTGCAGTATTTCTCCTTAACATTTTCACATTTTCTCTCAATAACAGTGGAGTCACTATATAAAAAAAGACATTTCACTCTCACTTTCAGTAAAATAGTCAAGAAAAGAAGACATCCACTTGCATTTTGGAAAGTGATGCCAATGTCACAGTGCTGGAATAGAACAGTGTCAGACCGTGTCAGAATATTGGCATGGTAGTTAGATGACAGAGGACGTGTTGAAGTGTTGCTGAAAAGCATTTATGCTCAAACATGTGCAGATTGTGTTGGATTTAACATATGAAAAGGACGCCTGCATACCTTAAGCTAAGGTCTTTTGGAAGACCTACCCCCACCCATGATGGCATATCTGACAATGGTGCTTATTAAAAAAGGAAAGCCACCGTAAAAAGGGGAAAGCCATGCTTTGGCTTATTTTAAAAAATGCAGCAATGTGGCACCTTCCAACAAGGCTATGCTGAATTGCTAACTCACATCCCTCTTCTTTCCTGTGGAACATCCTCAAGCTCAGGAGGAGTAGATTAATAACCAACATGCTTTTGATGGATTACAGTTTAGCTACACTGCTTATAGGGATTTTATCAGCATACTTGCATATCTAATTGTTTTAATAAGGTCATGCACGTTTAATTAATGGTGATATGCAAATTAGAGTAAAACATTCAACGACCTGTGCTGGGGGCAAAATAATGTATGTCCACAGTGCTTTGTTGCCTTGTCACTTGCTAAAGTTGCTGCAGACAATTCACCTAAACCACAAAATTATGTAGATAAAGTGCATTCATTCATTCATTGTCTACACACCAAATATCTAGTAGGGCCACACAGAGATGCACAACCACACACACTCGCGGACAATTTATGATCTCCAATGAACCTAACTGTGGGAGGAAGCTGGAGTACCCAGAGAACATCCTCAGACATGAGGAGAACAAACAAACTGGGAATCCCCTTGCTGTAAGTGCTTAAAAAGTATATAATATTTCAGATATAATTGGATTTTCAGTAATTGCACATTAACCCTATTGAGGACACTTCAATAGCACCAGATCCATAATAATTACACTGTTCACAATAAAGCTATTCAGCCAATTGATTATTGGCCAAATATTTCATCATGTTTGAGACTCACAGATATTGAGTGCTTAATTCCAAATCTTATCTCTTTTAATATAACGGTCAAAATAGTGAGTTATGTTCAAAAAGATCCGCCATCAGTCTTTACAGTTATGGATTTCCGAAGAGATTTGATTATTTTTTAACATGCTTTTTACAGGTAAAGAAAACGTTTTTCCAAATTCCCCAAAAAATTCTCCAGGGTTTTCACTGAATAACTGAAACACAGAGGATTACTCACTTAGTGTAAAGCTCAAACGTCACATCACTTTCGTCTGTGTCAAAGTCCCACTCACAAATGTAAATAGTCTCCTGAACACTTTGTCTGAAGCACTGAGGACTGGAGGGAGCCTGACAAGTTGAACCTTTGGAGGAAAAACAGCATGTAAATTAAATCATCAAAATATTTGGTGAACTGAAACACTGCCTGTTCTTTTGGGTGACAATGCTTTTGTCGACCTACATCTGAATATAACCCAACTTTCAGCTGCTTTTCCTAATTTTAGTTCAGAACTTTGTAAGACATGATGACTTTCAGGTTGTGGTTGGTGCAAACCTGAGTTGTAGACATGTGTTTTACTATTTGTAAAGCAGCAACCAGTTTATCTGTAAAGTGTGCTGCGTCTCCTCTCTGCATTGCGGATGTCACCTGCAAGTGAAAACCACTAAATGCTGATAAGCTAACCAAGGTTTTGTGGCTCATATTCTTATTCTTAACTACCAATTCTAAACGTTATTAGTAGCCTGCTTTAGGATTACAAACAATAACACTGTGGACAGGAGAAGAACAATCTTTCAAATAATCTAAATAAAAGACTTTTCATGCATTTTTACCTTTGCTGATAGATGTGAGGAACATAAGTATAAAATATCCATGTGGGGAGGTCCAACACCTAAGTGTTTCCATGAAGTGTGATAGAAAGTGAACAAAGGTGATTGTCGTTCACAATGGAAGTCGAAATAGTCACTCTGCCTGTCTTCATGTAAGTAAGTTGTGTTTCTCAGAAATGTCATTGGAGTTTCAGGTTTGTCATAATACGTGAGCTGCACCAAAACCAGAAGTGGTAGGGGTGGGGGAGGTTGTCTCCGTCAGTCTGGTTCACAGACACAGCAGCAATTCTGTGTCTCTCTTTGAAGTCATTTGTTGTCTTTTTATGTTCATTTTCCCATAATCATTTTTCTTCTCTATGCTCTCCATCAAGAAACTTTGGAGGTCTCTGGAAACTAAAGTTAATGAACACAGCCACCTACATGTAGTGTAATGTGTCAGCGGAAAGCTCTTTTTAGGTATCATTATGAAGTTGTCAGAGGAGGAGAAAAGTACTGGCATTTTACAAATGTTCTTGTTTAATAAGAACAACTTAAATCAATCGTCATAAATAGATTTTGCATTAATTTTCCTTTTAGTCAGTGGTTTATAAGTGAATCTGTCTCCAAGATTTACTCATAACAAATCCTTAGAATTACTTCTTCTTTCTACAACATATAGAGGAAGTTTCTTTACAGAAAATGTAATAATTGTTTTACAAGCTGAAAAATGTCCTTCTTGGACCTTGAGAACTGACAACATGATATAATGCATGAAAGACCCAAACCAAAAGGACCTTATCTTTAGCACTATGCAGGTTATTTGTTTATAGCCCAATCCATGGAGGAATCTTCTGCACCTACAAGTGGCAAGAGTCCTTTTCATGTTTTTCCTTAAAATGCAGTAAATCAATTGAAAAATACTTAACTGATCCAAAAGGTAAATTGTAATGTTGCTATCCTTTTCTTTTCTTAAAAAAAGGTATGATTGCATGTGATTCATAGTAAGCAGTAGGTATGATTCCTGCTGTGGGGAATGACATCCTGTACTGTTGAAGACACTAAAATGCAGTATATGACAACTGCTTAATCATTAAATCATTAACGAATTATGTTCAGTTTATAGAAAAACTTTCATTCAATGCTTTCATCCAGTAACATTACAATAAATATGTACTATATACAGTATATGTGTTACCAAATTCTTGTTTCCACTAACATGGTGTTTTGCATGAGTTTGATATAAATATCATAATCACATCTTCAAAGAAAATGTTGTTACATTTTAAAACTTTAGGGAGAGCTACAGTGGAGATGTATTCACAGATTGTCATGTTATTTTAAATGAATTTCAATGAATAATGCTTATTTCTCTCTAAAAGGAAAATGTTTTAATTCTTTGTCTCCATTTATTTGTTTATTTGTTTATCTGTATGATATGTTGAATAACTTTTCAAATAGAATCTGTAAGAGAAGACATTTTTCTACAATCTTGAACTTTATTGATGTTTGGCAAAATTGCTTTTACGTTGCTGTTAATTTTTCCTTCTCACTCATCTTCAGTGCCCGTGTGTTTTTTGAGGAAAAGCACTGTTACGACTGCAAAACTGAAAGGCATTAGATGTGAGTTCAATAAGATATGTCTAAAACTGTTTTAATATGCCTTTTAAGGTTAAAACTGCTTAAAAAACATGGCAGTATTCTCAATTAGACTCTTCTAGTCTCTGATATTACATTCTCTATCTTTTCCCCAGTTCTTGTGCTTGCAGTTTCATGCCAGAATTTGCCTCTTATCTACAAAACAGACATATAAACTGATCAACACAGGGACAAACTACTGTCATGTGTCCATTATGTGCTTGGTGGTTAAAAAACACGAGATAATGTCAAATTTTCAAGTACCTAGTTCAAGGAACACATTTTAAAATGCTGAAAAGAAAACGAAACATCGTGCACAGATAATTATTTTCATTTCCTTAAATCCATTGAAGGATCATATTTTCACTGTGATATCTGTAAAAATTCAAAGAGCTCCATGTCTGATCATGTATGTTTGCATGTATGAAAATATGAATGTGTTTGCCTGGTTTTTGCTGGCTATCAGTTACCAAATGCTTCGAAATACATATAATTGCACGTGTGTAGTTGCCGGCCGCAGGTCCAACACAACAATTTTCTGGTCCTGTAAAGAACTGCAGGATATTTTGATCCTTTCAGGATCCCTGTGATTTGAACCTACTGCCAGTGCCACAATGATTGTTGACACGGAGATGCTCCCATGACATGCAGCAATTATTTTCTTTTAAACGCAAGACAAATTGTTCCTCCGTTACTATTCTCATTTGATCCAAGTTGGGAGCAAATCCCAACTGCCATTGGGCAAGAGGTGGATTGTACCCTTGGACAGGTTGTCAGTTCATCACAGGACCACACAGAGACAAATGAGGTGGTCCACCATGCATGCTCACACTTTCTAATTGGAGAGCAACCAAGTAGACAAATTAGGGTCTACTACTTCAAGCTATATAAGTTAATTATTGCCTTTACTATTATTATCCGTGCCTTTGTATTATCCTACTGTATGTGAGAGGACCCTGTGTTAGATCATTCAGCATGAATAATCATGTCTAATTTACTTGTATAAGATGTTTAAATAAGGAGGTGGCTAATATCCAAACAAGGATTGTGCACCAGGAGCATTTGATTTGAATCAAGTGCGATCATGCTGTGATTAATCTAAATTCACTTGTGCATATTTTGACATCTCATGGTAATTCAAAGAGCTACTGTGGGGGCAGCACCCTCGGTGTGAAATGTTCAAGCCGTGTCAGTCCTGTTGGCAGGGGGCAGGGATGCTGCGCTCAAATGTCAGGTCAATAATAAAGACGTGACCCGAAAAAAACACAGCGTGGTTCGCTGACCTGCTGAGACCTACAGTGCTGTGTAAGTACCCAGAAGTTATGGCATTAGTGAACATCGGATCTCTGTTTTGCATCAGAGAGAACCATCATTCCATGGCCGAGCAATTCCAAGCACTGAAACGAATTCTTAGTGTTCAGCACTTGGTTCAGTTCCTGCTGTTTTCAAAGTGTTTTATAGATATAGTTGGCTTCACCTAACATGTGACAGCCTTTATACTGAGCAGGCTGTAAGTTCTCTAATCAAATTTCAGTTTGAGATACAGACCATGAGAAAGGAAAGGAAAGGAAGTTGATCAGAAACTACACATGCAGACAGAGAATTGAGTATTATCTCTGTTATCAGCAGGTCTTTGAAGTGTTGATATGTGTGAAACACTGATTGAAGAGCTTCCTTCCTTTATGATGATATTCCTGTCTGACGCCTCACCTCTAGCTCATTGTCAGCTCTTGAAACGAGGAGACAGACACACATCAGACTCCTCTTTGTATCGTTGTTGTGTCATACTTTAAATCAATGTAAGGATAACTTTAATACAGTCCAATGTTATGATGAGAATTACATTTAGTCATAGCCAGAAAGAGTAATTAAATTAGTCGTGCTGTATAACATGACCTGCTGATCATTGATTTTACTGCACACCATATCCGCAACTCTGTCTAAAAAGTGATGTGGCTACTTTTATTAAATCTAATAGAATGGTTCATTTATGTTTACTTGCCAACGTGTCCAGGGTTTTCCAAACATCTCACCAAACGACATGTGGGATAGGCTTCACCCCCCTGTGACCCTTCTAGGAATAAGTGTTATGGATAATAGATGGGTGGAAAATTGATTGATGGACAGTACTCTCATGTTGAAAATTTTATGATGTCTATCATTGCCCAACTACTATTTTATCTTTAACACTGCATTTGTATAATGGCCTTCAATTTAAACACATAAGAGCTGTAAAATGCTTTTCATTGTATCCTTTTGAAATATTCTCACAAAAAGTTGAGGAAATTTTTTTCATGTAAAGGCACTGCCACCTTGTGGGATCGTTTATGCTTGTTTGAGATCAATGCTCTGTCTCTGCCACTAGAGAGCAGTCTTAGTTTCAGTTTTGCTAAGATCTGGGCCTTTCACAATTTTGCACAAGCTACATGTGTGTGTATGTTTGTGTGCGTGTATTTGTGTATATGTCGATTATTCATATCCACAGCAAATTTAGCTTTTCTTAGACCAGAATCTTTCTCTTAATTAGAAATGGCATCCTCTAGCAAAAAAAAACTCTCTGCTTTTATTTACATTTGACAAGTGTCACTCCCAAAATGATTCATACCCTTTGCAAACTGTCACAGTCTATGGGGAAATCAAAGGTTATATTCCTTTCCAAATAGTCCAAGCTTGTTTAAAGCATCCTAATCAACCCGACTGATTAGCAAATGCTATTTTAATCAACTCAACAGTAGCTCATTGCAGTCCAAGACACACAGGCATGTGGAGGAGGACATGGTCGTCAACCAAAAGTGACATCCGTGCTAGCCAGGAGGTCAGAGAGAAAGGTGGGAAAAGAACCCAAAGATCACCACTAATAAAATTCTCAAAAACAGCATGCAGTCTGCAGAGAAATTTGGCCCTGAGCACATTTGAGCACCACAATGGCCCAAAACAAACTTTCAAAGTGGTGAAGAACATGTTTGTGGACATTAACATCAACACTTTGAGAGTTCTCTCGTGAATCCAACTGAGAATCTGTGGAGGGACCTGAAGGTCAGGGTCACGGCTTGAAGGCCCTCCAACCTGAGAGCGTTGGAGCTAATTGCAAAAGGTTAATGGACAAGAATACGAGTGGAGACATGCGAAAAGCTGGTCGGCATGATGGAAAGTGTTCAATTGCTATAATATCCAATAAACGCTCGATAATTGAGATGGGTACGAATAATTTTGAACCTGACACTTTTTGTTCAAATATGAATAAAAACTGAGATCTTAGCTGTTTTTCCTGAGCATGCAGCTCTTTTTCCAGAGAAAGGCCCCTTGTACATCCTCTTCTCTTCTGGGAGATGCCCATGTAATTTCAAATCAAGAAAATATTATCTGTCGAATAAAAGTGTCCAAGTCTAAATTTGCCAGAGGTGTGATTAGGGTTAAAAAATGCAAGACTGATCATGAGCCTGAATTCACATGATGTTTTTTTTCCATATGAGTTTGATACCTGTTGGATAAACCTTTTTTCTCAGTGATTAAAATGTGAGAAATTATATAAAAAAGAAATTGCCTCATGGTTGTGTTCAGTTATGCAGATGCTGTTTCAGAGCATGAGGCACTGGTTGGGACGGAAAAAGCACTATAGGTTCAGGGTTTTTTTTTAATCTACCGTGATCAATCACTCACACTTTCAGTTCATGAGAATGTGCCGAAGAGGAAAAAAACCTATATCGAGGCGTTTAAAATATTTCGAAAAAAAAAAAAAAGTGTGGAAAATGAGCTCAAAACAAATACACAAACTTCCCGTGTTGACTGCTGAAACTTTTCCACTGTTCGATTCAGGCTGCTCATCACACATTCTGCTAATGTAAAGATGAAGATGGTATCTATGTCAGGTTCACACCTACGGTTCAACGGCAGCGTGCAATGTGATTGTGTGCATTTCACACAAACAAAACTTTTCAATTGCATTGGTGCTCAACTCAAAATGTAGTTTAAGTCAACAATAAACAGAATTCTGACTGATTAAGCAGAGTATGATATCATTGAGGAACACACTCTCTCTCTTTACTTCAGGCTTCGGAACATCCCTCACATTAATGTAAATTTACCCACTGTTAACTCATAACTGTAGCCAAAAACATCAATCGGTGTCCAACTAATTTGAATGTTAACCAACATATCTTTTCATATCTGTTATTACAAAGCTTGTTTTTTTTCCATCTTTTTCCTCCATTTGATTAAGCCCCTTTCTTGCTTGCGGTCTCAGATGTTCTGTGAAGAAATCATCCCATTAGCCCGTCACATAGCAGAGACTCAGTGGATTTAGGCATACCATGATATGCAAACTAAGCATGAAAGCGGGGGATAAAGCTTGTCGCATGGCTTTCCTTTGAAGATATGCTGGTGTGAGCATCTCAGACTGTGTTTCTGGGATTTTCACATGCAAATTTCTTTAGGATTTCCAGAAAAAAGACAAGGTAACTGTTCAGTGTTAATTTTATGAAATACCTTGTTGACAAGGCAGACATGGAATGTGAGGAACAATGTCCAGACTGGTTTTAGCTGACAGAAAGGCAAGTATTAAATTAATAATCAATTGTAAGCAAAGTGCAAACACCAACATGCGGAAAAAGAGGGAGCTTTGATTCTAACAGTAGTAGAGGCCCATACTGCTGGGCGCTCTTCTACCACGCAACAGACATGAGTACAGAATACAGTATACAGAATTGATTGTGTGACATTCACCATTCCTTTTGTGTGACTAGTTTAGGTGCATTAGAAATAATAAGAAGAGCTTTTCTAGGAAGACTTTAAAGACATGGTTCACTCTACTGCCAAGGGGATGGGAGTCGTAATCAAGACTCCATGGGTAATAATGTGCAAATAGTAATCTCTCCTCAGGATAGTGCACCAATACTACAGGTTATTTTAAAGATGGTATCAAACTAAGCATATGTAGCTCTCTTGTGGTCATCACAGCTGGATAGGCTCCCATGTTGCATTGGGATGAAAACCAGAGTATAACAGTCATTTGAAAATGTTTATTTGAAAAACGTAGTAATGCGGCATACTTAGATAATAATCAGGAACGCCATACCATTCATGACATTCTTGAAATATGCTGTATATCTGTAAATCTGTTATCCATACATCATTTAAATGTTGATAAGTTTGAAGATGCAACAGCACGGTAGCTAATCTATGGTAAATCGGGGTTATGTTCGTCACATCAACACGACAGGGGTAGGCGTTATGTTTGCAAAGTGCAGGCACATAATTTGCTTGAGACAAACTGCAGTCAACCAGAAAATAACCTCTACACCTAAAAGAAGTGGGAGTCAGCAGGTTTTGGGCAGGAGGTGCTTGCATCTATCTCTTAAAGTGCTGAGCAGACACAACTGGTGCAAAAATTTAAAGCCCCTCTTTGGTTTCAAGAGTTGAAGTTTTGCTTTTCAAATCATATAAATGCTTGACAACCATTTTGGAAAAAGCAAGCCCTGTTCTACTATGAATCCAGACAGTATTGAGAACAGTTTTCTTTTTACTTCAATGCATGCAGCCCCAGTTGTTTCTTTTAACCATAATTTATAAATGCATTCTGACAATCAATTCAGTATTCTATAAAATGTTAGCATAGTTAAATCCTCATAAGCATAGTCTTCCCTCACTTATATTTAAACTATTCTCGTTAATTATATGTTCTTGAATCTAGTGACCCACGTGATGTCCACATTTCCTATTCAGGCCCCTGTGGTTGCTTGAAGTGTGCTCTGACAAAATGCATGATTGGTTGCTGCATTAAGCCAACAAATATTTATGCAAATAGAGACCAGCATTGTTCTCTCATACAGTAGTTATTGTTCCTATTAAGTTTTCATTGAAAGACCATTCTGTCTCAGTTAAATCAAGTTTGGGTTCAAGCATAATGACAAGAAATCCAACCTTTGCTTTGCACTTTTCCTAAGAGAACATGGTCCTTGTTTGCCAGGTGTAGAGATACATGATACACTGTAAAAATAATACACAATAAAAACTTTAACTGTTGTCTCATCAAAGAAAATATCACAAGATGTTTTGTTCCTTTCCATTTGGCAATTATTTCCTCTCTGTGGTAAATGCACAATTACAGCCATCATAAACCAAGTAAAGCACAGATGTTAGCTGGTTTGCAGCTCTACGTGAGCTTGGGCAGGACATACATTTCTCAAACCCTAGTTTCAGTTCATCATAATTTGAGTAAGCATCAGTCTGCAGCAGTGGATGTTGTCAAACAGATGTCATGTTGTATAGAATGATGAATTGTCCTGTAGGTGATTTACAAGGGTAAAACCTTTTAAACTTGACAAATCAATATTTATATTCAAGCTGCAAATGGACATGTTTTTATTGTGCAAAAGTGACGCAAAAAAAAAAGTATAATTTTTTTTTTTTTTTCTCTCAGGGGAAAATAATAGCAGACCGAACTGAATAAAGCAGCTTTATTTTCAACATCTTCTCACAAACAGGGCATGTCTTACAATTATATCACTACAAAAACAAATAAAAGATGTGCATTTTTCCTACAACACAAAATAACTTGAGTTTGGGAGGAAGTAACAGAAGTAGAAATCTAACATGTGAGATGCTTGTATCCTGACACAAAATCAGCTTTTTCTCCCAATGTGCCTTTTCAAAGAAGAAAATAATCTTCTTTCTGGGTTTAGCTGCATGCCTACTAGACCACTTATCTTAAAAACCACTGACATAATTTACTGGCTGAGTTGGTTGCTCTCCTTCCTGAGTAATGAGCAACATCCGGAACACATAGTCAGCCTGCTTTTTCCTCTGCCAACTATTTGGCAAGTCTGACTCCATCGCATAATTTGAACACACACACACAAACACTAAAAAAAACGCTCTTGAGAACTAAAACAGCACAAATCTATCTGACAAATCAAATACTTAAGTGAGCACCAGCAAATTGAGAACCTTCAAGATTATGCCGGGTAAAATATAAGTGAGATAGTGTCGATAGTTTGTATGTATGTATTTGTATGTGTATGTGAAACCTGATGCCAATAAACAACGGAAATCTCTCCTGTTACCTCTGAGCAGACAACATTTTAGACATGGCAGAACAATCGTTAGCTAGGCACAGCTTGCACGTTATGAAAGCATCTTAGATTAGTCTTTCAGTTTTGTTTCATTATAAAGAAGGTGAACAATCAAAACTGTGATAGTAAACTGATAAGAAATGTGAGAAATGTTCCTAAGCTTTAGTTTCTGGCAGGCTTTTTTTCTCTTTAAAGTACATGAAAAATAACACAAATGGCATTAAAAGAAGATTATCGTTCCTAAATCACATGTGAGAATGACTCTCCTCTTAGAAAAGGAAAAATGTATTGGTTCATTTTGGGTAAAAGTGTCTGTCCCAGATCTGTATCTATAATTTGTATGTTAATATCGTGGCATGTTCCCTTACTGAAGTGTGTTTATATTTATAGCATTACTTTGCTTTTTTCTCCTGGATCTTTGCCTCAAAGTAGAGAGAAGAAAACAAAAATTAAGTATTTCTTAACCATGAACAACATAAGCTCAGATCGGCCATATGCAATTCTTATTGACATTTTGCCAAATCAGCTACAGCCTGAGCAGTTCCATGAGGCAGATTTAATCATCCTTCTATTGTTAGGCAGTATGTATAAACTGATAAAGGCTGCTTGCAGATGTGAGTCACAGTCGTTTTTCCGGGGCATAGCTGATAGAGGCATACTCTGTATCACTGGGGTGAAACTCCACAACTGCTTGAGGACTTTTGGGGAAGTCCAGCACACTGTAGATCAGCGAAGGTCCAGGAGCATTAATGGAACCCTCAATAGATTCCTGCAAATACAGAAAAAGTTAACCTGCTGTTTGTCTGAATGTTGTTGCTTTGTTGTTGTTGTTGTTGTTGTTGTTGTTGTTTGTTACCTTACATGCCTGTAAAGATGGAAAAACCTGCATACCTGTACTGTGGGATTTGAATTTCTCTGTGGTCCTTCATGTTGTTTATCTGCATAAAAAATGCAATGGGTTATTTATTAAGGACAATTGATTTTATTCAACACAACAACTACTGTCGGCTACTAAGAGTGTGCATTTTTTCATTTCTCTGAATTGAACTCTTATCACTCACATCACCGTGTTTCCCGGCAAACAAAAACAAATGTAGAAGTTGAATGAAATAACGTCTTGCAGTGCAAAACTGAGCTCTGGTTTCGATGCTTCACTTTGCTAGAGCAGCATGTGGTGCAAAGCTGACAATAGTTCAACTTTTTCAGGCAGCAGAAGACACACCAGGAAATCAAATTGCCTCACTGATCATAGCGCTGATCTTGTCACAGACTGTTGCAACAGCTCCAAACAAAAGGCCTGTCCACAGCTCAGCATTAAAGCATGGCTTCAGTGTGAATCATACCTTAGGCTGAGAATATGCATACTTTCTAAAACTCATTTTCTAAACTCATGCCAATGTAGGCAACTAAATTCATTGGTGTAAAAATATCTGTAACACAAAGATGACTGGAGGTTTCCACCAGGGGGCACAGTGGTAAAGTTACACAATAAATGTCTTCATTTGTAGCATGCAAATAAGATGCTTTGAGACGGTAAATAAGGTGCATGGGTTGCATCAATACTTGGACCGAGTCCTCCTGGCATGTCAAAGGAGTGCACAGTCAGCAAACACTTGCACGTGTATTCATGTACGGGAAATCATCAAATGTGGCTTTTGTGGTCAGCGGGGACAGTCAGACTATTTCAAAGGTGCAATGCTCCCACTCAGAGTAGGAAAGTGGGGTTTGCCTCCGAAGTGAAAGCAGGCTCATGACAAAGAAACAAATAACGCAGTAAACTATTTCCACCCATCTCAAAGGGTTTCATTTTTTGGAAGAAAAAAAAAAAGGTGAATCATTGCATGCATCAAAAGGATGTGAAACTAATCTGGTTTGCATTTTTAGCATCTCACCACACAATTGCCATTTGTTCCACAGAATAACCCTTTTCTCTCCATTCCAGAAGATACAACAACCAAAAACAAGGAACTTAATAGTGAACTGGGGCAAACTGGTTCCTCCATAGAAAATAAATAATGCCTTATATAAGCACTTAATAAAACCGTCACCATAATTTATACTGTGCAAGTCCTAAAGTATGTATGGAATCTCATACCTGTTGCAGTCTAATCAACTGATGCTGAGTTTATGTCAGTGTAATGAGTCATGTCTTATCTACAACAACACATTCCGGATCATGCTTTTTCTTACCTTTCGTTTTTATAAGGCAACAGAGAAGAAACGGCAGCCCAACAGCTAGCAGCATCACAGGAGTAACCACAAGGACAGCCAAATTTCTATTGGAGATGAACTCGGAACTTCCACTGCCTGTAACAATTTTGGGTGTAAAAGGTAGCGAAGAATCTGTAGGAGTTTAAAAGAATTTCAGGTAAATAGTCACTCATCAGTGCAGAAAAAAAAAATTGCTTCTCAACATACAATGTGCATTTTGTTTGAGACTATATTAGATTGGAATTAACTTAAATTATTGATTATACAACTTCATATTTTTATTGTAAGTGTAACATATTGAACTGTGTTTCTGGAGGCCCAATAGTTTTTTGTTTTGCTTTGTGTAAATACCATTATCCTTGTAAGGTTCAAATACACAGCATGAGACTGAAGAGGGATTTTCTATCTATTTTAAAAGTTCCAACTGGTCTTTTACCCTATTTTTTATTTCCTTAGTGTTTTCTTTGTAAAAAGAATCAGCCGCATGCTTTAAAAGAAATCAGATGCAATCTGATCATTCCTGCAGGCTTTACTAAGGAATAGACAACAGAAATTAGAGGAGCATGCTCCTTTGAAGTATAGGAAATGAAGCCGGCGGGAAGCTATGAATAAATGAGAATGGCTCACGCAGTTTAAAAAATGTCAAAGTGAACTAAGCATAAATAACGTTTCCTATAAAATGTATCGTGAACATTTTCAATCCTCTGCAGCACAATTTTTGGACCTATAGAGTTCACCAAGCTGATCTACACTGACCTTTCCTAATCTTAAAGCAGAAAAAATGTCCTACCTGTGGGGTTTTTGGGATCCTCTTGAACGGTCAGGTAAACTTTATTACTCATTTCTGCTGGCTTTGATTTGTCAAACAAACTGGCCCAATATAGCTCACTGTTATTCAAGGTGAGATTTGAGATGTGGTAAAACACAGATGAGTTTTGGGGGTAAATGTCAAAGCAGCTTCTGAATGTCGGATACTCAGTGATTTTCTTTTCTCCTGTGATATAAACGGCAAATTTGCTCTCATTTGTGACACTAACATTGAAAGTGAACTGAAGAGAGATGTTTTTCCCAGAGATCCCTCTGACCCAGTCTTGGCAATGGCCTGAGCAGAAACAGAACAAGAAACACGTGAGAAGGCAGGATGGAAATATCCCATATGAAAGTAAAACACTTAAACCACAAGTAGTATTCATTTACAAGAATTTGCTGTGATGAAATTATAGCCACTCTTATGGTGTTATATTCTCTTGTACCAAGTAAAATATTTTCATATTTATAATTTCAAGGTTGCAACTGGAAGAGTTGGAAAAGAACAATACTATACTAGTACCTCAAAAGTTTGTGTTAAGTTACTTTTAAAAAATGATGAGCTTTCTTATATATTATATTTTGTCTGACTCTGGCCGGGTCTGTCTTTGTAAAGTGTATATACTCTCCCCATGTGGGTCAGATCAGATCAAATGGTTGTTTTTTAATATGCATTCCTGACATGGATGGAGATTTGTCTACTGAAATATGGACTGAATTTTTTAATAAGGTATTTATTTTCCCACAGTTTGCACCAAACATACTCAACAAGATATCTGAGATGATCACTGATTTGGTGTTCGGCAACAGATCCAAATGAACCGACCCAGCTGTTCTATAAACGTGCTACCAGCTACACAGTGTGATGTTTTCATACACAACTCATTAAATGCTGATTTATATTCAGGGCTCATTTATAGCTTAGGAAGTCTTACATATCTCCATCTGCTTAATTTACAGCAAACACTTAAGGAGTGAATTTGAACCTAAAGTGTAACCGGGAAGAATCTGAGTTAATCTGTTGTAGAACACTTTATTTTAAAAAATGGTCATTTTGTCTCCAAATCCTACATCACACAAGCAGCGAACATGTTCTGACTAAAGCATGCCACTTTCCCAAACCGTAACAGGGAAGCTACTGCCAATCATTTTGAAATCATTCCATTCTGTTTTGATTAACACTTAAAGGCCCAACTGGAAACTGTAAAGGTGGTAGTTGAATATCACTAGCATAAAGTGTGTTTTACTTTAAAAGTAAACAACTAAACAATTTGAATGTTTTGGACTTTCTTTTTTAGTTGGACAGCATCGATGTTTCATTCATTCAAATAGGGTCAACTTAATTAAGGATTTTAAGTAATGTTTTAGTGTGCTTTTAAGTTACCGATGAACCTCTGTGTCCTTATTTTAGTTTCTGTTTGCCCAAAACTAAAACAGACTACAAAACACATCTCAGACATAGTCTCAGTTATTGATGAAAAAATACGTTGGCGTAAAGAAGTTGTTAACCATAAACCTCACACAGCGGAGAGCCTACAAAACATACATTTTAAAGAAAGCCAAGAATTAAAAAAAAAAGGCTGCTTACCGTTGAAAATCACATGAGCTGAAACGATCAAAATAAACCCAAGAGGTTTCCTGACAATGTTGACAACCATGATAGAAGAAATGTTTCACTCGTGGGCCCGGCACACTGGCCCTGGAGTCTTTGATCGTCCTATCTGTATCAGAGGCCTCATTGAAATCGTATTTATCATGTCAAATAGTAGTTTTAGTGCTGAGGGGGAGGAAACCGTAGGCAGGAACTCACACAAACACCGATTCATCTGCCTACAGAATCATAAGCACCTCCTGAAACGGAAGACATCACTGTGGCTCATCAACATGTGGTGCAGGCTGTGAGGAACTTGGATGAAAAGGTTGTCACTCACATGATGCAGGCAAAAGTCTAAGACCAAGTTCTTTTTTTTTTTTTTGTAAGCTGAAATTGCTCTTTAACATGAACCCAACATCCTGAAGCAACTGACAGGAAATTATTTAATAAATTATGGACCGAGAAGAAAAAAGATTTATTCTTTTATTTTTAAATGTTTGAGATTTATACATGGCACCCCATTAAGCTAAAGAAAAAAATCCTTGTTACATTTTACTGTATGTGTCATGATTTTCCATGTTTACACTGTTTCATTAATGCAACATTTTCTCTCGTCGTTTCCACACCAGGGTTCTTGGAATTGTGGGCTTAGAGGTACAACTGAGTTTACATTCTGGGAAAAGTTTTCCTGGTGGGTATGGAGCCATTCCTTACAGGACAAACAAAAAAAACCCGGCAGCAGTTGAAGAGGAGACCCAGAGGAAGACATCTCTACTGTACAGGTGAGTCGAACGAGTCATCAGACAGCACTGTGGAACGAAGGAGCTGAACAGGAGGGAAAACAACAACAAAAAAACAGAAACGCACGATATCCCACAGATCCAGCCTTATAGTATAGTAGTAGAAGATATGTACCATAATGTGGGTACGTAGCCTGCATTTGTGAAAACAAAATTATTCATTGTGTGGGGATTGAGGGTATAATTCCTAGAGATGTGTATTTATCACACACAGCAACACTTTAACCACAGATGAGGAAGCTGGGGTCTTGAAGAAAAAAGCACGAGAGGGGATTCTGTGGCTTTGATATTTGGTTTCAGCATCACCGCATAAAACCTGTGAGATGGCAAAAGACCTCCTGGCTTACATGGAAGCTTGTGATTCATCTGTAGGCGGTAGAAGCCTATCAGTCATTCTTTTTTTCTGGCGCAGACTTTCCTTACTGCTGGGATACCTGCTCTGGTTTATTAGAGGTGTAGTTGTAAAAAAACACCCGATTCCTACACCTTCTTGATTTGATTTGCCTAATGTTACATCTGACAGATACAAAGGTACTGAATACATGCTAATCCTAATAATTCACATGTGGACGTTTATCCATTAAGACAAATCCTATGCACAGAAAAGACCGCTCATTAGTTTGATCTCATATTGGTTTAATCTGCAGTTTCTTGACTTTATTCATCAACTTCTCTTTCTGTTAATTTAACTTCCGTTTTATGCATTTAAAAGTTTTTCCTTGACTGTGTGCTGTAGGTTTGCTCCAGCCTCATTGTACATTTACGCCATCTAGTGGCCTGAATAGGAACACGAAAATGATTTTACATTATCCACCACACTTTTTTATCCCTCTCACACTCAGCAGTAACACTCACACGTTTGACTGTTTTTTACCCTGTGAGGCTGTTGTTTTTATAAACTACTTCCTGTTTATATCTTACATTTGAATGTGTTATGTACTTGCTTCTCTCTATTATTGTTTACAGCAATACAACTAATCTGTTGAATGAATTTAACTGATTTAATTTGCCTGCATGGCACACCTTATTCTTTACCATAATTTTACTCCTCAATAGTTATTTTGTTATGCTTAGCAATAGTTTGTTTCACAAGGTGAAAAGTAAGATTTAAAAAAAGATATGCAGTATGCATTTGTGTTTTATAAACAAGAAGATGTCCCCAAACGCGGTGAAAACACAGGGAAAAACAACAAAACAAAAGACATTTTAGTGATGCTGGGATAGATTCGGTGAACATATTGATATTACTGTGACTGAGACATTGTACATATACTTAAATATCTGAACAAACCACCTGTATAAACAACATTTTGTGGGTATAGTCGAAAGATTTACCTATCTGCATGTTGTTGCTATTAAACTTAATGGTACTCTTGGATCATTTTTGGCTATTTACATGCACCTAACTAAACCTGTTGGTGCATAAATAATTTGCTGCGTCTGTAATAAATGAGCTATTTGAGCTAACAGTTCTCTTCCCTCTTCCCAGCTCTGACTGAAACAATGACTCTCCTAACACTTTGCAGGTTTTGGTGCACAGTGCCTCATCACTGTTGTTATCAAAGCCTCCAATATCTGTGGGTGAGGTTTTAGACATGAGTAATATCCAAAAGCCTCAACTCCTTGTTGAGGGGGGCTGAGGCCGAGGGGGGGTGAGTAAAATGCAAGAACACATCGCAGTTAGCAAATTCTCTACGATATCAAACAGAAACATTTATCATTTCAATCTAGCTACTGAGGTGGCAAAAGGATATGCTTTTTAAGTGTGAGCTGGACTTTTCCCTCGTGCAACGTGCCGTCTGCAGTTTCAGCAACCTGCCAAATATTTTGCACAGAAAAGCAGACAAAACAAAGGATGATGTAATGTTCAGCATCTGACTGGGCTGCTGTTTGCTGAGGGACGTTTGTGAAAGCGTTTAGCTGAGCTTCATTTCTCACAGCAGAGGTGGGAGGAAGCACACAAGCTGTTGGGAAGGGAAGAGCAGGAAAGCCCTTATTACCATGGTAACAGAGAAGTCGGCACGTTATTAAAAGCTGCTATAACAAAACAATTAAGAAACGACCGCAGAATGGGATCCCCACACCACCCATAACACACCAGAGCTGAAACCGCACACGGACCCATGGTTCAGGTTCAGCAGGGGGCTTCACACAGGCACCATTTACCAGAAAATCCATCCAGTGCTACATTCCAACCTTTTCAAGCAGCAGCTCTGGGGGAAGAAAAAAATAAACCCTTGACAATCTACAAATTGGCTGCTTATGTACATGATGAGATGCCATTTTACCTGTAGAAGTAGTAAAATTATCAGTTTTTTTTTTTTTTTTGCTGTGAGAACAACTCAAGCATTACTGTGAACAAACTGAGATGAGAGGCGGGGAAATGCACAATCATGCACCATCAGGCACAATCACAGTTTTCTCCCTGCATTATCAGAATGAAGAGCTGTTATTAAGGTGTGTGAGTTGGTGTTGCCCTATTAGTGGGTAAATATTCTTAACGTGCTCTCTCAACCTGCTGTATTGTTTTGGTTCAATCTCTCACCTCTATCATTTCTTGCTGCAGAGTGGCAAGTGGCAAAACAAAAGTGAGTGCTAGAAGATGGCATTTTTTCACCATGGATACCCAAGTGGCTTCAAAAAGGGGGGAAATAAGATGCATTCATCACAGAAATTGCAGCACAGATAGCAGCGTTAGGAGCGTTTAGAGAAAGGGCCCCTTACGCAAACTGCGCAACTGTCCACACGTGCGTGTCACGTTATGCAGGAATGCCTTCCTTCCTCCAGATCATGGTGAGAGAGAAATAATACTGTGTCTTCGAGAACCGTGCTTGCACGTCTGTCAGAGTGCACGTTTGTGTTTGAGAGTGTGCGTGAGGGGACAAGAGTGGAGTGGTCGGTCTGTTGCTGCACTTGTGTCAACCTCATTTCCTAGCAACCATGCAAACCACCAGCTCCCTAGCAACAAGGAGGACACAGGTGTCCTCGCGGCATTCCACAGAAACCTGCAAATACTGACAGTTAGAATCCTCCCCGTGACATTAAATACACGCGTGTTCGGCGTGTATTTCATGGCACAGTTAACTTTCAAATGCGCAATTTGGATAAAAATGACCCACACGCTCACCTGCAGTAACTCCACTTCTAAAGCAAATACTCGCAAACGCGCTCGCACACGCGCACGCCCACGCGCCGGATTCACTGTGCAGCGTGCTTTAGAAACATGTCAACACCTCCGGGCCGCACGTGCGCACAGACTCGAGAGGCGGTGGGACTACCGTGCGCAAGGAGGTCTCTGCGCGTCTGCGTGTGCACGTTTCCTGCCTCCTCGAGGAAACAAGTAGCGTGCATTTCATTTCCTCCTACCACGCGAAAAAAAAAAAAAAAAAAAAAGGCTGCAGGGGCCCGAGTCTCCAAACAGGCGCTCGCGCGCACGCACGAGCAGTCAAGTGAAGAGCGCATCTTGTTTTCTAGTGGAGGTATTCCCCCAGCTCCGCTCACCATCAACAGCCAGCTAATGTTTCACCGTCCTTCCGTTTTTTTCGTTTGGTTTTCAGATACGGAGCAAAGACGAGACGGGAGAATGAGACGTCGCTCCCCGTGCAGCCACGTTTCCGTCTTACACCATGACAGACTTACAGTTGGAAACAGATACAAAGAGGAAACGTGCGAGACACGCCGATTGTTTAATGTAAGCTCAACAAACCACATTTTCTCTTTATTATAAGCGCAAAAAAATAATTAAACAATAGGATTTTAAATCTAGGGGGGCATCACCACCTACTCCTCCGTCCTCACCCAACCTCGCCTCTGCTGACTGTCACCCACCATAGAAATTGATTTCTTCCCCCCATTGGCTCCCCCTCCTCTTCCTCACCCCTCCCTCCCTCCCCATCAGTCGCACTGAGGGTAGCAGTGACCCGTCGCTCCCTCCGTTCTGTGCCAGTCTCTCTCTGGTGTTACTCTCAGACGGACGACAAGCGAGAAGAAGAGGAATCCAAACTGCCAAACAGAGACGATCGTCACTTGTTTGTATATGTTACACTTTTTTTTTTTTACTGAATATTTTCCCACGGAAATCGCTCGTCGGAATCCGCTGAGGCTGCCGGTAAACGATACTCTGTTATATTTAGAGTCCCCCCCCCCTACACACCACACACACACACCACACACAGCGATGAGCGGCTGCGAGATCGTTTGGCTTTGCGCTCTAGTATGAAGCTCCAGCCTGGTGGTCAGCAGCAATGAAGTCCAGACGCGACAAACTGAAGATCCCCTCTCTGACTCTAGAGTAAGTTTCGCCTTTTGTGTTCTCATCTTTTGGCCGACGCTTCAACTGTGTGGACCTGTTGTGTTTTTGAGGTCCCAAATAAGAGGGAAATGACAGCGTTTGCTGCTGTGCTGCAGTTGAAGCTTTCAACCACCCTTTTAATTCATAAAAGTTATGGTTCAGAACCTCTAAACGACCCATCCTGTCACAGACAAGGCGTTTTGTTTATGCAGTGGGATTCAGTTTGGTCTCACAGGCGCTATAGAAAGAGGGTTTTAGTTTAAATGCTTGAGAAGTTAAAGGCGTCTGATCAGTAGACATTTCAACTGAACCTTAATCTTTGTCACTGTCACAAATAACCCAGAAAGAGAATCGATATTGACCTTTTTCTGCCTGTCTGTTAATCTTTAACCTGAAGTGGAGAAATCTCAACCTTGAACTGGAAATATGTTTACACTGTTTGTGAAGTTGGGAGATGAAGTCATTTGTTAAAACTTTCGGACTATTCAAATATCTGTAAGTCGATTTTGCCTGTTCTTCACAAAGAAATAATATCTCTTGTGTGTATAATTATCCAAAAATGTAAGGCCACAAAGGTGCAGCTCGTGCCTCTGTGAATTTTGTCCTTCTTCCTTCTTCCTCCTCTGGTTTTCTCCTCCCAGCATGACTCCTGCATGAATCACATGCTCCCCTTCTCAGCACAACGGCAGTTCAATGGCTTTTTAGAATTTTGGTGGACAGATATGTGATTTTCCAATCCTTCCCACCCTGTTTTTCTGCCTCCATCACAAGGCATGACTGCCGTCTCATGCGCGCCCACTCTGCCTTCAGAGCAAATGTTGCCTTTCTTTATATAGTGAGGAAGGGGGGATACGCGGTGCCCACTTAGTGCTGATCCATAAGTCGTAGGAGCTCCCAGCTCCCCACCCCGTCCTCTGATCCGTCCATCTGCCTTCTGCGTGTGGAGCGTTCTCGGCTGAGCATCCGCTGTTCTCCTCTCGTTTTCATTTTTAGGCACTGTGTAAGCGTGTGTTCCCGCGCAGAGCAGGGAGGGGTTCAGGGCTTTAGTGATGGCTGGACCGGTCCAACACCAGAGACAGGCCCCGAAATGCAGCACTTCCATTAACACGAGCAGCATCCTGAACTTTTGTCTTTATTCTGACTCATTTTTCTCCTTAGAATGGTACAATGCGCTTTTTCAGATTCGAGGCAGACAACTCAGAAATTGTGTTTCCACAAATAAGCCAGATGTGCCAAAAGCGAGAAGATATAGGCCAAAATGTGTCAGACTAAGCTAAGATTTCTGATTCTGCTTGAGCTCATTACGACTACAACTTTTGCACTTCAGACTATCAAACCTCACGTCTTCCAGTTGTAGTCGCTCCTGAGTCTCCTTGAGCATCCAAGAAAATTAGAGATTCGGTGTGAATGTCACCTGTGAGTGAGTCTGAGATTTCCCCCTCGCTTTACACTTTAGATAGGAAGTGTGTATTAATTAATGAATTGGAATAAATGCAGTATGTAAATAAAGGAGGCTTAAGTGTGGACTTTGGTTCAGGGAAGGAGAGCATGTGTCATAGGGAACAGAACTGGCATGCGTTGTATAATTATGAGTCGACACTATGGAACGAGGATGCTTTGTGCGAGGAGTTGTTTTTCCTGCCATCCTTCCTGCATTACTATGACAACACGTTCATTAGTGCCGTGGTAGCCAGCACTGTGTTTAGCGCTGAGAATCTTCTGCTTCACCAAGACAATAACGGCTTTGTGGAGGTTGGAAAGCACATGCACAGCTCACATCTGGGAAGGGAAATCGATTGGAAAAAAAAAAAAAAAACCCCTGTGCTGGGGCAGCATCAATACAATATAGACAGAGGGTTGCTGAGTTGGGTCAGTATGAATATTTTAATGTAAAGATGGTGCACTGAGGCGTAAAGTGCTGCATGAATTTCATTTCATACGGTTCATACGTTATACGTTCTGGGGGAAGTTGGAGTGCATAGTGCATCACTTTTTGTAGATATGCAAACTGGTTTATATTCCATTTTAGGACGTGAAATTTCCTATCTGGCGTGACGTTGCTGACTTTTTTTGGTTTGTCAGAGTTTATATGAGACAAGAGGCCGGCTAACCAGATGCATCCAGACAGTGCAAACGGGCAGGCCGCAGCTTTACCCCGCAGTTGGTGGGAGTTTCTCACCGTAAGCTGGAAATGTCCGCCAGAACGCGGAGGGGGTGCCCACCCCTGACCCCGGAACAAAGCTCTGACGCCAATTGGTTGAGTCAGCCCACTAATCCGTGCGACCATGTCTTGCCTTACAGTTTATCACCCACTTGCCAGAGCCCCACCCTCCTGAGCCCATGCAGCCCTTGCAGCCCCTGCAGCCCCTTACAAACCCTTCATCCCTGGAGGTAAGAGAGCCAGGTCACACTCAGACCCTCGTCCAGACAGTTAACAGCCTTGTCCAACAGGCACTGCAACCACAACACGAGATGTCTTATTTCACCGAGTCACATGATCCTTAGCCTGGATGTTATTCATTTTTCAGAATTGACTGTCCTGCTTGCTAAAACTTTAAGAGACCAGATTTTTTAAAAGTTATATTCTTCAAAAGTATTCATGACTCCACAGAGACAATTAGGAGCGTTAACTTTTTTATTTTTTACTTTTACAACATAACATACTTTGAAATACAGGACAAAAAAGAGAACATGCTTTTTCAACAACCGGAAGAAATACTGAATAAAAGTTACAATACTGGACATACTGAATTTTAAAGTTCACAAAGCAATCCCAGCACAAATTCTGCTCTGAAGTTGCTCATGAGCTTTAAATCACACCAAACTCCTTTGTACTATTTAATCAAGGAGGTTCGATTAAAACTGTAGTGTGCTACATCCAAAGCTAAAAATGCAACTGCAATTCCGACACCAAAATGCAATGATTTCAGTATTTCATAAATCAGCATTATATATTTACAGTAAAACAGAAGACAAATCAAATATTAAAAGAAAGTTGTCTTGACCAACAGAGATTTTTCCAGATTCTTTCAATTATATTATTAAGATATTGTAAATTAGTCAAGACAGACATGATAACTTTCACATAAAAAGTAGGTTTTTACTAAACTCTTCAAAAAAAGATGGCCAAATTCCTAACAGATCGATAAGCATAGCATTTAACCTAAGAGAATGGTTTTCGACCATAAACTACTGAGACTAAAACAAATAACAAGGGACATAGAACACATGCTACAAGTCTGTATTTTTGTTTTTTGTTGTTTTTCTTTTCTTCCAATATACGATGCACTTTTGTTTCGACCTATCCGTCGTCCCTGTGTGGGTTGCTTGGCAACGGAGCTGGGTGCCGTTGAGAAAGGCAACACAGCAAACAGAGGCGGCTGCATTCAGCATGTTTGTGGACGTGTGAGCAGTGCTAGGCTGTCACAGCGCGCTCTGTACATTCATTTGCTCGTTAGAAAAAAGAAGAACAAATTTGATTTGGAATGCAAGAATTTCTGACACCAAAAAGATAACTTCGGCTCATTGTGTACCACTGTATTGGCACGTTGCGCAGGGTCTTCACACCAATTTGCGTTGGAGAAGCCTCCCAAACACCCTAACCCAACACCCCACCCCACCCCACCCCACCCCACCAACCGTCAACCATGTCTCACCATCCAGAAACATGTTCATTCTCTTGCATCAGACTCTATATTTAGATGCAAGTAAATTACCTCCACACATCTACCGACGTTCAGCATGCAAGAGTTTGGTTTAACGGCATTCAAAAAGAGTCTTGGATATATTAAATATGAAAATGACCCACTGAGTTATTTGTGAAGGATCCACATTTGGGAAATGACTGAGACTGTAATTCTCAGGTGTGTCAAGAGGAGAAAATACTGGTGAATTGGCAAAAATTGCAAACAAGCTAAAAATGGAGGCTATTAAACTCTCCCTAATGTTAACTGAAATTATTGTAGTATTACTCGTTCTTTTAAAATGTATATGTAAATGATATTGGTCAAAGTAAAAGTGTTTTTCACTTCCATAATACGAATTTGAAAATTTTATTTTTAAATAAAAGTTTTATCATCACCTAAATTAAACAATTTTTTCACCAAAACTGATTTCAGATTGGTCCTTTTATTACTACTAAAGCCACAAAACATTGCATTTTTGGTTTGCAATTTTTTATTATACAGTTTTATCTCGTATCTATTGAGTTTAATATACACAGGAAAGTGACTTAATTCATACAAAAGGAATTTTTAATTTTTTTTTGTTTGGATTTCAAAATGTAATATATTTTTATTCATAATCATTCTTCAGGTGAAGATTTTAAGAACGGAATATGCACCTAATTCTAGCTGATTAAAGTAATAAAATATTTTATTTAGAATGATATGCTTAGCAATATGTCTTCTTATTTGAATGGTTGGTTAAGTTAGTTTTAGTTTTTAGAAATGTAAAGAATAATTCATTTAAAGTCGAGAAAATAAAGACTAAAGTGAATGCCTAATGACACAAAGAGAAAACTCAATACTTTTACAGAGGGGAATGTTCCACTGTTAACAGTTTGCCACGAACCTCCCCTTGTCTTACTCTTAATGGTATGATCCACCATCATCTTAAAGGTGCTTTCAAGCCAGTTGGAATTTGTCAAGATAGTGCCAAAAGAGAGCTTGTAGAAGAAACTACAGAAAGTACCGGTAGTTGATTTAAACAAAAAGTTGGAGCTCATCAACCTAAATCAGCCCACATATAGTGAAAATAGGGAATTTAAATAGGTTATGAAGAATTAGAGCATTCATTATTAATCAATATACTGTTCTTAACTGGAGGTAAAGAAAACTGATTAAACTCTCTCTGCTGTTAAAGTGGGATAACCATTTGATAACTGATCACTAATCAAATGTATTATTATCTCTGTGTGACATAAATTATTTTGTTTTAAGGTTTACAGGATGAGAAGCGTCTTTCTATTTATTGCCAATAACTCAAGACATGTTAACGATAAAAAAACATCTTAAAGATAATTTGTTTAGAACAAAATCTAGGCTAAAGCTGACTCATTTAACAATAGTTTTGTTTTTGTCCAGTGCCTCATGAATTGGTACTGGTACTAACAATTGCAGCGACAACATTTGATTACCAAATATTTCCTTATGGCAGTTTTCTCCCTGTTGGGTTTTAGTCATTTATTTGTATACAACGTTTTGAAAAAGTATTCAATTGTTGGAGTAAATCTTTGTACGTCCCTAACATCTGTTTTAACCTAGTAACAATCTGCATAAAACAAATGAGTGACTAGAGAAACAAACAGCTGTTTTTTGGGTAGATTAAAGTAGGTACTGAGGAGGCTTTGGCAGCGGTTTGTAAACGAAAGGAACGAGCAGCCCCTGAACGCAGCATCAGGCTTCAGCTTCCTCAAACCGACACACGCAGCCAGAAGCGGCTGTTTGGCCAAATATAAAGAGTGCGGCAGCTGGAGCGTTATCACACACCTGACAAGCCGCCAAGAAGGCGATGTTCCCGGGTCGTTACCGGTCCGAAACTGCAAACCGAACGATGGGGCGACTGCTAAATAGCCGTTAGGACGACTGCTCGTGGCAGACAGGCTCGTGAATACAAAAGGAACCGCCGAGAAGAGACGATGGTGGGGACGGCAGGAGGAGGAGGAGTGGGCTTCGTGTTCAGTCGAGCTCTAGTTGTCTGAATTCACCAGAAAGCTTCAAACGGGCTTGTGCAAGAGTATTGTCCAGCATGTCGGATCCATGCCACTGGTCTGCGGTCCCGAACCAGAACAAGTCCCATTTTGTTCCGGGAGCATTGCTGAAGCGGTCAAAGAGGTACTTACCCAGGGCTGGAATTTGGAGGGTAAAACAAGTTTCAGGAGGTTGTGCTATGCTTCACTGGGTTAAAAATTGTGTCTGGTTGATGTTTTTTGGTTTGGCTTAAACTCAAAGAGTGGGATATTCTGAAAAGAAAGACACGGGGTGCTTTCTTTTCTGAGCTGGAGGCTCTTATTTTAATCCCTGGATTGCTTGTTGGTAGTCCAGAATTATTAGGCCTATCTGGAGGATGTTAGAGCTGAGAAATGGTGATGCAGCTTGCAGACAGTTTTTGCTCTGGACTGATCCCACCAAAGGGCATCAGACCGTGTAAAGTTTTTCTTTGTTCAAAGTGGACCTGGCCCTTCCCAGCTTTTCTGCACACATGCCTCTCATTGCAGATGGATCAAGGACAGAACTCCAGATGATGCATTTCTAAAGGCCAGCATGCCTCTACCTGTTGGCCTTAAGGAAAATAACGAAGTCACGTTTACTGTTAAATCAGAGCAGGAAGCAAAGATACTGCCGCTTCACAGGATCTGTGAACCGGCATGATCTTGATACTGTTAGGCATAATTTAATAAACAACATCAGGGAATAGATAAAAAGCTCCAGCAAAGCCTTCCAGAGTCAGAGCGACTATCTTAAATTGGCCTTTGTTTCCTCTCTCTCACACACAAACACAAAAAAGAAGACCAAGAATCACTTGCTTTGTCTTACCCAAACCTTAAACGAATTTAACCTCCGAAATGATGTTCTGCTTAGTGGTCTCTGCGTCCTCAGAGGACAGTTATTCCTAGTAATTTTACCAGGAAACATCCTAATGATGTGTTTGAAACTAGAGCACATTCAGATACGAGCATCAGGGGCTATAGCCGCTCCTGCTGTTGGGGAAAATGATGTTGGGGGCTCCCTTTAGCCTTGAGTCTGCAGATGGGAGGCTTCCTTTTTATGTTTAGGCTCTCATCTGTTTTCCCCTTAATCTGATATGGCCACGCTGTTGTGTCTTGCATCTGCCTCCAACTTCAGGCTTGTAGTTACATAACCCTCCTCAAGGCAGAGCTGCTCTAGAGGCATAAATAATCTCACATGCCGACTTAAATCCCAGTGGGCAGAGACAAAGAGATTGCCGTGCCTGATGCTAAGTATCATAAGCCTCGTATGTAGTGAGCTGTATTTTTTTTTTCTTTTTTCTGTAGATGGAAAATAGAAACTGCTATGCAGGAAAATACTTCAGAAATTTAGTCACAAATGTCGTGTGGTTCTTTAAATTCCACTTCTTACTATATTATATATAAACATGCTCCTCTGATCTTGTCATTGCTGAAGAAGAGCACTCTGTTTTTTGTTTTTTTCCCACAAAAACTACCTCAGCCTAAACTTGGGCTGAATTTATTCCCCCAGAAAACTGGAGATTCCAGTCTGTAGCCACAACTCCCGGGTTATCCTTGCCACTCGCAGTTTACGTGCAGATCAGATGTGTTTTTTTGTTGTGTTTTTTTTTTCTTTTGTGTCATTCACTGCTTGACAAGAGTCAGGGCGCAGATTGAAGTGATTTACTTTAAGGGTCGAGTGTTTTTTAATCTGCCAACTGTTAAGCAGCCATAAAGCTTTTGCGTCCGCAAATCAGTGTTTGACCCACACATGCACTCACCCTTGCACATGAAGATAAACTCACAGTACGACAACCTGAAGCATTGCATGAGTCAAAGGCATGATTATAGGTGGATAAAGTTGCGCTCGGTATAAAGGAACGCACAGACCCGTTCGTCGTTGACCGGCTTGGTGTTTATTTTCATCCCACGCCCATTTGAAGTGCTGTTGTCTCTAAAAGCTGAGGACATCTGTCACTCTTTTAGCATAAAAATGAATAAATGAAATTGAACTGGAAACAAACAGCGCTCTGGTCACTGTCGCTCGGCGTTCAAACCAGCACTGACGCCTTTTCCTGCAAATTGTGACAAGAAATGCAGATGAGTGATGTGCGATGGGGATGGCGGGCCAGTAACTTCTCCCTTGTGTCGCTTGTGCTTCAGCTGTCGCAGCAGCAACAGGAAGAGCCTCGGCGTTGGGACGCCCTCACCCACGCTGTCCCGGCCACTCTCCCCGCTCTCTCTGCACACCGGTAAGGCGCCTTTGAACTATAAAGCTCTGCCCTTGCAAAGTATGAGCAACAATCCCCTGTCTGACTGTTTATAGTCGTACAACAGCTCTCAATATGAAGGATATAATGACTTGAGCTCAGAAAAAATATCAGTTAAGCCACACATACTGTAGCTGATTTGTTTTTTTGCACCACAGATGTGTCAGAGTTGTTTAATTGCAGCATTACGGGCTCTTCTTCTGCCTTTCTGTAACAGATTAGATTCAGCGTATGAACTAAACTTGATTCTAAAACAGCAACTGATACCTGGTAAATTTGTTGATCTGTCACTTTTCCAGAGATGCAAAGTGTAAACATAATTAAGAGCTATCATCCTTTTGCCTCTCTAAACGATCAAGCAGCTTCCCTCTGAAAAGGTTTTCGTTCAAGAGCTCTTCATAAAGGAAGCACGTAGACATCCTCCCTTTTGAATTCAATTATCCAAAGCATTACCTAATCACAGAGTAAAATAATCTCTAATTAGGTGCTCAACCACTTGTATGTAAATAAATGTAGTCGCATGCACGCCCAGATCTCCAGACTATAGCAGCACAAGGAATTTGGCATTCCCCTGACCTAAGACTCTTCAGGGATGACTTGTGTAAAGTTAGGACTAATAATACCAGGATAATCTGTGGGACCTTTCTGTGGTACTGGTTAATGCCTTCTTGATTGAGGCTTCCTGCACAGACATGATGTCATTCCTCTTGGAAAATTTGCACTTGTAAAAGCAGCCACGGTTATTTCCATATGTTTGTTATTACAGTTGTGAATTGTTCTGCTAACAACTTTGTCTGTCCTCTCTCAGCTGCGAGCAGCCCTCTAGACAGCCCTCGAAATGTGTCAGCTGGCGGCTGCCTCAACTTTCCCTTCGCCCGAAGGTAGGCCCGCGCCGGCTGTGAAACCTGTTCTTCTGCCGTAATGATAATATTATGCCACGTTTAAAGCCTATTAAATATCGAGTTAGCTTGAAACGGTTTCAGATAAAACCACATTAGATGATCCTGTTTAACATGAATGGTGTCACTTAAATTACAATTACCCACAATTTACCCAATGTTTATTGGGACACAACCTATGTGTTCGCTTGCTCATCATAGAGGAAATGTATTTAAAAGTCTAATTTGGATAAAAATGTCGAGGCTGTATAATTTAAGTGACTGTAATTGTTGCCAGTGCTTATCAAACCCTGGGGGATTTCAGACATAGGACAGATATGTCTTTTAAATTACAGTCAGTTTTGATTCTTGAGTTGGAACGGCCTGTTTTTATTTTCCTAATTGAATCCAAAATAAATGAAAACAAGCAGACAAAAGGATATAATGTGGCATTGTGAGGGTTTCCCGGGAGGTTCGGTGTGTGTGTGCTGGAACAGAGGCAGACGGTCTGTAAGACAGAAGGAAGCTGAGGGAAAACAGCAGCCCGGTGACTGAGGCTGACTCAGCCCGGAGCGTTCACGCCTTTCTCCCTCTGCCAGGTTTTCTTACAGCTGACTCCCCCTCAGCACGATAGGCACAGTCAGTTAGAGGGTACCCCTAAAGCCCACGCACACATCATTCAAACCTGTTCCCAAGGCAACCTGCTCATTTTGCTCCAGGCGTGTGAAGCCTATGTGAGACTGCACCTTAAAGTAACCCAAGAACAGTGATTAAAAACTCATGAGAGGTTTAGGTGCTTCGCCCCGACACATCTGATCTGGGAATATGTTTTGCTGGCGTCAGGGAAAAAAAACCCACCATATGAAAAGAAACGGGTAAATATTTAATCCTGAAATATTTCAATTTTGCAAGTCTGGTGTCATCACCTTCTATAAATTATTTCATTTGCACATCAGTGGCCTTATTTTTATCCGGATGAATCCAGGTCTGCTTATGGGCACTCTTTGAAGTCACTGAAAGTAAAAACATCCTGAATGAAGAGATTTAAAAAGAAAAATTATACATGGCTCTCTGATTGTCAAAACAATTTGCTTTCCTATCTAGGAAGGTAGAGTTGTCAGATCTAATCCCTCAGCTGTATGCCAAAGGTCACTGGATGTCTTGTGTGAGAGTCCTAAATCTCATTTAAACTCTTTGCTTGTCTCCTTCTCTCTGTTGCTTTCATGATCAGTCACTTGGCTCGTGCTGACAGGTATTTTTAAAAAATACTTTCACTATGTCTTTTGCTGTCCAAACTTATTTTCTGTGTTTCTGTGACTGTTTTACTTTATTTTATTCAATTTTGCAAATTAAACATCACTCTGGGCAAAAAAAAAGAAGAAGAAAAACACAGCTCTGAACCGAAAGATGAGTAAGAGAAGCCTATTATGTGTGATTCGGAATATAGAGCATTGATTTTAAGCCCTTATAGTCACAAGACACCTCCACCATCTGTTATGTAATGAGTTTCTCATAAGAAATGCTAACTAATGCTTATGTTGCTGAGGGTTATATAAGATGTTTGCTGTTTCTTCCAGAGCCGAGGGCCGCCGATGGTCTCTGGCGTCCCTCCCTTCATCTGGATATGGCACCAATCCACCAAGCTCCACGGTCTCAGTAAGTCACCCCAAACATGGCAGTGCTCTCTCTTGGTGCGTTGCAGCCAGGCAGGGCGAGCGCGTCACTCAGCCCAAGTAACGCCTTCCTTTATCGAACAGACGCCAGAAAATGCCACGATTACGACGACAAACTGTTAATTGTTTTCCTGCTTCGTCTGCTTCAGTGAGTCACTCTCACAGTCTGTGGAACTTTGCAGGGGTGGTGTGAGCGCATGCTCATTAGACATGAATTGTTTGTGTCACATGATAAAATACGTAAGTGACTTTTAATCTTTTTTTTAAGTTAGTTTTTTTTCAAACTCTGTTATCCCAAATACATAAATGAATGGTAATGACTGCGCCACATTATTTCTATTCAATACTTTTAACTGTATTAGTTGGCTTTTCTGCTGCCAAATGCTGGCATGAAGGTTTGTGGAGACATTTAATTAACGGATTCTTCACCGTGATGTTTTAACTAATAATTTCAGTGAAGAAAATGCCAAGCGTCTCGGTTTAAAAGGTGCTTCTTCAGGTTTAAGGTGAGCTCATAATACAGGAACCATTTTAGTGAGGAAACGGTTTGTTGTTTGGTTGTGCTTGACATAACCTGACTGAGCATGACTGTGGTTTTTAGCAATACTGGCCCATCCCTTTGTTACACTGGCATGGCGCTTAAAGGCTGGGTAACCAGGTACTGTGTCTCCAAACAAAAAAGGGAAGAATGGGTTCAGAAGATGTGTGATTCTGGCATTAAGAAACACATATTACTTAACATAAAGGCTTGAACTGGTCACAGCAGGCGCTGCCCTTGTGACATAGCTCACTCAGTTTGGGCGTTTTTGTGCTGGAACAATGAAATGTTGGATTATGTTAAGATAGTGAAGATAGTTTGGGATTTTGTGTGGGGGCGTAAGCGTAAACTGGCGTAAGCGTAGCGGTAAGCGTATCGACCCATTTCCGTTTCCGGTGTTAGCGGTGTTTGTGTGGTGGTAGCGCTTTTTTCTCTGCTCTCGCTAACTACCATATAACGTAATTATATTTCAGTAAGTTTGCCTAAGCACCAATAGTTCTTTCCATCTTGGGTGACTGCTGTTCTGTCTTATAGCGGATGTAACAAAGGTTCCGGTGGCTCTACCGTACTTTTGTTTAGCCGTTAGCGACTTTAACAGCTAGCGATGGCTTCTCCCTCTCGCTCTCCTGCTCTTTCTTGCTCGGTGTGTCTGATGTTTAGTTACTCCTCTGCCTCCTTTAACGGTAGTGGTATGTGTAACAAGTGTAGTTTGTTTCTAGACATGGAGGCGAGGCTCAGTGCGTTAGAAGCTCGGCTCCGCACCGTAGTAGAGCAGCCCTTAGCTAGGCTAGCTAAGTGTAGCCAGTCCCAGGTAGTCGGTGCGGACCGACCTGAGTTAGCTGATAGCCGTCCCCCCCCTTCCCCCCCTCCGGCCTCTCCTGAGCAGCCAGGAAAAGGAAGCTGGGTGGCTGTCCGAGGGAGGAATAGCCGTAAAAAGTCTAAGCACCTAGTGTCCCCTCAATCTGTTCGAGTAGCTAACAGATTTTCCCCACTCAGCGAGCCACCCGCTGAGAAGCCTACCCTAGTAATAGGTAGCTCGATTCTGAGGAATGTGAAGCTGAACACCCCAGGGAGTGTAGTTAAGTGTATTCCTGGGGCCAGAGCGGGCGACATTGAGTCTTATTTGAAACTTCTGGCTAAGGGTAGACGTAGATACAGTAAGATTGTTATCCACGTAGGCGTTAATGACTCCCGGTTACGTCAGTCAGAAGTCACTAAGTTAAATGTGGAGTCAGTTTGTAGATATGCTAGAACAATGTCGGACACCGTAGTTTTCTCTGGCCCCTTGCCCAACCTGGTTAGTGATGACATGTTTAGCCGCATGTCATCTTTCCGTCGATGGCTGGCGAGGTGGTGCCCAGCCAATGATGTGGTCTTTGTGGATCACTGGCAGTCTTTCTGGGGAAGACGTGGCCTGATTAGGAGAGACGGCATCCATCCCACGGGGGAGGGAGCCGCTCTCATTTCTAGAAACCTAGCCAACATTGTTAGCAGACTAGATCGGTGACAGTCCAGGGTTGAGAGGAGGAAGCGGAGTTGTAATGTAACCCTCTTCTCTGCTCCTCCATTCCAGGAGTTATTTAGTGAAAAACCTATAGAGACGGTGTCTGTCCCCCGGTCATTTAAATTTTTTAAATTAAGGGTAAACAGAGGAGTTGTCTATAGAAACCTCATAAAAGTTAAAACTACAAGAGAAATAGTGCATGCAAATAAGAGAGTAAAATGTGGACTCTTGAATATCAGATCTCTCTCTTCTAAAGGTGTGCTTGTAAATGAACTCATATCAGATTATAAGATTGATTTATTTTGATTTATTTTGTCTTACTGAAACCTGGCTGGGTGATGGAGAATATGTGAGCCTAAATGAATCCACCCCTCCCAGTCACAGGAATACTCACATTCCTCGAAGCACAGGTCGAGGAGGTGGAGTTGCAGCTATCTTTGACTCCAGTCTTGTAATCAGCTCTAAAGCTAAATTGAACTATAACTCTTTTGAAAGCCTTGTTCTGAGTCTTTCCCACCCAAGCTGGAAATCACTGCAACCTATTCTATTTATTATAGTGTACCGACCACCCGGTCCATACTCTGAATTCTTATCTGAATTTGCAGAGTTTTTGTCAACTTTAGTCCTTAAAACGGACAAAGTAATTATTGTAGGGGACTTTAATATCCATGTGGATGTTGAGAATGACAGCCTCAGTACTGCATTTATCTCTCTGTTAGATTCCATTGGCTTCTCTCAGAGTATTCATGAACCGACTCACTGTTTTAACCACACCCTTGATCTTGTTCTGGTGTATGGTATTGAAATTGAACATTTAATAGTGTTCCCACATAATCCGTCTTTATCTGACCACTGTTTGCTAACTTTTGAGCTTTTACTGCTGAATTACCCTCCACTGGGTAAAAATGTCTACTCAAGATGCCTGTCTGATAGTGCTATAGCTAAATTTAAGGATGTGATTCCATCAGCTCTACATCCATTATCAAGTCGTACAGAAACAGAGGACTCTTATGTTAATTTCAGTCCTTCCCAAGTTGATCATCTTGTTGATAGTGTTGAAGGCTCGCTGCGAACAGCTCTTAACGCTGTAGCCCCCCTAAAGAAGAAAATTCTTAAACAAAGACGGTTAGCTCCATGGTATACTAGTGAAACCCGCAAATTAAAGCAGATATCTCGGAAACTTGAGAAGAACTGGCGTTCAACCAAGCTGGAAAAGTCTCGTTTATCTTGGCAAGATAGTCTTAAAGCTTATAGGAAGGCCCTCCGTGATGCCAAAGCAGCATATTACTCGTCTTTAATTGAGGAAAATAGGAACAATCCCAGGTTTCTTTTCAGCACTGTTGCCAGGCTGACTGAGAGCCACAGCTCTATTGAATCAAGTATTCCAATAGCTCTCACTAGCCATGACTTCATGAGCTTCTTTAACGATAAAATTCTAGCTATCAGGAACAAAATCCACCAAGACTTGCCCTCAACTAGCATCGACTTATCTTTAAACTCAGTAACTGTAGGACCAGAACCAGTTATATGTTTTGACTGTTTTGCTTCCCTCAATCTTTGTCAACTAACTTCAATCATTTCTTCATCCAAACCTTCAACTTGCCTCTTGGATCCCATCCCGACTAGGTTGCTTAAAGAAGTCCTACCCTTAGTCGGTACTTCTCTGCTAGACGTGATCAATCTGTCCTTATTAACAGGCTATGTGCCACAGTACTTTAAAGTTGCTGTAATTAAGCCTCTTTTGAAAAAGCCTAACCTGGACCCAGATGTTTTAGCCAACTATAGACCTATATCCAACCTTCCATTCATCTCCAAGGTCCTGGAGAAAGCAGTAGCCAAACAGCTGTGTGACTATCTACATAGCAATAGCTTGTTTGAGGATTTTCAGTCAGGATTTAGAGCTCACCATAGCACAGAGACCGCACTGGTGAAAATTACTAATGACCTCCTAATGGCATCAGACAAAGGACTCGTCTCTGTCTTGGTTTTATTAGATCTTAGTGCTGCTTTTGACACCATTGACCATCAGATCCTACTACAGAGACTGGAACATTTCATCGGAATTAAAGGAGCCGTTCTAAGTTGGTTTAGGTCCTATTTATCAGATCGGTTTCAGTTTGTGCATGTTAACGATGAGTCCTCCATGCATGCCAGAGTTAGCCACGGAGTTCCGCAAGGATCCGTTCTCGGACCAATCCTCTTTACTTTATATATGCTTCCTTTAGGTAATATTATCAGGAAACACTCTATCAACTTTCATTGCTATGCAGATGATACTCAGTTATACCTATCGATCAAGCCAGATGAAACTCATCAGCTAGCTAAGCTTCAAATGTGCCTTCAGGATGTTAAAACCTGGATGACCTGCAATTTTCTAATGTTAAACTCAGCTAAAACTGAAGTTATTGTTCTAGGGCCTAAACACCTTCGTGACGCATTATCTAGAGATATAGTTTCCCTGGATGGCATCGCCCTGGCCTCCAGCACCACTGTGAGAAATCTTGGAGTTATCTTCGATCAGGACATGTCGTTTAACTCTCACATTAAGCAAATTTCAAGAACCGCCTTCTTTCACCTTCGTAATATTGCAAAAATTAGGAGCATCCTGTGTAAAAATGATGCAGAAAAACTAGTCCATGCATTTGTTACTTCTAGGCTGGATTACTGCAATTCCTTGTTATCAGGGTCTTCAAAAAAGTCCATTAGGACTCTTCAGCTGATCCAGAATGCTGCAGCACGTGTTCTTACAGGAACCAGAAAAAGAGATCATATTTCTCCTGTCTTGGCTTCTTTGCACTGGCTTCCTGTTAAATCCAGAATAGAATTTAAAATCCTTCTCCTTACGTATAAAGCTCTTCATGGTCAGGCCCCATCTTATCTTAAGGAGCTTTTAGTACCTTACTGCCCTACCAGAGAACTGCGCTCCCAGAATGAAGGGTTACTGGCAGTTCCTAGAGTCTTGAAAACTAGAATGGGCGCTAGAGCGTTCGGCTATCAGAGTCCTCTTTTGTGGAACCAGGTTCCAGTTTGGGTCCGGGAAGCAGACACCGTCTCTATATTTAAGAGTAGGCTTAAGACTTTCCTTTATGATAGAGCTTATAGTTAGAGTAAGTCCACCCCTGGTTGTGCTGCTATAGGCCTAGACTGCCGGGGGAGGCATCATGATGCACCGAGCTCCCCTTTCCTTTCTCTCTCTCCCTCCCGGTGCAACCTCATTCCATTAACAATGTTACTAACTGGACTCTCTCCCTTCCCCGTAGTCGTGTGCTTTCTCGTCCCCCTTCTCTCTTCTCTCTCTTCCTAACACTTTCTGCAGATATTCCTGGCTCTGGAGCTGTGGGGTCTGGATCTGTGGTTGGGAGTCTCCTCCTATCACTTCCTGCAGGTGTTCCTAGAGCTGTGGAGTCTGGATCTGTGGTTGGGAGTTTCCTGCTGCCCCCATGTTCCTGCTCATCATTAGCATTAATATCATTGCCATTTTTAATCTATTCTACGTGTTGCTGTGTTGGCTGCCCCTCTCTGCTCCTTCTGTCCTTCTCTCGCCCTCTCTCTCTCTCTTGCTCTCTCTTTCCCCTCACCCCCAACCGGCCGAGGCAGATGGCCGCCCACCCTGAGCCATGGTTCTGCTCAAGGTTTCTGCCTGTTAAAAGGAAGTTTTTCCTTGCCTGTGTCGCCTAGTGCTTGCTCATGGTGGGAATTGTTGGGTTTCTGTAGTTAACTTCAGAGTAGGGTCTGACCTGCTCTGTTTGGAAAGCGCTGTGAGACAACTGTTGTTGTGATGTGGCGCTATATAAATAAAATTGAATTGAATTGAATTGAATTGTTACATCCTGTGTTACGGTTCACATGTTTTTCTCTGTTTTATGGCGATTTGTGTCGGCGACATAAATCTTTTTGGGTAAATAAATGTTCACATTCCTTTTATTAAATGAGCATCTTCCAGCAGCAGCCTAATGAGATAAGACCTAAAACCGGGGTTGGGGTGGGGGTGGGGTATTCTCTTCCACTAAGATTGAATTTGAACAACATCTGGCTTTTGGCGCTTTGGGCCGTTGTCATAACATCTATCCCAAGCTGCTTGATAGTATGTTGCACGCAGTTGTGTTATTTCTGGCTAAATCATTATCAAGTCAATGACAAATGGTAAATCTGAATGACACACAAGACAAGTCATTTTCTTGACTGATGGCGGTACGTTCTTGTGTTTAGTCCTCCTCCTCATCACAGGAGCGCCTTCACCAGCTACCTTACCAGCCGACACAAGATGAGCTCCACTTCCTTTTCAAGCACTTTCGCAGCACAGACAGTATGACAGACGAAGATGGACGGCCCACAACTGTCATCAGACCACGATCTCGAAGCCTCAGGTACTTTATACGGATCTCAAATTGCAGTCGAACTGTTCCATTTACCTTTTAAATCAACGCACAGGTATTTGTATATTTGACTGACAAGTACACAATCCAACTTGGAGGCCTTAAGTCAGAGGTACCTGGTGTTTTGGTATGAATTCATATAGGGTAAAATGTGAAAGGCCAAGATTTCACCACATGGAAAGGAAAAGAAGAAAATGATTCTGTCATTAAAAGATAAAAAGGGGACCTACGTACTTCATGTAATTACTGCGTTTGTCACACAAGTGTTGCTTTGTTTTAAGACCAGTCTAAACATCAAATGTTTGTTTGTTGGCCATTCAATAAATTAATTAGATTGATATTTTATGAAGCTTTAAAACCCTAATACCTCTGAAGGGATTAACTTGACACTGGTTATGCAGGATAAAATCCCAGATTATGGTTGATGACCCCGACAGTGATTGCAGCTTTAAACTGCGCATGCACTCCTCGACATTGCTGCATATAATCAGGCCGTCAGATGTCAAAATGCCTCTGCACCAGTTTGACCAAAATATATCCACCAGAACAGGCAGCTTTTGGCATCTCAGGGGCTTTTTGATTGACTGCACATGCCTGTGGGTCGGCAGGCGGGTGGAGACTGCAGAGCTGTGTGATTTTGACAACTTTTGTCTGTTGGCTCTGCTCGGTGCTGTTTGTGCGAGAACACAGAGCTTGAGTGCTCCGTGTTCTGGCACCATGGTGCGCCGTGTGTGGGCGTGCTAGCTAACAGAGCGCCTCGGGGATGAAGCTGTCGAACTGTAGTCGAGGGTGGGATGCAGATGATGCAGAGGGCCGTGGCTAGCTGCCGCAGTGCTCGTTGGGCAGCGGCTGTCCAGAGTAACAGAGGTGTCTTTCATGACAGAGAGAGGGATCGCATGTGATGGGTTTTTCCCCTCCATCCTTTCGCTTTGAGGCTTTCAGTGGCACCGGCCTGAGCGCTGAACTCGTGTTGCAGCGAATGACTAATTGGTGTTGATGATTCACACTGTTTGGTTGGAAGAAAGTGGCTTGTTGAGAAAGAGAGGCTTACCAGCTGAACAGCGAAAATCCACCTTGAGTGCATCTTTAGTATCATAGAAGCTGTTTTTGGTGGGCAGTGGTCAGTAGACCTGGATAAAAAATGAGTTGATGTTTGTTTGGTGAACTTATCTGACTGCTAGTCTAATCAGATGATTCTCATGGCCAAAACAACATAACCACCGGGTTCTAACTAGTGTGGGATCGATTGGGCTTTGTGTTGATGAGTGTGGGAGTGTTGATCAATATGAATTATGTTCCTCTTATAGCCCGGGGCGACCTAGTGTCTCTGTGGACCACGAGATAGTGATGATGAACCATGTGTACAGGGAACGTTTTCCAAAGGTAAGGACTTTGTTTGAACATTAAACACCATATTCTTCCCTTTGTGGCTCGCACACGTTTCGTGCATCTTCAGAGAGCAGGAATCCAAATTAGTGGCCCTTGTTTTAACTGCGTTTGTGTGCTGACTTGCAGGCCACAGCGCAGATGGAGGAGCGCCTACTGGAGATTGTCACCCACTGCTCTCCAGACAGCTCCCTCCCGTTGGCCGACGGAGTGCTTGGCTTCATCCAGCACCAGTTGGTTGAGCTGGTCCGAGACTGCCTGGACAAGTCCCAGAAAGGCCTGGTTACTTCAAGATATTTTGCTGAGTTGCAGGAGAAGCTGGAAAAGCTGCTTCATGAGGTGAGAGGACAGCTGGCTGATGTGTATCACGCAGATATAATGCCAAAGAGTGAAGTCATATAAAAGTGAGCACACAAGTTTGTGCTGAAGCGGAGCCCCTTAGGAGGTCCCTCCCATTTGTTAAAATGGAGAATAAAAAGGGAATGCTTGAGCCTAAATGAAATCCACTATGAGGCAGACATCTGATAAGCAAAGGCAAGCACAGTGGATCTGCCTGTTGAAATGCTCGAGTATGGTTAGAGGCACTTTTGTCATAAGTTTTTGTATGTGCTGAGATAAAATACTGGTTTCTATAGCAACCTCCTGCCTTGTCTCTGCATGCCGTCAGACAGAAGGCATGGCCAACTTTCTGTACCTCCAGCTGAACTGATAAGTCTGTTCCCATGCTGTCTGGAAAAAGAGCATTCATCCACAGACACAAGCTGCAAGCTCAGCTTGGTTCATTTTTCTTTATTGTCTAAGGACAAGCAGTTCTGTAAAAGTTTTGTTTTCAACCCTTATTGACTGATTCTTTGCTTGGTTTTGTCTTCAGCTGTACAGAGTCATTTTTCTGTAGTTTAACCTAGAGTCATTGTCTGTTAACCTATTCTGTGAAGCTGGAGGTTTGAAATAGAGAGTACACTGTTCACTTGTCACCACAAAGTAAAGCCGAAAACAAAAGAATCTGTATAAAATGTGAGTTAATTTTACAGTGTAGCATGTGATTGCGTTTTTCCTTTTAATACACCCAGTCAACACCAGCCCTGTGACTTGAAGTAACAACACCTTCTTTCTTAGTTCCACAGCACCACGGTTTTGTTGTCTTGCATTCTCAGGATCAGGCTATGACCCATATAAACTTGAATTGAATCAGTGATTATAATGACCAACGGGAATTGTAGGGAAGTTGAATTTTTGAGGTAATTATCTGGATTAAGCAGAGATACACCATCTTCATCCCCCGTTTCTGCTGTTGATGTCAAATCAGGCAAAGGAGCATATGAATTTGAATTTAATGTGTAGTTTACGACACAGCTACTGTTTTACTAGTAAACATGGAATTTTATCAGCCTGCTTTTAGCTTTTATATTTACTGGTAACACTGTTATCTGGGAGCAGGGCACTTAATGTATATTTCCCATTTCAATCAAATGGAATGCTTAGCTCAAGTTTCCCCCCCCCCCCAAAGGTTTAGGTATTGACACACTCTCTCTGACCTTTTAATCAGTTACATTCCACTGACACAACTAATCTCTGATGAATAACTTTGCAGATCCAATTTTTCTATTTTAAATTAAAACTGAAACCCCCAAAAATATTTTTCCTTATTACATGTATATTTTGTCAAGAAATCTATGTTATGCTCAGTTTCTGCTTCTCCCCCTGACCCTGCTTCCTCACTGTTCTCCAGGCATATGAGCGCTCTGAAAGTGAGGAAGTCACTGTCATCACCCAGCTGGTGCGGAAGATCCTCATCATAATCTCCCGACCGGCTCGTCTTCTTGAATGTCTGGTGAGCTGTTTTCTAGTTGAAAACCAGATTATTCTTATTAAAAGGGACAGAAATCTCTTTTCTCCAAAGCAGGACATGTAAATTGTTTCAGCATCATAAAGCAGCTTTTTAAAGATGCATTTGAAAACACACATGAAGAGTGTGTTTATGTTTTTTTTTTTAAGCATCACGTGAAGTTATACATGTGATATGCCTCCAGTATTACATTTGTGTATTCAAACACACCATTGTGACATCTAGAGCCAAATCAGAAGCATCATCATCGTATTTACTGCATTTGTTACCACAGTTAATTGAGTTAGGATTGTTGTGGATAAATAATAGCAAGTTTAAAAACATGGAAACCAGGATTTAAGACTGTAAGCTGAGAGATAAATTGAATACATTTAGAATCTTACCTTTGATGTAAATGATCCATTTACCATCACTGTTTCACACTCTGGGAGGACACTGACCTCAAACTCTCCACTCTAAATGCAGGAGTTTGACCCAGAGGAGTTTTATCACCTACTTGAGGCGGCAGAGGGTCATGCCAAAGTGGGCCAGGGAATCAAGACCGACATTCCTCGGTACATCATTAGCCAGCTGGGCCTGACCCGGGACCTGTTGGAAGGTAAAGGAAATCTCAGTAATCGAGCTTAAACTCCCAGTTGAATGCAACTTAAATGTGGAGTTTTAAGTGGTCTTTGTATTGGTAAATTGTAGATCTGATGATCTTGTGTGTTCTTTGGCAAACTGTGATGGCTAATTCAAGTAATTTTTTGTTATAAATTATTTCTGACATGAGTGCACATCTTATATAGAAAATATTCTTTAGCCAGAGTTGGCCCACAGTTGCAGTTTATTCTGGAAATATTTAGCATAAATTTGCACGTCACTTTGCTTTCTTAAACATTTATAATTCTGTTAGAAGTTAGAATGGACTCACTGGAGAGTTTCTAAACACTGGGAAACCGGAGCAATAGATGTATCATTTTTGTGAAATTAAACACTGCCTCTTTCCGCTGCTTCTAGGCATCGCACAGTATGACACCAGTCATTCTATGTCAGTGGAAACAGACGCTACAGTAGAGGTAAAATGTTTCCTTAAATGATTCTTGGTGTTAATGTTGCTTTCATTTTTATTTTTTAAATTTTATTTAAAGCTTTTTTGCGTTATTCAAATGTGTTTCCTGAATTGCAGTGACCCATTTCAGTGTAGAATAGTACGATGTATATTTTAAATCATTGTTCTTTTAGTTAAGCATGTTACAGGAAGCCAGCATTTAAGATTGAAATTAATAACACATTAGCACATTAACACATTAGAATAACACCCCTGTAAATAGTGATAAGAAGGTAAGTTGAATAATATTTAAGTACTGGCATTTTAAATGTGGTATTCAGATCATTACACAACCCGTTCTTTCTGGTAGTGTCATGATCCACTGTAGAAGAAAACAGAAAAGTTATAGGCTCTAACTGAACTTGTCAATATGTTTTTCTTTTTGGTAAATACTGATATTTTCCTGTCAACAAAAGGACATTTAAATCGTGTTTCTCCTTCATTTTCAGAATAAGGCCCCACAGACCCTGACTCCAACTCGAAGGAAACCTCTTGAAAGTGATTTTGAGACCATTAAACTCATCAGTAACGGAGCTTACGGGTAAGAAAAATAAATACATTTTTCACTCATCTTTTCTTGATATTGAACAGCAAAAGTACTCCTGAAGCACCAATTGAAGTTTTTACTTCAATTTACAGGGCGGTGTATCTTGTCCGCCATAAGGAGACCCGCCAACGCTTTGCCATGAAAAAGATCAACCGTCAGAACCTGGTGCTGAGGAACCAGATCCAGCAGGCCTTTGTGGAGCGGGACATCTTAACATTTGCTGAGAACCCCTTTGTTGTTTCCATGTTCTGCTCTTTTGAGACCCGACGCCATCTCTGCATGGTCATGGAGTATGTGGAAGGTAAATGCATTGAGCCTGATGCACCCAGTTCATCTTTATCATTTTAACATTTAATTTCAACCCGAGCGGTTTAAAGAAAGCAGCAAGCTCCACACTTTGTGGCACGAGCAGGAAACAGCATTATTTCCAGCATTCAATAAGCTACTTGATGTTATTTTCATGGTTTTCTGTTTTGTTTAGGTGGAGATTGTGCCAACTTACTCAAAAACATGGGCCCACTACCTGTAGAAATGTCTAGGATGTACTTTGCTGAAACAGTCCTGGCACTGGAATACCTTCACAACTATGGCATTGTGCACCGTGATCTTAAACCTGACAAGTGAGAACAAAAACTAACTTTTTGCATGACCTTTGTGTATGGTGCTGTTGAAATGAAACTGGTTATTACATGCATAAGGAATCCAGTTTTTTATCCTTCCTTTTATGCTTCTGTCTAGGACAGATTTGGTGAAATTATAAATGTGCCATTTATGAGTAATTTTTCCCCTCCAAACAGCTTGCTGATCACCTCGATGGGCCACATCAAGCTCACAGACTTCGGTCTGTCTAAAATCGGCTTAATGAACATGACAACCAACCTGTACGAGGGTCACATGGAGAAGGACACGAGAGAATTTATAGACAAACAGGTGAGAGAGGTTTTGGATTGAAAGGATAAATATAAAACTAATGAAGGCAGCTGAACTTTGACCTCAGCTCATCTCTGGTGGTTTGCCTCTGCAGGTGTGTGGGACCCCAGAGTATATTGCGCCTGAGGTTATCCTCAGACAGGGCTATGGAAAGCCAGTTGACTGGTGGGCAATGGGAATCATCCTGTATGAATTTCTGGTCGGCTGTGTTCCGTTTTTTGGAGACACCCCTGAGGAGCTTTTTGGACAAGTTGTCAGTGGTTAGTGCTGATATGTGTTATTCTGCTGTTGTGTTTGTTTTCTTGCTGTGGACAGGACATCTATTAAAGATTAGAAAATTAGAATATCATTTTAGTCCAGAGGGAAATTGTAAAGATTATACTTTGTTACTGCATTCATACCAGAGCAGGTTCATATACTATACTGTTCTCAGATACTTGTGACCTAGCAGCTGCATTCACTTAATGTGAGATTACTGCAACTTTTAAGTTAATGAGTGATTACCCTTTTGTTTGGTGATTTCACATTTGGCCTCTTATTTCTCTGATGGTCAGATGAAATAATTTGGCCAGAGGGAGATGATGCCTTGCCTCCTGATGCCCAGGACATGATCACCCGACTGCTGCATCAGAGCCCTTTAGAGCGACTTGGAACGAGTATGATTCATACTTTTGGATAATAGCTATTCCCACAAATTGATCAAATTTAAAGTCAAATTTTAGCTGCAGTAAAATTATAAACTTTAGAACAACTAATGCAAAAGTCTGGTTTAAATTTACCAAACATGATTAAAGGAGAAGTCCCTTAAACTGGTTTAATTGCATGCAGGTGGAGCCTCAGAGGTGAAGCAGCACCCCTTTTTCCTGGGTCTGGACTGGAATGGACTCCTCCGTCAGAAAGCAGAGTTTATTCCTCAGCTGGAAGCAGAGGATGACACCAGCTACTTTGACAGTAAGTCACAGGGAATGTCAAAACCTGTTGCATGGGATTATAACGTGGATGTAATTTTCTTATACATCTTGTATATATTTTTGTGTATCCAGCTCGTTCAGATCGCTACCATCATTTGGCATCTGATGAAGACGAGGAAACCAATGATGATGAATCATCACTAGAAATACGGCAGTTTTCTTCCTGGTCGCATCGTTTCAGCAAGGTAAACACTGCTGTTGTCCACTGAAGCCAAACCAAAAACTACAATAAAAGACTGCTTCCAGACATCAGTCCACCTACTCATGTCACTCACTCTCTCATTTGGTCTCCAAGGTTTACAGTAGCACAGAACATCTGGCGACACCATCCAACCTGAGCTTCTCTTCGGACCGGAGCCACAGTGAGGACAAGGAAGACCGCGGGGATGTGGGAGGACTGGTTCCTTCGCCGGGCCTAGCAGATTGCAACGTGGAAAACAGGCAGTCTGGGCGTATGGCCAGGTAGCACGAAATGCATTCCATTCTTTGTGAGGAGCTCTTTGTCTTGGCTTTCATTAAGCCGTTTTTTTTCCAGGTTGGGCATGTGATGTTTCCACTGAACATATTACCTGTACCTGTTGTTACAACACTTGGCCGATTCCCTGTCGTTTCAACCAGTTGATCTTAAACCAGATGGTACGTTCATGACGATGGTGTTTGACTCTCTGCAGCCTTCGCCCTCGCGCTTCTTCCAGCTCCTCCCAGTCTGACAGAAGCAGCAGTCCACTGGTGATGAGCAGCACTCACAGCCTGGAGACGATGCCCCGCTTTGCCCTCTCCACTGATGATGAGGGTGAATCCAGTTATCTCTCATTATTGTTCACCATTTCCAGATGCTTCAATCAGGAGCACTTACAATAGGCTCATTAACAATTTAAATTACCTTTAATCTCTGCTCCCCGCAGCTGAGGTGGTGGTGTCGAACTTACGGAGGATCCGAATTCGCAGCAACAGCACGGGGGCCAAACACTCATCCCCCAAGGAACCCGCGGGCCCTCGACGCTTCGGTAACCAGCTGGAGACACCGGACAGACAGAGGCTTTCCTGTGGAGGGAAGGTTCCCAAGTCGGCCTCCGTCTCAGCCCTGTCCCTCATTATTACTACGGGTACGCTGAAGGTTCTATCTGAAAATCAAGCAGAAGTCATTTTAGGATTTGGTTCATGTTTTAGCTACAGTTCATGGTTTCAGTGGAAATAGACCGTTATAAAAACCATGGACAGAGCTTTTTGATGCATGCATGCAGATCCGAAACGGGCCTAGATTTAAAGTTAATATGTGTTTCTCTGTTTCAGATGACTCACCCGGTGGCCTCCAGCCCTGTCCCATTTCCCCACGCTCGCTGTCCTCAAACCCCTCATCACGTGAGTCGTCCCCGAACAGGGACCTGTCGTTCAGCCCCAGCAGCCTGAAGCCACCCATCATCATCCACACTTCAGGGAAGAAATTCGGCTTCACTCTGCAGGCCATCCGGGTTTACATGGGTGACAGCGACGTGTACACTGTGCATCACATGGTGTCGGTGGGTGTGACGATAAGTCTTTCCTGCATAGCGAGACAAGCGACTGAAATGATTTGTTGTGGTTCAAATATCAAGTGTCAAAAAGTTGTGCGTGTTTATTTTGAGAATGCAAACAAGGAGCGAGCACTATAAGGAGGTGGTTATGTAATGCTCAAATCAAAATCCTCTCCTCGTTCTTCTAAAAGAGTGTGGAGGAGGGCAGCCCGGCTCATGAGGCAGGTCTTCGCACAGGAGACCTCATCACCCACGTAAACGGAGAGTCGGTCCAGGGCCTGGTCCACCCGGAGATGATTGAACTGCTGCTGAAGGTACAACACACCAGCGTATGGCAGCAGATTTTTTAAAAATGTTTTTGCCTTTATGATAAAGCAGAAATGGAGATTTTTCCCCTTAATCTTATCTCTTGACTAAGATAATCTTTCTCCTGAAATGTGCAGAGTGGCACCAAGGTGACTCTTCAGACCATAGCGCTTGAGAACACTTCAATCAAAGTCGGTCCAGCTCGGAAGAGTAAACACAAGGGGAAAATGGCCCGCCGTAGCAAAAAGAGCAAGAGGAGAGATAATTATGACAGGTGAGGATCAAGAGCTTTGTTTTTTGGCAGCTCTGCCGTTTGAGTGGATGGCAATGAGATATGTTGTCTGTCTCCCCCTAGTGTTACAAAAAAATAACCCATATTCATGAAATGCTTACATTTTTTCCAAACATTTTTAATTTTGCTACAGGAAACGTTTAGTAACCCCTGAGAAATGTCTCCCTCTTGTCCCTTGTCTCAGACGGCGGAGTATCCTAAAGAGACTCTCCAAGCAGAGCACAGTCATGCACAGCAGTCGGAGCTTTTCTTCAGGTCTTCATCACTCAGTTTCCTCAAGTGAGAGCCTTCCAGGCTCCCCGACGCACAGCCTCTCCCCCGGCCCCTCCACGCCGTGTAGGAGCCCTGCACCTGACCACCAAGACGCCGGTGAGTCATGCGTTTCAGGATGCATTTGGGTTTTTTAAGGCAGTAGTCTAAAGGGTCTGTCCGGGGGTATTTTGCGGCTGAATTAACTGCAGTCATCTTTAGGTATATTCATTTGTCGATCCATTCTGTCTGCATCAAACGGTGTTGCTTTTGTTCCGTAGACAACAACTCTCCTCAGAGCACATCTCCTTGCTCCAGCTCTCCCAGTTCTCCAGCCACACACATACGACCCAACTCTCTGCACGGCCTAGGCTCCAAACTCAGCACGCAGCGCTTCAATAAGGTGGGCCGCAGGAAGTCAACCAGCAACATCCCCCCCTCCCCTCTGGCCTGCAGTTCCTCCTCCAACCAGCCGCTCTCCCCACAGCGCTCCCCCTCCCCGCTGCCGGGCTACGCCAAAAGCCTTCACGCTTACCACGGCAAAACCCTGTCACCCCCCACCATCGTGAGACACATCGTCCGGCCTCGCAGTGCCGAGCCTCCCCGATCTCCTTTGCTGAAGAGGGTGCAGTCAGCCGAGAAGCTGTCTGGATTTTATCACGGCGAGAAGAAGGCTTACGCCCCCCGCAGGCACACTCTGGAGGTTCCTTTTTATGGCGAGTGCGACTTGCTCGGTGACTCTGAGCTGGAGGGCGGAGGCAGGAACTTTTACATCGGCGCCGACCACAGCAGACCGGGGGGCTACATAAGCAGCCAGAGATTACGGGAGTCTGGGACAGAACGCTCGGAGCAGCTGGTCGTGATGCGGAAGCTCAACCTCTCCGAGCGGCGGGACTCCTTTAAAAAGCAGGAGGCCGTTCAGGAGGTGAGCTTCGACGAGCCAGATGAGAAAACCAGCGGCGCTGTGACGGGAACCACCACAATCCCAGGAGTCCAAACGCAGCCCCTGCTGCACAGGACGGCCTGGCCGGTCAGTCGGCCTCAGAGCAGAGAGGTGGCGGAACTGGAAGTGCCAGCGGTGAGGAGGTTCACCCTGGTGCCGCAGATCGCCGTTCAGGGCTCAACAGAGAGCGAGGAGCAGGACGAGTGGGAGCCGTGCTCCGATGAGGAGGACGCCACCGAAGACCCCGAGCTGGAGATCGACCCGTCCCAGCAGCAGACTGGACATCCGCTATCTGACAGCAGCCAGGTGGCTGGAAGCACTCCCACTGGTCATCAGGGTGCTCCAGCATCAGAAAAGACTGAGCGCAGGGAGGACACGCCTAAAAAAGGACTCGTAAGAAAGTGACAGATCACAACTGCGCCCAAATAAACGGCTCAGATGGGATCGGTCAGCTCAGACAGGGTCGGTCAGCTCTGATGTGCGGTGATGCCGAGCTGTGTCCAGTCTGTCCCAGGCGGATTGGAAGTTAAAAGCTTTTTTTTTTTTTTTTTTTTTTTTTTTAAACAAACTGGCTGAAAATGTGGGAAAAGGTTTTACTTGAATTTTGTATTTTGTAAATATTCACAGAGTCCTACAGACTTTGTTGTATTTATTACATTTGTACATAGTATTCAGTGAATAGCAGGTAAAGAGGGAGGTTCTGATTGTTGGAACAGCCAAGGCTCAATAGTTTTGTATTGATGAAATGTAGTTTTATGTTGTTTTTTTGTTTTTTTCTGGGGTTTTTTTCTAAAAATGTCTATTTTTTAATTAAATTCTGGTGGTTTGGATAAAACTGGATTGTTGAAGGACCAAAAGTTAGAGATGTCATAGAGTCAGTTGAGATTCTTCTTTCAGTTTACACGTGGAAACGGATCAGTTAGCCCTTTTAGAGTGATTTAAATTGCAAACATCCACTGTAGCGTTGCTTTAGCCTGGAATGCACTATAACTGGCTGAGGGCCAGTTAAACAAAACAGATTTGTTTTCCATTTCCTGTGCTGTAGTTATTCATGGTCACAGCTTTTTTTTTAAATGTTCTTATTTCCCCTGGCACCAGCCCAACACACTTGAATCTGCCTTGAAGGGTTCGATGTGTCGTAATATTGAAGCAGTGTCCTCATAAACTTCATCACCGATGTTTCAACGGCAGTTCAAATGTATCGGATATTAAATCAACATAAAATGTTTCTCTTCTCTAGCGTCATTTTGCAACACAATACCAGACTGATTATTAAACTTCTCTTGGAGACTGTTACAGCCCGTTTCACGGGCGAAGAGAGAAGCTGTGAACAACCAGACTGAGCTGTGTGTAGTCCTCAGAGATAACCACAGGATTGTCTTTTTGTTTTCCTTGAAGCAGTTTGGTTCTTAGATTAAGTGTCTCATCCCTGGGTTTTCTTTTGTTTTTCCCCTGGAAATGTTTGCCTTCATTTTACTCTATGCTGTTGTGATGGACACCTTGGATAAATGACCCGTTCCTACATTGTGTGCCGTGTAGTCATGTTTACACCAGAGGGGAAAGTGCACTATTTTGACATGTATTTTTGCTAAATGTGACAGGCAAACTGAGAAAAAAGTAAAGGGACACATTTAAGGTAAATCAAAAACCCAGGGCTTCTTTGAAGAAATGTTCTTTGTCTTTGTTTTGTACAAATATTGATGTATATTTTGGTATCAATTCTGTGTACAATTCTGAATGTGTTGGAGGATGTAATGCTATACACACTATGAAAGTGACAGTTTGTTGAACAAGATGTATTGTGTTTTTTTTTTTTTTAATGAAGTTGGGATTCAGAAGAGCATTTAACATTTTCAGGTTAGATGGACCTCACGTTTTTTTTACCACGACAGAGATAGACCATGGAGGATGTGCTTATTTTTTCTTATTCTTTTTTTGGGGGGAATGGGTGTTTCTGGTTTTGTGCAGAGTTTTGGTCTCCTTTTTATGAAACATCAAAATCGTTCATGTGTAACTTTACACATCTGTTCCTCTGCAAAACCTCTCACAATGAGTAAAGTGGACAGATCGCTGAATAGCTCAGTTTTTTTCTGCTGTCTAACAGAATTGTTTACAAGGAGGAAACATGATGTACTGTACTCTTTATATCATGTGGCTGTATATTATACAAATTTCTTCTTTGATACCAAGAAGGAAAATACACAGAATGTGCACACTTGTTTTGAAGTAACCGTTCTTGAAGAGTAATTTAGCACCAAGCTGGGTAGGGTTTTTGTGTTTGCATGCATATAAGTATCACTTTTTGATAACTTTTTTGGGTGAACCTTTTTATAAAGAGTTTTGTTCAGTGAAAAGGGATTAGGTTATTTTTGAGTGACACTGTTAGGCCTATGTAGACGCCTCATTGTAGTTTTCTTAGCACAGAAACTGGTTTGCGATGAGGTAATGGAATTTGTGCACATATGGGACAAGTTTCTAGTGTGGAAGGGAAAGCGCAAGCTGAATGAATAATGAACATAACTCGGTAGCAGTGTTCAAGGCAGATGCGTTTGCCAAAAAGTGCAAAGGTGCCCTGATTTTTAAAAAGGGATGCTGAGCTCTACAGGCTATCACTAAATATATCACTTGGACAAAAACAAAAACAACAAAATATCAAGAGTTGATCTCTTTACAGGTCTCTTCAGAACACCAGGCTTTTTATTTGCATGTAAACATACTTTGTCACTCTGCTGATCTCCACCAATTGAAGGTTTATTGTTTTTGCTGTTGAAACCTGTGGATTCAGCTGGTGCTCAACATACTCTCAAAGAACAAACTGGCAGGTCAAGCTGTTGTACATGTGCACGTGTTCTCCCGTGGACTCTTCTGTTCAGTGCATGCTGCATGAGACAAGCGCACAGCTGTAATGCTTGACTGCATGGTATACCGGCGACGTCGCCATGTACTGTGTTTTTCTTGTGCAAAGAATAAACTTTTTATTTCTCTTTGACTTGACTGGACTTCACTGAAATTTTGCCGTTGCTGACACTGTAGTTGCACACCAAACGTGGCGTTTTAAGTTGCCAACGTTGCTTTAGTACGCAGGTTTGAACATGGATGAATGAGCTGTCAAACACTTCCAGCCTTAAGTTTTACCGTTCACTTATCTTAAAATGATCGATTCATAAGATTTTAAATGAATATTAATTCAGAATAGAGTTTACAGAGAGAGATTACATAAACTTTATAATATATCTTGCATTGCGTTATATAAAATTAATCTGTACAAGACAAAGCATGAAAAATTTTATGAGCCGAACCCCTTTTATTTTCTTTTTTTTTTTAAAGAGATGCTTGTTTTTGACTCCATTCCCCTGTGCTGGATTCTTATTTTTGGCATGTAACAGGTAAGAATAAAGACTCATTCACCTCTACACCGGGTCTAGAACAGAGCCCTGTACCTATTACAGAGTTTTTGCAAAAATTTTGCAAAATCACCTTTTGCCGTAGAAAACCTACTTTTACGTTCCTTCTTTGAATTCTGTGTTTCTCTTCATGGCCACCAGGTGTCAGCACAAGGCTGATGCGACAAACTTTATGACACCATAGAAGAAGTCCGTGTCCTTCACAACAGCTAAGATGGCGACAGCTACTAAAATCATTCAAAGGCTACGAAATCTTTTATCCGGGGTAAGCAAACTAACGACTGTCGAGCTTTGAAATTAAAGCAGGACGTGTCCTGTATTTACAAGGAAAAACTCAGTGGCAATAAACCATTAGTTATCCACAGCTTTCTTTTGAGATCCACGTCGAGCTAGCAGCGCTTGTCTAAACTGTACGTTTGAAGGTTTTAGTTATTTATAAGAATTCAGCACATTAATCTTGTCTTCGGTTTTTGTTTTCAGCATGATCTACAGGCCAAACTGCAGCTGCGATATGGGGAGATAGCAAAGAGGTGAGATGTCGTTAGTAAAAGACTCTTAGCATCCTAAACTTGGGAACCCTTTGTAATAGTCACATACTTTTCAGACTTTTATTCCTTTCAGGATCATTGTGCCACTTAACATTTGGTCACAGGCCTCGAAAACACCCCCTGTAAATACGTTTTACTTTATTTACTGATGCATCTGCTAGGCGTGGTGTTTTTCTTTTTTCTGTGTATTTGTGTATTTGTACTGCTCATGTTAAAGGTGAATTTCCCCATTGTGGGATCGATAATCTAATCTAATGAAGCTAGTGTGTCTCTTTCAAAGGAAAAGAGACATGCCCGGAAAATGTGTTATCAGTGCCAACTAAAGCATATGGTTTTACACAGTTATCCAATGAATCTTTTTCTCATTCTTTTACTTAAAAAAATCACATTCGCAGTCTGTATTGTGTCCAGAAACACGCAAAAACACTCTTTCAGGGGTGCAAAGTTTGTGTGAATTAGTAAGAGAAAAACTATCAAATTAACTGCTTCATTCATAGGACACAGCCACCACCTAAACTGCCCGTAGGCCCAAGCCATAAGTTTGCCGGCAACTACTATTACAGCAGAGACGGCCGGAGGGAGTCGGTACCTGCTACCGTTGTGATGTCCACTCAGAAAGCTCTCACTGCTGGCAGGTACATTTGATTGTGCAACTACTTGTTATTAATACCTGATAAAGGCTAAATTCCAGCCTCCTCAATAAACACGGTGGCATCATTTAATGATAATGCACAGTAATCGACTTCATCATATGTCTATGAATCATAGTTTTTACACTTCGTGTCATCTTTTCCTTTGATTGAATCGTTCAGCTGTTGTTTTTTTGTTTTTTTTGTGGTTATCTAGTCAAGTTGCGGAAACCTCCAAGGCCCCAGTGACACCAGGAGCTGTATATGAACCACCAGCTCTCTCTACAGATCAGCCATACCTCTGAGTGACAGGACGAACGTCTTCATCAATTCTCATCTACGTGTGCTGAAGAGCACTGACTCAAAAGTGAACTGTATCTTGTACAAAAGAAAATGTGAATAAAATGTTAACGTTTCCTTGTTTTTGGTTCAGCTCATTTTTTTCTTTAGATGATATTAATGTCAATTGTGGACAAAGATCTTCAGCTGATAGGGAATTTGAAAATACTTTGTAGCAAGGTTTTAATTACAAAGACGAATCCGTGATCTGGATCTTATGAAGAGATTTTTGATCACTACTTAAATGTCAGCTGCTTTAAAACTGAATGGCTTACAGTTACATAATCAGTCATGTAATTGTTGCTCACTTGGGCAGACAAGTTCCCTATCTGATTGCTCCAGCCAGTAGGCTGTGAATGGGTGACTTTCAAATGGTGCATGAAAGGATGTCAGATACAGTATATACAAATCTTTTTTCACTGATTTTTATTTTATCTCTGTACTATCATGCTTTGGGCCTCCTCCTTATCAGCAAAACTCATAGATTGTTTAAACTGTTTACAGGGACGAGTTTGACCTGTTCTGTTGTTTGAGCTGTAACGGGAGAGCTTTAATGCAAATCCAATGAAACAAATATGCTTCATTCAGAGGGGTGATGATCTGGTCTCTAGGCAATGTGTATGTACATTAGGAGAATCTAGCACTTTTTTTAAACAACCATTAAAAAACGTCCTGCGGCATTAGATTATCTGTGATCACACATCTGTTCCTAATGAAATCCTGAGTGAGTGGGAGAGGACCAATCACCAAACAGTTGGACACACATTTATTTTGAATGTTGAATTTTTTTTTTTTTTACAGAAAGTTTGGCATCTTTAAATACAAGTTAAAAGAGCAATTGGTGTAGGTAACATTGAAAAAGGTCAACTGAAAACAGTAAAAAGCTCTATAAAACAAAGTCCTAATAGGAGGGCGGATGCACCGTTGTTTTTATTTATTTAGTCAAACAGAATAATAAACGCTTTATTAATTCATAAACCTGACGCCGTTTGACAGAAAGTTCTCTTACGTCATATAACTGCGCCGCTTGCTCCGTTGCTGTGGAGGACTCGTCGAGCATGGGGCACCTTGGAGGTTTATTTCTTCTGATTGCACCACTCTTTTGGCATAATTTTTTAGGTAGGATGCGGTTGTTGCACGTCTATGTTCATTAAATGACCCATACGCTGGTATTTAATGTTCTGTCCCGCACTGACGAGCTGAAAGCTGTCGGACGGTATCACTTTAAATGAAGTCTCATTTCAGTTCCAACCGCCGCGGTAAAGAACTTGATTGTGCCGTCATCATGAAATATACATGTTATTTTCATTTTTTAAACTACTTAACAAATATGTTACAGAGAAGAAACAATTGACCAGTCATAACACAAATTTTCTTATGTATTTTGATTGAAGGACATTGTTTTTGTAGTCTATCCAGTGACATGCCTGAAAGAACTGTTGGATAACATCTTATTATGTTACATACTGGTCATTTTTCTTGCGTTTTTCCCTGCCATTTGCAGAAGAATGGGAAAAAAAGAGTTTTCATGGAATATTTCCATCGTTCTTTTTCTAATAACACTTGTAATTTGATCAAATATGCTACAAAATGTTCTGTTTTTGCCTGCAAAAAACAAAACAATCCTACCATTTCATAACTATATTGAATAATGGATTTTTTTTTCAGATGGATTCACAGAGTAAATTAAAGCAAATCTATGTTTTCCCGAACATTTAATCCCTCGAACTTTAGGGTTTAAACCAACTCTTGCAAAGGAAATGAATGTTATCGCTATTAATTCTTACATGAATGACTCATCAGTTACATTATAAACAAATGTTTTTACAGTAATAGTAAAGCTCTCAGTTCTGTGTGTTTCAGGAGCTGAGGGTCACTCTTTTCCTGCCTGTCAGGAGCAGCTGGACTTCAGGTGCAGCGATGGCTCGTGTCTCTCCAGGCTGAAAATGTGTGATGGGCACTCGGATTGCGAGGATGGATCAGATGAACGCCACTGCAGTGAGTTGACCACGTGATGACAGCCCTAAGCATAACAATCTGAACACTGCTTTGCCTTTCAATCCACCTTTTAGGATCGAAAAACGAGGGACTCTTTTAGACGTGAAGAGGCAACAAATGCAAATGCGAAGTGATTTGCAAATATCTAATTGATACAGCCTAAAGATGTGAGAACCTTCTTATTTACCCCTTATTTGATTTTTGTAGGAGTTTTAGATGCAGTGAGCAAATTGTGGGGGACAGAGCAAAATCATATTACTATGTATTTGTAACAAATAGATTAATCTGATAAATGTGTTGTGCAAATGTAGCTCAAAAGCATGATGCAGCACCAGCCACTTGGTTTAGACTGGGGATCAGAAGATGACACAAAATTGTCCACCTTTTTTGTCGTCGCTGAAGACATGTAAATGTGGTGTGATGGGCTGAAAGTGTTTATTATTACCATTACTATAAGTTTATTATTAATAATCATTCTGTAATTCTGACCTTAACCTGATCAGTGTTGGTTTTTCTACTAAGAGTCATGTCGTATTATTCTCTGTGAAAATCTCTTTTCTCTAGTGTGTTGAACTACGTCGTCTCAGATTTTTGTTTTGCTAGTCCAGCTGAGGTCAGTCGAGCATTTGATATTCTAAAAACATCTTTGGTGTCTGCTGTGAACAGCAAGTCTGCTATAAAGAGTTCAGCTGGAAAGATCTCTTAAAAAGGACTCGCTGTTCTTTCAGGCATTCAACAACACCATTAGGAAACTCTCCTTTGTTGGATTATATCTCTGTGTCGTATTAAAGAATAGCCTCTGCAATCACAGAGGCTTTAGTTGATGTGAAAACTATCTCAGCCTGCAGGAGAACGAGACCTGGAATTAACCTTTTCCTGCTGTGTTTTTTTCTTTTGGAGCTCATCCAGGTCTGATCCAAATCTGATTTAAAGGGAATTTTCTGGTGCTTAGCTTACGTTTACAAAAGGATCTTACCTGACAGCATTGTTGAGCTTTAAATATGTTCTGGGTCTGCTGGGTGAGACACAGGCGAAAGTTATCGTCCTGCGCAGTCAATGATTAAACAGTCTTTTAAGATATTTGGGAAAGAGCACCTTTCACAAATGTTGACTCATGTTGACTTTATTATTGCCATTATTGTTTGACCTAATCTCTGTACAACCGTCAGATGATAGATAAATCAAAGCATCCCAGTGAGGTTCTTATAAAGAGATACATTTTTTGATCAAAGAATAATTGATATCTGCTTGCTGGTTAAGTAGCGATCTGATATTCTTACAAAACCACAGTGCATCTTTTTTTCTCTCTTTTCTCATCTAGAATAAAGTAAATCCTCCGCTGAGCTCAGATTAAAATTCCTCAGAGGATATCCAGGGTAAAACCGTGTGAAACTCTGTTCCTCTAACTCTTTGCAGGCCGCGTGTGGTGTAAGGACGGCGAGTTCGCCTGCCACAGTGGACGGTGCATGTCCACAGAGCTCTTGTGCAACGGCGTTGACGACTGCGGAAACGGCCGGGACGAGGGCTCCTGCCACCACTGCACCGCCGGCTTCTTCTCCTGCGGGCCGTCCGACGACTGCCTGCCGGGCGAGAAGCTCTGCGACGGTCGGGCCGATTGCGCGGACGGACGGGACGAGTCGCGGGAGCTGTGCGGCTCGGCCCAGCCCAGCTCTCAGGCCTCCTCGCCGTGCGCGGCCTCAGAGTTCCAGTGTGGAGACGGAGAGTGCATCCGCCACAGCTGGAGGTGCGACCACCAGCCAGACTGCACAGACGGCAGCGACGAGGAGCACTGTGGTGCGTGATGTCACACGTCCGTCCCAAAATGCCCCTTTTGGAGTAAGGATGCAGGGGAACGTGCTGCGTCTGTTCTGAGGGGGCTGCAGGGCCTGATGAGCCCATCAAATGGCTCCAACACCACAGGGTGTCCTTGCAGATATTTGTGGTGTAATATGAGGGGGAAATGAAATGTTGTACTTCAAACCGATGTTTAAATGCGGTTTCGGCGTGTAAATGACTCGTCTGAGAAAGTTACACAGCTGGACGGATGCTTTGTTTTAGGACGACCATCCAGAAAAAAGCTCAGTCAAAGAGTCGAGTCATCTCTAGCCAAACTGATTTTTGAAGCTTGAGGCCTGGTCTGCTGGCTGACGGACGTATTCCCTGTCTTGGTGTAATTTTGGGCTCCATGGCTTGGTTACATTACAACAACTAAACCAAGCACCAACAATTCTGATGCATGGCAGGAGTGGCAGACACCTAAAAACCTGCAGGACATCCGGTTTTAGAGGTCTGCCCTGGAGCATCAGTTTGACACCCTCTGCTGATCATCCAGCAGGGGGCGTCGTTACACAGTGTCTCTGCATAGTCAGATTATGGACGACGTGTTACCTGCAGGCCGTCCAGCTCCCAAGACGAGCTGTTTCATTATACTCACATAATTTGCACAGAAACTCAGATAACCATTTTCTTCCTTGCAGCTGACAAGTGAACTTTGACTTCATGACTGCAGAAGAGAGGTTCATGATTCTCCAGTACTAATGGTAGTATTTATGGTAGTACAGAAACAAACAGGCCTCACAGACATTTTGTGTCCCAGCAAGATGAGTTTATAGTGAAATCTAGACAGTACAAAGACGCATTTTGGATTCTTGCTCGAACATGTAAACAGTCCTGGATAAAGGATCCGCTTGTGGCAGATCAAAGTTCATTTAATTCTGCTGAGACAGGAAGCAGATAATATGCTGTTAAATGGCCTTTTGGTCTGCGGTTATTGATGTTTAATTATTTATCCCTGGGCTGCACAGTGGATCAACAGTGTGAGCCTAAACTGGTTGTTGAATGTTTTGGAGGAAGGGGTCAGAGGTGTGGCAACAGGTCATAGACATACACTCAATGTGTGGGGTGAGATAGAACAGAGGGGATGCGACCCAGGATGTCCGCGAGTGTGCTCTGCTCTGGCTCATCCACACATTCTTCTGACCGAGGCAGGCACCGTGTTGTCTGCAGCAGGCTGTCTGTCACACTTTCCATCCACACAGTTATTTCAGAATGTTTTATTGTTACTGACACAGAAATAATGTAACTGTGGTTGTGGACACAGTTGCTCCACATTTGTATCCCGTCAGTCTAGTTGGCCAGCCCACCACACACAAAGGCTCGCTATCACGCACATGCTCTATTTAAAAGGGAACATTAAAAGGGGGGGGGGGGGTTCCTCTTAGGGCCTTGCAATTAGTGCGAAACATGTAAGATTGTTTTTTTTTTTTAGTCTATATTGGACTGATGACAGCATGGATAAGGCTCAGGACCTTTAATAAGCATAATGAGATTAAGGAGTTTAAGGGAAACCTGTAAATAGTATTTGGAACCATGTCTAATTTATTCTTAATGTTTGTTTGTTTTTTAAATTAAGGATTTATACCATATACTGTATATATATATATATATATAATAATTTTGTCCTTTATGTATGACCTATTATGGCTGTAAGTCTGCTTTATGGGCTTTTTCACTCTGGAAAATCCTACTACAACACACCAGATTCAAATGAATGGGTTGACCCCGACCAGGATGGTGATATTTTTACCATCACAGCCTTTTCATTATTTTCTTCCTTATTCTAGTTAAACATAAACTAAACTTAACAGGTGACAATGTCAATAGTCTTGGATAGTCCAACGCTTTAGGACACGCTGAATCTTCTATATCTCGGAGAAAAACATTTGAGGTTTATGGCTGACATTCATTCATTCTGTCTGTTTTCCTTTGACCTCACCACAATGGTAACCGTCAAAATGTAAAGTAATCCATTTTTATTCATGATGATTAACTGATGCCATTTAGCAAATTATTTTTTCAACACACTACAATGGACTTGTTAATAATTATACCAGTGGAACCTCTGTCATCACTTGATGAAAGCACAGGGGGAAAATGTTCTGACTTTTTTGTTTGCCTTTATCAAGACGTGCAGGTTGTAGTACCCCAAAATGAAGCACATTTTAAGGCTCACACATGTGTGTAATGTGGCTTTGACATTTCTGCTTCACAGTGCACTTTTTGGAGCGTAGCAAAAAAGTCAAACGACAGAAAAATCATGTTTTATTAGTTTTTGATTCTTGGTGACATCTTGGGTTAAGGATGGCGTCCGTCACTGTCCCGTGACTGAATAATTGAAGCGGACTCGTGTTGAACTGTGACCGATGAAATGTCTGTTCTTGCAGGTCAAAACGAGTGTCAGGTGAATAACGGTGGCTGTTCTCATTTTTGTGTGGACCAGAAGATGGGCTTCCTCTGCCGCTGCCCTGACAACATGAAGCTGGTGGACGACAGCCAGTGTGAGGGTGAGTCAACTGCCTTGAGTTCGTCATCGCCAGTAATTTGATCTGACCTCGTATTTGTACAGCCAGGCTTCAACAGTTATTCTCACAAGTCTGTTTGTAGAATAGCTGTCATAACGTGCACACTAAAGAAACGGGACGGATTCTGTGCCGTCAGCCCGGATGCGACTGTTTATTTATTGGTAACTGATTTGTATTCCTGGGTTATTCAGGTAATGGTTCAGGAAATGCTTCACGTTTCTGCGGTTTCTGAAATGACCTTGAAAATGATTCCGTCATTCTTTTAGAGGTGGACACATGCCTGGAGAGAGATGTGTGTGACCAACTGTGTGCTCCCAATAACGGCAGCTTCAAATGTGACTGCCACGACGGTTACCAGATGACTCCAGCAACTGGAGAGTGCAAGGCCAAAGGTGCGCAACTACGTATGCTTTTTTTAATCAGTTGCTGAAAACAAAATATTCCCACACATTATGAATTATTATATCATCATATAAAATGATCATTTCATACAGAAAACATTACAGTACATAAGTAAAAGGTCTTAAGCCAATAACTTGCTTAAAAAAATATGTTTAGTTCAGCTTTAATGGTTTTTTATCCTCATCAACATCGAGCCCTGTGTTGACGGGGAGAAACTGGGCCGTTGGCACAGAGGTTAGGAGATCTGGTGGCTCTTTTATGCTGTTGGGTACCTCAGTGGACCTGTGGATGTCCCAAACAATGCAATTACAATGCAAGATGCAGAGATGGGTACAAAAAGTTATTTTTTTTGTGAGCTGGAAGAAGAAATAATGGCACTAAGAATAACTTTGGTATGTTTCCTTGGAAAAGAGGAGAGTTAGATATGTGTTTGCAAATCATATTTGTGTGACATGCATAGCATGATGTACTGATTTGTGATGTTCAGGTTTGTGCTATGATGTTTGCTAAGGATGCTACTATAACAGTGAAAAGCTCAGACGTGTTCCACCTGAATAAACTTTAACTCATTCAACCTGAAAGCAGTGTCTTTGCTCACAGAGATCTCTGATAAACTATACCTCCGGTTATGCACCAGGATGTCAACACTCTAGCTTTGACACACTTTTATCCGTCTGTCAGAAGCATCCTTAAGTAAACATCCCAAACCAGCAGGATATCAGTAATGACTTTGGTAGGACCAGCCTACCTTTCTCATATAATCTCAATTTCAGAAGAACGACCAAAATGAAGTTTTGTGTGTATTTGCCATTGCAGGTGCCGAGGCTCAGTTGGTTTTCACTGCTTCAACAGGAATTCAGTTTGCAAAACATCTAAGCTCTGACTATAAGCCGTTGGCCCCACATGTATCAGGACCAGGTGCTGTGGCCGTTGTGGCTTCAAACCACACGCTGTTCTGGGCCCAACAAGGATATGGCTCTATATACAGGTGACTCATAAAATGAAAAGGTTACACTATTTTAACATGCAGACAACATAGTACAAATGTGCAAAAACAAACCATATTATTTTTGTACTTATATTTAATCACAAAAGCAGAAATGATTGAGAGGAATGGAGCAGGAAAATAAGCAGGAAAGATAAGACCAGTGTTTAGCACAGTTTAACACGAGAGCGTCATGCCTGACACCATTCCTTTGTTTTATTTTCAACATTATGTTTCCTTTTTTTGTGTGTTGGAGTCTTTTCAACACTGAACCCCTTAATCTTAAGGGAAAAAACAATTTGGGAAGTTTGAAATGAAATAGAAATATTTGGTTTGCTTTGATAAAACATATTTTAACAAATGTATACACGTTTTTCATGTATATTGTCAGTAAAACAAGATTGTTAGCAAGAATGCTACTAAGTTAGTAATAGGTTGCTCTTTGAATATGTATGTGTGAGTCTTTATTTTATGTGAGTAAGAGTAAGTCTTAGGAAGATATGAATTCGATTGCATGGTGATCTTAATCATATTAGTTGTATGGGGGATGTTTGATCGTGTGTTTTCCTTCTCGGATGTTGTTCAGGATTTCTGTGAATGAAAAGCCACATAAAGCTGTGCTGGTACTGAAGGCCCAAGGCTCAGTGTCTGCTATTGCAGTGGACTGGATCCACTCCCTGCTCTACTGGACCAGTCAGGAAAGCGGTTCGGTGAGCGTTGCCCTGCTCGATGGTTCATCCCAGCATCAGCTCATCGGGGGACTCGAAAAACCCTCTGCTGTGGCTGTGGATCCTCTCCAGGGGTAGGAGGAACGAGGCATTACGTTGAGTCAAAAGCATGACGGCTACACCATTAACAATCATTGTGAAGTCATGTCAGTTTAGAGTTTTTTTTCTTCTTCTTTTTTTTTTCTTTTCTTTTTCCACACATACTTCTCACCCAAAACACCAGCATGATTAACCACATGATTAAACAGCGTGGCAACAACAGCTGCACACTGAACAAGGAAGTGCTTTTGAATTTTTTTTGTAAAGAGTAATGAGTAAGCATCCACCCACACAGAGAGCCAAGTCTACTTGGTTAGGAGGAGTGATCACGTTTAAAACTGCACATGTATCTGCCGCCTTCACACTTTTAAAAAGCTAACATGTAGGAATTTAGGATCCTTTCATTTTCTCAGGCTCCTCTTCTGGACCCAGTGTGGCAGCTCCCCAAAGATTGAGAGGGCCAGCTTAGACGGCCATGATAGAAAGACTCTAGTCACCACCGCAGTACGCCAGCCTGTTGCTCTTTCTCTGGGTATGTTCACAGATTCTGCAGAGATCATTTTCCACATCACTTCCAAATCTGCAGATGATTTACTTTGTGTGTCGTGTTCAGTAATCTTGTGAGTGGAAAAAATGAGGAAACAAACCTTCCTCTTACACCGGAAATTGAGGTTTCTGTTTTTGTACTTTCAACAGGCGATTTCCTTTCCTGTAAAATGTGCTGTTGCTGTTAATGGTGCACATTCATCCTTTTTTAAGAGAACGACTAATAAGATTTGTGTTTTTATACTATACCGCCCACCCCCTCCTTAGATGTGCCTCGCAGGTTACTGTACTGGTTTGACATGGGAACGAGGAGCATCTCCAGAGTCGATCTTGAAGGCCGTCACCGTAAAACGGTGGTAGAATCCAACGGCTATCTAGATCGGTTGTTTGGACTTGCTGTGTTTGAGGTAATGTCATTCGTAATAATGCAATAGCCTATTTTGTACAAAGGGTACTAAGCACTCACCTAAAAATAAACCGATAATTGCCACAATGCAATTCTCTTTTTTTCCCCCCCATCTTGCTTTAGGGATTTGTATACTGGAGTGATGAAGTAACGCACTCCATCTGCCGTGCAAACAAGCACAACGGCACAAGCCTGCAGGTGCTTCTGTCTGACATCGCCTCGCCCGGTGGCGTGGCCATCATCCAGCCCGTGCTTCAACCCAAAGGCATGACCCGTCACTACACGATACTACCCAATGAACTGAATGCCTAATCATGCGGCTTTAGGTCCTCTAGCATGTTAAATGTGTGATAAATTAGCACAATCCTGTCCCCTCAGAGTCCCTTTTCCTCTTGACCAACTCCGCCTTCTGCTGCTCTAAAGGGCCTTCTGCTTGTGGACGCCCTGGGATGGTGTGTGAGCACAAGTGTGCTGTGGACCTGCTGACCGAGAGGCTGCAGTTCAGCTGCATTTCTCCGGCCATTTCGCGGGCACTCCCTGAAGCTACTCTATCGAATCCCTCATTTGCTGGAATCCTCTCTTTGATTGGTAAGAAGCCTTTCTAAACTCGTAAACACTGGTCTTGCACCTAGGTTAAGATCTTCTGTGATTATGACTGATCACTAGCTCATATATGAATATTGGTCTCCCAGCAGATAGTTGACTTTTCCTCGTAAATGATTTGTCGTCCACAGTGAGATGGAAAATATCCGCCATGATGTGCTCTTATATTGATGGCTTCAGTTTAGGTTAGTTACTTAAATGAACTTTTTTAAAAAGTTTGAGAGTGGAAAAGAGTACAGCAGAAATAGGTGCGATGTAGGCAGTCATACCTACATCCTGTTTGTGCGCCCAGAGGAAGTGTCTGACGCAGACAGATCCGTCCAATTTGCTCACTGGCAGGTCTGGATAGGCTCCAAACGTGACATCCTATGTGTGTTTCCCAGTGTTCCTCAGTGCGCTGCTGGTGGGAATGGCTGTGTGGTGGTGGAGAGAAGAATTCTTGCCTTCCAGGTCTCTCACCGTGCAGACCATCTCACTCACAGAGTCTCAAGACCCCCTCATTCAGAGGCCACCCGTGAGACCAATCACATCTCTGGTCAAGGCAAGTGATTTTTACACATATGAAGACATCTTTCGCTCGATCCGCAGACGCAGAATTTGTGGTGTGGTGAGAATGGCGCAGCTTCCAAAAAAACAAAATCCAAATGCACATTTAAGAACATCTCATGACAGTGTCAATGGATTTGAATTTTTAGATTATATTTTTTTCTACCAGATGTTTTTAATCATCTTTATAGGTTGAGGCTTGAACCCAACTCCATAACACAACAGTTAAAGGGGAAATGCTCATGTTTTCATTCTTCCTGAAACAATGACAGAGCACATTTCCTTTTGTCACAAATTCCTGTTTCTTATGCATCGCTGTTATCAGCACCCAGCACCCAAGCACTTTTTTCTGAGAACATAGCCCAATACTAGCTTTTGATGTGTAGATTAGTGCAAGGAGACCAGATAAAACAAACAAAAACAGGAAAGCTGCTTCCCTAGATAAACAGAAAGGTCTTCCTCCAGAGGATGTCATGAATGTTTGTCACATCAGTTAATCAAGTTAATCAGTTCTTCGGTTTTTGAAATGGTCTTTGAATTGTGACTGCTCCTTAAAACAGACCTCTGACACAGACCTAAACATGGTGGCTCTTTTATCTTGACTTGGATATTAATAGCTTTTCTCCAACATTCATAAGCATTTTTTAAAAATCTACACTTGGTTGTATTATACATGATCACATTGTAGAAAAAATCTGATGTAACAGACAAACAGAGGAACTCTAAGATAAAGGATTAAGGTTGACAAAGAAGCTAGCAGTGAAATTCACATAAGATAAGTTTAGTTTTTTACATCAAAATCAATGAGAAGTAGACTCAAATGCATGGTGAACTCATCTGTAGTGTATCTTCCCAGCCCATTTTCAATCATTATGACAGTAGGATCTTTTCTTGAATGTCCTGCACGACTCTCAGAAAAATACACGTCGACAAGGTTAATTCTCCTTACAGGCTTATGGTGTGAGGTGTGTTGACTAAGCAGTGCTTTCTCCGCCGCCAGGAAACTCTTAAGCTGGACTTGGATGGTGAATGAAGGTGTGACACAGATGGTCAGCTGAGGGCACTTCCCCGGCCGACTTCTCCACCCCGCTGGGACCACTGGACCGACACACCCAGCCAATTCCACCGGTGTCCTCCCAGCTCCCTCTGGAGCCTCACATCATTCCAGTGACGACATCGTCCATTTTTGTTGGATGGGAGAAGGCCTGCTGCTGTTGTGCCCTCAGTTTGAAAGGTTTTCTTGTTAGTCCTGGTGACTCTTGACGATGTTTGGGGGAAAATGTACATCTGATTTACTTTGATAATCAATCAAGTAAATAAGTGCCTTCTTTTCTCTCTTTTTATTATTTTCTCTTTAACCTTCCTGTTAAGAGAGTTGTTTGTTAGGTTGACTGTCAAATTAAGGCTTGAATAGTCTTTGCAACATTCATTAGAAATGGGTAAACTTTTTTTGGGGGGGGTTATAAGTTGGACCTTTGTTCAGATAGCGGGAAATAAGTCACTGGTACACTTTCTGTCTTTTGCATATTTAATTTTTTTTCTTCTGAATTTGAATACAATACTGCACTTTATGTTTTTCTAACGTCTCATTGGCAGTATTGTTTTTTTTTCTACTTTTATGACTGTCAAACATCATAGAGAAAATACTGTTTAACTTGACTAATTCTTTAAGGAAAAACTGCTGTTCTTTTGTCTCGATGCTGGAATTGAGTGGATTTCTGCACTCAATTCATTCATCTGCATTGTCAATGTCCTATAGGCCATCTGTTGCCTAATGAATACTTGAATTATGTCACAAATGCATTGCCTTATGTGCATGCTTATGCGAGTTAACGTCTTTACACCTATATTCTTTTGAGGTTTAGATAATAAATTATTATAACGATGTGATACTGCAAATCCATTTACAAAACCGAGATTAGAAATAAAGAAGCTTTCTATGGCTATTTCTTTCTAATCATAGTTTTTCTGTTAATTGTTTTTCAAAACTAGGCTTAAAATGTCTTTATTTTAAGTGTAGAATTGAAGCGCAGTGAGATGAACCGTAATGACATCACTACATTTTTTGGTGAAATAAATCAAAGTAAAGAGACTAAGAATATTTGTGGAAGTGCAAATTCTGAATGGGAACAAATTTGATTTCTTATGTACAATGTCTCAGCGAGGTTAGCTTTTTGTTGCTTTGTTTTATCCATTTTGTGTTTAAGAAAAAAAGAAGAGGTACGATAGTGAAACAACTGATCAATGTTTGCGTAGGTGTGTGCTGAGACTGCTGAGTTATGTGTTTTGATATTTATTTTAAAGGAAGAGTTTTATTTTTGATGGAAACACTCATTTGAATGTAGTGTACCGTTTCAGTGCTGTAAATTGATCAAATAAAGTATATAGAGTATTTGAGCAAACAAATGCCTCTGAAATTGACAGAATCCTCATAAAAGCTAAATTACTAATAATCTTGGGCAATATAGGATATGAAACAAAGTGGAAAGATAAAAAAAATATTGACTCTCAGACCTCAGATTTCTCGGTTTATTGAATCATATTCTGAGCCAACCCACCAGGCTTTCTGAGCAGATTTCCTACTGGTGCTCTGATGGCCTTCTTCACATAAACATTTTGAACAAGCTTTGGATGTGCACGTCTATATTTGCCGTTTGACAAACTGCTGAGTCTGTCTCTTATTGGGATTTGTTGAAACACGCTCTGACCCTGTGCGACCAGAACAATTAATGGATGTAAACATACGTCACTCAGGTGAACCCTGAACTCTTAGGATAAATCTGAAGTGTCCAAACATCATTCCTAATTGTTTTGAGAGTTTTCAACAAAGCTTTAGTTTTTTGTTGCTCTTTACGACTATACGTCTATCCTTATGCTGACATGGTGTGCGCATTTTACATATGGTGTCCAACTAGGCCAGAACGCTTAATACTCTTTCAAAGGGTGAGGTTTCAGACTTGTACGGTGAAATGAAAGAACAATCCTTCAGCTGTTCTTTCACCACGTCACTCTAAAATCCTTAAACCAGCCATCCTAATCTCGCCTCCTCCTTTGTATTTACTACGACTAAAGGGAACTTGGAAAGCCACCAATGAGCTTAAATTGATAAAAACCCCTGCTGTTTATCCCTGATCTGAGGCTCAAGAGGGATCCAATCTGTTGTCCTTGCTGCAAAAGCCACAGAGGAATCACTTCTTTCACAATGGAGTTCCCCGACCGCACGCTCAGCTGCAAGCGAGTGAGCGATTACTGATATCAGCTCCTGCAACTCTTGTTTGGGATTTCCCTGATGTGTCAGGACTACGGCATTTTACAATCATTTTTACAAAGGCCCTTTCCTAGTTTTCTCTCCTCTTGCTCTGGTGCATTGGCTTCCTGCCTCGCAGCATTCTTGCCATGGCCTCCTGCTCGGAGAAGGCACGACTCCAGGGACATTTACAAAACCGCCGCTTCACCATCAGCTGCCTCTCTGTGAGTACAGTGGATCGTCAAACATTTCCATTTTCCCAGGACAAAGCAGTCAAATCATGGAGTTCTCTGGAGAACCTAAACAACCTGGACCAAAGAACCGAGTGCCACAAAGCTAAATGGAGACCTAGGCTGCAGCCAAATGTCACTATAAATGTTGGAGGAAAAGTGTTTCAAATCCCAAAACGGTGCGTTGTTAAATACCCTCACACTCGGATAGGCTCATTAGCTCTCTGCAAGGACCCGACGGAACTCCTCACATTGTGTGATGACTACTCTGTAATGAAGAATGAATTCTTTTTCGACCATGATCCCGCCTTCTTTCATTACATCTGTCATTTCTACACAAGCGGCGTGCTGTGGATTGTGCAAGAAATGTGCCCCATCAACTTTGAGGAGGAAGTTGCCTACTGGGGCCTTAACATGAAGGACACCCAGCTTTGCTGCTTGACGCTGTTTGAAGAAAAGGTGGATGAGGTGAAAGACAACCTGACGCTAGAGAAGGAGGTGATGGCTGTGATGCAGGTCAGGTGTGACAATGAGTGCTTCAAAGACTTGATTTTTGGGGATATGAGGAGGACCCTGTGGAATATTGTAGAGAATCCCTACTCCTCCACTTTAAGCAAGGCCGTCACAGTGGTGTCAAACCTTTTTGTGCTTTTGTCTATTGCTGCAATGACTCTTAGCACTGTAGAAGAGCTTCAGTCATATATGATCTATGACAAAACATTCATGGAATGGGTGGAAATCATCACCGTTGTCTTCTTCACCTTCGAGTACGTCTTCCGTCTCATCAGTACGCCTGATATCAAAACGTTTTTGAAGAGTGCGCTTAACTTTGTGGACATGGTGTCAGTCATGCCTTACTTTGTTCTGATCATATGTGAAAGCTTTACCGACGGAGAGGATTTTATGGCACAAGAAGACCCCACAGCCGTGGCCCAGGCCAGCAAGGTCAGCCAAGTCCTCACAGTTGTCAAGTTTCTGCGAATCTTTCGGATTTTAAAGCTGGCACGCCAATCAACGGGCATGAGGGCTTTTGGGTTTACCCTGCGCCATTGTTATCAGCAGGCTTCTTGCATTGCCCTCTTCATAGGCATGGGAATCTTCACATTCTCTGCTCTTCTGCACTCAGTGGAGAAAGAAACTGAGGAGTCCCCCATCAGCAGTATCCCTCACGCCTGGTGGTGGGCTGCCGTAAGTGTTGGCAACTGTGTGTCACTCTTTCCAAATAGTGCCTTCAATGTACTTTTCCACTCTCAAATGTTTATGAGCCTGCATATGATTTTATGCATGTGGCCGCTAATGAGATCAGTCAATGGGAGAAAAGAATGTTTCTTTCATTTTATGAATTTTTCATGCCAGAATCCTGTAGGATTGGGGAAAAAAATTAAGAGATTTGTACTGAAAAAATATGCCTCTGCCACCTCCAACCATCTTGGAGATGTTATGACTACATTAATTCCTGACTGAAATATTCTCCTCTCCTTTTTCACATAATGGGTAAAGAGAAAGTACTGAACATGACACTTAAGACCGCAAATTGTCATCTACATTGCCAACAACTGGAGAATCATATTTTGTGTAAACACGCCAAGTAGTGGAAACTGTTGTTCAATCAGCATGTTTGCTGTTTCTGCTGTACACATCCTTCACAGACATAGAAAACTGCCGAATCACCTAAAGAGAGCAGAGCTCCTCAGTAACCTGACTTGCATGCAAAAAAAATCAGACCAACCATACCTGTTCTTAACACATCGTTCAATTGCAAAACGATTTCTCTCTTTAGGTAAACTAACAAATGAAGTGACCAGGTTTACTAGACTGTACAAACCCTGGCAGTCTCAGTCATTGTTTTTAAATTAAGAGCTGTGTGTATGGGAATGATGTATGACTAGAGGAACTGTACAAAAATGAAACAGCAAAATCATGTCTTTTACAATGATTGACCAAAAGTGTATGAACCAAAGTTCCAGGAGTTCCAGGGTGACTGCAATACAACGAAAAGATTTGAACATTAACTTAAAGTGGGTTTAGAGTGCAAAAGGGTGTTTGACATACACAAGTGCTACACTAAAATTGTGTAATAATTATCCAAAGCACAGATTTTAAATTAGACAGCTTTAAAATGAAAAAGTTTAGCTCAGCAAAGTCTTTTGTGGTTCCAAACATTTTAAGAACATTAAAATGATAGGTGTGCCTGTGATTAGAAGATTTATTTGCTTTTGTCCTCATGACAGCTATTTCTTTCACCAACACCAGTCATAAATGATTTGTGTAAATCGCTTCTTGATTTTTCACATTCCTGTGGTGACAGTTTAAAAAACTGATCTTAAGTGTTTCACACGTTATGCTAAAGTCGAGATCCCCGGCTATGAGTAGTGTGATTGTGAGGTAAACTCTCATTGCTCTGTATGTTTCAATGAAAGTTGAAACAAGATTGTTTGCAACTCATTTTCATTACTAATCTAAGTACTGCTTACCCTCTGCTTTAGGTCAGCATGTCCACTGTGGGCTATGGGGATGTGGTCCCTGTGACAGCCTTGGGCCGCATTGTGGCTTTCGGCTGCATCTCATTTGGCATTATCCTCAACAGCATGCCAATCTCCCTCCTTTTCAACAAGTTCTCCGACTACTACAACAAGTTAAAGGCTCAGGAGAGCACTGCTACTTCAGCCATGCATCGACTTCAGCTCAAAAAGAGGCTAAAAAACCAAAAGTACATGTGTTTCCATACATGTGTCTCAGACAACAATTAGCTCCAAACAACCATCACAGTGAGTGCATTCTTGATGGTCATAAAGTGATAAGGAGTGTAAACCTGTTAATCTTGTGGCTGAAACAAACTTCTCCTGTATGAAACTGAGCTTGGCACACAAATTATAGGACATCAAACAGGTATTAAGACAATAGGACTGGAAGAGGAAGCCAAATGCTTTCTCGTCAAAGATTGTTTTGATAAACCACACGTCCAATAACGATTATGAAGGGTCCTTTTTCAATGGAATGAAAAACTTTAAAGTATAAAACTCATTGACGGACAGATAACTTTCTCCACCTGACAACTGGCTGTTTTTGAGATTGCTGGACAAATATTAAAGTGACACGTTCATTCCTTTTTTTTCTGTTTTTATTTGTATTATTTTATTTGTAATAATTTCTTTAACTGCCTTTGGTTATCCTCAGTTGGTACTTTGTTAATCAGTTTTAATATAATATTTTTCTCAGATGTTTCTTTCGCATGAATAAACTTAAATGCTAGATACTGCATGGACTGTGTTAGGAAATAGCTTGCTTCGTCTTTACTTGACAAAACACTGAGTGTTTTACTGTCTTATCAAACACTAACTGGCTTTAAATTATGCATTTTGAAGTGCCAGAAACTCCAAAGTGAGCCCAGGGCTAAGAAAGTAAGTCTTTTATCACCTTTGTCACGCCTGGAGGGTTTTGGTGTTGTTTCGTCATGTCTTGGTTTTGTCATTTTCTGTTTTATTTTGAAAAGTAACTCCACTTGCATTTCCCCAGTGTGTCACCTGTCTGTGTCCCCTAATTACCGATTGTGTTCACCTGGGGTTCCCTTCCCTTCATGTGTTTAAATAGTCTGTGTTCCCCCTTGTCTTGTGCCAGTGTGTTTCGTCATGTTCATCGTTTTGACTATTGAACCTGAGCCCTCTGAACCTCGTCACAGTTTTTCTTGCCTTGAATCCCAGAGAATACTTTGTAAGAGCGACTGTTTTGTACTTTGTCCATTGTTTTGGTTCTTCCTCATAAGAGTGACTATTTCGTACTTTCGTAGGCTTTGCTTTCACTTTGAGTGATTTATTTATTTTCTATTATTCTTTTTTTTTTTACAATAAAAACCTTGTAACTGCCAAGCTCTGCATCTGAGTCCTACCTTGACCCTGTCCTGACAGCTTTTCAATATGAGTGAGGGGTGTAACTTAAAGGTCACCATTGCCCAGTGGCGGATAGTGCATTTCACACTTAGGCCTTCAGTAGTGCTCCGTCTGAGTCAATTCACCCCTCAATAAATATTTTATGGTTATAAAAATCATCTTATTATGTAGAAATACAAAATAATTATCCTCATAGACTCGAAATGTTATTCCATTTTCTGACCCGTTTATTCCCAAATGGGGCCGAGGGGGAACTGGAACCTATCCCAGTCGTCAATGGGCAAGAGGCAGGCTACACCCTGGATGGTCCACCAGTCCATCACAGGGCCACACATAGATACACAAAGATGAGCAACCACTTCCAAATTGACAATGTATATGAATTTGGAATGTCGCAAAACATATAACATACAGGTTTTTGGTCTGTAGGAGGAAGCCAGAATACCCGGAAAGAACCCACACAGACAGAACAATACATGCAAACTACACACAGAAAGATCCTAGTTCCCCTGGGGACTTGAACCCAGAACCCTCTTGCTGTGAGGGGATGGTGCTAATCACCACACCACAAAGACTTTCAAAGCAGAAAACAAAAATAAGGAAAATCAAAATAAGCTCAACAAAATAAAACAGTAACCGATTAGAGTAAAAGTGAAGAGTGCAGATTAAATGCATTCGGTTTGCATATGCACGTTTAAATAGAACTGTTTTCAGCCTGGATTTACACATTTTCAGTATTGAGACCTGTCACACGTTTGGCAAGACTGTTCCACATTTTAGGAGCGTAAAACTGAAATGCGGCCACGCCTTGTTTGGTTCTGACCAGAACCTGAGGTTCTCAGAGTCTGAGCTGGCTCATACAGCTCTAACACACCAGATGTACTTTGGCACTTGACCATGAAGAGACTTGTACACAAGCAGAGCTGTTTTAAAGTCTATTCACTGAGTGACAGGAAGCCAATGCAGAGACCTGAGCACTGGACTGATGTGGTCGTATTTCCTGGTTCTGGTCAGAACTCGAGCAGCATGATGTTCTGCAGCTCTCTCATAGCTCGTTTGGAGATCCCAGTGCGTAGGCCGTAACTGTAGTCTAGCCTGCTGGAAACGAATGCAGGGATTAGTTTTTCTGGTTTAGACACTATTCCTCTGATTCTGGCCATGTTTCTGAGATGGTTAAAGGCTGCTGATGTACCTGATTTAATGTTTGTTAAAGTTCAGGTCTGATTCCAGTGTTACCCAAGATTATTCACCTCATTTTTAGGTTCCACAGAAAGAGTCTGGAGGTGACTGATGACACATTGACTTTCTGTGGGCCAGACAAGGATCTCAAGTTGGATAGAGTCGTATGGGAGAAACACAGCAACCCAATAAATCATCACTGACATATAAACCTGAGTATCAGCATAATATTGTTAGGACGCATTATGGCTGGAAGCAAATTTTACTCAGCAAAGCCAAAGCCATGTTGATTGACTCATGGTTGCCGTTTTTGTTGACTTAATACACTCTACCATTCTTTGCTATTGATTTGATTACGCCTAAAACAAATTTGAGGTATGACATTGTGATAGTGTAACTTGTTACGCCTTCTTATATTCTATTACTTTGTTGACTTCAATAACTAATTATGTCTGATTCAATATTTGGTGCAAATAATGGCTCAGAATTGTATTAAACAATCAGCTTATGTTGTGATGATGTACTCTACCTGGCATATTTTTTAAGTCTTGTAATAACATCAACTTCTGTACATTTTTAGAGAATGAATGCAGATTTAATGAAAGGTTTAGTATCATTGAATTAGTAAACACTGTAACCTGTTCTGGACTGGTGACCTGCCCCTTGTGAGCCGGGATAGGCTCCAACCCCCCACCACCCGGTTCGGAATAAACTGAATAGAAAATGGTTGGATGTAACCTGTTCTAACGTTTTTAACTGCACTTCAAAACTTTAAGCAAAAATGCCATGTTTTATAAAGATATTTGTAAAAAAAAAAATGAATATTTATTATTATTGCTATATCACATACAACTTGTAGGTTATTTTGTAAGGTTTTACATCCATATTTACATGATTAAAATCTCTTGAAAAAAGAAAAAAACATATTCCATTCATGATTTTATTCAAGTACGAAATTCCATTTTCAGTTCGGTTTTTCTTTCATTTGTGAGTTAAATCCTTTCCGTTTAATATTTTCCACACTCAAGTTTGTTTTGGGATGAGCTATTTTGTCACCCACTGCTATTCAGCCAGTTATCCATCAGTTGACTGACAGATTATTTATTAACGAACACACAAATGAGGCTCCTCTTGAGAAGGTGTGAGAGCAGAGAGAGGCACCGCCCTGCAGCCCGACCAGAGAAGCCAGGACTTCACAATAACATCCCATAGAGACACCAAAGAGGACCAGTCTTTGTAATCAGGTAAGAAAAGTACCGAACTCTTTACATCAATTACATAAAATGCGTTTTTGTCTTTTAAAAAAAAAAAAATCTATTTATTTATTTTTTTCATTATTTTTTTTCCGTTAAGGGAGATGGAGGGAGCACGACTAAAGGGAAATGCCAATTGTAAGAATTTAAACGCCCCCGCTAAAGCTTCGTTTTCTGTTTAAAATTGATAGTCGCTTGCTTGAATTGTGCAAAGACGATCCGTTTGAAACAAAAGTGTAATTATAGATCGGTACATCAGTCACGGATAAGCATTGTTTGGTCAAACTCTCGAATCAGAATGAACCATGCCCAGGAGGACTCGCTCGCTTTATTGTGACTGAAAAGTTGGTTGGAGACAATTTTGCCGTCAACAATGACTTACAGTGACTGGGATTCTGCTTTTAAGTGGCCCATGGCTTGGTTCAAATAATGGAAATGAAACAGTCACTTTTACAGGAAATGGTTTTGTTTTCAACTGTAGGACATTAAGGTCTTTTGAAAAGATGAACTTTATACAGTTCAGACTTGTCTCATCAAGACACTATTAATTGTAACATGCCCACCTGCAGTAGCATTATTTGTGATCTGATCTAAAACCGGGCTGAAAAAGCAGAGAATGCGTGTTTTGAGTGTTAGGGTGAAAGCAGAAGCTGTTGAAAACCCGAAGCAAAAATGGTGAAGTTTCCCCATTTTCTACATGGTTTCATAGTTTTCCTATTCTGTATATGTCTTCATGCGTTGTTATTGGTCACTGTGCTCTGTGTTTGGGCATAGTTCCCTGGTTCATTTAGCAGAGCTGCAACCAACTGAAAGATTATTTTAATCTGATAAACAGAAGCAGAAAGTGAAACGTATTACAAGCAATTCACTATAAGCAGCATAAGATTTGATGTTTGCCACCCTTTTGTAAGTTACAACAGAAAATAAAAATTATGCTTTTTTCATTCTATTTAGTTTTATTGATCCCACAGTGACAAAATGTTTTTTTTCTGAAATACTTCAACGTCTCAAACAGAGATGGCTCGTATACTACCACTTCTGGCCCTAGCAGCATCCTTTTGCTTTGCAACATGGTTTTAATAGACTTGTGGTAAATGGTTGGGTTGGGTGTGTCCCATCACTAAACATATTTCAAATAATTACTGTTTAGTTGGTAATGACTGAATATCTGACACTCCCTATACAATATTTTCCACCCATTTTGAAAAAAACATGACATCACTGATTTTTTTTTGCCACCACACCACATGAGGCGGTGCTGGGTGAAAGGACTCCGTCCACAGATGCCAAGCCACCTCACGTCTGCTCTGAAAACTTACGTCTTCTGCCCTCTAACAGTTGTCCAGAGAGTCCTGCAGCTGTGCAAGTGGGCCTCTGAGGATCTCACACAACCTCACAAAACTCTAAACGCACCACAATTCTTTTCCATTTAAACAAAGATATGTGGTTGTATGACCACAGAATAATTTACTGACTGAAATTACATGCAAATAATTTTGAAATCTGTATGACTTAGGTGTGAGCTACCTTTATCAGAAGTAAGCCTTACAGCCTCAGAAATCATAAACTTATGAAGTTTATGGAAAGCATTAAAGGCAGAAGTATTCTTATACCCACATACCAGCATGGGGCTAAGCAGGATAACCTGTAAACCTGGAAATTGTTGATAGTTGAACTTTTTTGTGTTCATGCAGCCTTTTCTGACACCGTTGTTAATGCAAACACACCAATGCGTGGTTCATTAGAAAATGGAAACAGAACACATTAAACTCTCTAATAAGTGTCATAAATCAGTTGACGCTGTACAGGAAGTGTTTTAAAGTTCAGAGTTCTCAAAGTGATTCAAACAGTCGCCCTTTTAGAAAAGTTACCCAGAGTGACTACACATGTGATTTTAGCTTAACAAATATCAATACAGTCTAATATTAAGAATATGATATTGCACAAATGTGTGGGTGTAATCATTGAACAACTGCATCGCACAATGATCCTTTCTTGTGTTTTGCATGCAGAGAAGCCTATTCAAATTTTGTTACACGTAATGCAGACAGCATTTCCTCCAAAGACAAACCTCAGATAGTCGCTGATGTTTCACCTCAACCTACTTGTCTGCCTTACACAACTTAAAAGTGACTTCCTGTGAAAGAATTCTGGTTAAAAAAAAAAAAGCAACACAGTTTTTTATATAACTCAACTTCTACGCCACATAGATATAAGAAAGTTAGTAATTATCGTGACCAGTTTATATAGATATATCAGAGATGTTCAGCCAAGAGGCAGATTGGATCCACTTTTTCTCTTTGGATCACATCTGTGCTTTCTTCATTTAGTGTTTGCCTCAACTGGCAGTAGTGTCAAGCCTGACAGTGGAGCAGCACACAGCCAGATGATTGGCTAAAAAAGTGGCTTGGATAAAAAACAGCACCTTCAACTATGTGACCATGTTTTGTCAGCCAGAGCAGAGTTGCTTGTTCTGGGTTGGGGAGGAACAGTTGACCTCAGTGTAGGAGGCTTGCATTACTCTTGGTCTTGCTGATTAGTCAGAACAAAACTAAACCAAGATTGTCAAGTGGGAGAGTGCAGCCTCTACACTGATGCAGAATGCACCACACTGTCGTAGTTAAAACAGTCAAGCCAAAAGGAAGCGCTTTGGGTTTACTGATCTGTTTACATTTCCATAATTCCATCCTTTGTGGTTATTAAATGTCCCACTTTATCATAAAGACATTTGCACGTAGAAGGAAGCAAAACAGACTCAAATTACTTTAAACTGGCATAGATGAGGACTTGAACTTGAATCGACCGCACTGGCTATGAGATTAAACCCATTCCTTACAGTGACAGTTCAGGTGTCATGATGTGGTGTTGTGTGACATGTAAGCCACGGTCAATGGACCAGTGGTTAGGTCTAGGAGATATAAGGGATCAACAAAAAGGTAGACAGCGAATTCAGGAGTCAAAAGCTATTTAAAGAGGTTTATTCTGGCTTCAGGGAGAGCTCAGGCCAAAATAACAAACAAAACAGCCTTAAAAAGAAAAGAAAAGGTAACTTACCTAGCTCAGACTAAACCAAATTATACAAGCCTACAAAATAACCTACCTAGCAACACATGAACAGGAGAAAAATGGGGTTAAAGAAAGAGGCAGCTCCTGCACAAAAAACATCTATACAGGGTGACATGGCAGCAAAATGACAGCCCATCAAATCCTTCAAACAACACAGGTGGGCACAGGCGGAACAACAAACAAGGATTGTAGCCAACCATACCTAGGAATCTTCGTAGTTGTGGGCACCGGAAAGGTTATGATGGCATCAATCTTACCTTTCCCACAACTCATCTTAAAGAGATGAAAATTTGTTCCATTTGTTAAATTCTTTGCTTCTATCATTGACCTTTCTTCGTACGATATAACTTGTGAAATTGTACTTTTTTTTCTTCTACAGAGCTTCAATGATGAGAAAAGCCAAGACAAGAGTTGTCATCATAGCAGGGGCTCTTGGTTTGTTGGTCTTCCATTTCTGTAAACATTCTACTGAACACAAAAGTGTAAACCCCAACATAAACTTGAGACTCAGGAAACTGAGCCCGCTCAACAAAAGTGACTCCCATGTGTACTCCTGGCCAAAATGTCAACAAAATCACACTGCTGCCAATATCACAGGCTTTGGAAGCCTTCCCCAAAATATCAAAGATTTTCTCTACTACCAGCACTGCCGTCACTTCCCCATGCTGCTGGACCTTCCTGACAAATGTGGAGGAGCTGAAAAGTCTGGGGATGTCTTTCTTCTGCTGGTCATCAAAAGCTCCCCCATGAACTATGAACGGCGGGAGGTGCTGCGCAAAACCTGGGCTAAAGAGAGATTACACAACGGTTTGTGGATACGAAGGATCTTCCTCTCAGGGACGTCGGGTAGCGGTTTAGAGAAGGAACGGCTGAACAAACTGCTGGAGCTGGAGCAACGGGAGTTCAGTGACATCCTCCAGTGGGACTTCAGTGACACATTTTACAACCTCACCTTGAAGCAGATCCTCTTCTTAGAATGGATGGAGAGAAACTGTCCAAATGTTCACTTCCTGTTTAATGGTGATGATGATGTGTTTGCTCACACTGATAACATGGTATTGTATCTCCACAGTCTTGATGATAGAGATGAAACCAAGCATCTGTTCACTGGCCATCTTATCCAAAATGTGGGGCCAATCCGATCATCAGGTAGCAAATATTTTGTCCCAGTTCAGGTGGAGGAGTCAAACTCATACCCGCCTTACTGCGGTGGTGGCGGCTTCCTTCTGTCTGGCTACACAGCAAAAGTTATATATAATATGTCCAGATCCATTCCTATTCTTCCCATTGATGATGTTTACATGGGGATGTGTCTGGCCAAAGCAGGACTTCATCCGGCCTCCCATTTGGGGGTGAAGACTGCAGGTTTTAAGATTTCCGCTGTCACAGCAGATGAATATGATCCCTGCTTTTACAAAGAAATTTTACTTGTGCACAGATTCCTCCCAACTCAGATGTATTTGATGTGGAACCGAATCCAGGACCCACATCTGAAATGCTCTGCAAGCCACGAAAGCTCAAAGCTCTAAAAGAGTTATGTTACTGTGACCAGATGAAAAATGATTGTTAAGTGATAGATGTTTCTCCTCTATTTATTATCATTGAGCAACTGTACGAGTAAAAGGAAGATTCTTAATGTCAGGTTTCCTGATGCAAAATTTTCGTAGACACTGGCATCGTGATCAATACTGTCACGAGAATGAAGTGCAGATAATTTCGAGAATTGAAACGGTAGTTTAAAAAAAAAAAGCTTAATGTTATGACAATTTATGGTGACGGCTGGCATACTGTCAGGAATTTTCTGAACATTTCTCACCTTTTGCCTTTCAAAATCTTTATTCAAATAATTCAGCTAGTGTCAGTGTATTTTCTTGATTGAGCTATGGGTAAGCTTACTTTAGTACTGTCACAGGGGTCGCAAACAGGGGTGTCAGGTGTATTATTTGCTCAAGGAACAACAGGAACATCTATTTTTATGAAGGTACCATTTTTTTTTTCCACGCCTGTGTTTTTACCACTGGTTATTAAAGGTGCTGTACATTAAGTCTTTTCGCTCATTCACGTTCAGACAGGAACTAAAAAACTTTACTTATTGATTATTTTCTATTTAATTTAAAGTTCTTGATTGTTTGTATGTGTGGAGTATGGCTGGAAAGGACAATGTGGTATCTTTAGTCTTTAATTACTGATGTAATTTATCATAAAGTAGAATTGTGTTTGCCTTTTTGTTCCATTGTAGCTCATGCAAATCATATTGCTGATAAAAGGGATCAGTGCACTTGTGCCTTACAGTGTGGAAGTGCTATTACACACTTGGAGCTTGTTGCAAAAATAGATGAAAGCTGCACTAATGAGAAATAAACACGCAACTTTGTTTGACTTGCATGCCAATTTGGAAGAAGGATTATTTTTGTATTTTTCTAAATAAACATTTTGTTTAAACAAGTGTGTCTGACATTCACAGACAAAAGTGTTGATATGTATTAATGTAGAAATTTTCTTCCAATTAATATTCTGTTATATTTTCCAAAGCACAGCTGAGGGGAAAGTATTCCTTTTTAATAGTTTGTTTGTCTCTAAAGACCATGAGGGAGTTATTACAGTTGAATTTATTTGAGCTGCTAATCAAAGCATTCAATTTGGATTCAAATGGAAAGTTTTTCATATTTTGCTGGATGTGTAAAGATACTCCATGCTCTCTTGTTTGTTCAAACTGTAACTGTTACGTTTGAATAGTCAACCTCATCCTCATCATATAATTCAATCCAAATGAAATGTTAACAGAGTGAAATTTAAGCAGTCAAATTGAATGTTACATTGTTCTTGCTGTTGATGAAATGTGGTATGCATCATAGCTGGTATTTGACTGTTGCTTTGCTTGGCTTTGGTAACTTTAACACCTCAAACACTTGAAAACATACTGATTGCTTGTGACGTTACTGATGAAGTACTCAGCAAATCTCAAAGTGAGAGACTTAGTTTTTCTTTTTAAAGAGTGAGGGCTGATTACATTCATCATTGCAATTGTAAAGTTGTGATGTTCCATGGGGCTCATGTCTGCATACTGCCCTCTTGAGTCAAACTGTTGTTGCTGCACAATTGCAAAACAGAAAGAAGACACACAAACACAAACACACACGCACACACATAGTTTAGGAGGCATACTCCTCAAAATAAATTGAGATTACAAAAGCAACAGCCCTTTCATGAATCCAAGTTTTATGTATTGTAATATGTATTTCTGTTAAAGAAGCTGATGAGTAAAATCTTTAAAATCCATGGTTTTCACCATTGCACTTGGACGAGTTGTTCCGGTTTTGCTCTGAGTTCTTGGCAGGTTTTAGCACAGGGGTGTCAAACTCCAGTCCTTGAGGACCACTTTTTATGCGGGTTTTTGAGGTTTGCCTGTTTCATCCCACTTGACTCACCACGTCAATGTGCCATTAGCAGACTTGTGGAAAGCTCAACAATGTTTAGAGGACAGCCTTTTTAATCAGAATCAGAATGTCTAATTAGAATCAGGTGTGCAGAAGCAGGAAAATGTCTAAAACATTGTCTAAATAATGTCTAAAACATGCAGGACGGCAGCCCCACTTGCAAGCCATTTGAGTTAGTTTGGTGCTGGCTTCTTAAGGACCTGCCCCATTTGATCATTATTATATTATATATATTGCTGCCACAATGCTGATTAGGACAAGGTTAACATATAACCGAATATGTACTATTTTTCTCTCTCTACACACACACATATATATACATCCATCATCAATGCCGCTTATTCCCTGATGGGGTTGCGGGGGGAACTGGAGCCTATCCCATTGGTCAACGGGCGAGAGGCAGGGTACACCCTGGACAGTCCGCCAGTCCATCACAGGGCCACACACAAGACATACAAGGACAAACAACCACTCACACTCACATTCACTCCTAAGGGCAATTTCCCCAATCTCCAATCAGCCTAACATGCAGGTTTTTGGACTGTGGGAGGAAGCCGGAGAACCCGGAGAGAACCCACGCAGACACAGGGAGAACATGCAAACTCCACCCAGAAAGGTCCTGGTTCCCCCGGGATTCGAACCCAGAACCCTCTTGCTGGGAGGCGACAGTGCTAACCACCACACCACCGTGCCGCCGCACACACATATATATATATATATATATATATATATATTTTACACACATATTTGTATGTGGTTGTGTCTTTATAATTTCAATGATGAATCAGCTCTTCAACTCTTAAAAAACAAACTAATTCTCTCACTTTGAGATTTGCTGAGGACTTCATCAGTAACGTCACAAACAATCGGAATGTTTTCAACAATCACGGTTTTCCCACAGGGCTGTCTCCCAGAACAACTGTGATAAGGTTAGTCAGAGAAATAAAAACACCTCCAAGTAGGAGGGGTTACATTGTGGAGTGTTTATCTCGGAGCAAAATCTGCTCACAGGTGAGACAGCGATCTTGGATGTTAAAAGCTCTTTTTGTTGCCAGGTGTCCTACCCAAAAGTTTTTCATCCAAGTCCCCCCCTGCCTCCCCCACCCTCCTTCAGGTAGGGTTTGCTATTATCATAATGCTCTTTTAAAAAAAAAATGCGTTTGGACTGTGTCTAGTATAGAATTTTCCTTTAAGATCTATTCTACGTGAATCATTAACTTAATCTAATTCATTATGTACATTGGAAGAAAAGAAATAGTGGCTTTAAATTCTTATTCATATTTAATAGAAAACGGATTATAGAAAATGCTCGTTCTATCTTGAATGACATTTTACATTTAATTTTGTAGAATTTTACCTTTCTTTGCCATCATTCCTGTTTTGTAACCCTTTATAATTCTTTACGAAGAGAAAAGCTAAATACTTATTTTTTGCAGACATAAAAATTATCTAGAATCAGAAGAAAAGGTTTCTTTTCAAAGCCAATTCATACTATTTGCAGCTTTAAACCTTAAACAGCCAAAATACAACAACCATACGTGCTGGAACTAACTTAGCATGACATTTAAAACACCAGAGGGCAGTTCTGAATTACACATTTGTACTTGTATTTTTAGAACATTTTAAGTTTCACTTTTAGAATTCAGTCTGGAAAAGTAGATCAACTTTTGTGGTCAGAGGTAAAGAGTCTTTGGATAAAATTGTTTTCTTCAACAAGTTGTGGTCTCCATCCTGCACTTGAGCAATACACAGCCAGATCTGAAATGGATAGAATTAAAACTGGCACCTTCAAGTAATAAACCATGTCTGTCAGCCAGGGCAGAGCGTCTCGCGCAATGGTTTGAGTTTCGTGATCTGTTCAGGCATTGTTTCTTATGGGGAAGCAGTGCCAGCTAGTACAAAACAAGAGGTGCCATGATAAATAAATCAAATTTAAATTAATTCCATTTGTTAAATTCTTTGCTTCTATCATTGACTTTTGTTCATATGTTATAACTTGTGAAATTGTACTTTTTTTTCTTCTACAGAGCTTCAATGATGAGAAAAGCCAGGACAAGAGGTGTCATTCTAGCAGGGGCTCTTGTTTTGTTGGTCTTCCATTTCTGTAAACATTCTACTGAACACAAAAGTGTAAACCCCAACATAAACTTAAGACTCAGGAAACTGAGCCCGCTCAACAAAAGTGACTCCCATGTGTACTCCTGGCCAAAATGTCAACAAAATCACACTGCTGCCAATATCACAGGCTTTGCGAACCTTCCTGAAAATATGAAAGATTTTCTCTACTACCAGCACTGCCGTCACTTCCCCATGCTGCTGGACCTTCCTGACAAATGTGGAGGAGCTGAAAAGTCTGGGGATGTCTTTCTTCTGCTGGTCATCAAAAGCTCCCCCATGAACTATGAACGGCGGGAGGTGCTGCGCAAAACCTGGGCTAAAGAGAGATTACACAACGGTGTGTGGATACGAAGGATCTTCCTCTCAGGGACGTCGGGTAGCGGTTTAGAGAAGGAACGGCAGAACAAACTGCTGGAGCTGGAGCAACGGGAGTTCAGTGACATCCTCCAGTGGGACTTCAGTGACACATTTTACAACCTCACCTTGAAGCAGATCCTCTTCTTAGAATGGATGGAGAGAAACTGTCCAAATGTTCACTTCCTGCTTAATGGTGATGACGATGTATTTGCTCACACTGATAACATGGTACTGTATCTCCACAGTCTTGATGATAGAGATGAAACCAAGCATCTGTTCACTGGCCAAATGAACACAAATATGATTGCAATCCGATCATCAGATAGTAAATATTTTGTCCCAGTTCAGTTGCAGGAGTCAGATTTATTCCCACCTTACTGCAGTGGAGGCGGCTTCCTTCTGTCTGGCTACACAGCAAAAGTTATATATAATATGTCCAGATCCGTTCCTATTCTTCCCATTGATGATGTTTACATGGGGATGTGTCTGGCCAAAGCAGGACTTCATCCAACCTCCCATTTGGGGGTGAAGGCATTTGGGTTTCAAATTTCCGCAATCACAGCAGATGAATATGATCCCTGCTTTTACAAAGAAATTTTACTAGTGCACAGATTCCTCCCAACTCAGATGTATTTGATGTGGAACCGAATCCAGGACCCACATCTGAAATGCTCTTCAAGCCACGAAAGCTCAAAGCTTTAATTCACCGGCTGTAAAAGAGTGACCAGCACAAAGTGCTTTATTGCTTCCTTTCCTTTTCTGTATGTTTTATGTAAGAAACCGTAACTTTGGTGAAGGGAATACGTGAGACAACCATTATTTTATCATTAAAAGGAATAATTTTTAATGCAATTTTAAATGCCAAATATATGAACTATTCAATTATAGGAATTTAGAATGCTGTAGTTCATTTTCAGATTAATAAATTGAGTTCCAAATGGTGTCACCAGTAAACAAAAATATGCCATTGTAGTTTGTGTACATGGATGAATGACTTTTCAATAAAATGGTCCACAATAAACTGAATGCATTTTATATATATTTTTTTTATATATAAACTTCCATAGAATCATTCATTTTATTTTTACTATCTATCCCAGTGCATACCTGAGGGGGAAAGTGTTGGAGTATTTGTCTAAACTCTAGATGGTTGAACATTTAGGAGGAAACAAAACAAAACACATTTATGAGACAATTTATGTGATTTTGGCTGTTGATCAACGCAGACTCAAGAAATACACAGATTTTTTTAAAAGATTCTGATGGATATATAAAGAAAAATAGGAGTAATATGTCAGTAAATTCATGCCATTCAGTTAAAATCTGAACGGTAATATGTAGAGTCTACATTGAAATGTGCATGTAGAAATGCGTTAGCATTGAAGGAAATAGAAGAAAAACCAGTCAAAGAAGCTCTGCTCAGAATGCTGATTGGTGACACAAATCCTTCCGTGAAACTGACAGGAAACAGCAAACCAGAATGTGTGAAAGTATTGTGCTTTCAGTTTGAGCAGGTTTTACCACATGTGAGGGGCACAATAAAATAACCTTTGTTCAGATTATTATGATCTCCATTATAGTCAAAAAAGAATATGAGAAGGTTTGGTGAAAAGATGGAAGAATTGATCACGCCTCTGATATGTAAAAATATTTTTTTTTAAGTATTGATTAGTCCCCCACAAACTATAGTTTTTGCATACTTTTTTACTTTGCTGGTGCTTTTATTCACTGGCTGTGAATACAATTCCCTTCACTTTAAATCCATGCCAAGTGATATTTTTGCTCCACGCAAATATCCTACTACTGCTAATGAAGCTTCCAAAACTTTGCGCTGGAGTGAACCAATTGGAAGAAAGCCTTCAGAGCCTCATGAAGCTTCATCTGCCCACCACTAACTGTCAATGATAGAATTTGAATTAGTTTCACAGCATATGAAGGACCTGATGAGCAAGTTTTTGTCCAATGCCGATGTCACGCGAGCACCAAATATCCATTCATCCAGTGAGACGCTGCTTATATCCAGCAGGGGATGCTGGAGCCTATCCCGGCTGACCCAGCATGTTAAATAAGGTTATTTTCATGATCTCTCAATAAATGAAATAGAAATAGTATATTCAGGCAGTCGTTATCCATTATAAAATCTTTATATGTCTTTATGTAAAGTGATGTAGGGAATGTCATGTTCGGGATTTGCCATGTGTTATTTAATCTATTAACAACCAAAAAACTAAACCAAAAAGTTGTAGATATACCAAAACTTGCACACAATCTTGAATAAAACTCTCAATTGAGGATTAAGATGGTAGAACCAAATGACGTTGTACAACAACTTCAAACAATAATATGGGTCCATCTAAACTGAGGGACACAGTTGGATTCTCTTTCAAGATAACCTGCTAGAGCATTTATAATGTCTGAATTTCCTCTGAAATAAAACCCACCTTGCCACGAAAGGGTGAATGTTAAGTTTCCTATTCACAACAACATCCCTGGAAATTAATAACAGTTCCACAGTCAAGCTATAGGCGAACAGTTTTCCCACAGCATTGTCTCCCAGGAAAAAAGTTGACAAAAAGGTTGTATGTTTGACCCAAAAACATTTTTAGTCTTAGGTTTAACCTCTTGAACCACCAAGATGAAGCCTTCCCTTAAGTGTGTGTAGAGCTTGAATATCTTGATCAAGTGAATAGAGGTCGCCTCCTGGAAGGCTAAACTCGGGTTATGCAACGCCGTGTTCATCAGTTTTGCCACAGGTGAGCGGATACCAAGACCTTCAGCTCTTTTCTCAGCAGGTGTCCTCAAACGTTTGTCGCTCAAACAATACCATCCCACCAAGATGATCAGGTAGGGTTTTTTCTTCTTATTATTGTTATTATTGCTCAAATGTTTGTCTTTGATTGCATTTTTTTTTAATTGAATTTCTAAAATTGACGTGTACTTAATACACTTCGTGCTGCCAGAGGCAGTGAGCCTGCCAACGGGATCTCATTTACGATGTATATGGCAAAGAATATTAAAATCGTGGTTTTACATTCTTATTCAAATGAAACAGAAATTGACACTAAAAAGAAAAAGACTAATTCAATCTTAAATCACATTCAACATTAAGGTTTAATTGAACTACCCTTTTCTTTGCCATCATATCCGTTATGGTCTTCAAGATTCTTAAAAAAAAGATTAATATTAATGTTACCAACATGTGCGGTCATAAAACACAGCAAAAACCAAGGCAGCAGCTCTGGTTCGTTACTGCTCAACGTTTTTTTCCTTTAATGTCCCATCCTCACTGTACTTGTTCAGCAGTTCGACATCTCAGCAGGCTAGATTACTTCTTTGGCTAGATCAAATCTGATAAGTCCGAAAATCTTGTTAATGATGAGCTTCGAACATTTATTCAACAAATCAAAATCAAATCCTCTATGGGGGTGGCTTTTGTGAAATATCTAAAACTTAATTAAGAATATTTGTCCTTAAAGTGTAGCAGAAAGATGTAGGAAACTGGAATGCCAAATTTGAAAAATGACTTTATGGGCTTATATCCTTAAAATCAACGCAAAAACATGTTTGTTGTTAATTTCCCGTTTTTACTTGACTTTTCCAAAAGATTTTCAGTTTATTTTATTTTAGTTTTACTTTAGTGTTAAAGTAATACACTATTGCCTGTAAAGTGGAATAGGTTTCGTATCATATCCTAAAAATAGGCTACTTTTTTTATTTATATACTATCAACTCATTACATAGAAAAAAATAAGGGCCAAAAAATAGGACTGGAGGAGCAACTCGCATCTTCAAGTCATTTAATCGTATTGTCAGCTTACCATATTTATGCAGAAGGAAAAATTATTCTCTTTTGGGAATATGGATGAAGCGGAAATCAGCTCTCAGTTAAAATCTACATGCAGTTGTGTTTTTCTTTATCGCAATATTTGAACTCTTCCCCGATGACTTATTATGTTAAGCAAGTGAGGCAGCCAGCTGAAGCAAACCGTGAAATGGCAAAAATGTTGATCAAGATAGCTAGCAGTGACATCCATTAGGATGATTGAACATGATCAGGAAGTGAGTAAAGTCTAAATCTAGCTCAAAGTTCTCTTCTAATCATTAAACAAAGATTTTATTTTAAAATGCTAAGAATTTAATGTTTAGGTTGAATTCTTACATGTGAGGAACACACCAAGAAACATTTAGTTTCCAGCACAACCACAGTGCCATGCTAAGAGTATAAAAAAAAGTAAAATAAATTACATAAGAGCTGTGAACAAGACCCTGCTTGGTTCATATAAACACCCATTAAGTGGCTAAAGCTTATCAAACATGCCTAACTTGCCTTGCTAGTCAGATTGCAGGTTTCCTTATATGTTCCAGAATTTGAAGTGACATCAGTTGTGAGGAATGTGGCTGTTGTGACTTCCTTATAAATTTGAGTGCATTTTATTACAATTCGATTGGAGCTCATATGCCGACACAGATCCTAAGGCTACATCAGTCTAAAGTAATGGACTACATCATCTGCTGACCATAAATGTGCAAAGATCACCTGTCATAGATTCATTTAATAGATCTACACAGAAAATAAGAAGAATCCACAACATTCATATTAATAAATGTATATATTATTAATTCTTTCTTTTTTTATAACCTGCAGGAATGTATTCATGCAATTGCAAACTTTCCTACTGCTGGGACTGGTGGGAGTTGCTGTTGTGATGATATATATCAGTAAAGATGCTGACTCCAACATCTACAACGTCCCACCAGACGAGGCGGAATATTGCTGCCAAGTGAAGAATGACCTCAAAAACCATTCAAAACATTTATTCTCCCCGTCAAAATGCAAAGAAAACACGTCTGTTACTAAAATCACAGGCTTTGACTCTCTGCCTGATTCTCTAAAGAACTTCCTCTACTACCAGCACTGCCGTCACTTCCCCATGCTGCTGGACCTTCCTGACAAATGTGGAGGAGCTGAAAAGTCTGGGGATGTCTTTCTTCTGCTGGTCATCAAAAGCTCCCCCATGAACTATGAACGGCGGGAGGTGCTGCGCAAAACCTGGGCTAAAGAGAGATTACACAACGGTGTGTGGATACGAAGGATCTTCCTCTCAGGGACGTCGGGGAGTGGGTTTGAGAAAAAAACCCTGAACAAACTGCTGGAGCTGGAGCACTACGAGTTCGGGGACATCCTCCAGTGGGACTTCAGTGACACGTTTCACAACCTCACCCTGAAGCAGACGCTCTTCCTAAACTGGCTGGAGGAAAACTGTCCAAATGCTCGCTTTCTGCTTAATGGTGATGATGATGTGTTTGCCCACACCAGCAACATGGTCAGGTATCTCCAAAGCCTCCCAGACAATAATGGAAGCAAGCACCTTTTCACTGGTCACTTGTTGGCAACCGAGAGGCCTGTTAGGTGGGCACCCAGTAAGTATTATATTCCAACTCAGATACAGGAGTCGAACTTTTATCCCCCTTATTGTGGAGGAGGAGGCTTTTTAATGTCGGGCTACACAGCAAAGGTGATACACAGAACGGCTCAGGATGTACCTCTCCATCCCATTGATGACGCTTATATGGGGATGTGTCTGGCCAAAGCAGGACTCGTTCCCTCTTCTCACATTGGCGTGAAGACGGTGGGACTAAGCATTCTCTCCAAAGTAAAAGATGATCTCGAGCCTTGCTATTTGAGGGAGCTTCTGCTTGTGCACAGATTCCTTCCATCTCAGATATATCTCATGTGGAAACAGGTGCACGACCCATATCTGAAATGCGGAAAACGGCAAAAAAACATTTGGCGCTTTCTGTAACTAATTACAACACACTGTTTATGTTATGCTGTCTTTTTGTGAAAATACGCCATGTCCTTTTTACTGTAAAGTTTATGCTAATTCAGAGATTGAAATGTGTCACCTAAGTGATATTTAAAAAAAATGTAACTCCTTTCGTAGCATGCAATTTTTTTTAAGAGTATGCAAAACTGAGATACAGTTGACAGACACTTTGGTGCCTACTGCTTTAGTAGTATATGGAAGCAGTAGTTCCATATTTTCCAGGTTTGTCATTCATATGTGAAGAGCTCATACTAAGTGTGTTCTAAGCAGACTGAAGGCACATATTGAAAATTGTCAAATTTTGATCAAATGCATAAATGATTTTATGATTATTAAACAAATAGAATCACCACATTAAATGAAATCAGCCTTGAAGATGACACTACAGTTTCTAAGAAAAATCTTTAAGTTTATTTATCTAATTCTACAATTCTATTCAGAAGGATAAAAGAAATGTTGAAACACTGATACTATTTATTTGTTTCTTTCCTGGTTGGGAACACGCAACGTTATTATGTTTGAAAAGAGTTTATGTATATTAGAAAATGCTGGCTTCAAATCATTGTTCTATAAAGCAGATCTAGAATAACCCACACCACAACTACTTCCTACACCTAATCTGTTTGTTTTGTTACCACAGGCTATCATAACATGCAAAAAATGAGAAACAAACATTGACATTTGCTGCAAAGCCATTATACCTGAGACATGAGACGTCAATGTCCCATTTCCTTATGTCATACAAATATTACTCAGCAGTTGTGAAGCACTTGGCATCAATGTTCTTTTACATACAATGTTCTGTTTGGATCTGTGCATTTGGGATTGCTGTTTTCCTTTTTTACAATCTCTTTTCTGAAGTAATGGTGTTTTGGAAAAGTTGTATTGAAAATCTTCTTAAAAACTATTCTGGAAATGGTGTTTTGCACAATAAATTGGGCAGTGTGGGATGCATGGGCTTCTATTCCTTTTAGAGGTTTTTACTTTTTACTTTTGTTTATTTTTGGCACCATGTTGGATTACTTTACCCTCCAGGATCTACAGTAGAAAATTGAAGGGATCACAATAACATCTCATAAGGGCCACAGGACTCCAGTCCAAAAGAGCCCAGGATCTCAAGTCACAGCTGTAGAATTCTTTTTTTAAAAGACTGATTATTTTTAAAAGATTATTTTCTAATTTGAAATTGTCATGGCTTATGGACTTTGGTGAAATTTTTGTTTTGTCTCCAGTTTTGAGACTTCCCTATCTGCTTAAATTTGTTTTCTGACTTGCTTTGAGTTTGTGTCTTTCTTAGCTGGCTAGCTTGTTGTTTATGTTTCTAGTTCATGTACATAACCTATCTATTGGATTTCCGTCGGTGGGGTCTGAATGAATTATTTATCTTTTTATCTTTCTATTTTATTGTTAGTCAGGTGCATTTCTCTGCTTTTACGCCCTCATTAATAACCCTCCTCTGGTTTCTTCATTCCTCATTCCATTTAAGATCCTCATCAGTTTCCACCATATGCACCTTTTGTGTCCCTAGCTTCTTGTATCCTGCCTTGCTCACATAATCTTTTGGTCGTTGTCTCTCAGCTACGTTTATTTTTTTTAAAATTGTTTTTCAGGTTCAGTTTCTGCTTGTGTGGCTTGTAAGGTGTTTATCACATGTTGTTCTCGTTTTGACTATAACATTTTTGGACTAAAAAGATGATCCTGTTGTGTCCACACTTTTGGTCGAACTCTTCCACAATCCAAATTATAGGTGCAGACAGTGGCTAAGTCACTATACATGGTGGATTCAGAAACCACACATATCATAAATGTGTAATCATTATACATTCATGTATTGTAGGTTTTGAATCGGGTACTGAGTAGGTACTTAGTGTGTCAGCTTGACAATTAAGATATCTAATTCTATGCTTTTTAAAAACCTGTTGGATTTCGCTTGTGTTGACTATTGTCTATTGTATTTTGTTAACTGGTCCTTGAGGTTTTTTCTGATAATGATAAAAGTACAAACAAACTCAGTGGATCGGTGAAGGTAAACACTTGAATACTTACTGTCAGCAACTTTAAGAAGATTAAGCTGTAAGCTAACACCTCTGGAACCAGTTTGAATTGGGTCATCAGGCATGCAGGTTTATGCATTTGTGTTTGTGTGTTTGTACGTGTGGGAAATACAAGTTCTGTGTGCAGTCATTTTATGTCTCATTTAACATCACCCTGGGAGACAGATTGGATGTCTGTGCACATAAGCTGTTGTTTGCATAAGGAGCGGATGTTACAATCTACATTCCAAAAAAGGGACTTTGAACATTGCTCATTCAATTTCCTCTTCCCAACATACCCAGGGTTATGCAAAAACTACCTGAGATGTATGTTGATGTTTTATGTATCTGATGGACCGGGGCCTTCACTAGACCTTCCCAACTGTCTGCTAGGTTTATTAATGGTGTTGGGTGGTACTACATTGTTGGTGATTAAATAGTTTAAAAGTTTAAAAGGAGCTGTTTGTCACAGCATAAGACTTTACCACAGTAATTGATTTGTTCAGTCTATAAAATTTTATACACGTTACAAACACAGACAAAAACATAGAAAAAGCTGTCTGCTCTCCCCAATTTATTTTATTTTTTTTGACAAACTCCGGCTTGTCTTTCTGCCATTGTTAATTTGTCTTAAACTATACAAGAAGAATAAGCCTGGCAGCCTCACCCAGTTATTTTGAAATCATACTTTGAAATAAGGATAAACGAAACAGTAAGAAGACATTTAATTTAATTGATTAACTTGCATTCAGTAACATTTGTTGCTCTCAGTTGTAGACACTTTTAGCATCCATAAGTTTTTTTTGGTCACCAAACTGTACAATTCCTCCTCCATCTGCAGGAGGGATACTTAACCAAACAGACTCTCACACAGCATGACGCATGCATAGTCTTCAACACGCGCACACAAGCTGCTGTGACTGTGCTTTAAGTTTAACTGCGACTAGGAATAAAAATGTATATTTTCACACTGATGTTATTAATAAACAAAAGCTCTGAAGTCCAACAGGGCTTCCTTCTCAGCCTTTTGTGTTTTCTCTTTCATCCTGCATGATGCTTTCAATCTGGTTTCCAAGGCTGGAGAAACTGGGCCTCTCGTCAAAGTTGTATGCCCAGCACTGTTTCATCAAACTGTACACCTAACGTTATCACAAGAAAACATGTGTTGTTAAGGAGAAGCTGGAAAGCAGACATGATTGAATTAGCTAAAAAAAAAGAAGATTTTCCGAACGAATAAAACAGCATACCTTTGGTGGGCAATTAGGGGGAACTGGTAACCTCCAGTTATTCTTCAGAATACTGGCTAGATACATCGTAATGGATGCACCTTGTACACTGTGGCCAATCTCCTGCATACATAGCTTGACAAGTGATATTTAAAATTTAGATTGATATATTGTCCCATTTGTTTGAAATTTCATTTGTAAAAGCATTGATCAATTGTTAACTTTCTTACTCTTTTTGGATTGCAGGCCATATCGCAAAAGGAGAAAAGCTCATGAAGGACAACCCCATAGCTCCAGACATCTGATTGGTGAGAGAATCTTGACTCTGTGATGGACTCTGGAGCATACCTGCATGAAATAAACAATGTATGACACTTGAGAAAATGTTCCCTAAGGTAAGAGCAGGTCCATTTATTAGGTTTTCACCTAATTTCATTGAGTATTAGCTTTAGCAGGAATAGTTTAATTTGCTCTTTGGCACAATGGACAGCACATTGCTAAGAAAGCTAAATCACGATGTGAACAGTTTATGAGGATATTATTGATATTTTGAAAATATTGAAAATATCGATTTTGTTTTTGTTTTTTTGTAGCTGCAGTAGTACAAGACTTGTGCACCCCTGATCTTTATACTGTATTTCTACATAATAACATTATTTTTATTACCATGAAATAGTTATTGAGGGGTGAATTAATTCAGACACAGCATTCCTCACCTAAACCATTGGTGGTCAAATTCATCAACAGTTTTCCAAAGACGCACCACTTTCAAACTTGAATAAACCTGTTAAATAAGCTGTTGTGTAGTATGCAAATACAAGTTAAGGCATGTTGCATATTCATTCTGATGCAGTAAAACATGTACAGACAATTACAATAGGAAATAGATTTTTTTACTTTCAGAAGCACTTATTATATGTGTAGCACAGAAGAACAAACTCATTAGTTTAAGAGTTAGCTGTACACCCTCATTCCAATAAGAAGGGGAAATTATTTTAGGAGTGGGACGAGGGGACAAGAAAATCAGGTGACAATGACGTAGACCTTCCACAAACTTACCAGGTTGGTCTGTGAGTTCCGAGAAATAGGTTAGAGCCAAAGGCAACTAAAACATATTCCACTAATCTGATCAGGGAAGTAATTAGGAAGGAATGTTTTACGTAAAATGTTCCTGGTTCAGGACGCAGGCAAAAATGCAAACCGCCAGATAACATCTGTTGTTACTGTTTGTTAGTCTTAATTTGTATTTATTTTTTGGGATGTTATATCTAGTTTTGAAAGGTCTTTCTGTCTGTCTGTCTGTGCCTGTGTCACATACTGGGTCACATCCCCTGTTTACAAATACTGGGTTTTTCCCTCACTTCATCTTCTGAAATGACATTTTTAAAAATGGTGAAACTATACCAGAAAATGGGGTTCTCTCCAGGCTGTGTGACGCGGTAGTACTCTTTGTCGCATGGAATAACTTTGGTCAGCCCAAAATCTGCAATTTTCACCAGTGACTCGCTGGCAACCAGGATGTTCCGGGCTGCGAGATCACGGTGGACGTAACGAAGCGTCTGAAGATACTGCATCCCCTGGAAAGAACATTGAAAACAGATTAACTGAGGAATTTTCATTCTTTTTTTTATCAAAACAGTAAAAATGAATAACGGGCATGTCAGATGCTGGTTGAACTTTTAACAGTACACAGTCACGGTGTATATTATGTAATGCCAGATTTCAGGCTTCTAGATGTAGTCAATGTTTAAAATCCCAGTACAATCTCTTTGTACTAGGATACCGATAGGATTAAAAAAATATATAATATTTCAATCATTTAAAAAAAGTATTAGGTCAGCAAATTATTATAATCCATACAGCTGAATCCCATTGTTTTTATCTTTACTTTATCATATTTGACTCTCACCTTACAGATCTGAGAGGCAAAAAGCAGCATCCGCTTTGTGTTCACGTTGTGTCGGTTACCATCCAGGTAACCAATAAGGCTGCCATAAGGCAGGTACTCCATCACTAAGCTCATACTGAGGCGACCTGTGAACAGATAAACTTTTAATATTACCTGAAACAATGAAAGAAAACATGGTTCTGTCAGCCAAATGTCAAGTGTAATTGTTCCTTTTACCCATAAAGATTGAAGATTTTACAGGGTATCTTACAAATAAAACTATGTGGAAGATCTTTGACAAGACTAATGAAGACACATGCATTTCCTCCAGTATAAAAATTATAAATTTTCATCCAAAAATAACAAAAGATTATAATATCAAAAGGTGAATAGGTTTACATAACATGAGGATGACAGTCTGAACACTTTGCTCTCTCAATAAAGCTGATCATTTTGGGAGGTTTGCTGTTTTTTCATTGTGTTTTCCTTTTTACCCATGCTGTAGCAGATTCCTCTGTACTTGACAATGTAGTCACAGTGCAAAACACTGAGAATCTTTACTTCCTTTTGGAAGTCCTCCAGGTTCGACAGCTTGTTGGGCTGTAGTTTTTTCACAGCCACCAGCTCACCAGTGTTATCGCCCAGAGGATCATAACGACAAAGTTCCACACTGCCAAAGTTTCCCTGGGAAGATTTTGTTCAGCACAGGTATCAGTCACAATCAATCATTCAAAGAGTAATGTGAACTACAAAAATTGCCATTAATGCATACCACCTTACTCCTCCTCCTAAGCACGCACAGGTGTGACTCTGATTGCATTTATGACTATCATTTATTTGCTGGCCTTGGTGTTGCTTTGTCATCCATATGTTAGTGCCACAAATTTTTGCATCCAGTTTGTGCATGCAGGCTTTCAAAATATGCGTGCCACTGTCTGTAGCTCATTTGGCTGTAGAGGTGAGGCTGCTTTACCTTCCTTTTCTCTGTGGCAAAGCTGGGAACCTATGGAATGTTATTTTTATTGTGGCCATTTCATCCATTGACAAAGTGTCTTATAGCACTCAGTGGTCTACACAACTGTTTGGTGTATCCACCTATAACTGCTGTGGGTGTACACTGTGGCTCTTTAAGCTTAAATTCCGGTTTGGTGCTGAGTTGGTTGTTGTTCTGATCATCAGATATAATTTATTTTCGAAAGTGTTCATGTCAGTTTAGAATTTAAATATGAATCTTTTGGATAGTGGACTACAATCAAGGTTTGTGAGTGCTTTTGCTCTGTCTTACAGAGGATTGATTTTAAAGCAAAATATTTTACAGAAACAATTTGAATTGAAACGTGTCTATGCTTCATTTCTGGTATAGGAATTTAAAATCTTTGGGTAGTGTTGTCATGTAATATCTAAGACCTTAATACAATTTGTAACACAGAAACAAGAACACAAATCCTTTTCTTTAATTGCAGATTTTCAGTTGAGCATGCATTTAATACTGCTTGCTATCTACCTTTCCCAGTGGAGAGATGTAGCGCAAGTGTCTCTCTTCGAATAGAGTGTGATCTTGCTGTGCAGGACTTGCAACTCTGCACAGTGGGTTCTGTGAAACAGGCTCTGTAGCATGCAATATCACGTAGTCTGCAATAGACCAAAAAAGCACAATCTGTATTGAGTACTTATGCATTAGATGGGAAAATTCAATCTCCTCTGGTTAGACTGGCAACCCGTGCCATGGTGTATCTTACCTGATGTGATGAGACTGTTGAGTTGGCGGATAATACTGCGGCAGCATGGTCTGAAGGCGGCCTTGTAGTCCATACACTGGCCGATGAGATCGGCTAGCTCCATCCACTGGGAGGGAGGCAGTTGCTGCCAGTTCTCATAAAACTTCTGTTTCTATGAAACAACATGAAGAACTTGAGTTTTCAAACATTTTTATATGTATAACATCACGGTGCTGAAAAGACGACAGAGTTTCTGATCAAGATGTTTGGTGAGTAAACTGGTACTATTAGATAACATGTAAATAAAGGAGTTAGGGGCTGTTGATCTCCGTCTGCCTCTTGAGGATGATTCACTTCCAAGCCACCTGTACACAGGCTCATTTATAAGAATTAGCATTTAAAAGTTTGCTTGGCACTGAATATTGGAAGTTGGACATTAGGTGTATGGTTTCGTCATTTTACAACTTTAACAAAGTTCACATGCTGTCTAAAGTTATGTGCTTTACTGTGTGTGCACACAGAGTTGTTAAAGTATGACTAATATATCCCTTCAAAAGCGCCCTATATCATTCAGAAAACACTTTGTTGACAGAAGTGTCGTTTTTTTTTTCCTGGCAGCCTCTGGGGGACAGCAGAGGGTTTCATGCAGAACAAGCTTCTAAACCAGAAAGTGTAGCTGAGCCTGACCCACCAACTTCCTGCTAATGTTTAAAATTTTGTTTGAATTTTAAGAAGAGAGGTACAGTAAAGTGGGAATATTTTTACTTGTTGTCTTCATATTTCAACAGTCTGCCACACAAAAGAAAGCGATGTGTGAGCCTACTCTGTGTGTAATTCTCAAGTCAATAGGACTGGGAGGAAAAATGCTCTTGGAACAGTTGGTTAACCGTGTGTATCATGTAGTTATTTGTTATTCTGGGAAAAAATAGCTTAATCTTCCTGACTGTTAATATCATCAAGGGAAATTTCCAAATATCTGACTTTTATTTGAGAATAATGGTGAGCCAAGAAAGGAGCAGGTGTCTTAAACTGACAGTAACCTGCACTTAAAATGCATGCTTTATACCAAAATTCAACAGGCACATGAAACAAAGCCTCTGAGCACTCCTGCCGGCTAGAAACAGAATGCAGATTCTTGGACAACTTGTTTACAATACAGTAAGTCAAGTCACATCTGCTTAAAGTAAATCTGTACCATCCTCTATATACCCCTGGACAACACCCCATTTTGTACCTGCTCTAGGCTCCAGCCTTGCAGTGGGGAGTTTCCATTGTTAAAGATTTCCCATACAGTGGCACCAAAACCCCACTTATCACACTCAAGGGTCATGTTGTCTGGAGACTCAAGCACCTCGGGGGCCATCCATGGGATCCTGTCCAGAATGACTAAAGAAAGGGGATGTACATAATTGTGTTTACTATGTTATTAGTGATCTTTTAACTCAATTTGAAGTGCATAATATTCACATTATCAGACTGACAACCACATGTATTCTTATCATAATATGGTAATAATATCAGATGATGAAGATGAGACCTTTTAAGATAAGGTATTCAAGTTATATTTCAGCACGATGGTTGTAATATTTTTAAATAAGAAAAAAAGGTGGGACGGCAGCAATTAAAGGTTGTAATACTAGGTGTTGTTAAAGTTAAACAAATGGACCAGCATTTTGCAACTAAATGGATAAAATGTCAATAAAATGACAAAATAAATTCAGGAAGAGAAAGAAACTGGCTTGATCAGTGCTCGAAGGTTTCAGAGCAGCATGCCCAGCTAACATCTTTATCAGGTTTACACATATTTCATACTGTTAATGCTACTTGAAGACTGGAGGACATTATTCTATCATTTGTCCTCTCTCTGTGTGTGGTCGTACAGGATCAGATAAGAATAATAAAGGTGTCTTAACTTTACCATCTTTGCCCAGCATGGCTACACTGATGCCAGGGTCGCTCAGCTTGATAAATGGCGAGCTGCCTTGGGAGGGGTCACCCTCCCTTGCCAGCAGAAGATTTTTCGCACAGATATTTCCATGAACAATATTTTGCTCCTCCTGAAAAACAGTCGAATGCTACTGTAGACACCTCACAAGAAAAGTGCCGAAACATTGTCTTTTACAGACTATAATGGCCTTATTTTGTCAGTGTATAATCAATTTACACAAGAACAGAGAAGAAAGAATATTTAACTGAAAGTGACTGGACTTAAACTGGGATGACAACATTTTTCTTGATGTGAAAGCTTTTCTTACCAGGAAGTTGAGGGCACATGCGAGCTGTTTGGCTACACTGAGTTTCCAGCTCACTGACACAGATCTCCTTCTTTTCAAGTAAAGGTCGAGGGCCCCGTGCTTGACAAACTCTTGCACCATGACGTCTGTAAGGCACAACAAGATCTGTTTCTACAGCTGTTCTTCAAACACAGACTTTCAGATGCTCAGCCATGTGAACAAGGACTGAGCAGGGTCACAGGAGGGTTTCTATCGATGAGCGGGAGGTGTTGTGGAATTTTGCATGTCAATGATTGTCAATAGCTTTATTTATTCTGGAAAATGTACCCAAATCTAAAGGGAAACTCTAAGTCCTGAGTTAATTCTGAATTTCACCAGGTGCCTTTTTTATGGCAGATTTTACATTCAACACAACAAACATGGCCACATCTGGCAAAAACATAGGAAACACAACTTATAACCAAATGATTAAGTTGTGGAGATAGTTATTGGAATCATGCATATGTAAGTTTTGACTTACTTCTTACTCCATGAACGCTAACGCCATAGACATGGATGAGGTGTTTGTGGGAAATCTGAGACATCAAACTGGCAGCCTCAAAGAATGACTGAGGGTAAAAACAACATATATCGGGAAACTACACACTTCCTGGTATCATCAACATATTTCCTCGGCTATGTCATTTATAAAAACTCACCTCCCAGCAATTCTTGTGAATGGAATCAAGTTCCTTAAGAAGAACTTCCATCATGTGTTTTTCCCCATCACGAATGTCAGTTTTATTGCCTCTAAAAATCCGGGTGAAGCAACCTTGTCCAAGGCTCTCACCCTTAAGGAGGAGATAAAAATCTGCTATTGCATTTCTGTCATCATTATCATCAACACACTGAATAGGCCTCTGAGACCATAAATTATAGTTACTATAGTCTGTGGTTAGTTTGGTGCTATATTTGAAGAAGTAAGAGCACATGATGATATTAAAGATCAGAATGAGTATGTAAAATGATTAAAGCATATTTTTTATGTGGCAGATTAAAAGGTGCAGTGTGATGTCTGTACACTTACCCATTTTAGGTCCTCATATTTAATCATTTGGAACTGGATGTGACTGAATTTGTTCCTTTCAGGAGTGGGAAACCCCTGATTTTCAACCAGGCTGCTGCTGCGTACGATGATGAGATTTGTGAGCTCTTCAGGAACAGAGAATATTTTCATTAATATGAAATCCACAAAATGTACTATTTGACTTTAACTGGACTAAAAGACCAAGTGTTAGTATGTTAGCTGGGAATGATTTTTGCTTTTAAGCAATCAAGTTTTTTTTTTTAATGTGATTAATTCCCTGATGCTATTTGCAGTAGCTTTCTTATCTGTGGAAACATTCAAAATGAGAAATGTTCAAATGTAATGTATTTGTATGTATTTACGTAAATGCAAATGCAAATCCATCCATCTATTTTCACTAGCTACAATACAAAGACTGAGTTTTCAGTTTGGAGATGACCGTGTATTTGTGTGGATTCCTTTTTCACAGTTGTTCTTTTGGATAAACTTAATCATTATGCTTGTTCCAGTCAACAGAAAAGCATTTAAACTTACCTTTTTTTTTAGTTTAGTTCATCTTCTGCTTGACCAACCAAACCTTCCTTTTGAGGAGGTTTACAATGTAAGTGATGTGGTGGAAAGCTTTTTGGGACTTTAGGCAATTAAGGTAAATTACTCATACAGAGATAATTAGCAGTAAATTATTTAAATAAGCAATTCAACTTGTAAATGGACTTGAGTTTGAAATCAGCTATTGATGAGACTTCTAAATGTGCATGTTCTTGTGTTCCTTTCTGCCCACCACAAATTGAAAAACAATCTAAAAATCGTAATGTTACAATCTCTCATGATGTTATCGTATCCGTGTTAAGAAAAGAACACACCTTTGGGTCGGGGCGGACAGCAGTGAGCTAACTTGACCGGTATTTCAGCCAGAAGCAGCTTGTTGTGTTGATAGTAGCTGGTCAGCTCCTTCAAGCTAGAAAATGATTTCTGCACACCAGGAAGATTGTAGTGCTCGTTCTTAATTATTAGGCAGTCCTTATAATCAAGTCCAAGCGGGGTCTGCAAAATATAGAATAAACAGGCTTAAATAGTTGGAAGTGACAAAAAAACGTTCGCCAATCTAACAGAGAAAGTGATACTTTGAAGTAATTCAATTGTTAGTTTAAGCACTACAGCTTCCTTCCACTGTTCAAAAATGTGAATTTAAGGTAAATTAGGTCAAATAAAATGGATGGAAGGATCTTAAATCTTTAGTTTTGGATGTTATGTGTTTACCTGAACACAAACAGTGAGGAAAAAATTCTCAAAATTCTTAGGACTCTGTCGGAGAAGGAAAGTACCGCCTCTGCATCCAGACTTTTTTAGCTTGTTGACAGCAACTTCTGATCTGAACGAGAGATGCAAAAAATTTATTGGAAAGTGCAAATCTCCTTGTTTCACAAAAGTGACTTTAACTGGACTACTTATGTGACTTAAAATTGTTATTAGTTTTGCTATTTATAAGTATTGTTATAGCACAGTATCAGATATACTATTTTATCAAATAACTCACGTGATTGGGCCATGACAGTGGCTTTTCAGTCCATCCAGCAGACTTGGGGGTGCAATGCCTTGGCAGAAAAAGTGGGTTGAGTCTGTGGTCAGTCTAAAGTAGCCATCAACAAGAGATATGAACGAAAGGGCCTCTCTGAGACTCTGGAAATGGGCTTCCTGTGGTGAAAATTTAGCAGACGTACAGTGAAATGAAAACAGAAGAAAATACTTGTTTTTGGTGAGGAGAAATGTCAGTGCGTTAGATGTGGGGTTTTTTTTAAAAAAGGGGGCAATACCAAACATCTGTCGTCCTTGCGAGATATGGTGACCATTCTGCTGTCCTGTGGAACCTGCTCCTGGCAGACCCTCTTTACACTGATGTCAGTGATTTCTTGGAAATCACAGAATGTCAGCCACTCCTAAAAATACAACCAGGAGAATGACTGGCAAAAGCTCAACAACCAGTGGATGCTCTTCAAAAACAGCACCATTAATGAAAAACTTGAACTTCTCCTCACCATTGGACTTTCAGGATGACAACTTCCATTGATTTGTACTCCTAATTCCCCGCTGACCCGCACCATAGAGAAGGTCGCATTTGAGTTGGAGGAGGAATGATTCACATGGAAAGTCTCACAGCCCAAGGAAGGCTCAATGCCAGCCAGCTCAATCATGTATTTGAGCTTCAGGCTGCACTCATCCACAGAGCAGTTGCCGATTTTCTTCAAGAAACGCTTCAGTGTGTTTCGGATACGATAGCGGTCCAGCCGGTTTCGTTTCTGGATGTCAAGGCGATGTGACTTTGGAAGGCATGATTTATAGCTAAGAAACCATGGGAACAGATTTAAACAAATTAACCTGTTCTTGCGTCGTCAGAAGTGCACATTTCTTTCAGAAATTCTTCCATTTTCTGCATTCACACAAATTCAGATTTTGTAAGACAAGTTCTCACAATCCATTTTACAATTTTGTGCATTTTGACACATATCTATCTTCATAGAAAACTTATGGTTGTCTTGATTCCTGCAAAAGTATGGTAGATAAGACAGGCCAGATAATGACTTAATGTGATAAAGATTAAAGAAAACTTCTCCAGACTTAATAGTATCTATGAGAGCTCAAACTCAAACCTTTTTGATCAATTACCTGACGGTCTTGCAGAGCTCTCTGACACTCTGGTGGCGCTCTTCGGCCATTCTCCACAGGTCCAAAACAGCAAGGCCAAGGCATTCCTCTTGTGCACTTAAAGGTGGAGCGACTCCTGCTTCGCTGGTTATAAAGTCACTCCGCAACTATACAAAGAAAGATGTCAATGGCTTCTCACTTGTGGATACAAAATGAACTCATTTATTAATTTAGAATGGTCTTGTTATGTCTGTTATGCTTTGACAATTCAAAATGTTGTGAGCACAACAAAATATAGTGAAAATCTATTAAGAAATTAAGTTAATAGCGATGTCGAATTTTTTATAACTTCTTGAAACAACGATTTTAAAATCTAAATGCGCAATATTAACCCCTTCAAAAGTACTCCTGGTTCATGTGGCTAAACAAAAACCAGTGTCCTTTTACACAGATATGCACGTGTGATATGGTTTAATGTTATTGATGTAATTGGAATTGGCACTTTTATCTTTTACCTGAGCAAAAAGGTAGTCTATGACATTGTAATCTAGTACTGGGCAGATTCTGTCTCTTGTCAAACTGTAGCGGTACGATGTTCTTGATCCTTGACCAAACCAGTTTCCAAAGAAAAACCTACAGAAAAAGAACAATCCATTATTCTTTATACATAACACCAGGTTTACACTCTATATTTAATTGGAATTGACATCAAATGATATGCTGATTTGAAGTTGGCAAAATATTCTCAACATTTCTTGTTTTTTAAGCATTCGGATAATAAATATGATAAAAATTCATTACTATTGAGCATTTTTTCCTGCAAGCTGGCCATTGAAATGCCCATGAAGGTTTTATCCAGGCGTTACGCCATTTTCTTGCATTCTCATTTAGGTTGAATCAAACAAAAATATTGTAATTGCATAGTTTTATAACTATGCAATAGGTAAAGATTTCTCCTAAACAAGTAAGCAAATTAATATATTTTATTTACCTCACTCTAAAGTGAACTTCCAAATTTTCATCGCAGTCAAACATGTGTGAAGGAGGATACCAAAATGATAGATCAGCAGATGCCAAACCAAAAAGGCTGATATACACTGGTAGGACTCCTGTAGAAA